GGCACTGGGTTTGGTTGGTGTCCGTTTTGCTAGGGGTTACACTGCTGGTCACATGCCACTAACTAGACTGTTTGGCACCATACCAAGCTGTTCAGTTGTTGTTGACTTGTTGCCAGTTGCCAAAAGACTGGCGACAATTGAACCAGGTTGTACGCTTGGCAGAGAATACCTGCCGGCCGATTGTACGGAGATTGACTCCTTGTAGCAGCAACATACCGCCCATACATTTGTCGCCTCCTCCCGTTCCACACCACATACCCAACCTAACTTTCAGCTTACATAACTCGCTTCCCTTGCCGAGCTACGGGTCGCTCCCGCCGAAGGCGGGCCTTACTTGTACCCGGTTCCTGTCACGCTCCAGGAGGGGCAATCAAGGTGAATATTCTGTACTAACAGACTTCTAACCGCTTTCGAACGGCCGAGAGCTAAACGTTCGGCTTCCCTCTGCAGCGCTAATGACGTCCAGCAGTTTTCGCGCTATTGTTTCAGCAGGGAGTTAGGAATTGGCAAATATTCGCGGCCCTCACTAGTTGTGGCTTGCAGGCGCCAATTACGTCCGACGATGGCACGTTATCATTGTCTGTATAATTTAGCAAACGAACACAGCGAAAAATTCATTGTAGCAAGCTGTTGCTGGGCGTAGGAAGATGCGCGATGACAGCCAGTAAACGTCTATATTAGGGTGCGCTGGCTACTAGAGTCGTCACATCCAGGACATAGCAGGCCACGGAGCTAACAGTGGCGCTTCGACAGGAAGCTGGACGGCGGTGGGGGTGTTGGCAACGTAATCCTTTGTCCTTCGATGACGTGCCGGCCTTCGCAGGTTCTTACCAACTAGCAGATCATCGAAACGTGGCTGCCTTTGGGTCGTTTTCCGTGCGGAGCCTGACTCGCCCTTCCTTCCCCGCGCTGCGCTTGCTTCCGTCTGTCCTCCCACGCGCGGTGCCTTCCGCCCTTCCCCTTGCAGCTCCTTGCCCATCCCCATGCGGTGCCGGCCGACACATGCCTTTCCCTGTGCACGCTTCCCTGCGGCCCCCAGTGCTTCCCCCCTGCCCTTCCCTGAACGCCCACCCTTTCCGTGAGGCGCCTGCCTATCCTTGCTCTTACCCGCGCTGCGCATGCCCTTCTATGCCCTTCCCTGCGCGTCCGCCCGTCCCCTCCACAACATGTGTTCCTCTCCCGCACCGAAGCGGGTGGCGTGCTACCGGCCTAGCAGCAAGCGGCGTCAGGGCATTGCCGGCCTGGCAGTGACAGCTTCTCCCTCGCAGCGCAGTACCGGCGGGCTGTGTGCTGTCCGGCAGCTCGTTATTGGCCTGGCAGGGAGCATGCACCGTTCCCTCCTGATGCGCATTTCCTGCCCGCAGCGTTTTTCCTCCCTGGCAGTGGTTAGCATGCCTTCCAGCAGCGAAACCCCGGCCCAGCAGAGGGCATGGCGGCCTCTCGTGCGGCGAAGTGCATGGCTATTAAGGGGGGAGCTGGTCTGCCCGCAGCACATAACCTCCGCAGCAGGGGTCGGCATGCCTTCCGGCGCTCTCTCCCGCAGCGCATTACCGGCTTTGGGGTCGTCGGCCTCCCATGCGGGTATTGCCAGCTTTGCTTACAGCAGTCGACTTTCTTTCCCGGCAATCCAAACTGCGTCGTGTCGGCAATTCAGCCATCATCTGTTCGTCTTGGTTTATCAGCCTCCCCGCGCGGCGCCTGCCTCCTGTCATTGCACGTTCCTCGAGTACGCTAACTCTTGCCGGTGCTGCGCCTGGCTACCCATGCCCTTCACCGTGAACTGTCTGGCTGTCCGTGCCCTTCCCCGTGCAGTGCCTGTCTCTCGATGCCCTTCAATGTGCGGCGCCAGCTCCCCTAAGTTCTTCCCAGTTAGTGCCGACCTCCCCGCGCTGTACCTACCTGTCTCCCCATGCCCTTCCTATGAGGCGCGCGCTTGCCCCTCCTGCCCTACCTCGGCAACTGCTGCCTCCCAATGCCCTAACCCATACAGCTGCCCTTCCCCACGCGGCACTGGCCTCCACGTGTGCTTCCCCGTGCAGCAAACTTGCGAGCCTCTTGCTGGGGCCTCGGTGCCCTTCCGTATGCAGCGCCTGCCTCCAAATGTTATCGGCTGTCCTTCCTTACGCGGCCCTACCTCCTTGTACCCTTCTCGGTGCAGCGCCCTTACGGGCCTCTTGCGGGCCCACGTGTGGCCTCTCTGCCCTTCCCACGAAGTTCCTGCCTCCAAATGCATTCACTCCTGCACGTACATGTGCCAGCTTATGAGCAGGGTGGGGCCGCTGGTTTTATGGCCGCAGGTGATTGAGTTGCACGGGGGTTTACGGTATGTACGCAGGCATTGGCGTCGGTACTTGGGCAGGCAGGGATCATGCGTACACCACAGCGGTCAATGGGCACGGCGCGTGTGCGTACCCGCATGGCCGCCGGTAGTTACCGTAGGCATGGCGGGTATGCATGCATCTGTCGGTGCCAGTTTATGGGCCGGGTGGATACGCATTCGCGCATCGGTGTTGATGCACGGGTAGGTGCGACGGAGATGCCTGGGCGCAGGTCCTTGGGGAGGGTGGTGATGCTTGCACGCAATGGTGCCGATAGCCGGGAGAGGCTTGAATGCATGTGCGTGTGGGCGCCAGTAACTAGCAGGGAAGAGAACAAGAGATGCCTGCATGCATGGCCGGCATTTATTGGACAAGGCGACGGCTGCATGCACAGGGGGCCTTTACTTTGGTATTGTAATGGTGCATGCCTCCGCGCATGAGCGTGTCATGTGATCCAAGCAGGGGACTATGAAACCTGGAGGTGGGGAAGGCACCTACGTGATCTGGAGCGTTGATATCGAGGACAGGTGGCCCTGGACACTGCAGTGGAGGATATAGAACAATACGCGTGGGGATCTGTCCCGCCCCTTTGTGGCCTGCCGCGTCGCTAGGCTTTGCATACGGTATCCGGGCTTTGATGACGGGGCGTAGGCCTGCGCAGCAGCGGCGGCAAGAGCACTATCTAGCTCTAGCGGGGGGCAGGTGGAGCCTCGGGCATCCGCTGCAGATCCGGAGTGCATGCATGTGCCTGCTCGCATGCACCCTTGTTGTTCGCCAGTGCGGGGACTGCATGGGCGCGCTGGGCTTTGGGCAGGACATATCATCGCCGGTGGTTCAGCAGCGCGAGTATGCCTGCGCATGCAGCAGGCGGCGGTAGTTGGACAATGCGTGGAAGGATGCCTCCTACTGCCCTACCCCTGGCTGCGCCTGCGTCCACCTGCCTTTCCCTGTGCATTTCCTGCCTTCCCACTTCCTTGCCCGTGTGACCGCCCTTCCACATGCGACGCCTCACTTCTCCCCGGCCTTCCCCTTCACGGCACCTGCCTCTTCATGCCTCTCCCCGTGCGGCGCCCCTGCGGCTCCCCTGCCTCTCCCCGTGCTCTGCTTGCCTTCCAATGCCCTTCCCCGTCATTGCCCTTTTCCCCTCCCTCCAGTGGCCGCTAAATAACTCTTCCCCGGGCGGCACCAACCTCCGACTGCCCTTCCCCCGTGCGGCGTCCCGAGTGAGGCCTCTCTGTCCTTCCCACGAAGTTCCTGCCTGCTTGTACATGGGATCCATGCGTTTGCATTAGCGCGGTCGTTGGGCACGGTTAGTGTGCGTACAAGCATGGGCGCCTGTACTTGGGCATGGCGAGTATGCATGCATGTACCGTATCGCATCAACGCATGGGCCGGGTGTGCATGCATTCTCGTATCAGCGTTGATGCGATACCGAAGGGGGCTGTGACCCCTTCACACCTCCCTCACTCGAGCTACGGGTCGCTCCCGCCGAAGGCGGGCCTTACTTGTTATAAAGGCCCTGTAATATAGGTGCACAGCTGCGTCAGTTAGGTAAGCCTAGATTACAACGGTGATGTACCCCAATCCGTACCCAAGAGCCCAAACTACCAGAGGAATCTGTGGTGATGTTTGTGTAAGGTATATATATAAGCTATAGCATTTGGACCTCCTCCTCCGCTGAGGAGCAGCAGTACTGGGTTTTTTCAAACTTGGCAGGCTGTCGGTTGTCTCCAGCCGTAAGTAGTTTTAGCGTTGGCCCTCACGTGTGGCCAGGCGAGGCTACGAGCTTACGACAATCTGAGTGGCAGGTCACCCGTCCTTTTCCAGTTGTCCTTGAACGGTCTGGCGTGTTGGTGGTTTCAGGCGAGTTGACGGTTCTGTTTATGTCATTGCGCGGTTCCCTCTGGGCCCCACAGACAGGCGCAGCCCTACCAAATTGGCCCGCGTGTTGCCGTGCGTGCCGTACACGCACTGCCAACATGGTGTGCTGGGTCTTACGAGCCTCAAGCATGTAATCATCATCATTACCAGCATCATCATCAGCGCAGTGTGCTGACCTCATGCGGCAGATAAGACCAGTGTTACGCTCAGCCATCGCGTGGCTTCGCGGGGGACGTGCCTCCAATGGCAGCGACATCGGCAAGGCGGGGCCAGGAGGGCGGCCTGCGTGTGGCAGGGTGTTGCACGAGGCCGCACGGTCGAAGGCAGTCACAAACCATGGGGCGTTCGGGGGCATAAGGCACATGGGTGGCCTAGTTGTACGTTTGAAGCTGGGACAAAACACTATCGAGAACAGGGAGGCGATTGGTGCACAACCTTTACCCTTGGAGAGCCCCCGCAGAAAGCAAAAAGAAGAGAGGAGGGGCGATTGCGAGGGCACGTGTGGCTGGCAACACGAATTCTACTCAAGCCGCAGAACACGTTTTCATGCCAAGAGAGCATACGCCGGTCCGCTGGTGTGTTTTGGAGAGGGTACACCAGAGTGTGTTGGGAAGTGCCATGTTGGTCCTTGCTGGAAAGCTGCTTGCCTTGCGCTAGAATAAGTAGAAGTAGAAACTCTTGTGCGTTATAGATCGTCTGACAAGGGAGAGTTGCCTGGCCGAGAATGTGGGCCATGTGCGATACGGCGAAAAGCACGGCGTCTAGAAGATGGCTGCCACCATCACCTCATACAGTGGTTGTTGCAAAGTATCTGCCAGTAGTAGAAGTTTCCCCGCCCTACACCAGAGTAATTTAAGTAACTTTGGCTGCTTGCTGCGACACCCGCGAACAATTACTCGGTTGCAAATCGTCGACTTGTCCGGTTCACAAGAATGCTCGCGAATTTGCGTAGTGTAGTGGAGGGGCGACCCAGCTGCTCGTGCCATCGGCCATCGACAGCTCCAGTCCGGCCCAGCGTTGCATACCGCGGGTCGGCGCGGCGACGAGGCTATGCGGTTGTGGTGCGGGCGGATACGGACTACTATGAGCTCTTGGGAGTACCACGCACAGCCGATAAAAAGACTATTAAGCAAGCGTATCGCCAAAAAGCACGCAAGTTTCACCCGGTAGGTGGAAGTGCAAGCTTGTGACCACGCCGATCCCTCCCCTTTTTCCAGGTCGACGATCCCAAGACACCGACGCACTAATTGTTATATGCATAATTGACTTACGCAGGACGTCAATAAGGAGGCGGGGGCTGAGGACTTGTTTAAGAAGATTGGCGAGGCATACGAGGTGCGTTCTGCCAGGTTGCGTTAAGAAAAGCCAACGCCCGCTACGTACTCAGCCTTATCATCCCCGTAAAAAAAGGTTTCGGGGTTATCCAATTGGGCGATTTGGGTTACCTCCTTGGGAGTTGCCGCCGCCATGGCGCAACCACATCATTCCCCCAGCCCCGCCCCTTTCCGCGACGACCGTGGGCCCCATTCTCTTCCATGTCCTCTCCAAGCACCCCAACCTCCTATTTAGCAATACCTCCCCCCCATCATTGCCCACGACACCACACAACCTACACTCGTACACCTCCTAACAGTCCTGTGCCTGTCCTTTACTTCACCAGCCTACACCTCCACAACCTCCACCCCTCGCTGTAACCCGCCAACCGCACCTCCCCCCACTCCTTCTCCCTTCCCCCTTTCCTCCTGGGGCTTGCCACCTAGCTTGCCAGTCTCATTCAACACATTGGGTCTTCTTCTTTCCACCCCCCCCCCTTCTCCAGGTGCTCTCCGATGACAACAAAAAGGCCATATACGACAAGTACGGAGAGGCGGGGCTCAAAGGCGGCATGGGCGGCATGGGCGGCGGGCCGGGTGTGGAGTTCAGCAACCCGTTTGACCTCTTCGAGTCGTTCTTCGGCGGCATGGGCGGCATGGGGGGAATGGGCGGCATGGGGGGAATGGGCAACATGAGCGGCTTCGCGCGCCGGCAACGCAGAGTGGATGGAGAGGACGATAAGTGAGAGAGGGCGGGGGACGGGATGTCGCGGGGAGAGGGAGGGAGGGAGGGAGGGAGAAGGGTAGAGAGGGAGGGAAAGGGAAATAAGGCGCGGTGGGGTTGGGTTAGGGAGGGGTGAGCAGGGAGCTGCCATGGTGAAGAGGGAGGAGGCAGGAGGCCTCCTTTCCCACCACGGCGCTTTCCGCATGCGTGCCAGCATGCACCCTCCCGCACCCACCGGCATCGGCACCAGCACCGACTACGGTACCCCCCGGCTTGCCACCCTGCGTGTGTTGCTGCTGCCCACGCACGGTTCCTCTTCTTCTCCCCTCCCTCCTCCCCATCCACATCCTTCGCCACTATCACACCACACACTGGATATTCTCCCCTCCCTCCTCCCCATCCCCCCCTCTCACCCCCCCTCCATTTCTTGTTTTCCGTTTCCCCAATATGTTCCCCCCCAATCAGGGTTGACTTGCAGCTGGACTTCCTGGAGGCGGTCTTCGGCTGCAGCCGCGAGCTGGACGTGGAGCGGCTAGCAGAGTGCGAGGTAGGGGGGTGAGGGGGGGCGGGCGGGGAGGGCAGGGGAGGCGGGAGGAAGGGGAAATACAGAGAGGATTCTTCGTTGGCACCGTTGATAGCGGCAACACCGGTGTGGCGAAGGGCCCTGACGAGGCGAGATGGGGCGGGAGGGCGGGACAGGGGCGGCGGGCGGGATCAGGAAGAAGCCCAACCAGGAGGGGGGCGGTGCCCGGTGCGGGGGCTGGTGGTGCGGGGCGAGTTGCAGGCGCGCGGGAAGTCATCCGGGGTGGGGTGGGGTGGGGTGGGTGAGGGGCGGTGCTCCCCCCCCCCGGGTTGTGGAGGGCGGGATGGTGGGGTTGGGTGGTTGCATGGTGTCTGACCCGGGGCGGGGTAGGCGGGTGGGCATGTGGGCTGGGCGGGGTAGATGAAGAGGGGCGGAGCAACGAGAGGAAGGAACGGAGGGGGCAGGGCGGGGTCGGGTGGTCCGCTGGGTGGGTGTTGCCTGGGTGGGGTGGGTGGTGGGGTGGGGGCTGGGTGGGGTGGGTGGTGGGGTGGGGGCTGGGTGGGGTGGGGGCTGGGCGACTGGAGGCTGGGTGGGGCGGCATGAGGAGCAGCATGGGGCGGCATGCGGGGGGCACAGCAGCGGCACAGCAGGGGAGGGGGGCCAGCATAGGTGGCGTATGACGTGGGGAGACAGGCGGGCGGCCGTATGCTGCTGTAGCAACACGCGCCACCAGCCCCCCCTCGCCCCCCCACCCCTCCTGTCACCCCCCCTCCCACTCACTTTCTCCCTCATTACCACCCCAACCTCCCCCCCTTCCCCCCCTTCCCCCCCTTCCCCCCCTTCCCCCCCTTCTCCGCCTCCCCCCCTCCCCCCCCTGCAGGAGTGTGGTTCCACGGGTGTTCGCAAGGGCACGCAGCCCACCCCCTGCTCCGTCTGCCAGGGCTCCGGCCAGGTGGTGCAGGCGGTGCGCACCCCGCTGGGCACCTTCCAGCAGGTCGCCTACTGCAGCCGCTGCGAGGGCGAGGGCAGCAGCTTCACGCCCTGCAGCAAGTGCGGCGGCGAGGGGCGCGTGCGCGACACCAAGCGCATCAGCCTGCGGGTGCCGCCGGGGGTGGATGTGGGCAGTCGGCTGCGGGTGCGCGGCGAGGGCAATGCGGGGCGGCGGGGCGGCGATCCGGGCGACCTGTTTGTGAACATCAGCATCAAGGAGCACCCGGAGCTGCGGCGGGACGGGACCAACATCCACAGCGATGTGGAGATCAGCTATGTGGACGCGATCCTGGGGACTCAGGTGGGAGGGAGGGGGGAGGGAGGGGGAGGGAGGGGGAGGGAGGGGGGGAGGGAGGAGAAGATGAGAAGTGAAGGAGAGGGGGGTGAGGGGAAGGGGGAGGGGAAGGGGGTGGCAGTTGGCGTACGAGTCCCGAGCGTTTGCCCAGGGGGAAGAGGTGAGCAGCAGAGGTGTAGGGAGAAGGAGGAGGCTGCGCAGGAAACATGTGCCATCCATCCATCTAATCCTCCCGTCTCCCGCCTCCCTCCCTCCCTTTGCCTCCCTCCCTCCCCCCCACCGGCAGGTCAAGGTGACCACCGTTGACGGCCCCGTGGAGCTCAAGATCCCCGCCGGCACGCAGCCGGGCACCAGCCTGCTCATGGCTCGGCGGGGGGTGCCCAAGCTGGGCAACCCCAGTCTGCGGGGCGACCACATGGTTCACGTGCGGGTGCGCATCCCCAAGGCGGTGGGCGCGGAGGAGCGCAAACTGGTGGAGGAGCTGCGCGAGCTGCAGAGCAAGAGCAGGCTGGGGCCATTCAGGTTCTGAGGAGGGGAGGAGGAGGAGGAGGAGGAAGAGGAGGGAGCTGTATGAGGAGGCCCTCTGAGGAGGGGGAGGGAGGGGGGACGGGTGGTGCGGTGTGTGAACAGGGAAGAAATAAATGAAAAGTGAAGCAACACGGAGTCCCCATCCCATATCCCGATGCGTGAGGAGGGAGAAAAGCGTTGGAAGGTTAGTTCTGAGCAGGGCTGCTGAGGGGGAATGGAGGGTCGGTTTGGGGGGTGGGGTTTGGGAGAGGTCATGAGGAGAGGCGTTTCGCAGGGGCGGACCCACGAGATGGGAGAGAGGAGGTGGTGGAGGAGGGTTGGTTATTCAGGTTGGGAGGTGAGTCGGTGACCAGCTGGGCTGCCGGGTTTGCAGTACGGCATGTGCCCTCCCTCTTAACATTTCTTGTGAAGCAAGAGTGGTGGTTGGTTATACCAACGTTTCTGGTAAAGCAAGGGCGGTGGTGGTTGGCTTTCCCGGTTCCGAGGTCGGGGACCAGGAATGCTCGTAGCCAGTGGGTGGGGATCCGGGTTTCGGAGTGGCCGGGTGTTTCCTGTGGCAGCGGCAGCAGCAGCTCAGACGGGTTGCCTTCAACATACCGGGGGACGTGGGGACAGTCGGTACAGCAGCTTTTGACGGGTTGCCTTCAAACAGGACAGGACGGGGCGCATGTGGGAGGTGCAGCTATCTATTCAGGTTGTAGTGCTCGGGATCTTCTGTCGTATGCTCTTGCCGTACGCTACAGCCTCCGGGTGTGCTGTTGCTTATACCGCTATTGTGGGTTCGGTGTACTTCTTACATGAAGTGTGTGTGTGTGTGTGTGTGTGTGTGCTTGCTTGGTGGGTCCCGCGCCGTGCTGAGCCCCGCGGTAAAAGCTTGTAACAGTGTGTGCATGCCGGTGCCCGTTGTTGGAATCCCTGCCCAGACCGGCTCTTTGCTGCCCAGACCGGACCTTTCCCGCCGGCAGGGAAAAGGAGGACAGGGGAATGGATGAGGCTGGTAGGACACACGAGACAGTCCTTGCCGTGAAGGAGGAGGAGGAGGGGAGAAGGCCTGTGAATCACCGTGGCTAGTGTGGGCCCCCGCTCCATCCGTTGGCGAGTGAGTGCCCCCCTTCCAATGCAACGCTATGCGGCTGTTACTGCCGGTGCTGTAACTTGTAGCAGCGTGGTCTACCGGTAATGAGAACTACTGGGTACCGTATTGTTGGTGTTTGTTCAGAGGAATCGCCTGTGCCGCGGTGTGTCTCTTGCCGTATTTGCCGGACACGCGCACACACACCCCCCTCATGAGGAACCATGGGTCACTGGCATGTAGGGGAGCGGCGCGGGCAGCCTAAGCAGGTGCCTTTAGAAAGGCCGCTCACGTTCCAAGGCACCCCGATTTGCAGTCTGTAGGGTGCCAGCTTCTGACGCGTGTGCAGCTGCCTTGCCTTGCTGAGCCGTATCCAGCTTGGATTGGGGTTAAGGGAACCGGACAGGTTGGTGCTGCTGCTGGATGGGCCGCTTGCCGTCCATGTTATAGCCCCAGCAAGGGTGGCATTGCCCCACACTTTGCATTCACGCACGCACGCCTCAGAGCTGCCTTGGAGTCGCCACCTAACATACCTACACGCTGGTAAGTACGATAACTACGGTGGCGATAGACACTGTATCGGTACGGCAGTAGCTGTTACGTTGCATGTAGGCGAAAGCCCGGGAGTTAAGATGGACCCGGCGGCTGCCTAAACGCATGTTTGTGCTGCGCGTTGCCGGTACATCGTGTGTAGTGTACACACGTGATGCACGGTACTCAGCAGTAATTAGGTTTTCCCGACACCATCAGCATCACCGACATGCGTCGTCACCCCGCCACTATTCTTACATCCAGCACCAGCGATTTAACCAGTTTTTGAGTTACGTTTCAGGTTTGTTCACCTCTGTTTTCCCTCTGTTTTGCCTGTACTCGCGGTTCACATGCGAACCTATCCCAACTGCTTGCTCTTGTTCTACTCAACTACACACGTGATGCACGGCGAATCCGATAATAGTCGACCCATGGGCCACCATGAAGCACGGCAATCGGAACCCACATGTTGCGCTCGTGCGTGCGGCGAGGTTAAGTGTAAGAGTTACATTTCTTATCGAAAACATTGTTGCACGTTCTGGCCTGGGGCGATACCGGTAGTGTACCGGTACTGCAAGCTTACTAGGACAAATTCAATTACTTTTGGTCAAAGGTCAAGGACTTAAGCATAGTGTAGCATGACCAATGAGAAATGAAGCAGGCCGCATGGCCAACGCTTTTTACCCTACAGCGGTTTTTTCACCAATGTCAACACCAGTGAAAAGGGAATGACTCAAGCCATAATTGTAAAAGGTCGTACTGTTACATGTCGCCAACCTTTTTGGTTGTTTAACAGGACGGGGCGACACGATTGCCGTACAGGAAAACGTTTGCCGTCACCCACGTGCGATAAGCAGTACCAGTGTGCAAAGCGTTAGCGCCCAGATCTACCCGACATAGTTGCGGTCGCTTCGCCGCTAACAGCGGTGTCGCCGTCCTGTTGAAGTCCGCGCTGAAATCCCCTACCTAACTTGACTCGTAGCTGTCTTAGACGCTGCTTTTAAGCTGTGAGCCACATCTTCTAGTGGGTATAGTGTAACTATAGGATATTCGCACAACACTATAAGTCCGTCGCATTGCTGGTGCTGAGTTGGAAGGGCTTCGGCGGGGCCCAGCAATAGTAAATTGAGAGATTGTTATAGACTTGTAGGCGACCGTCTTGAGTCAGGTTACTTTAATAACCACAGCGGCATAACATTCAGCACTGATTTTAGTGAATGGCGCAGCCACCGCCTCCCGATCAGGACTCGCTGCATGGGGAAAACGCTGCTCGGCGACAGGTTAGGTTTGGGAAGTACGGGGCTTGACTAGTGACTTGGAGTAGAACGTTCCGCGCTTGCATCGCAGGCTATTACCGAGCTACTCTTCTTCGCTAGCGTCGGTGACTTGTACCGATGCAAGAAGATTATTTACGCTTGGGGCCTAAATGTAAGAGCGCCACTGCAAGGCTTTGTTGTTCGTCGCGCACGAGAGCAAACGCCGCCTTGCGCTGCGGTTTGGATGCTTTTTTCACAGTCATATCACTCTTATCACAACTTTCATTGCAGATTAAAGACGCTTCTTGTTGTGACTACGACCGGCGCACACCCCTGTGAGTTTGTAGGTTGTTGGGTCAAACTCTAAGCCCTAGAAGCGTATAAGCAATAACCGAACAGGTCTCAAGCTTTTTCTTTCGCTCCTAGTATAATTCCTTTTCTTGGCCACATTCAGGCACCTTGCATCGGCAGAGGGTGCGTTCTCGGTTGTGCTTTGGCTGCTGGACCATGGCGCCGAGGTCAACCCGGTGGATCGCTTCAAGAGGACACCCTTGGAGGTAGGGCGGCGTGTTATGTCGAAAAAGGGAGTACAGTCTGCGCAGAACGTATTTTTACGTATTGTAGGAAGAACGCCATCCCATCCAACGGCTGTTCCCTTGTTACTTACAAGGCAGCAGGGTGCGCGCGCACACGCAAAAAGTTCATTGCACTTGAGGGTCTGGATTTAAGTCTCGTTAAGACTTGTCACGAAAGGGAAGACTGCCCCACCCTAACTTGCCGTACACAAATTGGCCCGGCGTCTGGATGTTTGGATTTGCAAACCTTCACGTATGGCTTGGATGATCGCACACCTTTCCTTCCATCGCTGGTAGTAGTAACCTGGTGGGCAGCCGTGCGGTCACATGCTCACAGCCGCCCGTCTACCTGCCGTCCTGCTAAGCCACCAGAACAGCCCCCCTAACCCTTCAAGACTACTCGGGCCCTCCACCACACCTCTCCTGCGGGCCGGGTCGCTGACTAGCAACGCGGCATCCAGCCTGCTGGCCTGCATAACAACAATAACCTGAAGCCGCGAACCATGACCCATGGGTCATGCCTGCACCCAGTCCAAATCCCCAGTTCGAGCCCGGGAATCCAGCCCAGCCCAGCCCTGGCGAAAGCCCGCACCTTCCCCCGCTGTTGCCCGGAGCCACCGCAAGCCAGCTCTCGCAGGGCGGTGGTTGTGGTGGTTGTGGTGGTTGTTGTCGCGCCTAGAGGCGAGCAGCCGCCTGGCCCCCCCTCACGCCTGAGGAGGCCCCGGCACCAGCGCAGCCCCGCAGTGGCTGCCACCCAGCCATAGCCTTCCACCCACCCAACACGGCCCGCCAGGGGGGGCTCCCTTCCACCACCACCACCTCCTCCTGCCCCCCTCCCTCTCCCCATCCAACCGAACCGCTCCCCCCCTCTTTTCCCCCCCCCCCACACACACCTGCTTCCCCTTCTCCCCTCTTCCCCTCCTTATCCCTCCCCTCCTGCCTCCCTCCCCCTGCCTCCCCTCCTGCCTCCCCTCTCCCCCCCCCCCAGGACGCAGTCCGCGGCGACCACGGCGACCTGGCCACGCTGCTGCTGCAGCGCGGCGGCAAGGTGCTGGACAAGGAGGGCGCGCTGGTGGACCTGGCAGACAGCCCGCTGGCGGGGAACGTGCGCATCTTCACCGACTACGACCCCGAGTGGGAGATCGACCCCGTCACCATCAAACTCAGCGAAAAAATCGGTGGGAGGGGGCAGAGGGAGGGAGAGGGAGGGAAGGTGGTGTTGGGACCGTCGTGACGGTCGTCTGGCAGTGGGAGGGGGATATTGGAAGGGGGGGAATGAAGGTAGGTGGGTGGGGAATTGGCGTGCGGGTGCGGATGCGGACTCCAAATGCGCCTGCCGAGGCTGTCCACTTCCCTCCTCCTCCGCTGCCGCTGCCGCTGCTGTTGCCGCTGCTCCTGCTACTGCTACTGCTCCTGCTCCTGCCAACACTGGTTGCTGCCCCTGCCGCTGCCGCTGCCCCCCCCCCCCCCCGCAGGCGAGGGCGAGTTCGGTGTGGTGTACAAGGCCAACTGGAACGGTGAGGGAGAGGGAGGGGTGGGGTGGGGTGGGGGCTGGGTAAGAGGGAGGAGGGCAGAAGGAAGGGGGCAGAGAGGTTGCGTGGGAAGGGGTTGCGGGGGAGGGGGAGGGGTGCACAGGCGTCAGCGCGAGCAGCGGCATTAGCAGCGGTACAGAGACCCCCCTACCTCCTCCCCTCCCCTTCCTGACCCCCCTCCCTCATCCCCCCCCCCACCCCACCTACACACACGCCAGCTTCCTTAGCACTTAACACGCTCGGCTAGTTTTCTTAACACGCACCTCCCTCCCCCCCTCCTGCTCCCGCAGGCACGCTGGTCGCCGTCAAGGTGCTGAAGGAGACGGGTGCGGTGGCGCTCGGCGACTTCCGTACGGAGCTGAACGTGCTGCAGAAGGTGCACCACCCCCACACGGTACGGAAACGGGGGGGGAGGGGGAGGGGGGAGAAATAAGTGCAGCATCAACTGGAGTCCCAATCCCAAGGCGGGAAATGAGGGAAGCATGGACGCCGGGTCGGGTATGCTGGCTTCAGCAAAGCCTAGGCCTACAACGAGGGTGCTACAAATACCAATAATTACGGCTGTGCACAGCATCCTAGGAGGCCTTTTCAGGACCGTTGTTACAGCGTATTCTGCCCTCCTGCTTCCCTCCGCTGCCTTTTGCCCTGTTTCAGCTGGCTTTTTCCTCCTCTGGTTTGGTCCTTTTCCGTCCCTCCAACCTCTCTCCCTCCCCCCTCCTCTCCTCGTCCCCTCCCTCCCTCCCCCGCCCCCCTCAGGTCCAGTTCCTGGGTGCGGTCACCAAGCAGACGCCCTTCATGATCGTCACCGAGTACATGGTGGGCGGCAGCCTGGCCGACCTGTTCAAGGGGCAGCGCTTCCCCTCCATGTGGCGGGCGGTGCAGCTGGCGCTGGACATGGCGCGGGGGCTGGCCTACCTGCACAACCGCAGCCCGCAGGTGGGGGGGGGTGCTAGGGGGGGGGGGGGTACCGGTATAGGGTGGGAAGAGCGGCTACACCATAGGTAAGCACAACCTAGCTTGCCATTAACATTCGACACACATGCTGCTCTTCTTCCCCCCTTCCCCGTTAATCCCTCACTTGTTGTTTGGTATTTGTCCGGCCCCCCTTCCCCCCCGCCTTGCAGGCTGTCATCCACCGTGACCTCAAGCCCGCCAACCTCATGATCGGCGGCCCCAAGGTCTTCTCAGCAAACCACCGGGCGCTATGTCAGGAGGAAATGGGGGTGAGGCGCGGGGGGGGGGGAGGGGGTAAACATGGGATACGGACGAGCTGCTGTATGACAAGACTTGGGGGAGGAGGTCAAGAACCTCCCAGCGGTGGAGGGGGCAGCAGAGCGGGTATGGTGGGTGGTGGATAGGACAGTTAGGACTGGAGGAGGTAAACCCTAGGAAAGTACCGTAACCAATGAACAGCGGGGAGGACGCGACCCGCCTCCCACAACCCACCCACGCCTCTCCCTCCTCTCCTCCTCTCCTCGCCGCTCCTCTCATCTCCTCGCCGCTCCAGGTCCTCAAGATCGCCGACTTCGGTCTGTCCAAGTCGCTCAAGCTGACCCGGCCCAAGCGCCACCGCGGCTCGCTGGACATGACTCCCGACAACTCCGTGCTCAACGGCCGCCAGAACAGTCTGGCGGGCACTCCCAAGGGGTCGGTGCACAACAACGGCGGAGGTGGCGGGGGAGGAGGCGGCGGCGGCAGCGCGCAGGGCGATGGCGAGAAGGCGACCCAGAGCTACAAGCTGACGGGTGGGTTGGAGGGCTTGGCGGGCGTGAAAAACGCAAACATGTCCTTCTTCTTCTTCCCAAGCATGTCCTTCTTCTTCTTCCCAAACATGTTCTTCTTCTTCTTCCCATACGACTGACAAAAACACATGAACATGTCCTTCTTTGCAGCCCGTTTTCCCAACACCCCCCCCCGCACCCCCCGCACGCCCCCCCCCCGCAGGTGAGACCGGCTCCTACCGATACATGGCTCCCGAGGTGTTCCGCCATGAACCCTACAACAACAAGGTGGACGTGTACAGCTTCGCCATGATCTGCTTCCAGCTGTTCGAGGGCATGCCACCGTACTGGAACATGGACCCCATTGAGGCGGCGCGGGCGGCGGCGCTGAAGGGTCTGCGCCCGCAGTGGGGCGTCACCAACCGCCGAGATCAGGTGTGCGGTGGGGGGGATGCTGGGTGGCTGGTTGGTTGGTTGGAGTGGGTGGGTGTGGCACTGTTGCTGCTGCTGCGGCGGCACTTTCCAACCGCTTGTGAAACCGTTCATGCCGTTCCTGCGGCAACGAATTGCAGAACGCCATCTCCCTCCCCATGCACGCACTTTGCCCTCCCCTATCATGCACTTGCCCCCCCCCCTCCCCCGATGAACTTGCCCCCCCCTCCCATGCATGCGCGCACCCCCTCCCCCCATGCAGGTGGTGCCCCCCCGCCTGAAGCGCCTGGTGGAGACCTGCTGGGCGGCAGACTACGAGAGCCGCCCCGAGTTCACGGAGGTGATTGAGATGTTGGAGGAGGTGGCCAAGGAGATCAAACCCGAGCTGGCGTCGGAGGCGAAGCGGCCCAGCAGCGCCACCGGGCGCAAGGAGGCGCCGCCAGTGGCGGACAGCAGCCACTGCTGCAGCCTGATGTGAGGGAGGGCGGGGGCGAGGAGAGCGACGACCCGTGGGTCATGAGCGACCCGCGGGTCATGCGGGAGTGGAGAAGGAGCTGTGGAGGCGTGAAGCGCTTTGGTATTGGTTTTCACTGCCCGACCTATGCTTGTATGTGATTGTATCGATTAATGAAGATGTGAGTGGGGGAGGGTGAGAGGGAGATAGGTGTGGGGAGGTGGGTGGAGTAAGGGGTTTGGATGGAAGATGTAGTGGGGAGGACTGGGCGGCATTGGATCGCTGCTGCCGTGTATTAGTGCTGATGCGGCGGCATCTGGGTCGGGAGGGTGAGAGCAAAGGTTGACGCTGTGGTTACTGCTGCACATGACTTGGTGACTCCCGCGCTGTCAAGGGGCCGGGGGCAGGGATACATAGGGGGTCGGCTGCAAACACGGCTTTCCTGCTTCGACGCCGATGCCGACAGATCTTGAAATGCTCGTAACTGGCTGGGAGCAGCGATCTGGGCGAAAGCATTGCTCCTTTCACATCTCCTTGACTTTGGTTAGGTGCCCTAAGATAAGCCCGAGGGCCCTTGGCGGGGTCCTTTGAATACGGTATGTCTTGCTTAGCTAATCACAAAAGGTGCTTGCATGGTTGTGGGCTTGTGGCTTGGACATGATTGCCCGTACATTTTGGTACGGCTGCCGCTCGGGGCGGCCGTTGTGAGTTAGTATGAGTGAAGTTACACTTGGGAAGGGGGCCGGATGGCTCGATTGGATGTTAGGTGAAGGAGAGTGGAGAGGATTAGAGGTCGCGAGAGAGAAAAAAAGTGGGGACGGCTGTGTTGCCAGCAGCACAGTCTTGACTGATGAATGTTACAACCCTTGCTTTGGACGCTCTTGGCGGTTTGGCTCGATTGCTGCTACGGCCACGGCTTTCCCTTCACCGAGCGATCCAAGGATCCAGATTCTGCTGCTGTTGCAATTGTGGGTCTCTGGCACCGACACGGTTGTGGATGCTGCTGTGGATTCCTGACACAACCATTCTGGGGCCCGGAAGGCCGGCGAAGACGCATAGAAACTGGAAAGGCGTTTCTGACCTCATCATGGCCACCATTAGCGTTGCTGGCCGCCCCCGTTATTTGCATTGGTGAGTATTGAATTCCTGGAATTAACTTGGAGTGTGTGCCGGAAGCGGCAGAAATGGGCTTTACATGGGGTAATGCTTGGGTTAGGGCTCGATGTCGAGATGCTGCCGTGGAGTGCGGGGTTGGTTTGGTGCTTGACTGGAAGACGTCAGCATGTGTGTTGGTGTGCAGACGATATACTTTATGATGCATGCCCATGGGATAGTCTTGATCCAAAGCAATGGATTGAGATCTCTTGTGGAGGGGTTCTCATGGTGATCCCTCGAGCCACACCGTTGCTTTGAGAGATGACCCCTGGGCCCATTCCTTACAAAATGGTGTAAGTTTAACCACCCAACCTACAGCCTCCATACACAAGTATGCAGCTCCTTGACCTGTATTGTCCTATAAACCAATACACACCGAACTCTTAGACAGCGGTTCAAGCGGTTACCAACATAGCTGACCACCCAACAGCGATTTGCGCTTCAACAAGAAACTGCACGCCGTATGGGCCATACCCTCGTGTCCATGGCTAGGGACTAGGGAACATGCGGTCGAGGAGGAAAAACCCACAGACGCCACTCACATCCTGGTCACGGTCAGTGTTTCCTCGCGGCTCACTTCATCTAATCCTAGTACGAGTATCCGACTTGCCATAACCCGGGAGGGCTACTACCCCCAAGCTCAGTCCATTACAGGACCAAATAGATTGAAAGATGGATAATCAGCAGCATGAAGGTAAGTAGCAAGTACCGGTGGGAGAAGGAGAAGGCGCATCACTGCCTAGGAGAGCATACCGCAAGAGATCACGAACGGCCTGTTACTTCTATTCAGTGTATCCACGACGCAATTGCGTTCATATACCTCCTGCACCTACAATACACAATCATCATAAGTTCATAACGAAGAGCATGGCAGCCCCCACAGCTGCCCAAAACGAGGTGCGTACGGCGGATCCAGCGGACGATGACGGTGGTGGTGGCGAAGACTTGGGCGACGGAGGAACGGGGGGTGATGGCGGGGGCGGCACGTTGCAGGGCTGGGTCCGGCTGGTGAGGACTGAGAGGTCCGGCTTGGGGTAGAGCGAGAGGTCGCAGCATACGGCGGGGCCTGAGGGGTGCGCAGTGCGGGATGAACGGGTTTCAAGTACTGTACTGGAAGCAAGGGAAGGTCGTGCAAGCAAAACGCGCTGTACTGTGGCAATACGGCCTTCCACCCCGGCGCGCATGCCATTACACTCTTGCACTAGGGGCTCATGCGGTGTGCTCCACGTAATGCGCACATGGGTTGTTAGCCCATCCGAGCCCATGGCAAATTCCACGGTGTGCAACGCTGTCGTGCAACAGCAAGCCCGGTCGTGCAACAGCGTTACCTGTTGCATCCGTCGACAAGACAAAGGACTGCAGCGGGCTGGCCTCCAGCATGCCCATACCGTCCTCGGCGCGTACGATGAAACTGTTGGCGGCGTTACCGCAGATGGTGCCGTTTGCGTCCGAGACAGCGGACTTCCAGAAGATCATGTTGGTGGCATCATTGACGGGAACCATGGAGGCATTGTTGTAGTAGACGGACTTTGTGGAGGAAGCGCACGTTCCTGGAATTGCATTATAGACAACAGGGGGGGACCGTTGGATGAAGATGGGTCCGTACGCAGTTGGTGGTGCTGGGCACCTTACGCACAGCCACCCATGCAGTTACCTGTATAAGCGTAACCTGTGGTGTTAGTGCTGGCGAGAGGCATTCCGTTTTGGTAAAGAACCTGTAAGGAGTTAGGCTGGGTCAGAAAGGAGTTGCAGGGATGCAAGATGGAAACCCTTCGGACTTACTGTATTGAACTCAAGAGCCGACGAAAGTGAATCACTGCAGTTCTTGTAGGCGTAGACCCACATTGTCACCTGCAAGAAAGGGCGGGTCCGAGATGTAAGACGCGGCGAATCAGGTTCCAATAATTGGGCCCTAGCTGTCACCTGGGACGCACCTTCCCGGACATCGTCAGGTTAGCGGTAGTGTTAACGGTGGTAAACGTTGTGCAATTCCCGACCTCAATGCGCACGTAGTTCTTTCCGCTTGGTGTGTCGGGGCAGAGATGGAAATGGCCCCTGCAATGGTAAAGTTCTGGGTTAAGCAAAGAGCGCAGCGAATAAGATTAAACTTACAAAAAATATAGAGAGGCCTGAAGGCGTTGGCCCTTGCATTTAGTCTTGCTTACGCGTGTGCATCAGCCGTCGTTGCGAGCAGAGCGCTTGCGACGATCAACAGGGCGAACGCCCCTGGCACAATTTTTGCAGCCATGTAGTTGGGCTGCTTACAGATGTCAACCTGTGTCCAACCTCTTCCTCGCCTGTCCTGTCACTAGCCCCCTGCCAGGACGCCTGACCACCGAACCTCTTCAGTCAAATGGGAAACAGGTTAAGCATCAGGTTGCGCAGCCATGTCTTTTAATTTGGACTGCAAGGCAAAGCTACTACAGTCGCTTAGTCAAGGGCCCTGTACGGTACAGAAACGTACATGCGGACAAGCCGTTGCAAAGGACGAGCTTAGGCAGGTTCCTGGCTTTCCCTTTCTTTGCTGGCAACCCCAGCCTAGTGACCTCTTTAAATTAGAGTGGTCGTGGGCTAACCAGTGTGAAACACACTTACAGTTCCCTGAGGCCTCAGGGCCCTAGTTTGCCTGCCCGAATCGCCCGAGCTCAGCCATCAGCTTTACGAATGACCAAACCCTCGCAATTTGCCACAAGGAAAGAGCATTATATTTGGGTGTGTTCGGCTCTCGGTTTGTGGTGGATCCCTGGCTTCGTTAGGCCGTATAGGTGTATAGCCTTACCATGTAATACCCAATCGCTTTAGTTACGAGAGTCAGGTGCAGAGGCAACACCATAAACAGTTCGGTGAGCACGCTTTGTGTTGGAAGGTTCAGACAGTCCGGATTGGTCCGCATAGCCTATACATCGCTGGCCGCCCCAATCAAATGTAGAGCTTGCATGCACAAGTAAACCGTTGCTTGTAATATTCCGATCCTAGCTTGTGTATCATCCTACTTGTGCCCTCCGTGAGGGAATGAGCAGACGGCGGTTGCATTTCCCACGTAACAACCTAAATTGCCGGTAAATGCGAGTTACTTGTTAGGCAAGGTATGATTCTGCCCTGCTAGTCTGCTGCGAGCAAACGACACGTAGAATAGTTAACAACCCTTAACTATCGGAGTCATGTGAATGTCTTTGTCACGGGCATCCAGAAGAGATCCGCGCATGCATACACCGAATAGCATCACGGTCTCCCGCCAATCCAACCACAAAACGATGTAACCCTCCTCAACCGACGGACCTCCAAATAGTACAATTGGGAACCTCGGCAAAGGTTCTGCTGGCTTGCTGCTCGCCCACTGCATACAAAGCTTTAGTGTGTCAGGATAAGCCGAAGCAACATCAAGACGTTATTAGTCAAGCAATCACCATCAGTAAACTTGGGCTACCCGTACCTCTGACAGGCTACATCCGGACGAAGACGCAAAGCCATAAACGCCGGGCTAACACCAAACTGTGCAGGCGAGCCCGCTACATCGGGGAATAGCATCAATGCGCAGTGTAAGCGAACACTGTATGATAAGTTTGAGAAGTACGGCGCTCTGCCCAATCGACAACCATGTCAAACGCATGTCAGAGAAAGCGGACAGCACCAATCCGCCTAACAAATGTAATGAAGCTAAGCGTCGCAATGGCGCTACACGCGGGAGCCCTCGATGCATTCCTTGTCGTGCAACATGCACCGCACGAGGTAATGGCTCTCCACGCACCGCGGTAAACCAACCAATCAACCGATCTGCATGAATTGGCGCAGTACGGAAAGTACTTAGCCGCAATGCCAAAATGCCAAATTGTGCCTCGTGATGTATGATGACTTGTGCTTAAACCCCTCGTTCGTGAACTAGCATGACGTGTGGGGCACGGACGTACTTCACAACACTACCATTGCAGGTAGGTGCTACCCAGGACGCAACGCCTCCTGGTAAGGTACCAACTTCAACCTTAGTGTGTGATCAAGGCAGGGCAATGACCCGGTGCATGGCTACTATGAGTGGCGAACAGACTTATTGAGCAGCACAAGGCTGTGAATGGATGACAGCGGAAAGGACACAGTTAACGAGAAAACGACCGATAACGTAGTAAGTCCCCTCCATCGCAATTCAATCCGGGCGCGCAAGCCCATTGGTTCGGTAATGTTTGAACTGCGGAGTTACTGGATCCAACCGCCAAGGCAAAAAACCGATACTTATTCAGAATCGGAAACGCTTCATGGCTGTCAACAAAGGCCGCTAGAAAAAGTCACTAACTCACAAATCACAACCACATCTGGCCACACTGCCACAGGCCCGTACCATCGATACCGCATCGTCTCCCCGTACACATGACGTGTAACGCATAAAGGGCAAGGATACACCGCCAGTGTGCGGCTGTAAGCGTAGCGACCTGCCAACCGTAATACGCACATCGAGACAACAATACGTCCTTTATTACCGTAAGCATCCCTTGGGGCACCGAAGTTGCATACCAACAAAAAGATCTCCTCAACATGGAGCGGATGCCAGATGAAATCGTCTTGACTTCCGGCACAACCTGCCACCGCGTTAACTCCACGTTAGCTACCGGTAGTACACATTGCAGTGTAGCCAGTAGCCAGTCAAAAAACACACACACGCAGTTTTCTTAACACGCGCACTATTGTGTTTTCTTAACACACGCACATTTATTTCCTGTCACAGCGCCCCGCCTTTCGGCGGTCCCTGATTGCAGGGTCCGGTCACGTTTGGGCTTATGCCTGTTTGTCATTGGCTCTGCCACGTGTTCACCACATGCCGCTTAACATACAACATCCCCGATTCATAATGCACACGACGAAGCCGCTTGCCTTCCCTCCTCTCCATCCTGCATGATACACACGTCTTAAGCCGACACGGCCTCATGGTCCCGGCACATTCGAGACCTCGCATATGCCTTGCATAGGCCATCAGTAGAGTCCCAACATACTACGGGTTATTAACGGGGGGCTACTCACCTTGCTTATCCGCCCACCGCACCACGCGTTACTGCAACCCTGCCACTTACTAACCCACCCGCATGACCAACATAAGCCACTGGCATTCCCAGTCGCATGGTTGCCAAGCATGTAAAACTTTCTACGTCTCTTACAAACCATGCAAACATAATCGCTAGTCATCACTGCAACGGCATAATCAACCGCCAAAAAAACCTTGGGCCCAAAGCACAGGTTTGCAGCCCGAAGGTCATAACGCAATAAGCTGTGGGGCTCGCGAGGGAGCGCAATAGTTGTTAAAACCTACTCCGAGCTACGGCCCTTACCCAGGCTAACTTGATGCGCCGCGCCTAGCGTAGCGCAAGCGCTAGCTGCAATGCCCAACTCCACGGCACGCGTCAACCATGCAGCGTACCATGTAGAGACTGTAGGGGCTGCTGCCATTCCTGCCATTGCTGCTGTACGGCTGCTGCTGCATCCTGGTGCCAAGGAAAGCAGGCCGCATCCCGTGCGGCCGGCAGCCCCGGCTGAAGGCCCCCAACAAGCGGAGCCATGTCGGCGCTACTCTGCAGAGTTGGGAGCCTCAAGACGCCGTTGCTGCTGTAACCGGCCCCATACAAACCCGATTGGGAGTTCTGTCCAAGTCTGCTCTCCAATCTGACACCAGGAGCCTCCAAACCCCAGCTCCTCGCGAGGTTTCCGCCATAAGGCACAGCCGATTCTTGATAGCCGGCTATGGCGGTGTATCCTGAAAGATCAAGCGCTTGCGGCGCTAAAGGAGCTGCCGAGGGACCCAGCATTGCCCGCATGTTAGGTCCTACGCTTGGCTGCATCCGTAGGAAATGGCCTTCCTCGCGGAAGCCCGCTTCTGGAAGCTGCGCAGAAGGCCGCCAATCGCCGCATGGCAAGCTTTCTGCAAACGAAGCACCAAAGGCTGGCTCAGCTTGCATGGCTCCAAGGGAACGCTGGGACTGCAGCGGGTGCATGGCCAGGTGTGCCGGCACGCCAGTGGATGTGGGTGCTGGCAGTTGCCCCGATAGCGTTACCGGTTCCGACGGTTGCAGTGCACTGGTGAACATCCGTGAATTAGCAGCGGGGCCACACAATGCCCCACTAAAGTCAAGCTCAAACTCCGGAGCCGCCGGTGCAGACCGCCACCGCTGCGGGCTCAGATCACCCCAGGCGGCCGGCTTTCCCTCCCTGCCAAAGGCGGACATGCCTGGTGACGGCAGCGATGAGCGGGATAGCGGACTGGGCTGTCGCTGTTGTTGCTGCCGTCGCAGCTGCCGCAACCGTTCATGATGCTCCTCAATCTCCTGCAACAGCGTTGGTTGCGGCCGCTGCGCCGGCTGCTGCTGTTGCCCGCTCCAAAGGTTGGGCGTGCCAAACGGGGAGGCACCGGCAGTGCTCGTGCTGACCGATGCATGCACACTGTCCATGGGCTCCGGGGTCCCAACCTCCACAGGCGTCTCCCCCAGTTCGAAAACTCCCCGTCCAAGCCAAGCCACCGTTAGCTGTGAAGCAGGAACATCGCTACCGAAGCTGCACGCGACTTCAGAAGGAGTGACCGCGGTTGCTGCCGTACCACCGGCGGTGTTGTAGGTACCGGCGACTTGGGCCACGAAGGCTGCCATGTCCAGAGCTTGGGCGCCTGCGCTTGGTGCGGGTTGGTAGGCTGATACCGCAATGGACCGCCCTGGAAGAAAGGACTGTGGCGCCTCCGCCAGGACCTCTTCGGGTGCAGCGCACATATCAACGGCTGCGGACGACTGAGCAGCAGGGTAAGGTAGGGACTCCATGGCAGTAAGGCCCGCGGGTGTAGCTGCGCCTGCTGAAGACGGGAAGCGGGAGGAGGTGGCTCGACCGGGGGCAGAGCTCGCCAGGTGTGGTAGCATGTAGACGCCAGAGACACCGGAGTTTCCACGGTCCAGGACATGGTCGAAGGTGTTTTGCGGCGATTGCGAGACTCCCAAAGCAATGCTGGCCACGTCACCCCCACACACAGCCCCAAATTGCCCAACACCTGCTGGTGTTGTGGGTTGCTGTGGACCGCTTGCCTCCATGGGTGTGGGGACAGGCTCCGACGACGCACCCTCGACACTGTTGCTTGCATCAGCAACTTGGAGGTGCTGCATGCCGTACACCGTAAGCAACGCCTCATCATTCGCGGCGCCCAAGGAATCCCGGTGAAAGCGGCTCCGCGCCAATCGCTTTTGCAGCTGCTCCTCTGCCCACTGCTGCACCTCTTGCGTCACCGGGGAAAGGGTCAGCTCTGACCCACATCCTTTTGTCACTTTAAATGCCTCTGACGCGGCCGGGACCGGCTGTTGTGGAGGAGGCGCAGGGAGGTCCAGGCGCTCCAGGATAACCCGGTATCGCCGGACGTTTTTGCTGCTGGCATGCAGCTGGGCTGCGGTAGGCGATGACGACGCGTGGGCTGTTGCTATGTCAGCGGCTTCACATGGCACCAGACGCGCGTGTGCCACGTGTGCAGGCTGGTTCTCGACTGCCGGAAGCCTCACCTACAATTAGTTCGGGATGCGCAAGAGGGCGAAGGTCAACCGCGTCACCTCCTGTGTTTCTGTTTCTTTACGAGACGACATGCACAACCTCTACCCAATTGCGACTGTACTTTATTAAAAAAGCAAACAATATATCACTTCGCCATGCCAACCAAACTTCACATGCAGCGCCGATACCGCGTGCAAAGCCAGCAAATGCTTACCTCGCTTGAAGCCAGTCTTGAAAGTGTATGCAGCTTAAAATTCCTGGGGGAGCCTGAGCTCTCGGCATAAGCGTCTGGTAGTCCTCCAGGTGAACCTGCACATATAATGTATATGTAATAGGTACATGCGTAGCTGGCAAATTCGGACGCTTTTCGCTAACAACAGGAAAAGGGTGCTGGCCGACGTTTCGCTGTTGACTTTAAGCTGGACCTAGTTAGGCCACCCCAGAGGACAGCCGGGGGGCCGCCTCAATTGGTTGATAAAGGCAGCATGAGAGAACTTACCATTTGTGGAAGCTTCTGAGCGGCCGGCATCTGTGAAAAGTGACGAGCTGGTTGATGGCCGCTGCCGCTTTCGTTCCATGCAACCTTGTATGCGGGCTTTCTGACGATATCAAGCGCCTTATCGAGCCTGCATAGATCAAAACGGACCCCGCTCGAGTAGTTCGCAACTATGCATGGACGGACATCGAAATAGACAGTCCAGTGCCGCAAGGATTTGTACATACCTTGCAAGGCACCAAGGACAGTGACATGACCTCTACGGAAACAACAAAACCATGTCCCACTATGCAGGGTTTCACCCCATTTTCCCTACTTACCGGTATACGACAGTGGACGAAGGCTGGGGTGGAAACCACCTCAACTGCAGATAGGTATATATATCCTCTCTCTAATCCCAGTTGCTCCGTTGCGTCTGGCGCTGCTCCCCGACTAAGGATACGTCATTGCTACGGCATAGCTCGCAAAATTGTACTTCACGGCATTCACCGGTATGCCATTCCAGACACGCGAATAAAGCTGTTATGGTATTCTAAATGCGGTGTAATTAGCCTAGCCAGAAGCAAAGAAACGTAAGTCCGACGTGGCTACTAAGATGTTTGGGTTTCTCACACCGCGATTCCAAGTTTTGCCTGTGGGTCGTCAAGGCCTCCGCGCACATAGGTCTTCATGGTCAGTACTTATGGTCACAGTACTTACTCGCTGTCAAGCAGCGTCTGGAGTGGTACACCGTCCACCTTGCGCACTGTGTGATAGCATGAGAACAACGTGGTTACAGGGCACATACAAAGCAAAGGGAATATGTTATACATGGTAACGGCGAAGGAGGCGTGGAGGAGGGAATACTCAGAGCTGTATGTACCTTGCTCGCTGTGTATTACAGACTTGTGACTCATACAGCATATCTGTGTTGGAAAGGCACACACGCGCACACATGGATTTTGTACATGAACGACAACACTTAAGTTGTTAAGCATATAGGGCTCAGACAGTTAAAAAGGGTTAACTACTCGAGCTATTTATGTCCTATCCATGAGCCTCCCGGCGCATCTGGGCCTTACGAGCCTTAAGCTTGTAAGGTTATAATCACCATCATCATCAGCATCGTCATCACATCTTGTGTGCGTAAACGCATCAGAAGGGCAGACCTATGAAACCCAAATGCGTGCCCAAATACATTTCGTGGTAAGAAACAAGGCCCTGTTACCTGTGGGCCGTACATGGGTGCAGTACAAGTTTTCAGCACCCTTTCATCATACCAGCCCCTAATCCTCTGGCGCCAGTAGCTGAACACCTGGAAAACTGTTAGCCACTGCAACTTGCAGGATGACACCGCAACCCTCCTTGGGCTTGACGCGTGTGTCCTAGCACCTAGCCCCTCGTTCCGAAAACACACACACACACAAACACCAAGCCAAGCAAGAACCCCTACCCCGCGCTCCAGACCGCACGTCAGCACTGCAGCCGGCCACTCCCCTGCCGCAAAGCCTGGAGGACTCGCCCATCGCTCAGGTCTACCCGGACTGCGCCTGAGGCAGGCGGCCCCTGCGCCGCAATCGCACCGCTGCCGCCCGCTTGGAGGCCCCTGGCATCGCTGTTGTGGACCGAAACCCGAGGGTGAAGAACCCCTGATGGCCCCAGTCTGTTTGCGCCATAGCCATGCGGCGGCTGGGGTGGCTGCGACGTCTGGGCTGCATGTTGCCGCGGTGGCGCCGCGGCGAAGACGCCGATTGTCAGCGGCTGGGGTGGCGGGGGTGGCGAGGGTGGCGGGGCCATAGAGCGGTATGCCGTGTTTGGGAGTTCGGAAGAGGTCTTGGCGTTGAAGCGATGTAGGTGTGAGGCGGGCTGTTGATCCTGCCCATGGCCGTGCCCCTGACATGGGGAAATCGCAAGGGGAGGTGTGTGAGTCGGTTGGAAAGCTGCAGCGAAAGCGGAATGAGCACAGAATTTCCTTCTTGGCTTCACACGTAAGGACGTAACCCGTCAACAATACCGGTAAGCTCCGTTTACTTTCAAACGTAGTCGTTACGTTAGCTGGCAGCAAAGAGCCATTCACCCATGCAGCCATGTTGCGCCGCACGCAGCCCTACCCACCGGCAGCCACACCAGCGTGGCATCATCCTGCCTCCGCCCCTCCGGGTGGGAACCGTACGCTTGCATCGCGCTGTGCAAGCAGGCCGACCCAGATCCCATGCCCTGTCCCTTCTGTTGCTGCTGCACCTGCTGCGGCTGCTGCTCCCGCCTGCCTTCCAAGCCCGCCTGAGCAGCAGCATCCCTGCAGGGATCCGCTGCAGGCGGCGCCAGCCCCGTCAGGCGCACCGTGAACTCCACACCAGCCCCACCGCCCAAAGGAAGCACGCCCACCACACCCGGCCCGCCCGCCACAAGCCCCGAATCGCCTGTTCCTGCCCCGGCAGCTCGACCTGACGTTAGCGGGGCGGTGACACGCGGGCCCGTAGCTGGCTGCTGGGGCCTGCCGTTAAAGGAGCCACCCCCGTCGCCGCTGGAATGCCTGCTACCGTTGCTGCTGGAGCCTCGCAGCTCCCACCGGCCGCCGAGGGTGCTATCAGCGTGAGGGGACGCCATGTCCACCAGATGAGTGGCGGCTGATGACCCACGGGTCCAAGCTGGCTGCATCTCTGCAGCTTGGAGGTGGGAACCGGCGCCAGGACGGGCACGGGAGGACGGGTGCTGGTCGTGTGCAAGATGTTGCTGATATTGGTGCTGCTGCTGCTGCTGCTGCGACAGTGTTGGGTCAGAATTAGGTGGCGGACGCTGCGGGTGGCTCGGGACAGCCGGCTGTCGCTGCTGCTGTTCGTGGGAGGCAGGTGGCCAGGACGTTGCAAACGGGAGAAACCCCTGCTGGCGGCTGTTGGATCCCTGGGGCCCATGCCCATGGAATCCAGATGGGAGGAACCCCTCCCTAGCTGCGGCTGAAGCTGCTGCTGCATGCGTGGGTGGTAGCTGGGGTTGTTGCTCCGGTAGTAGTGGTGGAGCAGCGGCCTGGCCATAGCTGCCGTTGCCATCGCCACCACTCTTGCTGCCGAACCAAGACCCAGGCGGACCAACACCTTGACCTGCACCACCAGCACTGCCGCCGCCGCCAGCAGCGGCAGCAGGGGCGGCTGTGTGCACCGCGAAAAAGGGCCCGGTGGCGAATGTGAACTTGTGAGAGTCTTGCCGTTTCCATGCTGCCGCATCAGCTGCTTGGCTGAACAGCAGGACTGGCTGCCCGGTCGAGGACAGCTCATGCGGCCCTTGTTGCTGGGTGGAGGAGGTAGGAGCTCCTTCTCGTGGCGACACAGGGGGACCTGCTGAAACGAACGTCGTCGGCCCAGTGATGATGACCTGCCACAGGGCGAGACATCGTGCGGTACAGGTAGTTAAATGTCCATCAGTTTCACTGGAGCTTCTAATGGAGATTATACAGGGTCATAGTTTATAGAAGTATGCGCAGGGACCGTGGCTGACAGCCGTACAACGCGGCTACACGGGGGCCTTGTCGTACAGGAACCCGGGCCCTGTGTGCTCGCCCCTGGGAACCCAGCCAGGGCGGAAAGCCCCATTATGCTCTTACCTGGATGGCCGGCATGCCAACTCGCTCCGCAGAGACCACAGTCGGCGCCCCTTGCGTCAACGTTAGCCGCCCTACAGCCGGCCCAGAAACCGCAGCAGCCGCGTCGCCCGCGGCCGGATGCGCCAATGGAGGTACGACAGCCGCGCTTGCAGCCGCAGCTACTGGCAGTGTTGGGTGCAAGGGTTGCGGCACCTGAGGCGCAGCTACAGAGTTGAGCGCCGTGGGACGAGGTTCTTCCTCTGCTGGCCGCCGCATTAACCGGTTATCCTCAATGGCCAACGAGCTTGGAAGCCCCGATGAGGCGTTCACAGCCGATGGTGACCCATGGGTCTCTTTGGCCACGTTGGGGACGTCTGACGGCCCTTGTTGGCGATCCACGCGTTGGAACTCATCTTGGCTGCTTGCAAATGACGGAGGTAGCTGCGCATTCGCTGATAAAGTCTTGGCGCAAGGTAACAGGAGGGCACGGTCAGCGCTCTTGTCCGCGACTGCTTTCTGTTCCCCCAATTCCGACCCAAGCTGCACCGAACCCGGCTGCATGCTGCCGGATGCGTCGCCCGCCCTTGCAGCCCCCACGCTCCCACGAAGCGCTGCCAAGCTCCCGGCGTGTTGCAATCTCGTGGCTGTTGCATCCGCTGTAGCACCCCCTGCAGCATCCGCGCCTTTCTCATGCTTCGCCACACCGGCGGTCACACCAAGTGCTCCGCAGAGCACCGCTGCCGCAGCACCATCTGTTTCCAGGGACTGGTTGAGAGCCCCGCTGCCAGTCACCGCACCCACAGCACTGCACAACCGCTGCTGTTCCGTGTTGGCCGCACCGCCGCCGCCAACCCCTGCAGCGGTAATGTCATCGACAGCTGCCGCAGCCGTGAACGGTTGCATTGAGGCCGCCGCTCCAGCGGCGTTCCACCCTGGCAGCAGCGGGTTGTCGACTGTGATACTCACAGCGGACACTAGATCGTAGGCGTGGACGCGGCCAGCTACCCCTACTGCCGCTGCATCGCCGTCCGGGGCTGGGAGCGGCGTCCTGTTGCGATTCCCGCCTTTGCTGCAGCCGCGTCGCGACGGCTCAGCACTGCCGCCGTCATCGCTCCCACCATCCTCCCAGTCGTGTTGCCGCTGCCGGTCCTTGTCCGCGGCGCCTCTCTGGCCGATCCTTGTTTGCCGCTGGTCGTAGAAATGGCGGCGGTCATGGTGCGAGTGACACAACTTATGCTCCTTATGCTCCGCCACGTGACGGTGCGCTGGAGAGCACCCGCGCCCGCGATAGCGCCGCTCCCCTCGTGGTGATCCGCCTGGGCTCCTGTCACGGCGGCTGCGGCTCCGGCGGTGCCTATGCGGGCTTGCGGCAGCGGGGCTTCGGGGATGCCGGCTGGCCGTGCGGGACCGCCCACCCGTATCCATGCAACCGCGTTCCACACGCCGCGAAGCTACCCGCCTTCCCTCCCCGTAGTCCCCGCGTGCAACACGCCTCACAAACTCCTCCTGCACACGCGCCCCAACGCCCGGCGGCAGCGGCTGCGGCGACTCCGCTCTCCACAGCCGCCTCGGCGCTACCCACGCCGGCCCTGGCGCGGTAACCTTGTACGCGCCCCTGGGCGTCAGGGGCCGCCGTGCCTCGCCTGGCGACCGGGCCCCAAGCGCCACGTCCTCCCCCCCGCCGTTAACGACACCCAGAGCAGCAGCCTCGTCGCCGCCCTCCAGCGCCGCCGCTGGCGGGGCGAATGGCGAAGCGGTTGCGGAGGCTGCCAGGAGGTGGCCGCCGCCTCGCACGCCCAGAATGCGGTCCGTCAGGTTGGCCTTCAGCAGCCAGTACAGTGGGTCGGTTTCGCTGCTGGAGGCGCATGAGGAGGGCGAGGGGGGAGGCGACGAGGAGGAGGAGAAGGACAGGCGAGTTCTCCGGATGGCGCCAGGGCGGTCTGACACACCCTTCTTGCTAGTCGGGGTCTGACCAGCAGCAGGCGGCGAGGCAGCTGTCCCACGACCTCCTCTGCGGTCGACATCCTCGTGGTCCCCGCCGCCTCGGTGCTTTGCCGCTGCGGCCTGCCTGGCCCCATGATGAGAGTCATGGCCGTTCTTGGGCAGCGGCCGAACTCCCGCAGCCTGCGGGGAGCTGTGGAACACCGCGGGCGTGTTGGAGGGGTCGCGAGCACGGCCGGGGCTGCGTCCGAGGGTAGGTTGCGGCTGTGGTTGGCCTGGGGGCTTGGAGGAGCCGCCGCCGGCGCCTGTAGCCCGTTCGTTTGCCTTGTGGGCCTGGGGGCTAGTGTTGCGTTCCTGAGGCGTGCCGGCACTGTGAGGCAGCCCCCCCGATGCTAGTCTAGAAGGGCTGCGCATGGGGTTACCACCAGCAGCACGCGTCTGTGCGGTCTGCGGCGGGCCAGAGACCGAGCCGGACGCAACCTTGTTCAATGGCTTTCGTTGTGGTGACTGCATGCTGTTCGCGGCGCACGCCCTTGAGTGCTGTGGTGTGTTGCGTTGCCTTAGCTGCGGCTCCTCCTCCTGCGCATGGCCCTCCAGCCATCTCCTTACCGCTGCGGGTGGGGACTGCGACCGCCGCCAGACCTCAGACTGCTGAAGCAGCCGCTGCTGCGATCGTGGCTGCGGCGGCGGAGAGGGTGATGCTGCCAGCCGTTGCTCCCCCTCTGCCTGCTGCATGCAAGGTTCAACACCAGCAGCTCCCGCTTGCCCCTTGTTGCCCTGTTGCCGCCGCCACCGCAGCTCCTGTGGAGGCGCAGCCGGTAGCAATGGCGATGAAGGAGACGGGGGCGCGGCCGGCTCCGGCCTGGCTGCGGTTTGCTGGACTACCGGCATTTCACTGGCGGGGGCGGGGGCGGACCATGCTGCGCGTGCTGCGGCAGCCAGCAGCCCGGTGGCTCCCGGTTGCATGGGGACTGCATGGGGGCTGCTTGCGGCTGAGCCTGACGCCTGCAACGCCCTGCCCTTGGCAGCCTTTACGGCATGGGATGCTTGGGGTTGGTAGGCATCCGGTGGCACCGCGCGGTCTTCACCAGGGACCAAAGCTGATGGTGCTGCGTAAGAAGAGGCGTAGGTGGGTACGTCCCTGGGGGTGCGGCCAGGGGCGAAGCTGGCAGCATCCGCTGCTGCGCCCGCTGCTCCAGCTTCCAGGGGTTGCGCCTGGACAGCAACCGGCTGCGCGCTGTGCTGCAATGCAAGTTGTGCAACGGTGCCGCCCGCCGCAGCTAATAGCTCTTGTGGCGACGAGACCCTGGCGCTTTGACTGGAGGCCGTGGCATCTCCTCCACCCGCCAATCCAGCGTGCGACCTGCGTGCGTCGCCCGCCTTGCAACTAGCCGCTGCACCGCGGGTTCCCCCAGTAGTTTTAGCCATGATCACACGGTTCCCGTCGCTTCTGCCATTCGCACCCGCACCCGCATGCTGCTGCTGCTGCTCTTGCTGTTGCAGCACCGCCGCTGACGCTGAGGTTCCGGAGACGCGCGCCGCCTCCAATGAGCTACCTTGTGTAGAGCGGCATTCCTCCGCCGGGTATGGCGCGACCGCAGCCACCTCCCTCGTAGGACTTATCAGCCCTTGTTGCAGCCCAGCTCGCCCCTCGTCCACGGCCGCAACTGCAGCAGCCGCTGCTTCGACAGCCGCTGCAGCGGCAGCCGTCACGGAGGAGCGCGCAGCTGGCGAAGCTCCGCCATCCAGCACATACACGACCGTGTAGGAGCGCCTGCGGCGAAGACGGCGCTGGAGGTGGTCTGGGCTGGTGCCCGGCTGCCCGCCTTTGCTGCAGGTTTCAGCAAGAGCGCTGCTGACGCTGCCTGGGGTTCCCTGGCCTGTTGGCGCCGGTCTGATCCTACTCCAACTTCCAGACCTACAAGAACGGTCGCTGTCGCTGTCACTTTCGGCGCTGCTGCTGCTGTCCTTGTTGCCATTGGGGACGTCACCCCTACTCCTAACAGAACGCGCTGGTGTGTCAGAGGCTGCTTTCGTTGTTTCCACAGTTGCTGCTGCTGGTGTAGCTGCGTCTGGGCGGATTGTTTGGGACGGAGGAGGGCTTGCGGCGAGGCTCGGTGCCGGAGACCCGCTGCGTGCCGCCGTGGCCACTGCAGTTGCAGTGGCGGTATGACCTGCAGAGCCAGGAGAAGAGCGAGCCTCCTGCGCCTGTCCTGACGGTAAACCAGGCGAGATTCCTGGATAAGATGGAGGCGGTGGCCCGTACGATGCTGTATGTGTTGCGTTTGGCTGCCATGGTTGCGCTCCCGCCGGCTGCTGTGCTGCTTCAAGTGATCCCGGCACGGTATTGCCGGGCGACTTGTGGGCAACGTCAACGTCGTGGTGATGCTGCCGGTTGAGCGGGAGCTCTATAAGGGCAAGCCCTGCTAGCTGTTGCTCACGGCCTAGGCGTGCAGCTTGTACGGCTGCAAGATGTGCACGCCAATCGAAGCCCGCGGTCCGTTGCGGGGGCAAAAGCGAGGAAGATGGCCCTTGAAGCCGCACCCCCGATATTGAGCTGGCCTCAGCCCATTGGTTGTCATATGGAGCTTGCGGGTGCATCGGTACGACCTTTGTCCGCGGCGGGTCAGGAAAGCCTAAAGGGCGACACAGAAGAAACAGCACGGAAAGAAATTTCTATAGTTATGCATCTATAGTTATGCAACAACGCATATTAAAGGCAGGATGCCATAAGCGGCCCACGGCTTCGCACCGTTAGGATTGACGGGACCAAAGGCCTCTACATGTTGCCAAATCATTCTCTCTTAAGCGTTTACTGCCCAGCCAGGTAGCCGCACATAGTGTAACAATAACGAAGTTTTACCGTTTCTGCTCTAGCAGCGAGTCACAGTGCTCTTATTGCGTCAGCTGTCGTAAGGACTTGAATTGCATTGTACTTTTCTGCGGTTAAGGCTTCTCCTCCCTCCTTGTATTGCACATACATACTGCTCTATTATTTATATAAACTGGCCACTGCTCCAAGCATATAACGTCAACCCTAGCTAAAGCGAAGTACTTCTGTGTAAAAGCCCTTCACCTTTTGCAAACTACGTGAAAGCATAGTGCTTATTACAATGCAAGTTGCTCAGCTATCCCTAGGCGGTGATGTGCGCTTCAGCAGACTTTACCTACCTGAACGGCCAAGGGACCTCTATCGACGCATACGCACAGGCGCCCAGCAAACGCGCGGCTTAAATGTGAAAGCATCTCCCGATGACATTCTCAATGCGTCCCAAGCAGCGCAAGCGGCGGATGTCCTCCTACAGCACGGCCCACAGGCTTGGAACGCACCAACCGTGGGTCCGCCTGAAGGGGGACCGCATGGCACACACCAGGAGATACGTTGCACCCTGACAGGCCTAGACGGCGTAACTTGCATGATAGAGGAGGTACCTGACGAAGAAGTGGTTGAAACCAACACATCAGCCAGCTCGTCGACTACTCCTGTTGAACCGGGGTTGTTGTCAACATTGACAAGCGCAGCAATCCTTATATCGCCATTCTTCTTTTGGGGAACATCTATGGTCGCCATGAAGGTGCGATGCTTAACGTGTGGCCAATGCTGCCGGCACTATCTCGCCGCTTTCCTCTCAAGCGAAGCGTAACGTCGGTAATACTTAAGAGATAACTACCGGGTTCTATCCACGGAACAAAGCTACGCCTAAGCGAGGATTGAGGTGTAACCATTGTCATGCTGCCTTTGGCTACAACTTGCATGACGACGCCATGGCTCCTTTCCTCCTCTTCCCCGACCCAGAGTGTGGTTCCTCACACAACTCCACTCCTGCTTGGAGCTCTTCGGCTGCTGCCAGCGGGCGTGGCGCTGGTCGGATGGGCCGCCGCGACTGGCCGTGCGCAGCCCGCCACCCTGAAGGCCTGGAGCTGGGTGTTGGCGTTTGCGTTGGTGGATGCTGCAGCCTTCCAGGTATGCCTCGTGTCCCATTGCGCAATTGCGTGGGGGGATGTGACGTCAAACAACAAGTACCGCCCACTTTGCGTCATTTTGGAATGTCTCCAAGGGCATCTCACACTCCCACATCGGCTTGAGTACGGCCGGCTTTGCAATCCCAAGCGACCCAGCAGCCGGTCCCAAACATGTACTCCACATACGGCACCTGAACGCAGCCATTAGCCCAAAGCCTACAAGGGCCTTCACCCTCCGCTCACTCCATCTGCCCTTCCTGCCCCAACTGCCTTTTCGACAGGGTTTCCTTGCGGAGGGTCTGACCAGGACCAGCGCTGGCCTGGGCAGCGTCATCATCGACTCGCAGCCGCTGTCGGTCGCGCTGCTGGCAGCACTGCTGTTCGGCGAGCGCCTCAGCTCAGTGGGCGTGGCGGGCCTGCTGGTGGGGGTGGCGGGGCTGGCCCTGCTGGAGGCGCCGGAGGAGGGCCTGGTGGAGGCGGCGCAGCAGCTGCTGAGCGGCGCCTGGCGGCCGGAGCTGCTGCCGCCGGGCGGCCTGCAGGGGTTTGACGGTGCCGGGCTGCTGGGCAGCGGGGAGTTCTGGATGCTGCTGGCGGCGCAGAGCATGGCGGTGGGTGGGGCTGAGAGACGCAGCCGGTCGACAGTGGGCAATCTGGGATGCAAGGGAACACACATCGTGTTCCGTCACGTTGCGTGGGAAAATCTTACCTCTTCTACAGCGCAGAAAGCAACGTTGCCATGGTATGTATGCTCATTGGTTCCCTTGCCCGTGTGCCCGGCTTACACTATCCCCTACTGATCCCGTGCCACCTGCGCATGCATGTCACATCGAGCCCAGGTTGGGACGGTGATGGTGCGCTACGTCACACGCCATTGCGACCCCATCATGGCCACCGGCTGGCACATGATTATAGGAGGCGCCATCCTGACTGCGCTCGCAGCGACCCATGGGTCGGCGGAGCCAGCCACCGCAACCGCGCTTTCCTCCCCCTTAACATCTCTGACCTCCCAGCTCTCACATCTGACGCTGGAGGACGCCCTGTCCATGTCGTACGTCTCCATGATGGGCGGGGCTCTGTCGTACGGCGTCTTCTTCTGGAACGCGAGCCACGGCTCCCTAACCGCGCTGAGCAGCCTGACCTTCCTGACGCCTGTGTTTGCCTCCGTTGCGGGTTACTTGGCTCTGGGAGAGGTGCTGAGTCCTGTTCAGCTGCTGGGTGGGGCGGTGACGCTGTCCGCCGTGTGGTGCATCAACCACCAGCCGCATGGGACGCAGACTGCGGATGCGTCGAAGGCTGAGGGACGCGCGGGTGGGCAGTAGCGGCTGACTCTCATGGAATGAGCGTCGGCGGGATCGGGGTTGCAGGGAAGCTGGGAGCCCAACTGCCCAAGGCCTCACGAGGGCGGTGAAAGCGAGCATGTTTTTACGTCATGAATGAGAGTCGTGTTTGTTAATGTTCTATGCGTATTATCTGTCTGCGGCTAGCGGAGAGGTACCGGTAACCAGCGGCATTGGAGCGAACCAGGAGAGGGTTGCGCAGACTGTCTACATGGTGAGCGCCATTATTCAAAGAGCTGCTGAGCTGTTATTTCGTGCTTTCGTCTTCAGAATGGTGGAAGAGCCGAGAGCCCGTATGCATTGCCAAGTTGCTATGTCGGATGCCAGGACGAGCACCCAGGATGTGACAAGGTGCTAGTATGAATGCAATCAAGAGGTTAGGACAACGTCGTGGTCACTGTAGCGGCAGCCTCTGAGAGTCTTTGAGAGAGGAGCGTTGCAGTGCTCGTTGCAAGTGTTGGTTAATGTTGTCGTCGTCGGCGCGGTTGGCCGGTAGTTGCTTGACAACAGCAGGAGAGTGCTCCTAGTAGCGTGCCCCTCTAGCTGCTCTTGGGAGATAAGAGTTTGTGCGGTACGTGGTCAAATTTTTTTCGTTTATCGGTTACGTTCGTTGTACGTGTACGTTCATTGTACGGTGTTAGGGTCAAGGTTTGTGGTTTGTGTCCTTGCCTGCTAGGTGTGCCCCCGAGTGACCTGAGAGAATTGTTTGTTGGAGTGGCTTTTTGTTGGACCTAAGCCCATGTTCATATGGATGGGTTATCACCCTCGAAGCTTCGACAGCGTGGCAGGCGGCCTATACACCTCTTTATCTTGCCATAAGAGCACGTGGGTGCCTATGTTGTTAGCACAGGGGAAGCACCTGCCAGAACGCTTACTTCGTACCCGTTGAAATGGCAATTTGTAAGTACACTCCGCAGACATACCGGTATTGTATCAGACGGATAGCGGCCACTGCATGCAGCCTTACAAAATCGTCAGCTCAGGCATCTCCGGAGAGTCTTATGCAAGACCCAAAATTGTAGCATGGAGATGCTATCGAGAGTCACCTGGATCCGAAACCCGTCCAATGGCCCTGCATCGGAACAACCTGCAGGCTACCTTCCCAATGACAACGCTGAAACCACGAGTCCCTTCAATTCATTTGAATTTCAACCCAGCCCACAAGGCCGGCCACATACCGTATGTGCACATTTCCAACTGCCACCAAGCTCCCAGCAAACCCTCAAAACCATGCTTCCAACATGCAACACCACCAACCACATTGCAGCGTAGTCCGCCTGCTCTGTCCTGAGGAAAACGGCACGCCTAGGCTGCAAGGAAGCAAGCAACGGCCGTGCCAATTGATAACCGCCATGCCTACATGCCGACGCCTATACCATTTACTTCATCTGGGGCTGGAAGATCTCTGTCACCTTCTCAAGCACCTGCAGGTCAGGCGGTTGCGGGCCGGAAGGTTACAAGTTTACAACGGTCATGAACTCGGGGCTGCAAGCAGAGTTTACAGGCACTTAACCAGTACTGCACAGGCCATTGCAAGCAAGGACGCAGCCCCGCGTCAAGACTGACACGCTCCATACACCGTACATACTACAATCGGCCCCTTTACACATGCCTTTCTTGGCTTGTCACAAGCCTATACTGCCTGATCCATGCGATGACCTGGGTCACTGCATGCCACGCACTCTTACCTTCATGATCTCCGGGTCCGTCTGGTACTTCATGATGTTCATGGGGTTGGCGGAGATGTCGATGATGGCGGCCTGCACCTTGGGGTTGGAGAAGCCGGCCGCGAGCTCGGGGTTGGCCATGACCTTGGAGATCACATCCTCGGGCTTCAGACCCAGCTCCGCAAACTGCTTGTTGACCTTGTCCTGGTTGAAGTCCATGTTCTTCATCATGTCCATCATCTGAGGCGACATGACGTTCTGCGGGGCGGAGGGAGGGAATGGAATGCAAGGAGGAGGTTAATGGCCACGGTCCGATGTGATGCTCAAGTACAGGTAGCGTGGATGGTGCGCCGTGAAGGGGATTAATCCAGGCAAGGGGAGAGCAGCATCCCGCGGAGGGCACGGGCGATGGCGCGCCTAGTGCCCTAAACCCTGCAGTCTCTGCCTTTCAGCAAAGCTTACGGCATGCTCAGGCATGCCTGAAAAATGTAACCAGCCATGTTGCACGCGATGTCGTTGTACAACACGCATTGCTAATGCAGTCACGCTGTCTGCAGAGGCTGAACCCTCACTGGTGCCCCCGAGATCCATGCGGGCGCGCACGCTCCACGGCTCCCACCTCGCCCCACCCCACCTGCTGCGCGAACATCTGCTCCATCTGCTTCTTGACCTCGGGGTTGCTGAGCATCCACTCGATGGAGGAGGGGTTGCGCATGGGCTCCGGCAGGTAGGGGTACAGCATCTTTTGCATCTCGGGGTTGCGCAGCATGCTCTCCATCATCTCGGACATGGCACCGCCTGCACGGGAGGAGAGGCAGGTGGAGGGCAGTAGCAGCATGTGGGCAACACGGCAGCAGGAACGGTCAGGAAGACGGCAATAGGAGCGCTTAGGAAGAGATGGACGGGTCAAGACAGACCGAGATGTTAACTGTCGCTTGGTGGTGTGGTTGATGGTTGGAATGAAGAAAGATCGGCGCTAGGAAAAAGCTTGCGTGGTAGGTGCATGCGTCGCCGGGCGTTTGCTTATTCCACCCTTGTAGTGCATAAGAGGTCCTGCGCTGGTTAGGCCAGCCTAGCTGCATTGGAAACGCCTATTTACCCTTCCGGACCAGCGGAGCCCGAGCTGCCACTGTTGCTTTTCACGGCTACGAGAAGCCAAGGTGCCATAAGATCCTCCCTGGAAAAGCCATGATACCATAACAATCATGCCCCCCACACTTAAGCTGGCCTGCCCGCCAAGTCACCGCACCGCTGCCAACGCACCACTGCTGACAACGAGTAACCCCCCCTCCCCACTGACGTAGCTCAGCTCCCATACTTCCATAGAACCCATCCTGCCAGCGTCCTACGCTTTCCCTGGGCAAGCCCGGCCCGGCCCTGGGCAGCAGGCGACCCCAACCTGCCAACCACCCGGATGTGGAGTGTCGTACCTTCTCCGGCGCCACTGCTGGCGCTGCTAGATGCGGAGGTGCTGGCCTCTGCGTCCACGTCGGCGAAGAAGCCGGAGCGGGGCTTGGCCGCGCCCGCCCCGCTGCTGCTGCTGGCTCCGGAGCCGCTGGCAGCTGGCTCCTTCACCTCCGGCTCCTGGAGGGCGGAACGGGTAACAGGAGTTGCGACAGCGGCACGGACAAGGGAGGGATGCTGAGGAATCACGTCACAGCGATGCTAGAGAAGGGGATTGGGGAAAGGCATGGGCAGCGGTGTGTCGTCCAGCTAGGGAGGGGCGGGAGTTATAAGGGGGTGCGGAGAAGCCGGGCCAGGCCTCAAGCTTCGGGTGAGCTGTCTGAACGAATGCTACAAGGCCAGCACCCACTAGCCAACCACCGACGGAACCCCCAGATGCCAAGTTTGTTCTCGGTTTTGCGCGGCGCCTCCCACGTCTCCTCTGTCCATCTAAGCACGCTGCAATTGCCACCTACAGCCTTTCCCTAATGAGTGCCAATTCCTTCTCTGAATGGGTGTGGTACGCATCATCCCCTAGCTGTGCTCTGCACGTCCCTCCACTCTCACCACGACATCCAAGGGCTTGCTGGCAGCCGCCTCGGGCTTGCGTGCATCACGACCCTCGCTTGAGAGCCGCGACGCAAACTTATCGCCCTTCCGCGAATCGCCATTGCTAGCGCTGTTCTCCGAGGAAGCGGAGGTGGAGGGCGTGCTAGGCACCGCCGAGGCCGTGGTATCCACGGTGGCAGTCGGGGCTGCGGCAGCGGCGGCCGCAGCGAAGTTGGCGAAGGGGTTGGCGGCTCCGGCCGCGGGGCCGCCGAAGGGGCTGGCGGCTCCGGCTGCGGGGGTGCCGAAGGGGCTGGCATCCCGCAACGGCAGTGGCGAGGAAGGGCAGAAGGCGGATGAGGAGTGGACAAGGCAGACAAGGGTTCAAGTACGGATGCCTATGTTTCGCAGCAGATGAAATATGTGATATGCCTGCGAACCCATACGCGCCTCACCTGGGCGCCGCGCCGGGCGTTTTCCCCATAGCGCCCGTCATCTGCTTCATCGCCATTTCCATCATAATTTGCTGTGGCGTCTTCGGGTTCTTCATGAACTCTTGAACCTACACGTTCGATTTTACGTGTTATAGAAACTGCATAAGAATATGTAAGAGCTAGTGACTAACCTTCGCCAGCACTTGTCCGAGAATCACACCAGCGCCAAGCCAAATCCACCATGGTGCGCCCGATGCCGCAGGCTCCTCCTTATACGCGGGAGGAGGTGGGGGATAGTATGCCGCTGGGGGTGCTGCCATGTAGTAATCCTGGCGAGGCACCGGCATACCCTGCAGAAAACATTGCGACGCTTTAAGTGCGCACGGAGATATCGATCAGTCGTAGGGCGCAACGAGAATTGTTGAGGAACAAGTACCTGATAGTATTGAGGGGTGGGGGGCATCATATAAGTGGCAGTCGTCTCAGGTACCGGTGCGACCGGCACCGGTGCAGGCGCAGCTGCTGCCTCAGCTGGCGCTGCAACCGTTGGCTGCTGATCACCACCTGCGAATCAGTATTGGCGTATTGAAATCCCACTCCTATTGTGATAATTGCCTGCGGCGCAAGTCTGAGCTTTCGCCAATTGCATGTTACGCAGAGGAATAATAAGCTAACCTGTCGTTGCCTGACATCTAACCCTCAAGCCAGAGACCGGACGAGGCGCAAGGCTGCTAACGCGCCCGATGCCCCGTGGGGCCGCAGTCCGTGTGCAAAGCATATTCCCTCTATCCAAAGCTCACGAGCTTTTCCCGGACTATGTAGATGCTCGTCGAAGGACCAGCCTGTGAAAGTGAACAGACTGCAAGCGGTATCGTACTTGCCGTACCGAAATACAGCGCAAGGCTGGACTTGCAACCTAAACTCCGCTTCAGGTCATACCACGTGCTTGGGGTCTAGGTGACCGGATTACCCTACCCATGCTTTAAGATTGCCTTTTACAAGCCTGGGGCTCAACTTGCGGCGAGCGCGCCCACGATCGCTCCGTACTACTTTACTAGACTTGCGCTCTTAGGCCCACCATACGTCCTTCTGGCACAAGGTACCGCTAGGTTGCCTGGGGAAATTTAAGCCCGCTCCAACCCGCGCATAAACTACGAATGGAGCGTTCCAACCTGTAGTAGTTGCACCTTGCTACTCAAGTGCAAGGCAGCTGGGCCTCTGTGATTAGCTCTTGGGTGGACTTGCGGCTTTTGGCAGGACTGATGTCTACGCAAGAGGAGGTCCAGCAGCAGGACGGTAAGAGGGCAGGGTCGGCTGTTTGAAGCTTGTAGAATTACTATTTACATGTATATCCATAGCCGAGCTGCCGCTAATTCATTGCACCTGGCCGCGCGTGAAGTAGAGCGAACTCGCTGATGTTGACTCGCCGCAGACCGTTACCGAACCGCCGGTCCACCTTTCCAAACTATCATGCCATGCAGACGCTCCTGAGGTGCCTCTGCGCACGCTCAATGAGTTTTCGATCCACAACGTTAGCGCTGGGAACGCGCCGGTTAGCCTCGATGCCCTTCATACGCTGCCGCCGGGTAGCGTTGTTGCTGTCGGCTATGCACCACCTGTTGATGGGCAGCCTAATACGGGTAAGTCCACGAATTATCGTGCGAGCGTCCTGAGCCTTATTCTGACTGGCTCGCGGCTGCCGCGTCCTGTGTACAGGCAACCAGAAATTTATCGCGCTCCAAACCCAGCCCCTGCTTGACTGGGTCATCCAGTATGGCGCAACCCCCGGCGTGTGGATCTGCACGGAGAAAGCATGGTAGGTGGGGTAAAGGCACGGCAGTAGGGCCACAAGGCGTGAGGCGCTGGAGAACTCAGTCAAGCGCCCCCATGGCCCCATCCCAAAATGTACTCCACGTGCTCTCTTCGCTCTCTTACTCACTTCCCTCTCACCATGCACACGCTCCATGCAATACCAGGTTCCGGCTGCAGAACCCCTCGGCAGCCTACGCGCCCGTGTACGCAGCCACGCAGCGGAAGCTAGACTTCTGTCTGCGCGCCGCCAGCTGCATAGCGGCCGTTCCTAACGTGAACCTCCAAGGCGCAGTCGCGGCGCTGTTGCAGCCAGGCCATCAGCCGGGCGCCAGCCAGAACACATACAGCGCTGAAGACCTGAAGCAGGAAACGCCCTTCTTGGTTGGACAGCTTGTCGCCTGGATCAAGGTAAGGCCGAAAGGTGTAAGACGAGACTGATGGTGCTAGTAGCCAAACCCGGACTGTAGCGCTGAGGATATGAAAAGCACTCGTCCTGTGTCCCTGAAAGCTCACGTGCGGCGTGCCCTACAATTCACTGCTTTGCACGTCTACGTGCGTTCCGTCTTTGGGGTGTTGCTGCTGAATCGGGATTTGAAGGGGTAGCATTTGCAGAGGTATCATAGGCATCATTCCCTGAACAACACGCTCAGTTTATGGACCATTTATGGACCCTTTCCGTGTACCTCTTTGTAGCGTTGCCGCATCGCTCCACCGCCGCTGCTCGGCGAGCTGCAGCAGATTGCTGCGGGGGTGCTGGCGCAGCGCAGGCCCGAGCAGCCGGCCGTCGCAGCCCCGCCGCCGGGAGCAGGGGCTACAGGGGCGGGTGGGCGCGGCCGCCGCGGAGGTGCCGTCGCGTCTGCAGGTCCCAAGCGGAAGCGAACGAGTGGGACAGGTCGGTCTGGTTTCGTCATAGGCCTATGTGCGCTTGGCAGTACATGATGTTGCCTTATGCTTGAAACGGTGGGGGAGCAAACAGGCTGGTTATTTCTTCTATAGCTAAGATCTCGACCTGCTGCTGTGCTATGTGTAATGCAGGGGAAGAGGAGCCTGAAGAGGAAGACGTCAAGGTGGGTACGGGAGGCTATGGAATTTAGATGTATGGCCACCTTTTCGCTCCTAGTGTTTCTCGTCGTGCCCACGCGTGTAAGGTTTATTTTCACGGGCATGAGTGCATGGCCGTGTTCCGCGTTAACACCGTGCAGTTCCGCGGCATCCCCAGACTGCCTCATCCCCAACCTAACCGCTACATGCCATGTCGCGTTGTCGCCATTCAACGAGCAGGTTCCCAAGGGCCGTGGCGGACGCGGCGGTGGTGCCGCTGGTCGCCGCCCCGGTGGGGCCGCCGCGTACGGTGGCGGCGCCTCCGCCCATCGCAGCCGCTCGCTGACGCCGGGTGGACCCGCCCCGGCGGCCGCGGGCGCCGCCTCCGAGTTCGACGGCTACGTGGGCGATGAGGAGCCCGACCTGGATGAGTTCGACGAGTTCGATGATGGAGAGGACGAGTGGGGGGAGGACGAGGAGGGCGACGAGGATGACTACAGCGAGGACGGAGATGAGGTAGGCCCGTTTTCATTAAACATAGGAATTACCTGAAGTAGGTATGCATAGACAACGCCCTTGCTGTCGATAGCGTTACTGTCAGCAACGCAACGACCTACCACCAATAATCCCGGCGTCCTCGTTCGTTTTGTTTTGCCATCCAGCGGCGCATGCCGCGCTGGCAGCGGCGCCGTAACGAGTACTTTGCTCGGCTGGCTGCGGCCGATGTGGCGCGCGGCGAGCCGCCCGCGCTCACCACGGACTTCCGCGTGGATCCCGACATGGTGCCCGAGGTGCTGGCGGTGTGGGAGATGTGCATGGTGAGTGCCGGGAAGGAGGCTACACGTGGCTGAGGAGGGAGGCTTTGGAACTACTCGCGGGGAATAGCAACTGCTGTAGCATGCCTGTCGCCCTCTGTGCATGTTTCAGGTTTGACCGCGAGCCGTCTGTAACGCTGGCCCCCGCTTGCGTCCTTGCAGACCTTTGCCTTCATGCTCCAACTGCCGCCGGTGCCCATTCGGGCGCTGGAGGCCGCTCTCATGCCCGGTCCGCTGCCGCTGCGCGATGCGGACGGCAACCCGCGTACGGCAGACGACGGCGTCACCGTCTTGTACGACGCCCGCACCCTCGTGGACCATGACTACATCGCCTCGGCTGCGCTGTTGCGCGACCTGCATGCGGGACTGTTGCGCATGGTGGATGGACACGCGCCGCGCAAACAGGAGCTGCCGCAGGAGGTGAGTTGCTGGCTGGGTGTTTGGCGGTTTCTCCTTCTACCGGTTGTTGGGCTGTCGGTAGGAGTGTCCTGCTGGCCTTTTTGCAGGCCGTAAGATTCCTCTCAATGTGTTCCAGTTGTCTATTCGGTGGTTTACCTGCGTGCTGTCCTGTCTGTCTCAAAATGCCCCCACCCTACCTGCTGCTCCCCCCGCAGTCCAAGCTGATGGCGGACGAGGCCAAGACGGAGAACTGGGTGGACCGCACCGCCTCCGCCATCAACGCAGCTTCCCTGGAGCTGGTGGGCGCTGAGGCCAAGGTACGGCACGACGGCTGGTGTGTAAGAAGCCTGAGGACATCACAAACTCCATGCTTGCCGTCGCCGCTAAGAAATGCTGGCTACGGTCCTACGGAGGGAACACCTGCTAAGATTCGGGCCCTAAATTTCAGCTTTAACCTTAGCTGAATACCTGCCAATGCGCTTGCTGTTCTCTCCTACAGGCAGCCGCCGAGACGCTCAAGACACGCGAGTACGTGCTGCTTCCTGCCCGCTCCAAGCTCGCCATCCTACGCGCCCTCATCGAGCTGGCGCTGGCCTCGGACGTGCTTCGCGAACACATCAACGCGCGCGTGGACGTGCTGACGGTGCCGCTGCGTGCGCTGGCGGCGGCGGGGGTGTCGCTGACGGGCGGCGACGACGGCGCGGCGCGGCGGGCGGTGGAGGCGCTGGTGCGGCCGGTGACGCCGGCAGGGCCCATGGAGGCGGAAGATCCGGATTTCTGGATCCGCTGGATGGACAGCTGCAAGTGAGGAGGGTTGGGCAGAAAGGCATGGGGTGGTGAGGCATGTGTGCCTTCGGTTTCCCCAACAGTGTCGAGCCAGGCTTGGAGTTGTCGTGACCCTGTTTATGACGTTTTGCCCACTCGCATTCACCGCTCGCAGGTTGGGTTTGCGCAAGCCTGTCGGCACGGACTTCCGCGGTCGCCGGTACTGGGCCTTTGGTGCCAACGCCGGCTCCTGGAGGGTGTACGTGGAGTTGCCGGGTAGCAAGAAGTGGGGATGGTGCGTGGCATGCGCGCTTCTTCTCTGCACTTCGTTATATTCCGCCCTCGGTTTGCTCCTATGTTAACTTCCACCATACTGTGGAAGTTGCTGTCCTGGCTTGCAAATGCATGACATGCACCGCCGCTGCAGTGACCCCCGTATTGTGGTCCCATTCGCTACCCTGTTCCGCCCCCCCTGGTGCAGGTACGAGGGCGAGCAGCTGAAGCAGCTGCTGGACTGGCTGCGGCGTGGCGGCATCGCGCGGGAGGGGCCGCTGCTCCGCCTGCTGGAGAGCATCCAGCTGCCCAAGAAGCTAAACAACGGTGCGCGGGCATACATAATTGTTGTTGTATCGTCAGACATTGACTCTTACAACTGCGTAATACGGCAGAGGTGCGGGTAGTAGCATGATGGAGCCTTAACCCCATGTTTCGGGTGCTGCGCTTTGTTGGTTGCAGGCCCGGTGCACGAGCCCGGTGAGGTGGATGAAGAGGAGCTGGCGCGGGCGACTGTCCCATGGGACGCTGCGGACTACGAATCTCGCCGCGCCAACGGCTACCGCAACCTGATGTCGCCGCTGCTGCGCGGCAACCTGAACATGGTACGGCAGCGGCAGCCATGGCCGCCGGCTATGTCCTCAGCTGCTCCCGTTCCAGATCCCACCGCACCCTTTATGCATGCTTACATAGGCTGTTTAGCATTATCCGCTTGGCGGCAAAAATGTCTTGAATGCGTGAAAACCTCACCGTCTTCCTTTCTACCGGCAAACGCACACTGCTCCGCTGCTCCCCTCCTACCTACGCCCGCAGCTGCCGCACCAGCCCGGCGTCCCTCGCGTGCCCCTGTACGTGGAAGACCGTGTGTGCAACGCGCTGGAGGCGCTGCTGGGAGAGGTGGACTTCTGGGGCCAGCAGCCCGCATGGGCCGCGCGGCTGGGAGAGCTGCTGGACCTGCTGAGGGTGGGTGGCGGAATATGCTTCAGCCAGTGCTGCATTATTGGGAAAGTGATGACAAGAGTTTGCCTGCATGCTGTACGTCTGCATGCTTCGCGATGATTGGAATGTCATCATTGGAATGACGAGAGGGGCTATAAAAATGAAAGAAGTGGTAATAAATATCCACCCGTGGCCCCCAACTCCCACAATCCACAGTACAACTACAAGGCTGCTCGCGACGCAGCCGAGCAGGAGGAGGAGGGCGGTTCAGAGGGCACCGTCACGCGCTTCAGCGGCGCCGAGGTGGTGTTGGCGCTGGAGGAGATGCTGTGCAAGATGGGCGCCATGCGGGAGGTGTGGGTGGCGCAGCTGCGTGACCCGTGGGTCGCGAGCCTACGCGACCCCACCCACACGGTTCGCGAGGTGGCGCTGCACGTGCTGGCGATGCAGCAGTTTGTCAACACATCGGAGTCGCAGTATGTGCTGACGCGTGCCGCGTTCCAACGGAGGGTTAATGAGGCCAGGTGGGGCAGGGTGGGATTGGTTGAGGAGCTGCCGGTATAGGCGAGCTGGAGGTTAGCCAGCTGTACCCTAACTGGCCAGGATTACCCGTTGCGATGGATTACCAGTCGTTGGCATGCTTGTTGTGCTGACCCTTATGGTATATGCATGAATGGGCTGAGCGGTCGTGGGTCTGCTAGGTTTCCTGGCGTTCCTTCACGCATTGTGTTGTCTGTCCCCTGACGTCTGCCTCCTGACTCCTGCACACAGGTGCCCGCTGTTCTTCCCGGGTCCGAACGAGTCTGTCGTGGTGCTGCGGTCCGGCATCTTCTACCACCTGGAGAAGTTCTACAACATGGCCCGGGTGGGTTCGGGTGCAGGACCTAGGGGCAGGGTCCACCGTTGCGTTGGTTCCCTCAAGTAGTTGGGTTATTTTGTTTCTTTCAAGTAGATGGGTAGTTCTGTTTCTTTTCAAGTAGATGGGTAGTTTAAGCAGAGGCTGCAATGTGGGGTATAGCATGAAACCTACGGGTAATGCGTGCGTAGCTATGTGGTGTTGGGTTGCCGTGAGCGCCCCCTTTTGCGCCGTTTTTAGCAGTCTCGTCCGGCCGTTCCTCTGCATGGCCCTGCCCACAGGCCAACAACGACGTGCAGTTCATGCGTGAGCTGCTGGCCCTGCGGGAGCGCGTCAACACCATGTACTTTGCGCAGCGCTACCGCGTCGCCTGCCTCTCCTACAGGACGTAAGTGCGATGAACTTTGGTCAGATAGAGCGGTTCACATACCGGTACTATCAGTGCTGGTGCCCTGGACTAAAATTGCGTGGCCCCTGTACCTGGTGCGCTTGACGCATGACTTACACGGTGATGCCCACATTTGTTACCTGTGTGTTTGTTTGTTGCAGGTATCCGCTGCTACCGCAGTCGGAGGCCGCTGCGGCGGCGGCAGCAGCTGCCGCTGCGGCTGCCCGACAGCAGGAGGGCGGCGAGGCGGTGGATCCCGCAACGGTGCCGCCGCCGCCGTCGCGGCCGCCCTGCATGTGGATGCTGCTGACGCCACTGCGCGCACCCCTGCCCCGCTTCGAGCAGGCCACGGTAGGTTGTCTGTCTCACGGGTTGCATATCAATGACGTGGATGCCCAGTGCTTTTCTAAGCTAGATTACTGTCCCCGAGCAAACATTTGAACCATGTTTGCCTTGTCCGCCCCAAATGCCGCTCCCCCCTGCCCTCAGAGCGAGGTGGTGCTGCCGCTCTACATCGACAACACGCTGCCGCAGTACGTCATCCGCTCCGAGATCTTTGACAAGGCCAGGTGGGTGCTCCTTGCCAGCTCCAGCATTAGGCGTCATTGCAAATATCCTCTCTGGTTGCCTCTCTGCCATCCTGTCTACCTGGTCTCTGGAAACCCGGGTCATTGTCTGGCCACTGTTATCCTTGTCCTTCATAGCACGATCGTGCGGCCACCACCAGTGTACTTAGCCCGCCATTCTGCTGCTCCAAACCCCACACACGCAGGGAGAAGGACTGGCAGCCCGGCGACCGCTGCCGCATGTACGTGGGCGGCAAGCAGGGCGCCAAGGTCAGCGGCAGCTGGTACAAGGGCAAGATCCTGCGCGTGGGGGCGCCCGCGGCGCCAGACCAGCAGGACTTTGACCCCTGGGAGAGCGTCATCGTGGAGTGGGACAAGGCGGGCGTGGAAAACACGCAGGGCCGGGTAAGTGACCTGCGCAGAGCCAACACATCTCCTCCCCTGGCCGCTCCTCCCCCTGGACCCCCTTCAGCCAACTTCCCATACCCACCAGCTAAAACCCATCATCAAGCACCGGTCTCATGCTCTCACCCAACCCAACCCATGCAGGTGTGCCCCTGGGACATCGAAGTGGACCCCGAGGCGGAGCGCCGGCTGGCGGAGGAGCGCAAGCGCGCTGCCGAGGCTGAGGCGGCCGCCGCTGCAGCCGCCGCGGCTGCTGCTGCCGCCCGCACGCAGCGTGTGGTGGCCAAGGAGCGTGTTGCCAAGCTGGTTCAGGAGATGGGCGAGGATGACGACGACGAGTATGTGCCCAGCGAGCCCAGCGATACGGACAGCGGTGGGTTATTGGGTTGTGCTGTGGCCTTGAGGGAAGTGGGGTAGTGGGAGTATGTAGTGTTTAGGGCCAGCTTTGAGGTGCATGGGGTATTGCATGGCACATGCTTTGTGTTGGTTTAAGAGCTGGGTATGTCCGCTGACCTGCGCAGACGTGAGCGAGGGTGGCGGCGGACACCGCAGTCGGGGCAGGAAGCGCGGTGGCCGCGGTCGTGGCCGGCACGACGACCACTCGCAACAGCAGCAGCAACAGCAGCAGTCCCAGCAGCAGCAACAGCAGCCAGGGTACGGGGCTGTGCCGGCCAACATGACGGCATTGCAGGCGCAGCAGTTCATGCAGCAGCGCCTGTTGCTGCAGTCGCAGGCGCGGTTGGCTGCCGGCAGTGGCGGCACGGGTGCGGCAAGCACGGCTGCTGCCGCACTGCTTGCTCAGCAGGTGCAGGCGCTGCAGGCTCAGATCCAGCACCTGCCCGCGGCAACGCAGATTCAGCTGCTGCAGCAAATGGCGCAGCGTGGAGGTGCTCAGGCCGTCCTGGCGCAGCACTGCCTGGCGCTGCAGCAGCAGCAGCTCATGCAGCAGCAACAACAACAGCAGCAGCAACAGCAACAACAGAGGCAGCAACAGGAGCAGCTGCTACTCCAGCAGCAACGCCAGCAACAGCTGCTGCTACAGCAGCAACAGCAGCAGCAACAACAACAGCAGCAGGCGGCCGCTGCGGCATCTCTCCAGCAGCAGCAACAACAACAACAGCAGCAGGCCATGGCGGCTGCGAACGAGGACGACAATGGCCGGCCGGTGGCGCCTGACCTCATGTCACCGCCGCTGCCGGCTCGCACCCCGGGCGGCCGCCGTGCAGTGCCGCACCATTTGCTGCAGCTGCTGCCGCAGCGTGACACCTTCCACTACTTGATCGTCAACTGGTACCGCCAGCGGAGTGTGCTGCGCTACCGGTTGCCGAACATCGCGACCAAGGATGTGGACTTGCACAAGGTGGGTGGTGGTGGTGGTGGTGGTTGTTTTCTCCCTCAAAACTTGCAGGGGCAGGGTGAAGGAACTTCACGACCTGCTTCACGAAGCCAGGGAACTGGGCAATCCAGTTTCTCATCCTGTCTATCTTTCCCTGCAACGCTTCGTCACGTTTGGCATCTTAACCCCTCTCCTCCACGCCGTGCCGTCAACGGCATTACCTACGCCCTTCCTCTCATCCCGTGAACCTCCCGATCGCAGCTCTTCGTGGAGGTCCACCTGCGCGGCGGCTACGAAGCCGTGGTGCTCAAGCAGCAGTGGTCCGACCTGTGTGTCAGCCAGAGCATCCACCCGCAGCACCCCGCCAGCCAGTCGCAGCCCAACCTGCCCGCCGCGGCCGCCATGCGCGCCACCTACGAGCGCTGCCTGCTGGACTTTGAGGACTACGTGACCAGCGGGCAGTTCGAGGCGGACGCGGCGGCGGGGCGGCTGCCGCCCATGGATCGCTTCCTGGACGTGCCGGGAGCAGTGCCGGCGGTGAAGCGTGAGTGGGGCGGGGGGGAGTTGGGTATGGGGCGGGGAAGAACGGTCCAGGAGGAAAGAGGGGCTGGGCGGCTTGCGTGGTTCATATGCTGCTGCCTGCTTGTGTCTTAATGTTCAGAGAGGAACCTGCCCTTGGTAGGCCGCTGTTGTCTGGCTCCAAAGCTCGCTCTCCCCGGACTCTCTCTACACGCAGGCCAGGAGGTTCCCATGGCCGCTCAGTACGGGGGCGCCATGGGCGTCCCGCAGCACCAGCAGCAGCAGCAGGGCGCCATGGCGGGCATGGGCGGCAACGACCTGCGCATGCAGCAGCTCCTGCTGCAGCAACAGCAGCAACAACAACAGCAGCAGCAGCAGGCGGGGCAGGGCAACGGAGCAGGCATGGGCGTCATGCACCACCAGGCCGGAGCCCAGGCGTTTGGAGGCGGTGGCGGCATGATGGGCTGGCAGCAGCAAGGTGCGTGAGGGGGGCAGGGGAGGCGTCTTGGCGCCTTTGAGAGCAGCACAAATGGGGTGGGGGTCCGGAGACCATGTGTGGGTCGTAAATGCTTTGGTGACGGGTAGTGGGATGAACGCCCCAGTGAAAGCGTCTCACTGCACAACTTGCTCTTTCATGTGTCGCAGGCATGGGCCGCCAGCCGGGCATGCCCGGGTAACCCATATGTGCTGACCGCGGGAGCTGCTGCTGTGGCGGTTGGCTGCTGGCCGCGGAGTCGGCTGGGATGTCGGCGAGGGTTGGAGGGCTGGCTGGCGCCCTGCGGGCATGACGACGATGTTTATCCGATACAGTGGCGAGAGCTTTGGTACTGTGTAGGGACGAAGGGATGCTTTTGGGAGGCCATGAGGTGTGTGGTTGCGGCAAAAGGGTGTTCGGGTTGGAAGGGACTGCGATGTAGGGGTGCGCGTCCTGTGAGGCGAAGCGAGGTGACAGCGGGGAAAGGGTAACGGGGAGGGTCAAGTGTCGTGGTGAAAAAGAGCGCATGGGGCAGCACCTTGTGTTGCCTTGCTACTGTTAAATGTTTCCGGGCGGCTAATGTCGGCTGCGTCCTTACGTAAACATGGGTTTGGCAAGTGGGACGGTCCGCGTCTTCCTGTTTTCGCGCGTTTTGTGTGAGCCGCTGTAACGGCGGCGGTAGTAAGTTTAGGCTCCTGGGGGCGGTCGCTGGTTTCTGTTCCTGGAGCATGGAGTTACTTGTGGGGGTCAAAGTAGGTAACTGACGTCATTGTTGTTTAACGAAAGGTACCGCGCTTTGCATCAAATTGAATGCGCCATTCTGCGTTAGCGAGCAAATATAATCATAAGCGTAATGTAAATAACGGGGGTCCCGAAGCCATCAACAGGCATGGGCGTTTATGTTGACGCTGCATTAGAATCGTAAGCGCAAGGCGAATACGCTGTGCCCAAGAGGAAACGTGCTGACCGCCATAGGCCATGTCTGTGCCTGCACGGAGCTCGCGGTTGCACTGGGAGCAGCCCCACAGACAGGTAGCAGCTTACCTAAAACCAAATGACGTGTCGCGCACGTATGCTCAATTCTCGCAGCAACTGCATAGGTATAAAAAGGGCCTTAAGACCATGACCGAAATGCGGACTGGCTGCGGATATCTGCTACTGCTGCATCGTTGCCAGGCAAGCGATAACTTCGTGCACGGCAGTCCTCAAATCTTCTAATTCGAGCCTTCAGCAGCTTAATAATAGCAATTGGCTAGGGCTTGGCTTCGGCAATCGCACAAACATCAACATGATATCGTCCGTACAGTTGACGACGGACATTCCTATCCCTGTGCGCGGTTGCGAAATACTATTAATACCCGCCGAAGATTAAAATTGTACCTATTTCAGCACAAAGCCTATGGATTAATACCAACAGCGTTACCTCTTGTACGGACCTTAGACATTTCGGCGTAGGCCTTCTCAGAGAAAATCGTAGCCGTTTCCGCAAAACTTGACACTACAAGTTAAACTCCTTTCGTCCATGTTATACTAGCTTTTCTCATAAGCGGATTAGCGCAGCGCGTTAGCAAAGCAAGCACCCCAAGCCCTCGCGTCTTCATCGAAGATGCTAGATGACTATAAGGTTACACGAAAAGTTGGAAAGGCTCTAACTCTCCCGTCGGCTCCAGCGTTTTCGTTCGGAGGTCGGCATGAACCCCCAAAAGGTATGCGCTGGGGACTATATTGTGATGCTTGTGACGCTGGTCAGGGTGCAAGGATGTTTGCGCTGCAACAATTTACACGCGTGCTAAACTTGGGATACATCATGTGCATTGCGTACGATTCCAGGGCTTACTGGGCCAGGACCAGGAGCATACGATCCGGACTGGTGCAGAAACGGCAAGGGCACAGGGTTCGGGACCAGCGCACGCTCCAGTTGGCAGGTGCACGATACTCCTGCTGGGGCTTCCTATCAGCCCGTGGTTTCACAAGTCGCGGCTAGCAAACCTGCCTACTCCTTTGGCATAAAGCACAAGCAAGGTGTGTGACCTGGGGGCTTCCAAGGGAGGGCTGGGGCGCTAATCCTTGACCTGTACACATCCTGCCATCGATCCAGCCTGTACCGTAGCTGGGGGTGAACACATCATACTGGGTAAAGCAGCTGGGAAGGAGACCGGCCCTGGGCCCAGGAAAGTAATCGCAAAAGGCGTATCCTATTGCTGCTCTGATTCTGCTACATTGCATGCTTGAATTGTGTCATGAGGTACCTTCATGGCCTTGATGTACCTCGCTCCACATACCGACATACGACATTGGCGTAACCGTTTAGGGTGAAATTGAAGAGCCCCAACAGTCCCATACAGCATACTAGCGCTGATGCTTAAGGAACATCACACCCCAGCCCTAGGTTTCTAGCCGCTGTCTGTGGTCATGCTGGGCTCTTGGAGTCGGCTCTCCAAAACCCATCAAGGCAGCCATGCTTCAAAATGATTATGGTGTCTCTTCCACTTGCCCGTAATGCCAGCAAGCATGTTCACGACGATGCTGCCAATGCTGACCTCGCTCGAGCCAGAGACCCACGGGTCATGCCGCATCGAGATCCCACACATCCTTGCAGCTCAGCCCTCCCAGTCAACCATAGCTCATGCATCCACGCTTTCCCTACTCCCTGCTTCAGCTGCCTCAGTCCAGCCCCGCAACCTACGTCTCCGAAACCCTACCCCTACGCCCTGCTCCTGCAGACGGAAACAAGCTAACGCCTGGCCCGGGCACCTACGAGCCCCGACCCTCCGAGAAGCTAATAAAGCCCTCGCCAGCGGTCTACACACTCGCGCCCCGCACCACGGGCGAGGGCGAGCGGGAGCGCTCCCCGGGGCCCGCAGAGTACAGTCCCGAGTTCAAGCCCCGGGAGGTGCACGCAGCCAGCATCAAGTTCCGCAATGAGGTCCCGCACCGCTATGCACAAGTGACGCCGGGGCCTGGGGAGTACGACTCACGGAGACCGGGGCGGCCCTTTTCGGAGGGCAAGACGTTCGGAGGTAGGGGCAGGTTGGCTTGAGTCGGGAGTTGCGGGGGTTGCAGGGGGCTCACCTGGGCCAGGAGGCGGGAGGGCGTCTTGCCAAGAGGAGATTGGGGTACCGCCCCGACCGACAGCTCCATTGGCCCACCCGCGTCTCGTCCCGGCTCTCGTCCCAACTCTCCGTTCCACCTTTCCCATCCCTCCCTCCTCCCTTCTGCCGCCCATCCAGAGAGCCGCACGGACCTGTTCCGAGGCAACGGCGTCCCAGGACCGGGCGAGTACGGCGCCCCCTCCGTGGCGCTCCAGCGCCCCCGTCGCGCCTCCTGGACCATCGGCCGCGCCTCCCGTGACGCCGGCGCACGCACCTCCATCAACCCCGGCCCGGGCGCCTACGAGGTAATCGAGCCGCTCATACCCCGTGACGGCGGCCACAGCGCCGCCTCGGACTTCCGCTCCTCGCCCGCGTATACCTTTGGCGGGAGACCGCCATGGGCGGTGCCTGCCCTCAGTCCAGGGCCCGCGGACTACGGCACGCCGCCGGATCCAGGCAAGGTGGCCAAGCCCGCGTACACGCTGCGTGGGGCCGCGTCTAAGGAGCACGATGAGGCGGTTCCGGGACCGGGGACGTACGCGCCGGATAAGGCGGACGAGACGGTGCATGTGACGGCGCCGGTGTACAGCATTGCGCAGCGGCCTGGCGAGGCGTTGGCGGAGGCGATGCCGGGTCCTGGGGCATACGACCCTCGGGACAGCGATGGGCGGTTAGCCGTCAGGTGAGGATTTGAGGATGCTGGGATCCAGCTGCGGAGGAGGGCTGTGGGATCCGTTTAAAAGGAGCGGGCGGGGCTGGCTAGGCACGGGTATAGGAGGGGGTGCCGTACGAGCCGAACCTGCCCTCGTCCGAGCATGGATACGCCAACCACCGGTATCCCGTAAGCATGCCTGACTTCCTCAAACGCCTGTCACCCTTCTCGCCCCCGCAGTCTCAAGTTCCGCACGGATCCCAAGCCGCCCACCGCCGACCACCCCGCGCCGCACGACTACTCCAACAAGGACTTTCGGGGCTTCGGTGTGTCGTACGGCGGTAGCCAGGCGCGCAAGGGCTTCACCATGCGGCCGCGCTGGCGGGACGAGCGGCGCGCGCAGGTGCCGGGTCCGCAGTACGAGGTGGGGTGCAGCACGCTGGGGGTGGCCGGGTCGCCCATGATCGACAAGTCCAAGATCAGCATGTCGCTGGTGTTGTAGTGTTGGGGCAGGCTGGGGGTGTGGTTGGGGCAGGCTGGGGGTGTGGTTGGGACAGGCTGGGTAAAGAGGAAACGACTAACTGACCGTGTGAAAGGCGTCATCATGGTTTGCAGCATCATGTGAGCCAGCCCGACCCGCCCAGCCCGAATTTGCAGGCTGGGGGTGACTTGTTTGGGGTTCAGGTAAGCTGAGCCGCAGAGAGCTGATCCAACCCAACCCTTGTGTTAAGGGCTGGGGAGGGCTCAGCAGAGAGCAATGAATGTGGTTTGCAGAATGGAGTGGTAGGTATTTTGTACCGGTATGCAGGTTGGGTGGGCCACACGGTACACAAGGCAGGGACTGAAGGCTTGCGTATTCCTTGTACGGCCAGTATGGGCAGGTGTGGGTGGGTTGGGTCACAGGCAGCAGGGGTGTTGGTTGGTGTCGCAGGGAGTCTTGCGTGTATCATGGATTACTGCTGGATGTGGATAGTGTGCGCAAGCTAACGGTATAGCCGCGGTATGTGCGCTGCGGCCCTGGGTGCCGCCTGCGTTGCAGGGGGTAAGAGGAAACGACTAACAAACCGTGTGTTGCATGGGTAAGCTACTGGGCTGTGTTGGAGCATGGGCGCGATGGCAGGATTGGTGGCAGGTTGTCTGGTGGCAGCGTGTCCCAACACAACAAGATGCAGGGGAATACTCGGTATGTCTTGACCAAGGAGCTAACTATCGCACGGTGCGAATGAATCCGTATTTAGGTTTGGATAACCGTCAAATGTCAACGCATGCTCTCGCTTGCTCCGCTTAACTTGAGGTGCTGTTGCTGCGGGCATCTCTTTTGCTGCTGCCTGTTGTGAACTGCTGCTTGCGGGCTACACGGACCCAGCGGGTTGGGTACGATTACTACGGACGGTGTTTGAGGTCCGGCCAAATCCGCCAGCCCGAGCTCTTGTGATGCAGGGTTGTTGACTCGGGGACGCATGTTGAGCAGGGCAGTGCATGAGCATTTGGGCAAGGCGGGTAGTGCGGTAGCTCTTGATGCTTGTTTATACTTTCTTGGGAGGGGTTTTACGATTGCATGTGTTTTTTCCAAGGTGTACTTTTCCGTCTGGACAAGATGGGCCGGGCGTGAGAGCAAAGTTACCGCATACTAAGGGAGCGTGTGTGGCTGTACGCTGTGCAAACTGGATGCGCAGCAGGTTGCTTTTGTCCAAGTACGACAATTCCCGTGCCTTTTAGGCTGCAGCTGTGCGGGGGACTAACTGAATGTGCCAGGATAATGATGCGTGGCTCGCAGTCACGCATGTGCAAGCGTGCGCTGCCGAGCAACAAAGGAAGTGTGGCTGCGTTGGCGCGTTCCGAACTATGCAAGGAATGCAACGCTGTGTCAGCTGTATGCCGCTGTATGGGGCTGACCCTTCAAAGTGAGGGCTAGGAGCAAAGCACCAGTTGGCACACATTTCCTGTATCACGGCACGGGTTACGCATAACATGACCCTTGGAGGATATTCAATGTGTGCAGGCAGGGGACGGGACAGGTAACGCCGTGTGGTACTTGCCGTACCGACACCCTGTCCTGCTGTTCTTGTAGTCATCGCCAGGTAACCAGGCAATACCGGTAGACGGCTTCGACCAAGGCCACGCAGGAGTACGGTGAATGCTCGATTAAGTCGTGCCTCTGTCGCCAGAAATAGCAAGAAATTGGCATTTCGAACCGCGCTGTCGCTTTCCTGTCAGTCCTGTTAAGCTTATGGTTATACGTGAATACACCGTAAGCTCAAATTGGGCAGTCTGTAGTATATTGCGCTCCTCCTCAGACGACGTATGGAGTCGCCAATTTTGTTGCAACATTGGGCACAGTTACCAGCAGTCCTTGCTGAACACATTTTCAGCTCTCTACCGAGTAATGACATAGCTTGCACCATACGCCTTGTTAACAAGGCTGGTGCAGCGCGCTTCAGCAGCCCTGAGCACACCACCATCCACCTGTCCCAGCCTGTGCCAGCCCACGCATTCTCAAAACACTGGACGAACCCCAACCTTCTCGGGAACATGACCTATGCACAGCGGCTCCAACTGTTATGTCTCACAGCCCGCAGCGGCAGCCTTCCCAACCTTGCAGTAGCAGCGGCGAGTGCTGGATGCATCCTGAACGCCGAAGTGATTAATGCGGCGGCGGCTGCAGGGCAAGTGCACTGCTGTGAGTGGTTGAGGTCTCAGGGCTGTCGCCTTGGTAAGGTCCTTAGCGCTGCAGCGGGGGCAGGGCAACGAAGGACATGCGAGTGGGCGTTGGCAAAAGGCTGCGAGTGGGACATCGAGGCATTCCATGCAGCCACGAGCGGAGGCCATGAAGCCATCATGTTTTGGCTGCTTGGGTTGCGGCCCGAGGAATCTCTGCGCCCGAGTAAATGGAGCCTGCTTTCCGTGGCCGCTGGCTGCTCCCTGGCAACGTTGAAGCGGCTGTATATGGCCTGGGCGGCCGAAGAGGACCTGGCGGAGGCGGCGGAGGATGAGCCGCAGTGGGCAGCGGAACTGCTAGCCGCTGCTGGCGGCAGCCGCACACCCGACTGGCAGGCCAAGGTGGAATGGCTTGTGGAGCAGGGCCTGGAGGTCACAGCCGACAGTTACATACACCGAGACGCTGCCCTCCATCCAGATGCCCTGGGCCGCGTGCAGTGGTTGCTGCAAATGGGCTTTGCATGCGTTGAGCTCGCAGTCCTGCAAGCTGCAAGGCTGGGCAAGGTCGACGTACTTGAGTACGTGCATGACGAGGGCATCGTGTTCGAGGACACCTGGATTGATTGCGGCAGGGAAGCGGCAGAGGCAGGGCAGCTGGCCACCCTGCAGCTGTTGTGCTCCTGGAGTGTCGGAGATGGCATGCTGAACCTGCGTGCTGCTGCCCGGGCTGGCCAGCTGCCGGTGGTGCTGTGGCTGGTGGAGCAGCAGCTGGGCGAAGACGTGCTGCAGGAGTGCTACCAGCTGTTCGGCTGTGCGGCCGGTTCGGGTAACTTGGAGCTGCTGAGGTGGCTGTACGAACACGGCTGCGTGCGGCGTGATTTCCGTTATACCTCGTTTGTCAAGGAGGCTGCAGCTGCTGGCAATGTGGAGGCGCTGAGGTGGCTGGTGTCCATCGGATGTCGATTTCCGGTGAGAGAATGCCTGCGCTTCTGGCGGACTGCCCTGAATCGTTTTACACGCCCTGAATCTTTCTTCGCCAGAAGCTGGGTTGGGTTTCTGGGTTTCGTCGGAATGTCATTCTATCTTCAGGTTCTTCACACCTGGGCATGGGACATAAGGATACTTGCCGCGAGAAGGAAACACCACCACATGCGCATTGGAGCCCTCCTAGTGTGATCAGCGTGTGCACACGAACTGCCAAGAGGGTCGTAGCAAAGCTGGTAGGGCCTGCTTGCATTGCTTGCATTGTACTCCACGGCACTCTACCGGCATGCTCACCCTGCATGAAGTCCCTTGCAGATAGAATTGACCCTTCGTGGGCTCTGGTGTACTGCACAGTCTTTCCGGCGTAACTCGATCCTTGTCTCTGCGCTTCACGCTCTTCACTCCTCCGCCCGCGCCGCTGTGTGCTCGGCCGCTCGCTCCCCAACACACACCACACGCACACACAGGCTACGGGATTCGACGCGTGCTGGGCAGCCGTACGCAAGGGCGACCTGGCAACCATGGATTGCCTGCAGCAGCTCGGCTGCCCCTGGGGCGACAACCCGGACAGCCGGGGTGACTACGTCAGCCCGGATTCCAGCTCTGACGGCTACTGGGACAGCCGGCCGGGGCTGCTCTTCCGGCGCTGCATGGGGCTGCCACGCCCCACCGTGATACTCGAGTGGCTGCTGGAGAGGGGCTGTCCGGTGGGGAGCTGGAGTGCGGCTGTGCGGCGGGCGGCGCAGGTGGTGGCTCGTGCCGGGTGGACGGAGGATACGCGGGAGCTGTGGGAGTGGCTGCGACAGGACGGTGGCATGCGGAGCCGTTGGTGGGCGGAGGAGGCGGCGGATGAGTGGCAAGATGGTCTGGAGGAGCTGCTGTCGGGGCTCAACATGCGCTTGTGAGCGGCTGAAGCTGCTGAGGCGGGGTTTCGGAGAGGACAGCTGGGATGCGGTTGGCATGTGTTCATACGGAGGGTATCCATGGGGAGGGACGCGAAGTCGCTGGTGCGTTGTTGACATACTGGTGTATCTGCTGCCTGTGGCGCCTCGTAGCTTCCCGGTCAATGCGCTGCGCCCCATGTGTGCCAGTATGTTGCGCGGAGCAGGGTATGCAGAAGACCCAGGCTAGGGTTCAGTGCCCGGCACCGCCGGTTGTAGAAGCGGTTGTAAAGCTGTATGTTAAATCACCCATGCATGAGCGGACGGTGCATGCGAGTCTCATGTCTTACAGCAGTGCACGATACGGGTACCGGCAGCTGCTTCCCAAGGCCCTCAAGGCACCACCGGGGTTCACCCCTCTGCCTCGACCAGCGTGCAGCTAAAGCCCCCTGACCGGCGGCACAAGGGTATTTGGGCTGGACGGTCCAGCCTTGATGGGGATTCTAAGAGGCGGGCATTATGTCCTTCTATGCATCTAGGACGGTGCGCAGCTACGGTAGCACCCCTCATGGTGGGGGCATCGATCCTGTGGTGTGGGGGCATTTGCTGCTTAGCATGGCTAAAATAGGGTGTACCGGAATGGCGGGGCTGCTGACGGGGCCAGGCGCACGGTCCCCCTAGCAACATGTTCTACATATCTTGCACATATATGTTTACAACTCAACCTCCCTGTGCGTGAAGGCTCTACCAGATCGCGTGCATGGGGCAGATAATGAAGGAAGAGAAAGATGCTACAAGGATGCATTGTCAAGTTGTTGGGTAATGGATGAGTGGGGTAATGGCCTAATGGGAGCCAGGACGTGTGCCATCTCCACCCACAAGACAATGTGCGCTAAATGCCTGCGTTAAATGCCGTGAGCCTGCCCCTCAGAATGTTAGCACAAGCAGTCATGGAGAGGCAGGGAACGAAAGAGGCAGGGAGTCCAGGGACCCACCATCGCTACCATGACCTAAAGCAGTTCCAAGCCGCTAGACTACCCATTCTGTCCTTGCACTTACATTCATACCTTTCTCGGCCTTTTGGCTCAGATCATGTGTAGTATCTGTTCTTGTAAGTCTAATCGCTTACATGGTCCTCATTGAGGACCTGCGATTAACTTCAATTTTTCGGGGGGGCTTGCCAATGGGTGCGCTTGCGCATCCGGCTTGCCAGCATGGTTGCGGCATTACACTACCGCCGTAGCCGAGCACCCCACCCATTAAACAAGAACCTAAAAAGCCGTTTGGGGTGTCTGACTTTGTCAGATATAATGTTGGGCCTAGCTGGTGGCTTGGGAGCGGGGAGCTCAGTTAATCAATGCAAGGGCGGACACGGAGAGCGAATTGTCCATGAGTGTGGCATGCGCGTTCGCTTTACATTGTTTCCTTCCCTTCGCCAACCTGTCGGTCCGTTCGTCTAGAGACGATACCATTCTAATGAAGAGCCCTTGCCAAAACAGGCCAACAGACAAGGTCACCCCCACACCCCAGCGAAGCCGTCAACACTCAGTTCTATAACCACCAGCTATGCAACCCTCGCTATGTGGGGTAAACATGCAAAATCAAAGCTATGAGGACCAGCCCCCCTATACCTTGCACCCCCACTCAATTCTCCCTATGAGGGGCCAGAACAGTCTACTTAGATGTGTAATGCAGCTCTCACGACCAATCATCACCGCTGCTAGTTCCGTCGCTAGCGAACTCCGTAACCCTGCAAAACGTCTTGGCCGTCTACACATCCTTCAACATGATCACCGCCGCAAAAGGCATCGTCCAACCGTGTCCAAGTCCCGGCCCCAAAAACGTGTGCCCCTACTCACTTGACCCATGGGTCACACCCAGCTTGACTCTTATGTCCACCGCCCTCCTCCTCCTTACCCCCGCTCCTCCCTTCACCTCCGGCGGCGGGACGTCCGAGTGCTGCCCACGAACCCCAAGTCCTCCTCCCCATGCTCCTCCTCTTCCTGCCGCTGCTGCCAGGGCTGCACGGAGCCACGGCCGGCCGGCGGCTGCGACCGCTGGAAGGACGCAGACGCCGAGGGAGAAGGCGACACATAGGAGGACGACGAGGGCGGACGAGAGGAGGACGAGTAGGACCCGGCCGCAGCGCGTGAGGGAGCTGCGGGTCCGGCAGTGCCCCTGCCAGCAGCAGCACTGCTAGGCGGCATGGGGGCACGGCGCACCGGCGGGGCAGCCCTCTCCCACTCCTCCTCCTCCACCTCGTCCTCAGGCTCGTCCCATCTGCGGTTGCCCACCGCCCGCTCCTCCTCCTCGAAATCATCATCGTCATCCTGGTACCGAGCGGCAGCAGCAGAGTACGCCGATCGGCTCCTGCTGCCGCGGATGGAGGCCACAAAGCCTCCTGGCGCAGCAGCAGCAGACGGGGCAGACGGGGCAGCGCGGGACGGAGCCTGCGATGGCCGGGAAGGAGGCGCCGAAGAGAAGGCGGAAGCAGAGGCGGGGTACGCGGTACGGCCGGAAGGCAAGGCGCGGCTGGTAACGGCCCCACGGAGGGGAGCGCGCCGGTCGTCTTCATCATAGTCCTCCTCCACCTCGTCGCGCTCGTCTTCGTCGTCCCAGCCTCCAACATCCCGCGGCGCCCTGCTGTCGTACGCCGCTCGACCCCGGCCGCGAGTGGAGCCCACAAGCGTCGACGAGGAAGCCGGCGGCTGCGGTGGAGGTGCTTGCGGCTGTTGCCGCGACGCGGGTGCTGCAGCAGCGGCTGCCGGGGACTGCCGGGGCCGCGAGGAGACTGCAGCGCCAGCGGCACTGGGACCGGTGATTGAGGCAGCAGCAGCAGCTGAGGTGGGAGCGGGAGCAGCCCGTCCCGACGACGACGCCCCAACTGCGGCTGCTGGGGCACTTGGCGCAGTAGCAGGAGCTGCCGCCGCTGCCACAGGCGCTGCTGCTGCCGGCGGGGGTGGTGCCGGAGCCGACGTTGTCGCGGCCGCTGTCTTCCGTCGAGAAGTGCTCTTAGTGGCGGAGGCAGCAGGAGCAGCAGGAGCAGGCGGAGGGGGAGGCGGGGGTGGGGGTTTGAGGCTGTCCGCAAAGTCCGCAGCCTTGGTGTAGCCCAGCTGCTTCAGCGACTGCTGGATGGACCCACGGGTCGGCGCCTCCAGACCCTTGAGCGCCTCCGCTCGGGCCTGCATTGCAATACGGGACAGCATACCGGTATGAAGGCGACGATACAGAAGCGTTACGGAAAGAGTGGAAGTGGAGTATATGGGGGTTAAGGGAGGGGCCGGACTTGAAAGAGGAGTTGGAGGGCATAGAGAGGGCGAAAGCACAGGCGGTTATCGTACACTAGTTCTGGAGCTTTTGGTTTTGAGGGGCAAGCCCGGTAATCTGCCCCTTAGCTCCCCCCGGGTTGCCGTACCTTGACAGCTTGCAGTACGGCAGCCGTCTTCTCGCCCTCAGGCGGGTAGGTGTACGACAGGTGCGGCAGTACGGCAACCACCTCGGTCAGCTCAGATGCCGTAGCCCGGCTGGACATGGCCTGTTGGCGTGGGTGGGGGAGGGGGTAAACGAAGGTATTAGCAGTAGTGAAGGACACTCACAATTCACTTAGTTAACATTCAACCAGCCTTTGACGTCTGATGAAATGAAGGACGCACCCCGGACCAGACACACCCAACATTTTACACGGCCCCGGACCCTCTGTTAATACCCCAAGCTCCTTCCCATAACCCCCCTAGCCTACCCCCTCATCCTACCCTCCTCCCTCCTTCCCCTCCCTCCCCGCACCAGCAGGGCCGCATGCAGGTTCCTCAACCACGGCCCGTCCGGCCGGTGCCCCACCGACCCCAGCGAGGCAGCCAGCTGCAGCACACGACCGGGGGGCAACTGGGGCTGGGGCTGCTGGGGGGACTGCTGGGGGGACTGCTGCTCGGCTCCCTCGACCTCCTCCCCTTCCTGCGTCTTCGCGCCCTTCCCAGCAGACGCCCCCTTCTTAGCCGCCGCCCCCTTCTTAGCCGACGTCCCCTGCTTCCCCTCCTTCTGCTGCTGCCCCGCCGCTGCTGCTGCCTCGGCCGTTGCTGCCTCCGCCGCCGCCTCCACCAGCGCCCCCTCCGCCGCCGCCAGCAGTTCATCCAGCAGGTCTCCACCAAGAGGCAGCTCCAGCTCGGTGCACGTGTCAACCACTGTAACCACCTGGGGCGGGGCAGGAGGGAGTAGGAGCGCCATTAGGGGTCTTCCCAGTGCCACAGGAGGCACGTCAGGAGGATGGGGGATCGCACTGCTGGGTCCTCTCCAGCCGCGCGGCGCACATGTCACCCAGTCCTCCGGCATCCCACCATACCTCTCCAGCCTCCACCGCCCCTCTTCATTCCCTCACCCACAGCTCAACAGTTGTCCTCAGGCCCCCTCCCCCCATGTCTACTAGGTAGGTCAACAGTATCAACTCCACCCGACCGCCTGACGCTGCTGCGGCCATGGTCGTTCCCCATCCCCAGTGCCCCCCCCCTCCCCCCCCCACCTGTTTCGCGTCCAGCTGCCCCCCCACCACCCCCACCTGTTTCGCGTCCAGCTGCCCCACCCGCGCCTCCAGCGCCTCCACGAACTGCGCGCCCCACTCCGGCGGCGGGCAGTAGCCGTATATGGACAGCACCGCCGCCACCACCGCCAGGTCCCCCCCGCGCATGCGGCTAAGCAGGGTGGGGCTGCTGCCGGGCTGCTGCCCTTGCTGCTGTGGCTGTTCCGGCCAGATGAGGCGGTCCAGCAGTGCGGCCAGGAAGTCCTCCGTAATGGCTAGGGAGCCTGCGGGGGGGGGAGCGGGGAGCGGGGGGGGGTTAAGAAACGAAGAATACCCATTGTGTGGACTGCCAATGGCAAACAAGAGGGGGGGGAGAAGGAGGAAGCAAGGCAACGCTAGTTGGTGCCGCGGTTGTGAGAAGGAGGAGAGCAACAGCAGGCGGTGTTCCTGCTTCACAACCCCGGGCACAGGATGCGGGGCCGCCCTGACCCCCACCCCCCACCCACCCTTAGCCAGGCTGAACAGCAGAGTGGCGTAGCTGCGCGGGCGCGTGAGTCCGGGCAGCGCGGCCAGCAGCGCGGACTGCAGGGAGGCCACCCAGGCGCCTGTGAGGGGGAGGCCCTGCAGGGGGGGGAGGGGGGAAGGAGGGAATCATGGGGATCATGGATTGGGAGCAGCAAAGCCGCGGAGGCAGCCAATTGCTCCCTCCATTCAATTTCCCTCTATGCCGTACAAACACCCCCTCAGCCCCCCACCTGCCGTACAAACAGCCCCAGCAGGTCCACCAGCTGCTCGCCGCTCAGCTCGCCCAGCATCTCGCGACTCTTGCCGGCCAGGCGGGAGAGGAAGGCGGGGCCCAGAGAGGGGGGCAGCCTGGGGGGGAGGGCAGAGTTGCATCAGAAGAGCGATGCAGCAGCAGCTTCAGGGGGGCAGAGTAGCGCGCAGGAGCCTCCCAATACACAGCATAGCAGCTCCTTCCCCCTCCCACCCCTTCCCTCCCACTCTCACTTGCTGTACGACGCCAGCGCGGTGGCCAGGTTCCCCACGTCCTCTGCCGTACAGTGTTTTAGCACGTACGACAGCCGCGCGCCCATCTTCTCCGCCGCCTCCTCATCCAGCCGCACCCCCAGGAGCGCAGCTGAGGCGGCCACCGAGCAGAGGTGGCGGGCGAGGGAGCCGTCTAGACCGCTCTGGATAGGGTGGAGGGGGGCAAGACAGACCAAGAGAGGGGATTATAAGAGGAAACGGACGAGCTGTATGACGAGGCTTCACCATTTGGGTTGCTACATTGGAGTTCAAGGGTCTCGTTGACGACGTGGTTGGTGTGAGGAGGTGCCGTAACGTTGCTTCGCTGGGGTCAGCTGCATGCATGCAGGCGGGTTCGTGCCGTGTATCGCATACCCTCTCGTACGTCCCCATGCCTGACGCTCCTCCAACCCCACCGCCCCCCCTCACCCCAACCACATCATCAAACATCCCCACATCCTCCCACCTCGAACAGCTTCATGATGGCTGTGTTGAGGCGCGGGTTGCGGTACTGCAGTACGGCCAGTGCGGACAGCAGCGAGGGAACCGTGTGGGGGCGGTACCTGCGGGGGCGGGTGTGTGTGTTAAGGAAACTGGCCGCGAGTTGGAACGTACGGTACTGTGATAGCTGGAATATGCAAGTCCTCCCAAAGAAACACCACAAGTGAAATAGAGTCCGTTGGCTATGTAGTGATACAGCAATCGGGTAATAAACCATGGTAAAGCCCCGCCGTACGGTCCGTTAGTTTCCTCCTCTTCCCACCGACCCCCACCCCCCCCGGTCTCCCACCTGTATATTCCCTCGTCCGCGATGAAGGGCGCCAGCGAGGTGTTGAGCATGCGTGCCACCGCCCGCCGTTCCGCCTCCCCCGCCGTCTCCACGTCCACTAGCTCCGCCGTACGAAGCAGTACGGCAACTGCCAGGTAGGGCTGCCGGTCGTACCTGCGGGAGGGGGGAGGGGAGGGGGAAAAGAAGAATGCGGAGGGGGGGCTGTTGGGGGCAGTTTTGGGAGACTTGAGGTTAAAGCGGGTTCAGGGAGGCCTACAAAGCGGGTCTGTGATTGTCAGTTATCCTTATTTTTGCACCTCCCCCCGCCCCACCTCTCCCGCAGGTCGCCCTCCAGCCGCTGCAGCGCCTCCCAGCTCTCGCAGCGGCGCACCAGGTCGCTGAAGTCGATGTCCTGGGGGGAGGATGGAGAGCGAGGGTGGCGGAAGAGGGGCGGCGGTAGCAGAGGACCAGGTAAAGGGGACCACTGGTGAAGATAAGAAGGTGGTCGGCCTCCTTCATTGGGCTTGTGTAGACGCCGGGGCCCCCCAAACCCCCGTCCGTAATCGAGCCCTTCACCGATCTACCTGCAAGACGCGCTTCTCCGGATTGGCACGTGGCAGCGCGTCTGCTAGTTCCTGCAGAGAGGGGAAGTTTGGGTAGGGATGTGAGCAACAAGGAAGCGTGCAGCCGGAATGAGGCATGACGGATGGGAAGGTGGGTAGTGAGACTCACGTCCCAGTCTCGCGTCATCGCCTTGGAGGACCTCGCCACCACATCTCGTGCTGGTTGAGTAGGCGTCGCACGACGAGATACCGCCGTGAAGCCGCATGGAATAACTGCCGGAGAGCAATTCTGCCCGGAAATGTGGTGCCGACTGCGTTTGAAAGCACGTAAGGAATTATGAGGATGCCACGAGCATAATTCACTAAATTTTTGCAGTTTTACCTGCACCCGAGCCGGGGCTGCGCGATGTGCAGGTTCATGGCGTCGCCTGCAGCACACTAGCCTCCGCTACGCTAAGGGGTAACTCGTAATTGCTGTTGCAATTTATTAAGGAAATTCAATTGTCAAATCAGCCGTCGCATTAGCGCAAGCGTTTCGTGGTCCTTGTGCCTTGCCGCCACCCATGTATGTGTACAGGCAATTGACTTGCGTAATCCTGTAACAAGAAGCCTTGGCAACCCTATGCGCAAATTGGGTTTACGGAATTGCAGAAAGTTTCCATGCAAGCTTAAACTACTTATTAACGACTCAACATGCCAAACTGATTGAAGGCCGTCTGGTCCATAACGATACTGAATTATTCCCTCGTATAAGCTATATGCATATAGCTTATGCAATCCCTTCCGCAAAGCAGTGCGATATGGCGGGTGGGCCCAGGGGTCGGCGTCAGTCGCGCATAGAGTAGGCATGCCACAGGGCACCATGCGGACCCCAGCTGATCCCAAGGGTGTGCGGGGTCACGAAGCCTGGGACAAGTGGTGTCTTGCAACGGCAGTTACCGGCACCGTCTGCAGGCTGCGGGGGCTCTGTTGTTGTTGTGACCCCATTCGGCATCCCTGGCTGCAGAACTGAACTTTGTATCGATTCGTTAGTCATGAGGGAGAGTTTACAGAGTGCGGATAGGAATGGTAACCCAACCAGGCAGCACGTCCAACCAGCAACAACACAGATGACATACGACTTCTCATTTCTGCCTAAGCAGCGCGTGTCTTTGTACGCCTCGCCCTGACTGCTACAGTTCCAGTTGCGGGTACATATCACCTCCTGCTCCTGCTTGTCAGCTAATGCGACTCTACAATTCCTTGACCTACAGCAGCTTTTGAATAACGGCCCATGTTAAGAAGGCAAGTTGCCAGTAACGTCCAAAACAACTCCCTTCAGCCATTGCATTGCAGGCGTGAGGAGCCCCATCCTTTGGAAAACAGCACCAAACATCACAAGCAGTCCTCAACTCCAACCGAACGGCCGCCCAACAGCGCAACACCAACACCCAACACCATGCAACCACTGCTCTACACGCACCTGCCTGCCCATTGCTCCACTCCACCCTCCCTCTTCCGCCACTATCGGCCACTCCATCGTTTCCACTCCACCCTCCTACTTCACCCGCCTCAAGGCTGCGGTCACCTCCCAGCTCCCCTCACACGCCCCCCGCCCCGCCCCCCCGCTCCCGCCAGTCCCGAATCATGGACCTCAGCGCCCAATTGGGCGTCAGGTTGGCATGCGGCATCACCTCTCCCGTCAGAGGCGACCTACCACCACCACCACCACCACCACCACCACCACCACCACCCCTTCCTGCCCCCCTGCTGCCGCCACCTGCCCCCCTGCTGCCGCTGCTGGTTGTCAGCCACTGCGCGATGGCTGCCCGCTCGTAGGAGTGCCCGTCCGCCGCCACCACCGGCTCCTGCATCACCTCCTGCGTGATGGGGCACACGAACTCGGGAGGCGGATGCAGCGGGGGAGCGAGGGCCGCAGGAGGCGGCGGCGGCGAAGGAGGCGGCGGCGGCGGCGGCAGGAAGGGAGCACTGCTGCTGCTGGCTGCGTGAAGCGACGGTGGAGGCAGGGGTGGTGCGCTGGCGCCGGCAAAGGGATCCTCCTCCACGGCCGCCTGCTGCTGCTGCTGCTCCCTCCCACGCCTCCCCCCCCTCCTGCGCGCTTCAGCCTCAGCCTCAGCCTCAGCCTCAGCCTCAGCCTCCTCCTGCTCCTGCTGCCTCAGCTGCCGCCTCAGCTCCCGCAGCGCCGGCTCCACCTCGGACATCAGCTGCGACACCAGTCGGGCCGCTGCACCCTCCGCTGCTGCTGCTGGTGGTGCTGCCGCCTCCGCTGCTGCTGCTGCTGCACCCGCCCCGCCGGAAGTACCTCCACTGGTAGCACTACTGGTAGCAGCGGGGGCAGGAGGCGGCGGGTGATGCCAGCTGCCCAGCGCGCCTCCGCCTCTGCTGCTCCCAGCTGTGCTGCTGCTGCTGCCGCCGGCGCGCATGCCGGCGCCCTCAGCAGCACCTGCCGCAGCCGCACCTGTTCCCGCTGCTGCCGCGTCCTCCCCCCATGTGAGCAGCGGGTAGAGGGCGGCCAGCAGCGGCCAGGCCTGCTGGTGGGTGAGGGCGGGTCGCACCCCCGGGGCAAGCAGGCGGGCGGGGGCGGCGTCGGAGAGCGCCAGCAGCACCTCCCGGGGGGCGGGGGCGGGGGTGAAGGAGGAGGAGGTGGAGGTGCTGGGGGCGGAGGAGGCGGCTGGGCTGCCGCAGGTGAGGAGCTGCGGGGTGGGTTGAAGAGGAGGAGGAGGAGGTGGTGGTGGTAGGGTGTTCGGGTCAGTGGGCGGGCGGACAAAGCGGAAAGGGCAGGGAGGGGGTGCTGGGTAGAGGGGGTTCACGGTGGTGGCCCTGGTGGGGCTGCGAGGAGCGATGAAAAGTGACTGTGAACACAGGAGTCGGGCGAGTACGGTACATGCGCGAGGTCATCACAATGTGTTTGTAAGTAGGTCTTCCGTGCGCTGGCCAGGCCACCCGTGGGAGCCCCCCAATCAGCACCCCGACGCCAGCCGCCACACTGCCCTCCCCCACCTGCAGCTCCGACCCACCTGCAGCAGAACCTGGCCCAGGCCCCGAGCCATCGCTGTGACCCGCCCACAGCCTGCCTCCCCGCCGCCACCGCTGGCTGCCTGGTCGGGCTGAGCGGCGGGGCCGGCGGGGGATGCGGCGGAGGGCTGCTGTTCCTGCTGCTGCTGTGGTGGGGCCGGCAGCCGCAGCGGCACATGGAAGCCGCACCCGGGGGCAATCAGGCAGCGCGGCCCCGCGTCCTCCTCCGCCGCGGTGGCACCCCCAGCATCTCCTCCGCTGCAGCAGCTGCTGCCGCATGCCGCTGCTGTGTCCACTGCCGCTGCCGCTGCCGCGCCTGTGGCTGCTTGTGTTGCTGCCTGCGCTCCCGGGTGGGGCGGGTCGAGCAGCAGCAGGATGTGCGACGCGGAGAGCTCCCTGCGTGGGGCGGTGTGGGGGCGCATGGACGGCCAATTGCGTGTTAGGACTCGGGCATTGCACCCCCGTGCACGCTGCATGTCCAGCCGTGCAGCGTGCAGGGGGGACGAGAAGGGGAGGGCAGGCTCTCGCTGTGATCAGGAGGCAAAGGAACGCGAGACGGAAGACAACAGTAAGCTGCGGGACGCGAGTTGCACCCCCAAGGTGGCCTCCGTGTACCGAAATGCGAACGCGGAGGGCCTTCCGCGTTGCTTCGGAACAAGGGTGACACCCCCGTTCCACAGCTTGTTGTCCTCTTCCTTCTCCCGGTCCAGTGCGTTCTACCGGTAGTTTTCGCCAGCTTTCCGCCCCGTTTTCGTGCTCTTACGCTACATCCCTCGCACACAACGAGTTGCCAGCAATCTCCCCCAAGTCCCGCCGCCGACCCACATCCCGGCACCATCCCCCAACCGCATTCCCGCCACCCCACGACACACCTCACCGGGCCCACCCCGCCCCCACCAACTGGTCCCCACCAAGTTCCACCTCCAACAAAGTCACCATCCTCCCAGTACGGCAACCCTACCTGACAGCCACATCGTTCCGTACCAAATGTACGACAGCTGACACCAGCTGCTGAGCTATCCCCACCCGGGCCTCCCAGCGGTCCAATGTACGGCAGTAATTCCCCGGACCGCCCGTACTCCTCGACCCAGATTCCGATCTGGATCTGCATCTGGATCCAGCCTGCTGCTCCTGCTCCTGCTCAGCAAGCTCGGTGGTTTCGAGGCCATCAGGTAGGAAGGAGGAGCTGAAGAGGGCCTCCCGGAGGGTGCAGCTGTACGGCACTTGCTCGTACACGTGGCACGCCAGGCCGGGGCAGCAACCCAGGTACGGCACGATGCTGTCGTGGCGTACGGCGGACTGCAGTGCCCGACCCGCAGCTGCTTCGGCCCAGAAGAGCTCCACGTCTGGCGCGGTCGATTGGGAGGAGGAGGTATGAGAGCAGGTTTGGGTGAGGCGGGTGAAAAGAGTGACGGTGAGGCGGGTGACGGTGAGGAGTTGCGGCGCTGCCGGAGGAAGTCAACGGCCCATGGCTGCCGACAGCGGCAACGACGCAAGCAGCAGCATCCAGATCTCAGCGGCCGGTTTGTGACAATGGACTCAATTCCACGTGTTCAAGGTCACAAAGAACACTCCTAAAGCTCTACTTCTTAGAAACCGCACGCACCCCAGCGCAGCCCACCCAAAAGCCACGAACCCATCGCCCCCAGTCCTACGGAGCCGCTAAGCCACTGCACCGCACATACCTGCCAGGCAGCCCAGATGCTGCTGCCGTACCACCACGGCAGCCCCTCGCAGCTGGGCGTCGTACACCACCATGCCGTACGGACCGCCCAGTGTACGGCAGGTGAAGCTCAGCTGGTCGGTGGCCTGCCGTACTTCTGCCTCGCCGTACTTTGGTACGGGACAGGGCCTCGCCAGGGCCTTCTGCATGGCTAGGTGCTCGTCGATGTACTGCGTGTGTTGCACGCATGGCAGCGAGGACACGACTTATCCTTACATATGTCCGGTCGACCTAGATTTCGGTCGTTCTAGCAATGAGGAAATCCCAGGCTTGCTTTGCTCCCTGCCACCAGTGTACATGACGCACAGCCTGTCCGACCCTTGCTCGTGCTCCTCCCTACTGTCACTAAACACGGCCCCACTCCTTGCATCGAGAGCCCATGCAACACCCCGCCTCAATCCCGCTCCTCCATGTGCCCCTCCGGTAGCCCCGCGCACCCCTCCCTCCCTCTTCCTAGCTGCCCCACTCCTTAATGTTTTTTTGTTGTGTTGCTTTGCTTTTGAGGCCTGTCAAGTTTACCCACCTCCTTCAGGCTCCTGAGCGCCCAGGAGGCCGCCGGCACCAGCACGTAGTGGTGGCACAGCTGCGGACCACAGCAGGAGCAGGGGGAGAGGGAGGGGAGGAGTGAGAAGGGAGGAGGGGAGATGGATACAGGGAAGGGAGGGTGTTAGGAATGATACATACGAGGCAGCTGATCGTGTGATCACTGCAATTGCAGGCGGCCAGGCAAGCCGGCCAAGGTGCGGGTACCAAAAGGAGGGCAAGAGGCCGTTGCCAGGTGTGCAGGGGGCCACTGGGTCGCCGCGCGGCCTAGGAGGAAGGGAGGGGTGATGCAGCTCCCAAGCCTCCGCCATGCGCCCATGCGGCCAGTGTGTCTTGCTGCACCCGTCAGCTGCGGGTGTATCTGGTCCATCGGATCACATCATCCATCCGGTTCAGCCCGACATGGGTCGCCCCTCGCCCACGTACTGGCTTCGCTCTTTCGGGCCGGGCGGGTCGGGCTGGCTCACATGTTGCAACCCATGTTGACGCCTTATCCCTCAGTCAGTTAGTTGTTTACTTTTTACCCCCCCCCCCCCCGGCCCCCCCCGCCCACCTTGAGCCAGGTCCATGCGGATGCCGCCACACGACCCACCGCCGACAGCACCGCGGGCCCCGCAGCAGCAGGCCAGGGAGCCGCCTGAGGGGCCGGGAGGGCGCATGGACAGGCGGGGTGGGGTCGGTTCTGAAGGAGGCAGATGGGAAGCGATGTGAGGATGGTGGCTTCGGCGACAGGTGTGTACGGCTCAAGGTGTGCAGATGCCGGTAGGTGAGCTGAGTAAGTAGCGCCGGGCGGAAAAGGCCCTAAGGAGGGGCAAACCCCGCGAGGCAGCTGCCTTTGGGGTGCGAACGTGGGATCCTTCTTGGCCCGAAAGGTGACGAACTGGGGTGTATGTCAGGGCTCATGTGGTCCAACACGCCTCCTACCAGGCTGGTGCCGGTAGCCTCTGCTGCCGTGGTCCTTCCACCTTGAGACGGCCCCTCATCTGAGCCATTTGGGGGCTCCAAAGGATAGGCTGCGGTAGATCTGGGCGGCCGGGATGCAGTAGGTGGAGCTGCTCCTGCCGGTTGCTGACACTGGGATGGGTGAGATGGAACTCGGGATGAGGACGGCTGGGAGGGCTGTCGTAGAGGCCAGGAAGGCCCTGCGGCAGCAGCAGGGTTCACGCCTATGTCCAAGGGGTATTTTAAAGCGTCTGGTGAGCTGGAAGAGTCTGCGAACGGGAGCGACGGAGGCGTTGCGGTCGGTCGAAAAGGCGCTAGTGATAAGTTGATCAAAGAATCCTGAAAACGGAGAACCCGTACAACACTATAATAGAGACGAATGCCCTTTACTGAAGGCTTAGCTAACTGGCATGTGCGCGCGGCAGCTCACCACAACCTAACCGAACTTGAAGTCATGGATTAAGCAGACAAAAGCAGGACAGCATAGAGGAGGCTGTATTACGTTCTATTCATAGCTTGCGGAAAGCTAATTAATTGGCATGTAGCCTCTGGAAACTTGAGCGCACAACATCCCACTACCGCAATTGAGCATACAGATGCTACACAACCAATAAGCCTACCATTTAGGTAATCTGCTTCGGCATCTGGAAGCAAGGCCCTTGCTGCTTTGAGTAGCAGGTGACGTGGGTCAGCATCCATACGGCTTAGTGTGGCAACTTTATGTACCGGAAGAAAGATTTGCTGTGTGTATATTATGTAAATTGTCACAAATCTACCTGCTGCCACTAATAAACAAACGACCCACAGACCCACGCAGCCGAATGGGCGGATACTGCAGAAGCTTATGACTTCCACCCCCGATGCTTAAAGACAACGGGTATACCACTAATGCGCTAAATAGTTACTCTCTTTACTGACTAAAAGGTCACAACTACAATACATCGTAGCCTACAAAGACCAACCACCTCTGTTCTTGCACCTTTCACCGCCCCGCTTTTCTAAAGCCAAGAAAACTGGCGCCTCGAGGGACCTTGGCGTTTCAGGTAAGGGTTATAATGACGGTGAAAGCATATCGCGCTTAGGGCGCCTCCGGCGTTTGTGCATGCCGCCTCTGACGAAGTGCCTGTGCTTCCTTGCAATGCCCGCATATCGTCACCTCCGTCGGGCTCGCTGGTGCAGCCGCCTTGGCCGTATAAGCGGCCATTCTTCCAGGCCACGCTTACCAAGCAAGAGATTCAGGTAAGAAAGCGACCCACCGGCAGTCCTCTGCGTTGCAGGGGTGTGTCGCCCAACTATCATCCTATGATGTCTAACGGCCCTCTGGAAATGTGTAGAACGCAGTAGCCGGCCAAAGAGCTCAACTACAGTGGGAACAACTGACCCGTACCCTGGCTTTCCAACCCTTGTCTCCGCAGGCTGACCTATCCTATATCCTCTCTCAAACAAAGCGAGAAGCACGCCAACCCGGAAGGTTTCATGACCAGGTTCCAGGGTCTCGAGGAGACGTCAAATAACATGCCGAACGTTTGAGTGGTTACTTAGGGTTAGGCCAAGTTATTATCCTGCATACGCATTTAGTTAGGATCATGTCAGGTTGATATGAAGTTACGTAGGAAGGTTAGTAGGCGGTGTTACGCAGGCAGGTAATGCATGTCGACATCTACTTGGGAGTTTCTTAGGGAGGCCGCTATGATGTAGTCCAACCCAGAGTTTACAGATGAATGCCAAGTTCTTATTGGTACTGACAGAGGATTAGTTAGCCCTAGCTTGCGGGTCCAGGGGTCGGCCTTAGGCAGGCAAGATGAACAGTTCCAGTCATAAAACGGAGTGGTGGGATCCGCCCCATTCCCCCAATGCTGACAAGCTTGTCATTACTGTGTAACATAAGTACTCTGATCCGCATCTGCATTTTCGGTCTCGTCTTACAGCTCCCTACCATAAGCCGGCAGCAGGAGGGCAATCGCTGCCAAAGCACCAAAGCAGTGCGCGGTGAGAGATCTATAGCCTCCATCCGTACCTCCTGCACTCCCCACCAGCCATCAATGCCGCCACGGCCACACAACAACACAGCGCCATTAATTCATACAATTCCTTGCACGCAAGCATGTCTTCTAAGACCCCGCCGTCCTTGGGAACAATCTAAACAGGTCTCCGCGGACAGATCTGGATCTCTTCACTCTAAAATAGATGGAGGAGCCAGGACACCATCCCACCCTAACCACCATGCACATGCCATACAGCGCCATCATCCTCCTTCCACCACCACCTTCCTCCTCACGCCTGCAAATGCCCTACCACCTGCACTCCCGCCATCCCTGTCCCAGCGCCTGCCGTACACCCCGCCTCCCCTACACCTCCTCCCGCCGCCCCCATCAGCTCCCCCAGCCGCTCCCGGATCCGCCGCTCCTGCTCCGAGCCCCGCCTGCACGCCGCCAGCCGCACCTGCAGCCGCGACACGCGCCGCAGCCGCTGCCGCTCAGCCGCCTCCTGCTGCTGCTGCTGCGGTGAGTGCCGGGATGAGGCGGAGTACGACGGCGAATCGTACGACAACGGGTACGGCAGGGAGGAGGACTCCTTCCGAGGAGGCGGCAAGGGCTGATCATCAGCCCTATGGGGCCGCCCCTGTGGTGAGGACCCTGCGTGAGGTGATTGTGACCCATGGGTCCCTCCCCCTGGGGCGGGAACCGCGGCGGCTCCTAGCTTTGCAGCGCTGCTCAGCAGATGCGGCAGTGGCGTCGTGATGGGCGGCGGTGCTGCGGCTAGCACCAGGATCTCCGCCGGAGCAGCCAAAACCCGCTCTTCCTCCTCCCCTTTTTCAACCCCATCGCCCCTGCCGTCCTCGCCGTGGCCACCCGCAGTAGTTAGTACCCCGTCAGGTTTGCCGTACGCAGCACTGCTAGTACGACCACCCGTGACCACTGCAGTGCCGTACACGCTTCGCCCGCGACCAACTGTCGTCACTTGTACTGCCGGTAGCAGTTGCTGCGGTTGCTGCTGTGGGTGCTGCTGTGGCTGCTGCGGGTGCACACCTCGTCTCGAGGCGTTGTCATGAGTGGGTATTGCAGCAGCTGCAGCGGCAGCTGTTGCTGCTGTTGCCGTCCCTGACAAGGCCGCTGCTGCTGCTGTTGGCTGCATGAGCGGCGAGTACGGCAGCCGCTGGTGGGGCTGGTGAGGTGGCAGCTGGGGCGCTGCGGGGGAGCCAGCAGCGAGGTGGGCCCCCCCACCTCCTCCTCCTCCCCCACCTCCTCCTCCTCCTGCTACTGCCCCTGCTCCTGCTGCTGCCACTAGGGACGGCTCCTGCTGCTGCACTTGCTGCTGCGGCGAGGCCTCCTGCGGCTGCTGCTGCGCCCGGCCCCCTCCGTCCCGCAGCCGGATCAGCATCCGCAGGTGCGGGGGCAGCGCCGCCTCCACCGCCGTCCTGCCGCAGCCGCCGCCACCGCTGCCGCCGTTGCCGTTGCCGTTGCCAACCCCCGCAGCAGCAACCACCACCCCACCCGCTCCCGCACTCACATCCGCTGCCGCAGGGCTCGGCCCAGCAGGGCCCGCCCTCCCAGCAACACCTGAGGACGGCTGCTGCTGCCGTTGCTGCTGCCGTTGCTGCTGCCGTTGCTGCCCCGCCTGCTGCTGGTGTCCATCCGGTGGCAGTGCGTCCGGGTGGAGCGGGTGCAGCAGGCGCATGGAGAGCTTGGGGCCGTGGGCGCGGAGCTCGGAGGCGGCCAGGCGCACGGACACGCACTGCCACAGCCGCACTGACCACAGGGGCGCGGAGGAGGAGGAGGGGGTGGAGGAGGTGGGGTCTGGGGTGTCGTAGATGGCTGCGTGGTCGTTTGAAGTGCACAGCCTGACATGGGGAATGTGGCGGAGGTGAAGGAGGGACAAGGGGGGAGAAGGAGGGGGAGGGAGGGAGGGAGAAGGAGGGTCATACATAATGGTACTATTATAGAAGGAGAGAGGCATGGTGGAGGCAGAGAGGAAGCGGAACGACGGAGCGAGGAGTTCGTCTGACTGTCCAAGGTTATCTAGAAAAGCCTTCCGCAAGGTCACACAACCCATGCAGCACCGTCCCGCTCCCTGCTTCGCGCGCCAGGCGTAAGAAACCAACATATCGATATGAACCCGACTGCTTTCTTTCCTGTACCCATTACCCCCCCCCCCGAGCCTCCGTTCCATCCGCACCCTACCCCACCCCCACCCCAAACCCAAAACCCACCGCAGCCCCCGCCTCTCCGCGGCCGCAAACGCATCCTCCTCCGCCGCCCGCTCCTCCTCCTCCCGGCCCCGCGGCGGCATCCGCGGCCCGCCCCGCCTGTCCAGCAGCTCCACCCGCCCCCGCAGCTGGTAGGCGGGCACGAAGAGCTCCAGTCGGGAGCCGGAGATGCCGCACACCTGGGGAGCGAGGAGGGGGGATGGAAAAAACATGAGGAGGGAGGGAGGGATGGAAGGTGGGAGGGGGAGGCGAGGTGGGAGAAAACCCTGCTGAAGCAGGCACCACATTACTACCGTAATCCGTGCAGCAACATGGTGTCTAGTTAGCTGTTGAAAAGGGCGCGGCTCGGTCGTCCTCACACACCCCGCACCAGCGCTCTCTCCACATGCGGCTGCCGGTGCAGCAGCAGCAGCAGGTACAGCTCGCCGCACTCCTTCTGCGCCGCCTTGGCCGCCCGGTGCCGCGAGTTCATGGTGGCGGCGGCGGCGGCCAGCGCGGCGTGCGGCAGCGGTGGCGGCCGGCCCGCCAGCGCCGCCAGCAGCTGCCGGTGCACCACCACATCGGCGTACCTTGGGGGAGGGAGAGGGTGGGCGGGTGGGGGAGAGGGTGGGGGGGGGGTTACTAATTTTAGCTCTCAGCCCAGTCTTCCTCCCTCTCTCTCTCACACACACAAGCACAATACCACATACTCCTCTTCTCCCGTAGCGTCTTTGGTGGGGACGCCGTTTTATAACTTCCAGAACGTTCCTACTCGCGGCCAGTTTTCTCAACACACACGCAACCACACCCACCTGCGAATGGGCGATGTGAAGTGCGTGTAATACTGCAGCGCGAGTCCGTAATGGTACGACAGCGGGGTGCCCGGCGGGTAGGTTCCGGAGCTGCCGTACGCGGCCTCACTCATGGCGCGAGTGGCGAGGCTCTTGATGAGGGTGGCGGCGGCGGGGTGGGCGGAGGCGGCGGCGGAGGTGGCGGCGGCGTGCAGGGCGGCGGCGAGGGAAGCGTTGGAGGCGGGGTCCAGGGGCGCGTCGCCGGAGTGGGGCGCCAGCAGGGCGCGGAGCTGGGGAGGGGGTGGCGGGTGAGAGGGTGCATATGGATACGATGGATACACAGTCCAAATTTGGCTGGAGTATAGGATACATTGCGCAGAGTCATATACTTGTTGGGTTGCTAGCAGCAATGGTGAGGTGGTGCGGGTGTCAGAGGAGAAGACTCAAGAGGAACAACGCTGCATGATGATACTACGTGCGGGTATGCGGGCATGCCCGCATGCGGCGACGTGCCGGTAGGCTTCTACCGGTTAGGGAGGCTGCTGGACCCCCCAGCCCCGCCCCCTCCCCCCCCCCCGCCCCACCTGCTCCACTGCCTGCGGTCGCGGCGGCGGGTGGTGCCGCAGCAGTGCGGCCCCCGGGTAGGCGGTCGCGATGCGCTGCGCCACCGCCGAGTTGGCTGCGATCATCAGCTCCGCCACCACATCCATCATGGGGATCTGGGGGGGAAGTCAATATATGGAAAGTGGAGCAATGGAGAAATGAGGGGAAAAGGAGGGAAGGGGAGGGGAGGGAAGGAAAAGAATATGAACCATGTATGGAACGTAAGAAGAGGGAGAGCAGGGAGGGGGTTGAGGTTCAGTGGGGCTCGGGGTGCACCCCAGGGCGCGAGCGCAGCCCAGTGTAGCTCCTCTCCTCCTGACCCCTTCCTTACCGCCTTTCCCAACCGCCATTCCCCACCGCGCGCTCCCCCCCTGCCCTCACCTTCTGCTTGCACACCACCTGGCACGGCGCCCCGCTGACGGGGTCGGTCTTGAAGCGCAGCTCCGCCCCGGCCAGCTCCAGTGCGCCCGCAGCCAGCCGGGCGGAGTGCAGCTGGGCTGGAGGAGGGGGGGAGGCGGGAGGGGAGGGGGGGGGGAGGCGGGAAGGTGAGTGGTGCGTGTCTACCAGCATTCCATGCGGCTCTCAGAAGGCTCTACACCGGGAGCACTGTAAGGCCGGCACAGCGGACTCAGCACCCCTTGCTGCTGCCCCCACAGACCCCCCACTGCCTACCGCCGTTTCTATGTCCCCTCCTGAGCCGGCTACCATGTTTGCACCCCATGGTGAAGTCTACATGTCCTACAGCTCGTCAGTTGAGTCCACCCCTCCCCCCTCAGTCAGTTATTTGTTCCCTCTTTACCGCCCCCCTCCCCCCCCCTCACCCGCCAGCTCCGCCAGCACCCGCAGCGACCGCCGCAGCACCCCCACGTGACCCGCCGGCAGCTCCCCCCCCGCCCCCGCCCCCGGCCGCCCCTCCAGCACGTCCTGCGCCTGCTGGTAGTGCAGCTGGTGCGCACTGCGGATGATGGTGCGACCGAACCACACGTCCTCCACCGCATACTCCCACTCCGCCCCCCCCTCCTCCTCCGTTCCTCCCTCCTTTCCTGCTCCTCCTCCTCCTCCTCCACCGTCATCCCTCGCAGCACGCATATCAGGTCCGCTCCCGCTCCTCCCGCTCCCGCTCCCGCTCCTCCCGCTCCCGCTCCCGCTCCTCCTGCTCCTCCTCAGCGTCCACACCACGCTCACCGCCAGCCGCTCCACCCCCTCCCGCAGCGACGCCAGCTGCTCCGACAGCAGCCCCGGCAGCATGTCCAGCCGCCGGTCCACCAGGTACACGCTGGTGGCCCGCTCGCGCGCCTCGCCGTCCAGCATGCCGCCCGGGGGCACGAACCAGCTCACGTCCGCGATGTGCACACCCACCTCCACCAGCTGGCTGCTGCCGGGGCTGCTGCTGCTGCTGCTGCTGACACCGCCGGCACCCGTGTCGGCATCAACAAGGCGGCTGTCCTTGCCAACAGTAGCAGCAGCAGCCGCAGTAGTAATGTTACTAATAGCAGCGGTAGCAGCAACCCCAGGAACGGTAGAGAAGGAGGAGGAGGCAGAGGAGGTAGTAGCAGGGGTGGTGGTGGGATCCTCCAGGAAGCGCACGTGCATGGCGTCGTCCACATCCGTGCAGCCCACCGGGTCGATGCTCACCACGAAGAAGTCGGGGCCGGTGAGGTCGCGGCGCGCGGCTCGCTCGGCGGGGGGCACCCGCCAGTCGGAGGGGTGGGAGATGCGGGGCAGCTCGGCTAGGGCGGCCTCGCAGAAGGGCTGCAGGGAAGGGGCCGGGTTGGGGAGGCGGGAGGTGAGGGGCGGGGAGAGGGGAAGAAGAGGGAGCGGAAACAGCTGCAAGGCGTGTTGGGGGGCAGGAAATGAGACCCATGGCCGTCCCAAACGCGCTGAATGCGCCCTATCCAATTCGCCCACGCCTCCTTCCCCCACACCATCCCCACCACGTGGTTTGGCATGGTTATTGACCCCTCCTCCTCCCCCCCACCTTGTTCACGATGCCGCACTGCACCAGCACCGCCTCGCTCTCCGCACGCAGGTCATTCAGCCGACCCAGCACCCGAGTCATGTGGCCGCGAGGGTACCTGCATGCGGGAGTGGGGTTGTGGGCGGGAAACGACCCATGGGTCATGTACGATACTCTTGAGATGTGTGACACGCAGACAGAGGCCCATCAGCAGGCGCCCCAACATTCCCAGCCCTTCCAGGCCCCCGCACCACCCGCACGCCCCTCCACCTGCTGTGTCGCTCCCATGCATCCACCCGCACCACGAAGCGGCAGCCCAGCAGCGCCCCGCCCTGCCGCGTCACCACCGCCACGGGGGGCAGCCGCCGGTCCAGCGGCAAACACAGCAGCAGCTCGGACCGCCGCTGAGGCTGCTGGGGCCCGCCTCCGCCTCCGCCGTCAACAGCTGCCCCCTGCTGCTGCTGCATGCGGGCTCGTAGCGCCACTTCGTCCCGGTGCGACAGGCACACTACAATGTCCCGTGGGTCGCGATGCAGGATCGCCACCACCTCCGCGGCCGGCAGCGACAGCGCGCCTGCAGCAGCGGCCTCCGCGAGCGCCAGCGCGCCCTCCTCCTCCTCACCGTCCGCACCCCCGCCGCCGCCGCCACCCCCCTCGGTACCGGCTAGCAGCTCGGCACCATAATCGGTATCGGCACCGCCGCCGGCGTCAGGCTCCGCCTCCGCCGCATTGGCGGCGGCGCCGGTGCTGCCAGCACCACCAGCGGCACCAGCACCAGCACCACCAGCACCAGCACCCCCACTACCATCAGCTGCCCCCGGCGGCAGCAGCCGCACCGCCACCAGGTCTCCCTCCATGGCGCGGTTCATGGCGCCCCGCCCCGACACCCGCACCAGCCGCCCGCCCGCCGCATCGGGGCCGTGGCCGCAGTCCACCACCGCCTCGCGGGGGAAGCGCCGCGACACGCGGAGCACTCCCTGGGGGGGGAGGAGGAGAAGGGTAGGGGGAGGGAAGGTTGAGGGTAAGGGGGGGAGGGCGTGAGGGAGGCACACCGGGTGCTGGTGAGAAGGGAGCAGGGCTGCAGGGCACCGCTTGATGCCAACCAACCTCTCTGTGCAGTGGTGCGCAGTAAGCCCATCGTCCCCAGCAGCCGCACTGGTCCGTACGTCAAAAGATGTTCACCCATCCCACCACCCACCCCCACCCTTTCGGGCTGGGCGGGTCGGGCTGGCTCACATGTTGCAACCCATGTTGACGCTTCTCCCTCAGTCAGTTAGTTGTTTCCTCTTTACCACCCACCACACACTACCAACCCACCCCCACCCACCACCCACCCGCAGGAGCTCCCCCGCCGCCAGTCCCTCCTCCACCTCCTGCTGGGACAGGTGCGGACTGTACGACACATCGCCGCCTCCGCCGCCGCCGTCAGCTGCCGCCGCCGCCAGCTTGGCTGCGCAGAGGGAGTCGTACAGCTCCGAAACCGGAGACCCAGGTGGCCAGTAGCGGCTTACGTAATCCGCGGCGGAGAGTACGGTAACGCCCGCAGCCGCGGCTTCGGCCAGGTTAGCTGCCAGAGCAGGACTGCGGGGTGCGTTGGGGGGTGCACATGGGGGATTCAAATGGACTTTACTGATGCTGCCGTACTCCTGACGTCTCTAGTACCATGGTGTGCGTACGACGCTTAAGCCGTACACGTCCCGGCGAAAGCAGCTCTAAGCAACAGTACGGCGCCGCAAGCAGCGGCCCCATGCTCCCTGCTCCCATGCGGCTTGCTTCACCCCATCCCACCTTATCGGCCCCCCACCAGCACTGCCGTCGCCACCTCCCTCAGCTGCTGCCTCCGCCTCCGCCTCCGCCGCTGCCGCCGCCGCCAGGGGGTCCGAGAGCACCACTACGGGCAGCCGGGCCCCCAGGTGGCGCGCGTAGTACAGCCCGGCTGCCAACGCAGGGGGCAGGGAGTCGCTGGGGGCGCGGGCGGGGCGGGACAGGGGTGAGGAAGGGGGAAGGCAGGGTGGGGGATCAGGGTGTTTGTTACTGGTGCACAAAACTGGGCAGGAGCGTCCTCGCCAGCCACCACTGCAGACAGCCACACGCCCCCAGCCCCCTACCCCAGCCCCGCTTTGTCCCTCTTCCTTCGCTTCCTTTCCCCCAACCCCCCTGCCCCCACCCCGCCACTCACTCCGCCCCCGCAGCCGCCAGTGCGGTGTCCAGGCAGTGCAGGTCGGCGAACAGCACCGCGCGGCGGCGGCGGTCGCGGTAGAGGGCGCGCAGGCGGGCGACCTTGCGACCCGCCCCGCGCTGCGAGAGCTGCGGACGCAGGGGGCAGCAGGCGGCAGCAGGCGGCAGCAGGTGGCAGCAGGCGGGGCAAAAAGGATTGAAACGAAGTCGCCACGCAGGAGGCGACTGTGGGGAGGGCGAAGCAGGAAGGGAGGGGCACACAGGCGGGCGAAGCAGTGCGGGCCTCGGACGGCAACCTCCGCCAAGCCCGTGTTCTACGACCCACAGACCGTCTGCATTTGATGGGCTTTTGTCGTATTAATATACAGTACCTGTGTAAGGACCCGAATGACCTGCCCTTCCGGCAACCTACCTGTCGTACGCAGCTCGCCAGGACGATGTAATTTGAAATGTCCGGCAGTTCAAACAACTCCAGCAGCTCGGAAAGCGCCGCCGCATCAGGAATGAGGTAGTACGGCGCGGAAGCGGACAGCGTGGCAGTTGGAGCGCTGCCGTACCAACTGCCTGCCCCAGCATCTCCAAACGAAGAGGCCGTTGTTAGGGGTGTCGTACCGACCCTGCAGGTGTCGCATGCCTCGCTGCCGCAGGAGACATCAACCCGCAGGTAGGCCTCCTCAAGGTCCGGAGTGACGGTGTGGGTACGGCGGCGGTATTTGTACGACAGCTTGGTCTGAGGGGGGTGACGAGGGAAGGGATGTTTATAAAAGGATTTCCGTGCACCCCGTTGCCATGTGGTCCTCTAATACCGGAACTCCGGTCCCCCTTATAACTTTCGCATTCTAATACCGGTACGGGGAGATTGAGGGAAAATGGGGAGGTGTTGGGAGCTACTGAGGGAATAGTTGTGCTGTGATAGGGTCCCAGTCGTCGTTTGTATGGACAGCTCCAGGCGCATACTCCTGGGTTGGGGGCTAACTGTTGCGCAGGCGGGCCGGGAGAACGTATCACATCCGGTAAATTGTTTACAAATGCCATGTTGCGTGCTTACTTGGCAAGCTACCCATGCCATCACGAAGCAGCAACGAGATCACCTCCTTGCTAGGCAACAACCCTCTGTGCACGATTAAGGTGCGCTAACGGAACGATTGTCTTTTAGCATTTAATTCATACTAGCATAATTGGATAGGCAAGGATAATTGCAGCGAGAAACGAGGACCAACGTGAGCAAGAAGGAAGCTAGTGTACGGCTTCGTACTTTGCTGTCATTTACCTCAGCCAACCGCAATAGCTGGCTCCTTTTCGCTGCTGAAAGCAGCAGTCTACCCTTAGGTTAGGCTTTACACTCCATCAATACCCTCTTTAGCCGCAACCTTTAGGAAGGGAGACTATCTGGAAGTTCTTACGAAACAGCAACCATGCCGCAGAACGAGCATATTGAGCTTCACCAAAAGCGCTATGGACGCCGCTTGGATTATGAGGAGAGGAAGCGGAAGAAGCAGGCACGCGAGGTGCACAAGCGGTCCGCTTATGCGCAGAAGGCACTGGGTATTAAGGGCAAGATGTTTGCCAAGAAGCGCCATGCGGAGAAGGCCATGATGAAGAAGACCATTGCTATGCACGAGGAGCGCGACAATAAGCACAAGGCGGTAGACGGCGCGCCGCAGAATGCTGTGCCTGCCTACCTGCTGGAGCGTGAGCAGGTGAACTGTCGGCCCAAGTTACAAGTATTGCCTATAAAGTTCCCTGTTGGGCTTAAGAAGCTCATCCTGGTCGACATTGGGTTGGAGCTAACGTGGACATTCCCTTACTTCGTCTTAGGTGGACCGCGCAAAAGTCCTCAGCAACACCATTAAGCAGAAGCGGAAGGAGAAGGCGGGCAAGTGGGAGGTGCCTCTTCCCCAGGTATGTTTTTCGGGGAACATTAGGGTTTGCCATAGGCTCTAGACGGTGACTTTGGTAATCTTTGCATAGGCGGTTCAGGATACTCTTGCGGAAACTGATCAGGGGCTGTTTGTATGCATAGGTTCGCCCCATCGCCGAGGATGAGATGTTCAAGGTGCTCAAGTCGGGCAAGCGCATGAAGAAGTCATGGAAGCGCATGATCACGAAGGTGACCTTCGTGGGTCAGGGCTTCACGCGTAAGCCCCCGAAGTACGAGCGCTTTATCCGGCCAACCGGCCTGCGCATGACGAAGGCGCATGTCACGCACCCGGAGCTCAAAGCAACGTTTTGCCTGGACATCATCGGTGTAAAGAAGAACCCGAACGGCCAAATGTACTCGCAGCTGGGCGTGGTCACAAAGGGCACGATCGTGGAGGTCAACGTAAGCGAGCTGGGCCTGGTCACGCCAGGTGGCAAGGTGGTGTGGGGCAAGTACGCGCAGGTGACCAACAACCCGGAGAACGACGGCTGCATCAACGCTGTGCTGCTGGTATAAGACTTCTAGGCCGGGGGGTGTCCAGTATGGCGGGGAGCTTTGGCGGTGCAGGGTTGGGCGGAGCTTTGTAGAGTGTTGGGAGCGTGGAATTAGTTAAAAAAACAAGTATTAGTAGTTAGCTGGTGTTGGAGGGACTGGCCACCAAACCCCGCCTTAGGGACTCCCCCTGCGAAGGGCTAGCAGCATGTCGTTGGGATTGTGGTCATGTGGTTTTCGTTGCCTGGTAATGATGTCGGAGTTGGTTGTTTGCCTGCTTGCCTCGATGTTTGTGCCCCTCGCCGTTCCGGGGTCCTCGATGGTCGTGTACATATGTGTCTCTGCTGGCTTGCTGCTGAACGGCTTCCGCCGTGAACACTACGCTTGATACTGTACCTTTCTGCTACGATGCACTGTGTTTTCTTAAAATCATGGGCGCTGCAGCGCCGGTTACGGACGGACGTTTGCATGGACGGCTGTGCATGGAAACGCGTGTTAGCCTTTGGACATTCATCCTTTTCTGCTTCTGCTCTCGGTCCTGGTATCCTCCCGATGCGGCGCTGGTGCTGCTTTTCAGTTCGGAGGGTGTGCGGTAGCTGTCACAGGGGGGGTAGGCACAGCACTCGTGAGTTGATAGGTCTGTTGCGCCTTATCAACGTGCGGGTTGCGGTGGGCTATCCTTCAGACGCGGTGGGTTCGGACGTGTACGCTCTGTGGTATGTATGGCTCTTACTATTGGGCCTACACTGTAAGGTTGCAAGATTACGACAGGGTATGGTGTGCCGCTTGTTTGACGCGGTTTAGCCCTGTCCCTTCATAGCTCCGCCGGGCAGCTAACGTTGCTCACATGGAGAAGAAAAAGCAGTATGTATACCACGCTAGGTGTTTCACACAGTTACCGTATTTGGCTTCCACTCGGCTTTGCGTTCCTGTGTACAAAGGCCGAAGATGCAATGGAACGACCGCAGCCGCTGCAGCCTTACGCAAACGTCCTGGGAGCCCCTTCCAAGCAGCCACTTCACTGCGCACCAGAGCTTGCACCAAGCCAGGACATCACACCTGGCCTTGTCTAACGCTACCACACCACAGCTAATCCTGCACACTTATAAACCTATTTTGCCCAGAAGTCCCTCCACCCTATCCATCAGCCTTCTCAGCGCGACGTCTCACCGGAAATCCAGCCCCACAACCCCAACCGTGCGCGACGAGGCTTCGCAGGTGGTGCGGCCACAGCAGTCGTTTCATCCAGCAACACGTCATCATCAACCGCCACCGCTGCTACTGGTTTCCCAGCCGCCCCTGGAGCCGGACCCTCCGCAGCAGCAACAGCAGCAACCGGGGCTCCTGCAACGCTACCTGGCGGCCGGTTTGCCACTACTGCTGCTGCTCCGGTTGAAGCCGCGGCATACCGGGGTGAAGAAGGCGCATCCAGGCCTGCCGCCAGCGTTATGCTAACCGGAAGCTCTTCACCAGCACCGCTGCTGCTGCCGCTGCTGTGCAGGGCGGCGGAGGTAGCAGCGGCCGCCGCCGCCGCGGCATCCGCTGCGGCGACGGCTTCCGCCGCCGCCGCTGCAAGGTCAAGCCGTGAGGAGTGCGAGTGCGAGTGCGGCTGTGCCCCATGACCAATGGGCCGTCTAGGTGCCTCTGGGGAGGCAACCAGGTGCTCCCCATGCGGTGGTGGCTGCTGGGGGGCCTGCACGATGTGGGGTGCATGCGGCGCATGCGGGTCCAAGCGGTGCGGCACCAGCTGCGCGAAGGGCGAGACGACGGAATGCGCGTGAGCCAGCGATGAAGGCGGCGAGGAGGGCTGCGTGGACACGGGCAAGGCAGGTGGCTGCGACAGGCCGGCGCTGGATACCGGAAGTGGCGCCGTTCCGCTGGTGGTAGGGTGGCTGCCGGTACCAGACGAGCCTCCCGACAGCTCCGGCGGTTCGGTCGTTCTGGACGCGGCAGCGGCGGGCTCTGCCGCGATCGTCGTCCCCAATGACAAGCTCCCTGTCTCAGGCTCGCGTCTCGGCACAGTCGCTTCGCAGCTGCCAGAGGCCGCATGTGCTTGGCCTGTAATAAGGTGTTCAGCCTGCAACGCTTTTGGGGGCTCATGGTGGCCTTGCTGCTGCGGCTGCCACCGCTGAGATGTTGCGTAAAGGTCGGCGCCTGATCTACTGCTGGCAGGCTGCTGCTGCCACGGATCCTGCTCCTGGCGACGGCTCTGCTGCTGCTGCTGCTGCTGCCATTGCTGCCCCTCCTCCTGCCGCCCCGGCACCCCCTGCTGCCCCAGCTCCTCTAGTCCACTCCGCTGCTGCCAGCTCTGCGCACCACCAACACCCACCCCCTCCTCCTGCACCCCTTCCTGCCTACTCCCACACTCCCCCCCTCCACCACCACCAACGCCTCTCGCAGCACCCCTTTCCGCCTCCGCACCCCCCACAGCTGCTGCTGCCGCCTCAGCCCCCCTCCCTGCTGCCTCCCGCCCCTCCTCCCCCTCCTCCATGCTCCGCTGCAGCTCCCCTAGCAGCTCCTCCAGCGCCTCCATGTGACCCGCCAGCTCCAGGATGTAGGCAGCGGTCTCACCCGCACCCAGCCGCCGCCCGGACAGACCCTCCAGCCGGGACAGGATGCGAGGCAGGTCGGGCGGCGGTGGGGGGGCTGCTGCTGCTGCTGCTGACCCTGCCACCGGAACTGTTGTTGTTGATGTGGGTGTTGTTGATGATGTTGCAGTAGGCTGCGAGGAGGAAGAGGAAGAGGGATGGCCGCGGATTGCAGCAGCAGAGAGGTCGCCGCGGGTAGGGCAGGGGTGTGCTTGAGAGGAGGCATCGTGGTGGTTGACGTGCGGCTGCTGGCGGTTGTGGCGGTTGTGGTGGTTCTGGAGCTGTTGGCTGCGGACCTGCATGGCGGCGCAGGCAGTGCTCGCCAGCGCCACCTCCCGCACCAGCCGCCGGACCTCCTCCGCTAGCATTACCAACTTCCAATCCGCCTCGCTCAGCAGAGACCCGCCGAGCAGCAAGGCAGCGTCTCCGCTGGCGCCACCTCCACCTCCACCGCCGCTGACGCTAACACTAACAGAGCGACCCGCCTGCTGCATGGTGGCTTGTTGCGATCCTTGCAAAGGGGTGGTGGTTGCTTCCTCCTCCTCCTCCTCCACACGGGCCCGGGAAGGTGGGTCCGCCGATACTGACCCACGGGTCACTGCCAGGGCCGAGCCTGAGGTTGCTGTCCCCGCAGCTCCTGTCCGTGACTCCAGGAACTCATTCTGGCTCAGCCCTGGATGCGGTTGTTGATGATGTGAGGAATGAGGCTGCGGCTGCGGCTGTGCCTGGGTCTGGGTCTGCCTCGACGCAGCAGTAGCAGTGGCAGAAGCTGCTGCCTGTTCGCAACTCCTCGGCGGTGCCCCTCCCCCTGGTGCCTCAACCACAGCAGCCAGCCGGGCCTCCAGCGCCCTGAGAGCCGCGTCCTTCCGGGCCGCCGCCACTCGGTTCTCTGCAGCATGCGGAGATCGCAATGCAGGGGTGACTTACACAGTGGAGGGTACACGTCGTCGTCACGGGGCCATGTTACGGGGCCATGTAGTAGACCGGTAGACATGCGCATGCGTAGCTGTGGGGCCCAAGTGGGGGCCACACAGCCCAACGCACCACCCTCCGCCGCCGCTATCGCACCCCGTTTCCCGCCCTGTGCGCATCAGCCCCATCCTGCACTAGCCCCCTCCATCCACCCAGCTCAACAGCAGACGTCTCCTGTGTCTTCTTCAATTCTTCTCCTTCCCCTTCCTTTCCATCTCTTCTGCACCCACCCAGCACCTCACCCGCCATCGCATTGGCCTGCGCATTCAGCCTGCCCGCCAGCTCGCTGTTTTCCTCAATCAGCCGCTCGATGGTGCCCGCCGCCCGCTCGCACTGCCGCCGCGCGTCCAGCCCCACCAGCTCGGCGGCCCGACAGCGGTCCTCCGCGGCGCGCAGGGCCACGCGGTGCGACTCCTCCGCGGCGGCGGCCCGGTGCAGCTCCCCGCGGAGCAGATCCACCTCCTGGGAGGGGTGCGGCCAGGTCAGGAGGTGAGGTGAGGGGGTAAGGAAGGAGATGAAAGGAAGAGAAAATGCATGCCGGAGGGGAACAGGATGTGCAAGGGGAAGGAGGGGGGCAAAAGGACGATGTGTAGCATGAGGACGGGTGCGTAACAGGTAGACTGTTGTGCCATAAGCCTAGACTACATGGGCAAGGAGAGATGGGCGCAAGGCTAGATGATCCATTAGTCACCCCTAGCAGCCGCTACGGTGTCAGGGCCCCACCCCCCTCCCCGCTCACCCTCTTCAACCTCGCCACCTGCTCCTCCAACCGGCAGCCGCCAACACCGCCAGCACCAACACCGCTGCCACTGCCCGAGGACCCACCGCCCCCGCCGCCACTGCCGCGCATGCCGCCGGCCGCACCCCACCCGGCGGCCCCCACAGCAGGGCCCGCAGCACCCATGCTGCCCCCAGGGGGTGCGCTAGCCATGCCGGTCAAGCCGCTGCCTCCCGCAGCACCGCTAGCCGCTGCGGCGCTGCTGGCATGGTAGAAAGCAGGAGGTTGAAGGCTGTTGCCGCCGAGGCCGTTGCCGTACAGCGGTTGCAGGCGGTTGCAGGCAACTGGCGAGGACAAGGGCAACGGCTCGCTGAGGGTGGAGGTCATGAGGGAAGAGGGGCGGCCGCCACGGGAGCTGCTGCCGTCCGCAGCTGCAGGGCTGGTAGCAGCAGCAGCTGCGGTCGTGGTGGCTGCTGCTCCGTCGGTGCGATCTTCCAACTCGCACTCAAGCTGAGAGGGGGGCAATGCCAGGGAGGGAGGACGGAGCAGCCAATGCACGGTTAACAATCGACCCCAAGCTGCTCTTAGATAGCACCATTACAGGAAGACTGGCAGTCGACCCAACACTCAGGTCATATCGCCCATGCAGTCCAGCCCAGAGCCCCAGACCACTCCCGCACCCCCTCCCCACCTGCCGCAACCTCTGCAGCGCCGCTCGCCCCTCCCGCGCCTCCGCCGCCGCCGCCGCCAGCTGCCCCCGCAGGTCCTCACTCACGCGCCGCTCCTCCTCCAAAGCCCGCTCTGCCTTGTGTAGCCTCAGAGCCCAGCGCTCCTCCTCCTCCGCTGCAGCCGCTGCGCTGAGGCAGGAGGCGGAGCCCCCTCCGCCGGGGCCCAGCCGGCTGCCACTGCCAGCGCTGCCATAGCGCATGGGGGCGACGGCGCTGCCCATGCTTCGAGGCGAAACCCTGTATGTACGCGCACACAAGCCGGGAAGACAGGATGAGAGAAACTGGGCCGCGAGGGAACACTGACCGTGACCATAGGAAGACCCGTATGCAGGATGTAACATGTAGGAGGAGGATGGGACGACACAGGAGCCAGCAAGCTGCAAGTTTCGCACGTCATGCCAGCTCGCGCGGACGGGCAAGGTAACCAGCAAGTAAACAACACCGCCGTCACCGCCAACAAACCACCCACTTTCCAACTCCTCTCTGTCCACGCGCCGCAGTTGCCCCCTCCACAGCGCTGCCAGCAGCGCAATGCCCTCCTGCTCCCTCTCCCCCTTGCGCCCCCGCTCCCGCTGCTGCCGCCACCGCTGCGCTGGCCTCCGCCGCCGCCCTCGCCTGCTCCAGCTGCCGCTGCAGCCGTGTCACCTCCGCGTGGCGGTCCTCCAGCTCCCGCAGCGTGGCGGCGCGCGAGGAGGTGAGCAGGTCGCGGTCGCGCAGCGCGGCAGCCAGCTCGGCAAGCAGCCGGTCGTGATCGGTCTGGTGGGGGAGGGAGGGTGTGAAGAGTGGAAGTGGGGATGAGTGTTGGGCGGAGGGACGGGTGAGGGAGGAGTGGTATAAAGACGGGGGAGGGTTGGAGATGCGGCGAGGAGATACCGGTGCCAACATATCACGCAGGGTGGGGATCCATGTGGGGAAGCGCTGGTTGTGACTCGTGAGGGAGAGGTTTGGGGTTGGGTGATAGCTTACTTGGAGGGATTGATGCGCCGTCGATGTTGCATGCAGCTGCCTTTCGAGGTCTTCTCGACGACTGCGCTCAGCCGCTAGCTCGTTCTTAAGGCTCTCCATTTGCGAGGCAAGCGCCTGGCCATCCAGCTGCTGCTGTTCAAGTTTTGCCCGGACGGATCCTAGTTCCCGTTCCAATTCTGCGGCCCTTTGGGTTGCTTGGTTGTATGCTGCTGCCGTGGTTACTTGTGCTTGCTGCTGTGGAGTGGAGATCGAAATGCTGGACGTCCCAAGCTGCCCAGCCCACGTCTGTCCATGTAAGCCAGGGGTCGGATTCGTAGGCGTCGTCGCCGCAAAAGAATATGCAGCCGTTGCACCGGGTTGGCTTGCTGAACTGGTCGGTTTGTGCTGTGCATTAAACTCCGTAGAGCGACCAGGCGACAACTGCGGACCAGCGGGATCTTGAACATAGCTGTTGCACAAATGGCTCGTAGCGCCAGCATTGTTGCTGAAGGGGATGTTGCCCCATGAGTTCACACTCCAATTCGACATCTCTCTTGGATTACACGCTTAAATGGTTGATCACAATTTAGAATCATATTAAAAACATTAAGGCCATAGTTGTGATAGCGATTAGCTAGAGATAAGACAAAAACTTAAAAGTCCCCCCCGAGTTGCACCCTAGAACTGCGTTTTGACACGCATAGTTGCCAAATTGTAACATCATAATAGCAAAAAGATCTGCGGTAAGGAATTCCTCGTTCCTGCATGTATGCGCCTACGTGTCACATTCCCGACAACCGCTGGACGATTAACGGCACACCCATCTGGCGGTCCCATTGCAAGCTTTGCGCAGAGCTGTAAGTAACCTGGAACCCATACTGTCCTATAATATATGCACTGTAGTTTGATCCCTTGACCTTTGGCGTCCCAGAACAATATTGACGTTGGTCACTCCTATTCTGTCTCAAGCAGCGGCCCATAATGGCCCAGCCTACCGCGCAACACCGTATGGACGTGCTGGCGCGACAGCTGGCACAGGCTGAGCGTGATGGGCTGCAGCTGGTCTCAACAGCTGGCCAACACCATGCATGCCAGCCAGAGGCACCCATCTTCAGCATTGCTCTGCCGGAGAAGCTGACCCCTGATGGTCCTTGGACCGTCCACAGGTAAGCAAGAGTAACAACAGATCCTCAATTCGCTGTGCCTGCACACCTTTCGAGCTGCTTCCCTGCGCCCCTTAGTAATACTTGAGCGGCCTTCAGCTTTGTATCTCGGCTAGGGGGTTGTGCAAGGCTTGCGCGCCGCACCACAGTCAGGATACCTTCCACTGCCGTCGCCACTGTCTGGAAAACCGTTGCGTGGGCAACTCGAAACGGCAACGGGGAAGACCCCCTTTCCTAAAGCCACAGCGCTAACGGGCAAATACATATGCCTCGGCCCTTTCTTCCGGAAAGCTAGCCATCCGTGCAACACGTCTGTTTCACTCCACCCGCTCCCCTAGGTCCGCCTCCTCTCCCTTCCAGCTGGTGTCCGCCTACCCGCCCCCGGCCGACCACGTTCGTACGCTGCACGACAACCTAGAGTACGCCGCATCCAAGTACCCGCACGTGAGTGCTTGCGGGACCTGTTCTCCGCAAAACAGTTAGGACTACAGGATTTGGATCCGTGTTTGGGTTGAGTTGGAGGGTTGGAGGCTTGGGTTTTACGAGGGTGTTGTACGGTGCCCGGTCTACCGGTACCAGACTGCCTGCCCTCCGTTAAGCTGTTTCTTAAATGGCCTGTACGGCCTGTTTGTCGTACTGCAGATGCCGTACCTAGGCACGCGGAAGCGCGACGACAAGGGCCGGCCGGGGCCGTACACGTGGATGACGTACGCGCAGGTACGCAGTACGACAGGGAAGCCGCAGCAGATGACGTACACGGTTTGGGTTTCTTGGGTTGCGTGGATGGGATGGATGGGTTGTTGCGTGGATAGGGATGCGGTGATGTTCAGGGGCGGCACCTCAACGTCATCAGCTAGCTGGGTGTCTGGGGGTGCGACTCCCTAGCGGTTTCCTGCCTCGCTGGATGCATGCATGGATGGTTGGTTGGATTGATGGGTGGATCGCGCCGCAGCATGGTACACCACAGCAACAGGCGCCCGACTCGCCCCTGTGCGCGAGCTGCTACCAGGGAGCAGCAGCGAGCAGTGCCAGCTAGGGGAGCTCGTCAGCATGCCAGCACGCCAGCATGTTGTCCAGCATCAGAAGCCGCACGGCCCCACCCACATCAACACCCGACCCACATCTTCAACCCCTGACCCACATTGACAGCAGATGTGGGTTGGAGTGCCGAAGAACCAAAGCCCCATCCAAAGCCCCATCTGGGTCGGATGGGTTGACCCAGATTCACACTGCGTTCGCCCTGCCTTGTCCGCCCACCCGCACACCGGAGCCTTCACTATACCCCCGCCAGCCCCCCCAGCACACCAGCGCGCCAGCACCCCAGTCTGCCCAGCCCATCTTGCTTCCCTTTGCCGACGCCGACGCCCCCATGCGCCCCAGGGTAGCACCTCTCTTATCACAACCCGCCCAGCGCACCCGCCCAGCCCCTCCACACACCTACCTGCCTCCGTTCTTCCACCCCGCCTCCTGCCCCGCCCTACCTCTCTCCTCCCTCCCCCCCCCCCAGGCCAGCGACGTGCGCACCGCCCTGGGGTCGGGGCTGCTGCAGATGGGCATCTCGCCCAAGGCGGGGGTGGGCATCTACTCGGTCAACTGCAAGGGTGCGTCACAGGCAGAGCAGAGCAGCCGCCAAGGCGGCCCCCCCCACCCGCCTCTCGTCACTATCATCTGCTTCTCATCCTCAGTACAGTTCACGTTTAATACCTCCGGCCCTCCTTAGGGCGGGTTCCCCTAGTGAAAGCCAACGACATGGCTTTCCCCTGACCCCACCCCGGCCTCTCTTACCGTACCCCCACCCGCCCCCACCCCTCCCGCCTCCCCCCCTTCCTCAGAGTGGCTCCTGTTCGACTCCGCGCTGCACGCCTACTCGCTGGTGAGTGTGCCGCTGTACGACACGCTGGGTCCCGACGCGGTGGAGTTCATCGCCAACCACGCGGAGCTGGCGGCGGTGGGGGTGAGCGCGGCGGTGCTGCCCACCCTGCTGACCTGCCTGCCCAGGTGCCCATCCATCAGGCTGCTGGTGAGAGGGAAGGGGGGGAAGGGAGGGAGGGAGGGAGAGGGTAAAAATAAGGAAAACTGACGAACTGGATGACGGGGCTTCACAATGGGTTGCTAGTTGAACCCGGCCCATCCGGAAGGGAAGGGAGGAGGGGCGCGGGGCGGAGGGCGGAGAGTGTGTGAGCTAGAGGGTGGGTGGGGAGGACTTTGCTGCGCATCAGGCCACATCACAAACCCTTCTCCTGGTTTGTCATACCCCCTCCTCCTCCCACATTTTTCCTCCCTCCTCCCCCTCAGGTTGTGTGGGGCTCGCCCTCCCCCTCCGAGCCCCTGCCCGAGCCCCCCGCCGGCTGCAACTGCCACATCGTGTCTCTGGAGGCGCTGGAGCAGCTGGGCCGCCGCCACCCGCGCGCGCACCTGCCGCCCAAGCCCTCGGACACCGCCACCCTCTGCTACACCAGCGGGACCACCGGACAGCCCAAGGGTAGGCGGCATGGGGGGGAAGATGAAACAACGAACTGACCATGTGATAAGGCGTCATCATGGTTTTGGAAGGGGGGAAGGGTGTTGCTTTGTGGGGGAACGGCGCTAGGCAGCGGTGTGGAGGGTGCAAAGCTTGGGGGACAGGTGTCTGCTGCTGCGGTGGCTGGGGCTCCCCCACTCATGCGCATGCCGCCCCCTGCCTGGGACTTTCCTACCCTAGCGGTCCTTGAGCCTCCGGGCCTTACGAGCCTCAAGCTTGGTGTCGTCATCATCATCGTCATCATCATCATTGCCATCATACCCTCGCTCCGTTCAGCTACAGTGCTCACCCATGGTCCCCCCGACCATGGCCCTCCCCTCCCCCCCTCCCGGTTCGGTATGATCTTTGACCCCCCCCCGCCCTCCCAGGCGCCATCTTGACGCACGCCAACCTGGTCGCCAACGCCGCCGGCACCTCCACCCTACTGCCCGACACCACCCCGGGGGACCGGCACCTGAGCTACCTGCCGCTGGCGCACATCTACGAGCGAATCAACATGGTGCTGGTGAGGCGGAGGGGAGGGGGAGGTGCTGGGTCTCGGCGGGTAACTGTATGCTGGCGTGAGAGCGTGTACGACAGCGGAGGATCTTTACTAAATGCCGTATAAACACTGACAGACACGTGCCTCCCTTCTTCCCCCGTTCGTCCCCCCTCCCTCCTGCCGCTGCCGGTACCTCTCCTGCTGCTGCTGCTGCTGCTGCTGTCGCCACCGCCGCTGCCGCCGCTGCCAGCTGACGTATCTGGGTGCGGCCATCGGGTTCTATTCAGGGAACGTGCAGGTGCGGGGGTGGAGACGGGGAAACTGAAAAGCTATGCGAACACCATGGGGGATTAGATATACTTAGGGGGTGTTTTCACCATGGGGGGAACGCAAACATGGTCTAGCCGACCCATCCCGCCCAACCTGTGCGGGGGGGGGGACAAACGGGGTGGCATGTGCACTGGAAAGTAGTGTGACTGGGGTTGATGTGGGCCAAACGGATTCAGATGGTTCCTTATATCGCAGTGTTGTCTTTGCCGCCGTACAGTCCCCACGTCCCCTGCCCTAACTCTACCCCCTTGCGTCCCCTGTCACCCCCATTGCTTTGCCCTAACTTGTGGTCTCCTATGGTTTGGTACGGTCTTTGACCCACCTTCACCCCCTTCAGGAGCTGCTGGACGATGTATTGGCGCTCAAGCCCCAGGTGAGGAGGGTGGCGGGAGGGGGCCCGGGATGGGAGAGTACAGACAAGGATTACCGGTAACCGTTTGGCTAGGTTCCGTCATGGTTTGCATTGCAAGCGGGAGAAGAAGGCTGGAGAAGAAGGCCGGAAAAAGGAATGGGAGGAAGGGGAGGCAAGGAAGCGGCGGGCGGTGTGCCGGTTGGCCGTATGCCCCTAACCAGGGCGCCTGCCTCCCTTCCTAACCCCTCCCCCTCGACTTGGCTTTCATCTCCCCCTCCTCTGCCTCCCTTTCCTTAACGCACTACCTCCCTTCTGCTGGAACTTGCGGGGGTCCCTCATAACGATTAGCCTTCTCTCTGACCCTCCTCCCTCCCCCCCCTCCCCCCAGATCTTCTGCTCCGTACCCCGCCTGTGGAACCGCATCTACGACCGGGTCATGCTCACGGTGCAGGGCGGCTCGCCACTGGCGCGAAGGTGGGGGCTGGGGAGTGGGGGAATGGGGGGCTGGGAATGGGGGCTGGGGAGTGGAAGGCTGGGCCGGAGGGAGTGGGGGCTGGGGGCTGGGGGAGGAGGGGGCGCAGCAGCAGGAAGGGGCGAGGGGGGGGTACCTCCGCAACCCCCGGGTGTGGGTGGCGTAGCAGGAGCGGAACCTAGCCAGGAGGGATGCTGCTCAGGAAACTGGCCGCGAGTCGGAACGTACTGTGATTGCCGGAGGGGGGGTGTTAAGAATGTGTGGGGGTGTACCCTGTGTGGAGGCCGCATTGGTACATCAGATGCATCACTACGTTACACTATTTAATAGGCGATTAATACATTTGTTTGCCTGGGATAAGGCCAAAACCTTTGAAAATAACTACCGGTAGTGTTCCCCGTGGCTCTGCTGAAAACATATCGCTGCATACTGTCCCCGTCCCCCCCGTCTCCCCTGACCCATGGGTCACACCTCGCAGCCTGTTTGACCGCGCCTACGCGCACAAGAAGGCCGCGCTGGCCCGCGGCGACCCGGTGGGCGGGCGGTGGGGGCGGCTGTACGACAAGCTGGTGTTCAGCAAGATCCGCGCCAAGCTGGGGGGCGAGCTCAAGTACATGATCTCGGGTGAGCCCAACAGCTTTACAGAGCGCTCTCTGGAGAGGCTAGAGTTGGGTATAAAGATGGTATATACAGCGACTAAGACTCGGCGAGGGAGGAGTAGGGGTTGTTTTTTCCTCCTTCTTTACCCCTTCTCCCTCCCTACATTTTCCCACCGCCGTCCCCCACTTCGCCCTAACCTCCGGTTTCATATGATTCGGATTGGTCTCCACCCCTGCCTTATTTGCTATCCTCATTCACACCTTGGGATTCTTCTCTCCCCCGCCCCGCCCAGGCGCCTCCCCCATCAGCGAGGAAGTGATGTCCTTCCTGCGCATCTGCTTCGGCGCCACGGTGATGGAGGGGTACGGCATGACGGAGGCGGCCTGCACCATCTCCACCACCCGCGCGGAGGACCTCACCACCGGCCACGTGGGCGCACCCAACCCCGCGGTGGAGGTGAAGCTGGTGGACCTGCCGGAGATGGGATACACCAGCAGGGACAGCCCCTACCCGCGGTGAGGGCGGGTTGGAGGGAGGAGGGAGGGAGGGAGGGAGGGAGGAAACGAGTAACGAAGGAGGGGGAGGGAGGGGCGGGTCTGGGGCCCGGTTGGGGTCTGGGGAGGGAGAAGGATTCCCAGTGTGTTGAATGAGAATGCAAACCAGACCGCAGCAAGGGGGAGGGAGGGCGATATGCCAGAACCACAGGTTACGGCAAAGCAATGGGGAGGGAGGGAAGCAGTTTGTCCCCGAAACAAAAGAGGGTTAGGGGGAAAAAGAAATTCCAAAGTGTGGTATGATAATGATACAAGTTGCTGACAATCCCTGGTGGAATCAGGGATAGGGGTTAGGGGGAGGGAGGGAAGCGGGTCTGGGGGCCTGGCTGCTCCCCGCTAGCGAGGCGCTCCTGGGAAGGAGCCGCCGCCGTGCCCGCGCCTCCGCCCCTGTAACCCCCCTTCCCTCTCGCGTCCTATATCCCTCCCCATTGGGCATTCTTCTTTCCCTCCCTCCCCAGCGGCGAGATCTGCGTGCGCGGTCCCTCCATCTTCTCCGGCTACTACAAGGACGAGGCGCAGACGCGGGAGGTGCTGGACGAGGACGGCTGGCTGCACACAGGCAGGGGCGGGCGGGGAAGGGGCAGGCGGGGAAGGGGGGGTCAAAGACCATACCACCGAACCGTAGGAAACCACAGGTTAGGGCATGACAATGGGGATAGGAGGCGTCAGGGTGCCACAATACCGAGTGTTGGTTGGAGGCGGGCGGGCGGGCGGGAGGTAAAGGGGAGGAAACCAACTAACCCACCGTGTGACAGGGCTCTAGCATGTAGGAGAGGAGGAGGAGGAGGAGGAGGAGAGAGCAAAGAAAGCAAGGGGATCAAGCACCCAAGGGTTCCTGGCATGGGTTCAGCGGGTTGGGTTCCCTCGTCAACATGCTTGAATCCCCACCCTCTCCTCTCCCCCCCCCCCTTCAAAGGCGATGTGGGTGCCTGGCTGGAGGGCGGGCGGCTGAAGATCATCGACCGCAAGAAGAACATCTTCAAGCTGGCGCAGGGGGAGTACATCGCACCCGAGAAGATCGAGAACACCTACACCAGGTGCGGGTGCAGGTCGTTAACCCTCCAGGGCTTGCACTCTTGTGGATTAAGCAATCTGCCCGCGAGTGGTTGCGCACGTGTGTGAGTGTGTGCCGTACCAGCTGCCCGTACAGCTGTGTGCGTGTATACCGGTATACGCAAGTTGCAGCCTTGCGCCCCTCCAGCTCACGAGTTCGGCGACCCTCTGGCCGAAAGGGTCTCTCTGACCTCTTTACCCCCACCCTCTCTCCCCCCTCCCCCCCCAGGAGCCCCATGGTGCTGCAGGCGTTTGTGTACGGCGACTCGTTCCGCTCGCAGCTGGTTGCGGTGGTGGTGCCGGACCCGGAGGTGCTGCTGCCGTGGGCGCGGGAGCGGGCCATTGCGGGGGAGCTGCCGGAGCTGTGCCGTAACCCGCACGTGGTGGAGGCGGTGTTTCGGAGCATGCAGGAGCAGGCGAGGGAGGCGCAGCTGCGAGGGTTTGAGCAGGTGCGGGAGGGGGAGGGGAGGGGGAGGAGGAGGGAGGGGGGGAGGGGGAGGGGGAGGGAGGGGGGGAGGGGGAGAAGGAGCAAAGAAGACATTGTCCTACCGTAGACACAGCTGCACGGCGCTTTCAGTTTGTCTTTTCCAGTCAACTTGGTTTGTTTCCCCCCCTCGCCTCTCTCATCTTCTCGCCTCGCCTCACATGCTGCTGCTACTGCCTGGCTGCCCCTCCCCGCCGCCGCGCACCCAGCCACATGCCCCACTCCCCTGCAGTGTGTCCTCCCTCCCATCGCTGCCACCTACGGCACTCCCCTTCACCCCCCCTCTCCTCACCAAGCGTTGCCAGCTTGCCACTATATTTTATCCATCCCCCCTTGCCCCCCCCCTCGCAATCCTGTAATCCAGCCTAATGCGGAGTATGTACCCTGTTAATCCCCCTCTCCGCGCCCCCCTCGCCCCGCTCCCTCCCCCCCCAGGTCCACTCCGTGCACCTGCACCCCGAGCCCTTCAGCGTGGAGAATGGCCTGCTCACACCCACATTCAAGCTGAAGCGCCCGCAGGTGGGGAACTGGGGTGGTGGGGCGGGGAAGCACGAAGGGAGGCCGCAAAAGGGACCCGGCAGGGACGGCGGGGGTAGCAACGACGAGGGGATTTAGTGGAGAGGGGCATTGTCCCCTGTCTCCCTCTTTCCCGGTACCTATTCTTCTCCTCTCCTTCCCATCCTCCCCTCTCATCTCCCTCCCTCCCTCCCCTCCCCTCCCCCCCCTCTCACTCCTGCCCTCCCCCTCCTCCCCTCCCCCCAGGCCAAGGCTCGCTTCCAGGACGAGCTGGATGCCATGTACTCCCAGCTGCCCGCATCCGCGTGATGAAGCTCTGGCCTGCCGCGTCTGCGTGATGAGGCGCTTCTGCTTCCGCGTGATAAGGACGTTTTGCTCGCGTGGGGATCTGCCTCCTCCGCGTGAAGCAGCAGCAGCTTGAGGTAGGAGGAGGAGGAGGAGGAGGAGGAAGAGTGGGCAGAGCGGATTAGTAGGGGTTGACAGACTGCGGGATTGACAGGCTGAGCGTTGGTAGGAGGGGGTTGAGGTAGTGGTAGGGCAGGAGCATGGAAACAATCATGACGCATGGGGAGGATGATGATGCTGTTGAAGAGGAGGAGGAAGGTGCATGCGATGGGGTCGAAGCAGCTGCATGGTCGTGTGGGGGCCATGCGCTTTCCGTGTCTGGGGCACATTGCGGGCACCAGATGCCGCATACCTAATGCACCAGCTTTAGGGGGAAAGGGCTCATGGGGCAGAGCCTCAACAGCAGTACGGCACCCTCGCAATAGCAGAGGCCGCTGGGGAAGCGGAGATTTGAAAGGACGGGGCAGTGGGCTTAGCAGGGAAGACGAGGCCGGGAGTTTGTGGAGGAGTATTGGAGGAGGAGGGTTCGGTGGAGGCGAGGCGGGGTAGCATTGGTCGGCTTGTAACGGGGGTTCAATGATAACGTGGGGGGGGCAGGGAGGACGTATGATGGGCAGACGTTAGAAGGCAGTAGCGATGTGGTGTGAGGGGTTAGTTGTGTAGGGTGTCGAGTAGCGTCGCTTGATTAGGACAGAAGGCTAAGGCGTCGGAAAGCAAAGATGTGCTTTGTTCTGCGCTGTACAGTAATCTGCGAGAGGGCCGATTCGCAAACATTCGCATTTATCGACGTTCCGGAAGCTGCTCGATTCCTCGACTGACAGCATTGCATGGGGCTGCTATGTACCCTGAATGTTAGATCCAGCGAGGGAAAGTGTGGGGGTGTGTGGGGCTGTGTGGGCGTGGTTACTTGTGTGGGCGGCAACCGTTCGGCAGGCTTTCTAGGTGAAGAAGATTAAGGCAGGGACCTGCGGCTGTAACATAGGCTTAAACAACATCAGCAGTGCTGAAGGGAAAGGTCTTCTTGCCTGTTGGGTTTAGACCCGCAACGTACGGCAGCGTGTCTATTGCTTCCAGTAAGTCCGCCTTACCGGAACATCCCACGGGCCTACAAAGGTTCGTGCCTTTTCAAATCAGCGTGAGCACCAGCTACCTACCATGGAGGCGACGGCCAACGATTTGCCCTCTGCGCCGTGAAGAAATGAAAGTGCGGAAACTAAGCAGAGCAATGAGGCTGTTGTACGGCGCCAGCACGTCGTCCGGCATGAAATGCTGATGCTTTAGTGATCAATCCCGCATCAAGCGCAAAGGTCATGCAGTAGCTTATTGTGTAGCTGGCTACCTGGTTTTACGCCTACTGACTTCGCTTGCAATGCATTACCAACTGCAGAGAGGACATTACCCGTTTCATAGACACAAATAGAAGCCCCGATTGCTTCAGTAGTGCTAGTAAGAGTAATAAACATTTACCGCGCTCAGCGTGTTGCGGAGGCTCTGAAGTCAACAGCAGCTTGGAAAAGCAAGCACGCCGATGCCACCCTATGGGTCAACGCGCAACCTTACGCAGCAGTTTATACGGCTGCGTAATGAGGCACGGAGGCTACAAGGGTTGGCGGGGACAGGGCAAGGGGACAAGTAAGTAGCCATTTCCTGGTGAAGATAAAGCGCGAAATGGTGCTAGGAATGTATGAAATGACATTAATTTTCCATGCGCTTGTGCATAAAGGGCAACGGAGAAGCTAATAAGCGCGGCGTTGGGCAATTCATCAGATGTGGAAGCAGCAGGTTCTGCCAGCAGCTCATCCATTGCGCCAGTATGGGTCCAGCAGTCGGAGAGGATCCGCATAGAGATGAATCTCGTCAAGGAACGGTTATCAAAGCTCAAAGAGTAAGTTTGCAGGAGTGGTTGCGCCCTTGCCACCCTTACCTCCTTACGACCCCTAACCTCCCTTGGCCCCATACCGCTTAACCCCCTTAAGGTACCACGCCAAGGCGTTGCTCGTTACGTTCGATGGGGAAAGTGAAGCACAGCTCCATGCGGAGGCGTTGACACGAGAGATTCAGCAGAGCTTTAAGCGCTTGGATGCAGCTATCCGTGCCATGGCGCAGAGCACAGGGCACAACGAGGACCCGGCAGTACGGCAGCAAGTGCAGGGGCAGCTAGCACAGGTCCGTGGCAGCTGCGGCAGCGGTGGCAACCGCTGCTCACTGGGTTGGGTTGCAGGACTTCCTGGGGCTACGGGGGCTGCAAGGAGAGGCTAGTCATTGCCCTAACTCCCGGTTGGCCCTCTTCCCATGCCCATTCCATCCATCTTCCCCTTCCTCCTGATCCCCTTTTTGCGTGCCTGCCTGCCTGCCTGTCTTTCTGCTTCCTTCCCTTCCTCCCTCCTCCTTACCAGGCGCTGTTTAAGCTGACGGTTGAGTTCCGCAAAGAGGAGACGCGCTTCCTGAACAAGGTGGAGGAGCAGAAGGGGCTCGCGCAGGGCTCCACGCTGGGGCTCATAGAGGCGGATGAGGGGAACAGGTGCGGAGGAGAGGGCAGGAGGAAGGGAATATGGCCAGAGGGAAAAGTAGAAGTAGATCGGATGGGTGGGGATGCGAAGGATGTAGCGGTAGGGAAGTGGCATTGGTTGGAAGAAAATTGCCCTTTCGGGGGGTCGGAGACTCATGAGGTGCTGTGCATGCGTCAGATGGAAAAAGGCCTGCTGTATGTTAGTAAGTTGGTCCTAGCAAGGCACACTGCAAATCATACGTGAAGAGCGGGCCCATGTGGTGAGGTCCAAGATGAACCCGGTGGGGCTTCAGCCTAGCAGCCCGACAGCTGCACGGCCCGGCGAGCGTCTGCTAACCGCCGTCCCCAACCCGGCCACCTCTCCGCCTTTCTTCCTTCCTTCACATACCAGCTGCTTTCCCCCGTTCCCCAACGACCACCAGTCCATCCGCGGCCGCTTCGCCCACCGTAACCCCACCCCGCTCTCCCATCCTTCCTAACCCTTCTAGTGCTTCTAGGGTAGTGTCTCCGAATGCGCTCACTGCATGAGTAGGGATATGGGATTGGGACTCGTTGTTTCACTTTTTTAATTCCCCCCCCCGCCTTCCCTTCTCCCCTCCCTCCCCTTCTCCCTTCTCCCCCTCAGGCCCGGCGAGCCCTCGGACCCTGGCTTCACCCAGAGCCAGGTGGCCATGGTGGACATCTCCACCGACCTCATCAGCGAGCGCGACACCGGCATCCGCAAGATCGTGGAGGCCATTGCGGAGCTGACCCAGATCATGCGCGACCTGAACACGCTGGTCATCGAGCAGGGCACCATGCTGGACCGCATCGACCACAACGTCACGCAGACGGCGGACAAGGTGGGCGGGGAGGCGGAAGGGGGGGAGGCGGAGTGGAGTGGAGGAGGAGGAGGTTGCTGTGGGGTGTGGTGGGTAATAGGAGGAAGTGACGAGCTGTATGACGGGGTTTACCATGAGGGTGGTGGGGGTGGGGGTTGGCATGAGGGGTTGGAAGGGGGTGGGGGTGGGTCGGTTGGGGGTTGAGGAACACCCCACTCGCTTCCTTGCATCACCAACCCCCGCAACTCCGCCCTCCTCATTCCTAACCCTACCCTCCTAACCCTGCTGCTACCGTACCCCGCTAGGTGGAGGTGGGCGTCAAGGAGCTAAACCGCGCCGAGGCGACCCAGAAGCGCGGGCGCATGTTTGTGTGCATCATAGCTCTCATCTGCCTCATCGTGCTGATGCTCATCATTGTGATGATCCGACACATCTGAGGACGTACAGGAGGCGGGGCTGGACCGGAGCCGGAGTTTGTAGGCGCTGCGTCCACACATACCACTACCTGAGAGGCTAAAGCTGCTGTGTGTATGCATGCATGTATACTTTTGCGTGCATGAAGCGGCGCGTACCGGCTAAAAAGGACGCATCTAATGAGTTACGGTAGCTGCCGCTGCCGTTGGGATGTCCCCAGGGCTCGCTCAGCAAACGACTAGAGGCCGCTGCTGTGGCCAGGAACATGCAGCCCGCGGCTCGAGGAGCAGCAGTACACTGCGGTAGCAGCTGCCGTACCTACTGCGTTTTGCGTTCTAGGCGTTTGGGTTTGTTTGCACCGGTGGGCAGGGCGTGTTAATTGGTGTGGCAAGTGCACGAGGTGCTGTCGTACTCTGAGCGGCTCGGGATGCGGTATCGCCGCGGTGTGGGCTGGGGTGTGGCGATGGCGTGAAGGCAGGGTGGAATGGGCGCTTGTGGTGCTGGCCTTGTGTGGCTTGGTGGTTGCAGAGGCCGTTGCCGGAGGTACATGTCGTACATGTCGCTAACGTTCCTAAGTACGGCACCGCACGGCAGTTCGTGGGGAGCAGCCTTGGACAACGTTGGGCACTTGTACGGCTCTCGCAGTTCATGCCTGCTTGCTTGCACGTTGCGAGAGCAGGTGGTTATGCAAGAGTACAGGGGTCTTGATGTCGGGTTTTGGCGAACTTGGACGATGATTGGACGAAGGGAAGCGGGGCTCGGCGCAGGAGTGAAACGTTGCCAGCAGAAGAGGCCCCGCATTTGCGGCTGTTGGCTGCAGGCATAAGGTGCGCCTCATCACCCTATTCCGGTCGGCTGTCGGAGTTACCGGCGCTAGAGTTAAGCACAGCTCCCTCAACACATCGTTCGCACAGATCTCCGCAGTTGCTCGGTAAGTTACGCAAATGCTGTGCCTTGACGGGCTTCACATATCCGCAGCTTGCGGGACTACCTCACGCAGCGACTACAATGCATTCACCGCCTCCTTCCAATATCTGGACTTTGAGCAGTTACATCTGAGCAGGAATGACGCCTTTGGCTACATGAAACCCTACCTTCGCAAGAGCAATGCAACAGGCGAGCACTGCTTGCGCGGCGCACTTCTAAGCCTTTATTATATGGGCGGGTTGCGTCGAGACAAAGCGGCTCTTTGTAGCAGGGAAGGCCCTGCTCCAAGCCCTTGCAAGGCACCCTTGCATGTGGGCCTGGTAACCAACTAACGACCATGTTAGAGGCTCATGATTTCTCTTTACATACCAATGCAAAGCAAAATCAGATAGCTACTTACGACATAAGTTTGCTCTCTGCAAAGCTCATTGCTCTTTCCTCTAGGACTTTCACTCTTGGGCCGAATGTCTTCAGTGTTGCTCAGGAGCAAGCCACGTAAGCACTAATACGACTAACACCTGGGTAACAGTTAGCGACTTGTTACACCTGCGCGTCTCTTACTTTCGGCTGTATCCTCGGCCTTGCAGCTTGCGGGCGAACAGGGCCACTCCTATCACATCGCCAAGCTCGAAACGTAAGAAAACAGCGCTCTGACTAGGTTTAGCATACCGAGTTCCTTGGACCAAACAATTCTGTGGCTGTTGTGTGGTCAGGGTGTGGTCATCCGCGCAGCAGCTGATAACCAGCTGCTGAAAAAGCCGGAGCTGAAACGGCCGGAGCCAGAACAAAAGAAACTATTCAATGATGCATCAGCGGTCTCCACAGCGACGGCCACGAAGCCCAGCGGGTCGCTGAGCGGGTGGGTCTTGTGTGCTCGAAGTCGCCTGTGGTCCTCCGCTCGCTAAAGCAGGCTGCTGTGCAGGGGCGTAACCATCGAATATCAGCGCCAGCGGGCAAAGGAGATGCGCCAATACTTCATCGACATGCGGGCAGAGGAGATGCGGGTGAAATCAAAGTGAGTAGGCGGTGCGAGTTGCAGTCTCCGCTCTTCCCCCCACGCCCGCGGCTGCGTGGTAACGCCACTGCTGTTGACCGTCTGTCAGGGTATTCGGCTGGACTCCAAAGAACGAGATTTCGAACGGCCGCTGGGTAATGTTCGGACTGCTGGTCGGCATGCTCACAGGTGGGAGTTAAGAGGAGGTGAGGGGAGGGATTGCGTCCGTTGCACGCGCCTTGGGCTACCTAGTTTCATGCCGTGGGCGCATGCATGGCCATGACACGCAAACATAAGCGGCGCGCCGGCTTGGCTTTCCGTGCCTGTCGACTGTTTCTCCTGGGTTTTGATGCTAGACGCTGTCTAGGGTAGATCCCGCTTGCTTAGGGGTTCTTACCTTGGGGCTTTCAGCGCGCCATGTCCTCTCCCACACTCCCCCCCCTCCGCGTCCCACCATGCTGTGAGTCCTTACCTCGCCCTCGCCTGCTCCCTCCCTCGCGTACAGAGTACGCCACCGGAGTGGACTTCATCGACCAACTGAAGCTGATGGCGACCTACCTGGGCATCGTGGACATTGACTAAACAGCGGTTGACCCCAACTGCTCTGCGGTTGTACGACATGTACGGCACCGAGCGCTACAGCTGCGGGATGGCCGTGGCAGGAGCACAGCCGCGCGTTGCTCTGTTGCGGGAAATGTGTGTCCGAGGCCATGCACCGACGTAGTTCGTGGCGCAGCACGCATGCATGCAAACACGCTGCATTGCCTTGGGTGGCTCCTATTGCTTCGGGAGGGAGGCGTGCTGCACGTAAGGGTATGGTGCTGCCGCTGGTGGCACGGCACCTCTTTAGGGTTTGTACGGGGGAGTGTAACGTACCGTAGGACAGGAGCTCGGATGTATCAAGATAGGACTTTGAGCCGCTTGAGTTATACATATACCATGGATTCGGATCTGCAGGCGGATGAGGGACGGAGGGGAGGTTAAGAGAAGAGTCGCCTTAGTCATTGCTATGTATCGAGGGGTGTCGAGGGGAGAAGCCCCACATGAACTTAACATGCCCAAGAGAGGAAAGTGGCCATATCAACCATATTATGCGTGAGATTGAAAGAGAAGCCGAGAGTGTGTTAACGCTATGTCTGCATGTAACGCAGGATTACGTAACAGTATTTATCGTAGGGTTCTGGGTGTCCAGCTGCTTGTCTGTTGGTATGCGTTGTTGACACGAACCGTTGCGTATGCAAGCAAGCCGGGGACTCTTCCTGGGACGCTGTAATGGAAAAGCAACAGAGAGCCGAACAACGCCCCCACGTGCACGCGCCGTTGCCACTGGCTTGCGAAGCCATGGAAGCCCAAACAGCCATGATGTAACCAAATCACGTGCGTGTGGAGCACAGGTGATCAGCCGGGGAGCATCTCCTCTCCAGCAGTTACAGTTCATGGCCCAGGCAATCACACAGGCAATCACAGCGCACAGCTTGTACATAACCAACACGGCTATTCGCGGCCAGTTCTCGCGGCCAGTTCACCAGCACCAGCATGCTTGTGTAGCATCCTGCCCCCAACGGTTTAACACACCTGATACCGCGTGCGTATCAATCACAACAAGAGTAATGCAACGTCTTGTGTCTTGGAGGTCTTGTGTCTATGCATCCCCCCGTCCGTGAAACCACAACCTGCGTCCACATGCAACCGTATCCGTACACAACAATTCAGCAAACCAGCACCACTATTAACACCGTGCAGTCCTCCATCACAGTGAGTCCCCTCATCGCATGCGCAACCGGCAGGCAATAAAAAGAGAGGTATTGCAGAGCAACCCACCACTTCTTGCAACCAACTCGGGCCCAGAACGTCGCGTCGCGAAATGAACCGTTGCATTCCCTGCCGGGGCTGTGTCACGCTGTCCATGTGTGTCAACGTCTGGCTCCTCTTTACTGCCGATAGTCACAATGCGGTTGCGAAAGACAGTGCATACTTGGGCGTCCGGGCGCCACTGCACCCACACACGTCATGTCAATGCATCATGCGTCCATTATGCGTCCCCCTCTGTAACGCCTGCAGCGCCCACGGCTGCTAGCCCAGTTCACAACTCACTTCGACATTCACAGTCTGGAATCCTTTTCTTCTCCATAACATACCCGGTCATCCGTAATATCCGTCACAGCACACAGTCCAGCGCCGCCTAATCCGCTACTGCTGCAACAGCAACACCGAACAGCAGCAGCAAACCTCCGGCAGCATCCACAGCCACTCCCTACCTTCAGTTAAGTGCCTTTCATCCCCTTCCCCCCGGCACCACCTGCCAAACCAGCACGCCACCCCCCTGGCAGCCATCCGCCCCACACCCCAGCCTCAACCCCTGCTAGCCTCTACTCCCACTCTTCACTATCACTCCATCAGCCCCGCCCGCCGCCCCTCACAGCTGCGGCAGCTTCTTCACGATCTCCTGCTCCAGCCGCGTCAGGTACTGCAACTGGTGCGTCAGCTGCACCGCACGCCGCATGTCGTCCGCCCGGAACGCAGCCGCCAGCGCCGCCGTGATCCCCGCCTGCTGCTGCCGGTTGCGTTGCAGCAGCGGCGCCAGCAGCGCGGGGTCGTGGGTGGCCTCCACCTCCTCGCGCGCCTCCAGCACCTCCATCAGCAGCTCCGGGTCGTCGATGGTGCCCTCAAAGTTGTCGCCCGCGCTGATACCGCGGAGGGCGAGCTGGGGAGGTGGAGGATGGGGAGTGAGAAGGAGATAGGAAGGGAGGCGGGGAAAAGGGCCGGTAACGAGTATGCACTCGGGGAGATGCCCGGTTGTGTGAGAGTGGTGGCAATTTGGGTCCGGGAGAGAGGGAGAGAGGGAGGAATTGTAACTATCATACACCTGGTCTAGCGGCGGTGGTTGCGCGTCACGCCCGCAAACACATCGCAATACCCGAGCAATACACATCCCAATCCTATGCAACGCACCCCCAACCCCCAACCCCCCACCCCTCAGCAGCACCCCCGCCTCCCTCCAGCGCCCCCCCCCCGCCGCCTTCCTCACAATGTAGTTCGCCCGGGCCAGCGGCGACTTGAGGATGCTGTATGCGAGGTTGATGAGCGAGGCTTGCTGCGCGGAGAAGTGCCGCTCCTCCGCCGGCTTGTGGCCCATCTTGTCCGGGTGGAGGTTCCACTGCAGCGACTTGTAGCGCCGCTCCAGCAGCTGCGGGTCCAGGTCGAACTTGCCGCTGGGGCTGCGGAGGGAGGAGGGCAGGGAGGCGAGGAGGGCAGGGCGGAAGTGAGGGGACGGGGAGGAGGTGAGGGGTAGCGATGGGGCACGGCGAGGGTTGAGGGGTGAAGAGCGGGGTTGGAGGTTGGCGAAGGCGGGAGGGAAAGAGGTTATGGTGACTCAGGAGGAAGAAGCGGTAGAGCATTTGTTTGGGCAGTAGATGGGGGAGACCAGCGGAGACCAGGCGAAGGAGCGATTGGATGGGATGCATGAAGGCGAGGTGGGTTGTAGGGAAGGGAGGGGTTAGAGCGTGGACAAAGCCTCAACCCAGTGATGGCGCCGGTAGCACCCCCTTAGTCCCCCAGCCACTAACGCCTTATAAGGGACGCTTACAGTGCGAAGAGGTCGAAGTAGTTAAGAGTTTCATCCGGCGGCTGGATGGTCTTGCAGCCATGGCAGACCAGGCCGCCTCGTTTTAATGACTTGTCGCAACTCCAGCAGGCCTTCTCCATCTCTTCAAGAGTTGCAGGTCGCCGAGTTTCCTGATGGTGATGATGGTGATTAGGGTCCTTGCAGCCCTTATCTTGGCAACGATGGGTGTGATGCAAGCGGCGCCAAATTAGCCAAGGCTGAACTCGCTCATCTGGGTGTGCTATCCGATGGCCTGTAACTGGTTCGGATGCTGGTGCTGACGTTGACGGCTGAGTTGAGTCAAGCAAAGATTCGGCAGCCAACGCGCACGCGCTTCGGCATGGCCTAGATAATTCGACGCATCCTTGATGCACTAGCTTAGCAAGCTTTCGAGCGTTCATCGGGCTCCCGTTCTATGTGGGCGAAGAAAGCAACCTTCTGGTTTTTTTGGCAGCAATAAGGCTTGTAAACGTCAATAAGCCGCGTTGCTTTTAACAGGTTCAGATTTAATCAGCACCTTTTTAGGCTAATGCATCGTCAAGTATTTCACCAACTGCGTACGACTCGGTTGCTGGTCGGTTGAAGCACCCAGATGGAAAGCTTGTATGACGTTGACACCTTCACCTTGCCCGTAGGATTGTAACTACCGTCTAGCTGCCTTGTGGACGCCGCTTTTACGCGGCAAGGGCCTTACCATCGCTTTCCCACACGGCCATCTTAAACGCTCGTCGGTCCTAACACCAGCCCAATATGCGGTCAGCTGCGGTCAAACTTGCGGGAGCCGGCGCGCTTGCCGCTGTTCTGGCCGCGGCCGTGAGCCGGCGTCGGGTCGTAGGTCGTCTGGTTCGCCATCTGGTGGTCAAGGCAGCCGGCGCTCCCAACTACACCCCCTTGCCTCCTCCAAAAAAGGTGGGAGCTATCTCGAACTTCTCACGACCTACCCGCAGATCCTCTACCGCGGCATCTCAGCTGCCTGGAGGCTGCTGCCAGCTCTGCGTCACGTAACACCACACCTCCTACTGCCATGCGGCTAGTTAGCTGTTTCCTTTTCAACCCCATGTTTACCGCCCTGCTCTCCTTCTTTTCCTCACCGCTCACTGTCCCTGCCTCCCCCACCCGCCCAGGTCAAAGTGGCACTGTGTCAGCTGCATGTCACCGCGGACAAGGAACAGAACTGGCAGACGGCGCGGAGGGCCATCCAGGTGGGCCCTACGATGGGTGTTGTTGGTGCCATTGGTGGGTCGCACAGGTCCTTAACCTTCCGGCTCCGGTACCTCATTCCAACGCCCCGCTTCCTCCCCCACAAGCACTACTCCCTTCCATGCCGCACCCTTACTCCCTCCCCATTCCAGCAACACCTCTCTCCCTCTTCCCTTTCCTGCCCCTCTCCCTCTTCCCTCTCCTTACCCCTCCTCTCTTCCCTCTCCTTACCCCTCCTCTCTTCCCTCTCATGCCCCTCTCCTCTCTCCCCACCTCTTCTCCCACCCCTCTCCCCGCAGGACGCCGCCTCCCGCGGCGCCCAGCTTGTCGTACTGCCCGAGATGTGGAACTGCCCCTACTCCAACGACTCCTTCCCGGTCTACGCGGAGGAGCTGCAGGCCCCCGGCGGCGCCCTGAGTCCCAGCCTGACGGTGCTCAGTGAGGCGGCGGCGGCGGCGCGTGTGACGCTGGTGGGCGGCTCCATCCCCGAGCGGTGCGGCGGGCGGCTGTACAACACGTGCTGCGTGTTCAACAGCCGGGGGGAGCTGCTGGCGAAACACAGGTGGGGGGGTGAGGGGTGGGGGGGGGGGAGAAGGAGAAAACACAGGTGGGAGGGGAGGGGTGAGGAGGAAAATGAGAGCTCAGGGGCAAAAGCAAAGGGGCTGGCGTGTGCGACAGGGCAACAAGCCATCAGCAAGTGACAGTTGCAGCTTTCACTTGACACGTTCACGCGTCCTCAAAGGGATCGCCATCCTTCCGCACGCACGCGTTACCTCTCCTCTCCCACCCCCATCCGCCACCCCCACCACCACCCCAACCCCACCCTCAGGAAGGTCCACCTCTTCGACATTGACATCCCGGGCAAGATCACCTTCAAGGAGTCGCTCACGCTCTCGCCCGGCCCCGGCCCCACGGTGGTGGACACGGAGGCGGGGCGGCTGGGTCTGGGCATCTGCTACGACATCCGCTTCCCGGAGCTGGCGCAGCTGTATGCGGAGCGGGGCTGCCAGGTGCTGGTCTACCCAGGTGGGGGGTGATGTGGGTGCGCATGTGGGAGGTGATGTGGGTGCTCAAGAACCGGTATCCGGGTGGGTGCTCAACTGCTCATGTGTGTATCCATGCGAGCAGGAATATGGAAGTATTAAAAGTACGGCAGTGCCGAGCAGGTCCAAAGACGGGAACCCTGGTTGGGGTAATTAACCCACCCAACCTCCCCTCCGCCCCCCGCTCTTCCCCCCGCCCAGGTGCCTTCAACATGACCACGGGCCCGGTGCACTGGGAGCTGCTGGCCCGGGCCCGCGCGGTGGACAACCAGCTGTTCGTGCTCACCTGCTCGCCCGCCAGGAACCCGGACTCGTCGTACCAGGTAGCCGGGGGGTGGAGGGGGGGGGGGTCTCGGGGGCAAGGGGGACAAGGGGCCAGGGGCAGGGGCCTGAGGGGATGGAAATCCCGCACAGGGAAGGGGTCGGGGGCAGGGTACAAAGATGGCATCTGGTTCCAGGCCTATGATGGGATAGCGGAACGTATTGTGTTATTTCATGGCATGCTGCTACGGGCGCTGCAACCGGGGCCCTGCGGGGGCTCCTCCCGGGGAGGAGGCGCAGCTTCTTTAGGAGCTGCTTTCCTCCACCGCCCGCCTCCTGACTTGCGTCCATGCGTGTATACCGGTGTAAGGTATTACGGCTACACCGATGTATCCTTAACACCCACCCCTGCTTCAATTGCCGTACTTCGCCCTTACTCAGGCCTGGGGTCACTCCACCGCGGTGGGCCCATTCGCGGAGGTGCTGGCCACCACGGAGGCGGCCCCCGACATCGTGCTGGCGGAACTGGACTACAGCCAGCTGGCCGAGCGGCGAGCCAACATGCCGCTGCGGGGGCAGAAGCGACACGACCTGTACCGCCTGCTAGAAAAGACGGCGGCGTGAGAGGGGGTGGGGAAAGGTGTTACTACTTGATAGTGTGTGTGTGGGGGGGGTACCACTTGTAAGGGGGGAGAGGGAAGGGGACGAGGAAGAGGTGTGAGGAGGTGGGCGGCGGGGGGAGAGGTGGTGCGAAGAGGAGGAGGGGGAAAAGGCCCGGTTGTGGGCTCGCAGGGGTTGGTGTGCCGTGTTATGTTGCGTTGAGTGAGCAGGCTGGGTTGGTGCATGGTGTTGGGCGCAGCGCTGCAGCAATTTCGGGTAAAGTGGTGTGTTAAGGAAGCGGGCCGCGAGGAGGGGCTTGATGTGATGCATGGCCGGAAGAGGTGTCTGGGTGCTTGGGTGCTTTGGTGATGTGGTTGTGAGCGGGGGTGCGAGAGGGGAGCGGCACCGGTAGTGCCGGGCTTCTGAGCGGAACGAGCAGCGTGTTACCTACCTCTCCACCACGGGACCAGATCAGACAACCAATTTTGCGGCTACAGGCAGTCAAGCCGCGGTGCAAGGCGCTGCGAGTCATGTGCGTGTCAGGCGCGTCGTTGCCAAAGTAAGCACCGTTGCTGGGGGGGTGCATGGAGGGTTTGGCGGGCTGCTGGGGGATGGTGTGTGGCTGGGTGCCCGGGTAGGCAGGGCTGCGAGAGTCGTCCATGCATCACCGAACCGAGTTAAGTTACAAACGTACATTGGTTCCCCCAAAGGGAATCCCGGTAGAAGGGAACGCGGGTACACCACCGTCACCGCTCCTAGCCACCGTAATCGATGCCAGGGGGTTACCGGTAGGTGACGTCATTTTGACCAGGGGATGGCCGCTAGGCGGTGGCTGCGGTCCTGCACATGATCTGGCTGAGGCTAGAGGCCAGATTAGCGTACCGTGCTGCAGTGCTGCTCAGCAGTGGTTGTGATGTCGCCATACCCGGTACCTAACAGCCTCCGACCTCACTCCACGCACCCTCTCTTTATAACACAACCCAACGACAACACATTCCGTCAACGGCAACCCGCAATGTCGACAATGCCTGGTACGGTAGCCTTGCAGTACATGTGTACACTACAGGTGCTGCCATGCGACACCCATCCCCCAATTGCTGCAACCGGCACCCGTCTAACCGGGCACATCTTTCAGCTTGCATGCTCCTTCAGGTCTTCACCAGGACCCTCCGGCGTTTGTTTATGGCCTCTCAGGTCTTCGGCAGGAGACCCTTCGGCGTTCGTTCGTGCCCCCTCAGGTCTTCGTCAGGAACCTGCATTCGTTCGTGCCCCCGCAGCGATCAGCAACAGCCCTCCGCTTGCTCAGCGCACAATGAACGGCACCTTCACTCGGGGCAGCTGCTGCAGCCCGTCCCTCAGCCCCAGCAGCCACCCCAGCCGGCGGCGGATGTCGCAATCCCCCCCTGCAGCCGCGGCCTGCCATGCCTCTTGCATAACCTGGTGTGTTACGTGGGGAGCGATGGGGAGCGCATGGCAAGGAAGACAAAGTAGAATGTCAGCAGGATGTTAACGGAAGGGGATAAGGTGGCAAAGAGGGAGAGGCAGGCTGCGGTAGGCAACTTGATTGAGAAGCAGGCTGGGGGATGTCGGTGTGCATGGGGATTAGGTAAACTGAGCCGCGAGGGGATTTATTAACAGCCGAGGGGTTGACAGAAGTACGGTTGTTGCGGCATTCCCATCCATACACACGCTGCCTGCCTGCCTGCCTGATAAGCGCATGCCGCCCCAGACATGTTTTCCCCGCCGTACGTGTTGGCAAGCAAGCAAGGACACAGCGGCAGCAGCAGCAGCAGCAGCAGGCGGTCATCACCCTCACCCTCACCAGCAACCCACCTTCAGAACGGGCTCCAGCAGCGCATTCCCCAGCGGCATGTCCACCGGTCTGCAGCCCAGTCGGGTCACCTGAAGCGCTCCTGCCACCGGCCCCGCCACCGCTCCTCGCGCACCCTCCGCCCCTGCCGCTGCCTCGGACCGCCGTCTCTCCCTCTCGGCAGCCCCCGTCTCTCCCCCATCCGTCCCTGCTGCTGCCGCCCGCAGCCCCTGCTGTGTGCTCGCTTCCGCTTCTTCCGCCTTCACTTCTTCCGCCTCCGCTTCCGCACGTCGGGCTGCCGCCGCCTGCATTACCGCCTCCGCGGCCTGGCGGTTCTTGCACGACAGCACCAGGGCCCCCAGCGGAGGCAGCGCCTGGAAGCCGGCAACGTAGTCGCCCGGCCGCCCGCTGGCGATCGCCACTGCGCGCTGTTCCAGAGAGTATATCCATTCGTAACGTGGTATCACTTCCGTAAGGGGAGCGATTAGCGAGCCCCTTAGCAGCACCATGACCTCCTCCTCCTCCTCCTCCTCCTCTGCTGCTGTTGCTGCTCCTGCTGTTGATGATGATGATGGTCCTGTCGTGGCGACGGGATGTCCAACGGTGGTTGTTGTGGGGGCAACAATCGTGTCGCCAACGTCGGCTGCAGCAGCTGTGGCTTCGGCACTCATGCGGGCCAACGCCTCCGTCAACACGGCAGTTAGTGGTGGCAACGGCGGCAGGTGCGACAGCTGTGACGGTTGAGACCCTGGGTCGCCCGCAGCAGCCTTAGCACCCGTACCGCCTGCCAGCCGCTGCTGCTGCTGCAGGGGCAGCTGCTCAGCCACCACGGCAGCCGCCGTCAAGAGAGGAGCCTCCGACCTCATCCGAATGTCCAACTCCGGGTAATTCAAAAGCCGGCAATCCGCCTTGACGTTCACCTGACCCGGCTCTCCAAGCAACCCAACCACCTGCAACACCGCGGCTCTCGAGCTCCCCTGCGGCACCTCAAAGGTGCCGATTTTCACGTTTGAAAAACAGGGCAGCAGGTCCCGCAGGGCTGCCTCGTCCCCCCTACTCAGCGACTCTTCTCCCGCCACGTCGACCTGCAGCAAGCTGACGATTAGGCTGGGAAGACGCCTGCTGCTGCCGTACAGGTGTTCCCGCGGTCCTCCGCTGCGCTCCGCCTTGCGGCCCCTCTGCTGTCGCCGACGTGACGCCAAGGGCGGCTGTAGCTGCGGCTGCGGCTGCGTTTCGTGCTGCTGGAGAATCGGCAGCAGCTCGTGTTTAGCCAGGTCCAACAGGGTGGTAAGGCGCATCCCGCTGCCCCACTCCCCGGCCGGCAACTCCACCTCCTGGATAGCCCCGTCTTGCAGGTGCAGCACCAAGTCGAAGTCCTGTCGCGCGTTGGGATAGCGGCACCGGTCCAGCTCTAGCCGCTCCAGGGAGGGTGGGAGGCAGCTCAGCAGCGGCAGCAGCGCGGGTCGTCTCCGGGCATGGTGTGATGTGCGCCGAGCAAATGCGTCTCCCTGCGCCTCCTCCTCGGGTTCGAATCTGCTGTCGCTTAGTAGGTCGCAGTCGTAAAGCCGCAGCTCTCGCAGCGTCGTGAGGCGCGCTAGCTCGCCCAGGGATTCCGGGTTTACCACGCTTTCATCGAGCGCGATGCTGGGATGTATCTCCAGGCGTCTTAAGCGGCAGACGCTACTGTCACTGCTTCCGCTAGCCGCCAGCACGGATACACACTGCAGTGCTGCGACGCTGGGCAGTTTGAGGCGCTCGAGGTACGACAGGGAAGCCATGCTGTCGTACATGAGCTGCAGATTGGGGCGTCCGTACGACATCCCGCTTAGCTCGAAGATTTCGAGCTCTCGCAGTGCTGGAAGGCGGTGTACGAGCACCGACACAACGGTTTCAACCGCTGGCAGCGGCTTGTCATCATCTTCTTCCAGCTCGAGATGTTTGATGCGTTTTCGAGCCTCAAGTGGGAGGCCCGAAAATGGCAACGCGAGAAGACTTGCGGCATCTTCCGATGCTTCGACGCTTTGACCGCGAACAGCATAGACGAGGTTTATTGATGTGCATCTCGGCCAGCGCAAAAGAGACGGCAAATGGCCGGCTTCCCACTTCTTGCGCACCGACTTCTTCACAGTCAGCCGGAGTTTGCGGACGCTGCCATCAATGGCTTCGCGGAGGGCCCGACATGTCAGGCGAGCAGCTGTGAGGCAGCGTGCAGCCTGCAATTTTTCATAAAGCGTGTCTAACGCCGGAACGCTTAGCTCGTGTAGCACATCGGCGACGCTGCGGTGTCGCTGGCTTGGGCATGTCGTAGCGCTTGCTTCCATTGCTACCAGTTCCAGACCATATCCAACCGGTTTGAAATACCCCACGGCAAGTTGTATGCCCCAAGGTACGCTTGGTGATGTGGGTCAGCAAAGCGCAAGCTTAGGTCTTTGTTGGTTGCAGCTGGCACCCTTGGACTAGTCGACTACCGTTCGGCGCACATTAAGACAGCCCAACGCGTCAAGTTGTCACAACGGAAACATCCCTAGCATGCTTAGCTGGCAAGGTCGGGTTCTCAACTGTACGGAGTTGCTGCTGCTGTTACTAAGCTAGCCACGACCAGATGAATCCAACATGCAAACAGGTCCCCTTTGCCCTATCATTTTAGCAACTAAGCGGGCATGGGCCTTAGGTTAGGGTCAGTGGGCAGAAGTATACCTCGTATGTTAATGCCGTGTTGGGTTCCAGACGTCCTATGGGTATACTTTGCCAAGGAGCCCCGGCAAACAGGCAAGCGAATACCCATTCGCATAGAATTTGACAGGTGACATTCATGCAATTCGATCGGGGATGGTAAAAGAGCAGGCTTAGTAAAGGTTGCTAAGATGGGTAGATGGCACGTGTAAGGGTAACGTGGTGCGAGAAGAGATACCCGACTGAACCTAAAGCTGAACCCAAACCTAAGGTCCTAAATTGTTACAGGTGGTGTTGAAAAACACCGAATTGTGTAGAGCTTGGACCGGACTGGTTGACGAAGCTGGTAGCATTGCCCACGAGTCAACGCAACCATCCGCTTAACCACCGAAGCCGTAGAGGGTGCGCCCCTGGCGCTTCAGGGCATAGACCACATCCATAGCAGTCACCGTCTTGCGACGAGCGTGCTCGGTGTAGGTCACCGAATCCCTGATGACGTTCTCCAGGAAGGTCTTAAGCACGGTGCGGGTCTCTTCGTAGATGAGGCCGCTGATACGCTTAACGCCACCACGGCGAGCCAGACGGCGAATAGCCGGCTTGGTAATGCCCTGGATGTTGTCGCGAAGCACCTTGCGGTGACGCTTGGCACCGCCCTTTCCCAGACCCTTGCCACCCTTGCCACGGCCAGACATTTGATATAGGTGATGGTAAAGACTTGAAAAGAGATAATATTCATTGAGTATGATGCTAATGCTATATATATGGCAGGGAAACCGCAAGGCTCAGCGGGCCTTTCGGCTCAGCGGGATCAACCGCCAAAAAAAGTGGGATCGTTCCCAGCACAGCGCGGCGTCAATGTGACAAACCAATTACCTCTTCTGTACTGTGTTTGGCCCGTGCTTGTCAACGGTGAAGCCCCTGGTCGAGCGGGTTGACGCTCCCGCGCACATTTGCTGGTTACAACAACTATCAAGAAGCCGTGCCTAGTACTACCGTTCTTCACGCATATTTTTGAGGTAGTCCATAAGGCAGGGCATGCAGTGAAGCAGGAACACCTTGCCAAGAATGTCCCCAAATCTTCTCGCTGCAACCTGCATGGACGTATGCTGGCATTGGGCTGTGAGAGATGCTTAAAAGCGGAGCCTAGCTGACATGACGGGGCTCGCTGGGGAGACACATGTGTGCCGTGCGTCTATCCATGCCGGCACGCCGCCCTACATTCCCCTTACACCTAGCACCTTCGCTGCCTCCCTGTACTCCTGCAACGCATCACGCCATCCCATCCCACACAGAATCACCCACCTTACGACATCATAAACCCCAGATCATGAGCAAAAGTTCAGGCCCTAGACATGCATGGCATAAAACAGCACGGTCATACGCCTCGACTGTCTGTTCCGTGGCTCGTTCCATCGTCCGTAAGGGCAGCACAGCACCGGCAGAAGCAGGGTGTTACAGGTTGTCCCTACCAGGCAACGAACGCAGCTTGGGAGCACCGACTGCTCCCCCTCCTCCAGCCACACATGTGCACACAGCCCTCTACCGCCGTAGCTGCTGCCTACAAGAGCAGTACACCCAAAAGCACCGGCAGCAATACCTGCCGTACCACCGCCGTGCCCTCTAACGGGTCCAACCTTTCCCCCCCATCCACCCAAGGTCATGCTGCCGCCGCATACAACCCACTTAGCACCTGTTCCGCTTTCAGCTTAGACAGGGGTTTCCAAACCGAGGGGGGCGCATGCGGAGCACTTCCGGGGTAGTCGCAGCGAGGTGACCATTCTCCTCCTCCTCATGCCCCTTCTCCTCCCCATCATCATTATCACCAACATCCCCCTTCTCCTCCTCATCGTACGTCCGTCATTGGTCCATTCGTCGCCGAAGTCGCTGGTGGTAGAGGTCACGACCGCCGCCGTACCCGTTGTCGTACAACTCCTCGTCTTCACCCTCGTCATAGCCGTACTGGAACCGTCGTTTCCCGTAGTCGTCCGGCCCCCCGTGATGATGGTGCGGCGGCGGGGGCGGCCCTCCGTCTCCTCCGTACGGCTCCCCTGGAGGGTAGCCCCCACCCGGCCCCCCTCGCGGCCCCCCGCCCCCACCCCCTGGGGAACCATGGCCGTAACCAAAGGGCCCCGGAGGACCTCCGTAAGGCCCCGGGCCGCCTGGTTCCGACCTGCGTGGGAGGGGCAGCGGGCAGCGATTATGCGTGGTGAATGAGTATCCATGCGCACCGGCTTCACTCCACCGGTATCCTTGATGATCCTAGATTAGCATGTCGGTAAGTGCTGGCAGGAAGGCGGGCAGCAGAACCGGCAGGTCCATTCAGCAGCAACAGCAGCAGCAGCGGCATTCCCCGGTGCCGCACCTGCCAAAGTGCCCCGGCGGCGCGTCCTGCATGTGCTGGGGGTGCGGGTAGGGCGGCTGCTCCATGCCCCCCTGCGGCCCCCCGCCGCCCAACGTTTTGCCCGCCTCCAGGTCCAGACACACCTGCAGCGGGGCAGGGGGGGGGAGGGGAGGGCAGGGGGGGTCAAGGGAATGGGTCAAGGGAAGGGGGCCAGAAAGCGGAGTGGTAAGCTGGTAACCCCAAGGCCCCGGCGAAGACACGGTCATCGCCGTCCCGGCTGTCCCAGCTCCCAGCAGCAGGCGGAGCTGCTGTCATGGCTAATACTACTGCTGCTGCCATTGGGTACTGTCCACCGCCCCGGGTGGCCCCCGCAGCCCTCAGCCCGCCGCCACCCACCCGTCCCCCCCACTTCCCCCCCACCTGCAGCACCGCCCCCGCCGTGAGGTCCATGTGCAGCAGCGCCCCGATCACCTGGTCCACATCCGGCACGATACCCTCCACCGCCTGAAAGGGGAGGGGGGAGGAGGGGGATGGTAATCGTGGTATGTGTATGGGGCGAAAGGCAGTCAACCATTTTCTGGTCTAGCAATCGACCCCATGGGCGCAGACAAGAAGAGGGTGCCCTACGCATCCACCCCTCCTGAGTCCTGACCGCCCCCCACCCCGCACCCACCCCAGTACACCCCCCTCCCCCACCTGCGGCGGCGGCAGCGAGTTGATGAACAGCCCCAACTGCGGCGGCAGCTGCTTCAGCGGCTGCGGCTCCTGCGCCCCCGCCGCCCCGCCCGAGTGCGTGTAGGCGCTGGGGGGGCGGATGGAGGAGCCGGGCGGGCCGCCCAGCGCACCACCACCCGCTGCTGCCGTACCTGCTGCCGCCAGCCCGCCCGCCGCCTCGCTGGGTGCGGTGGGGAGGCCCAGGATGCGGCGTAGGTCGGAGGGGGCGCGGAGGTAGGTGAAGTCCCGTCTGGGTTTGGGGGGCGGGCCGAGGGAGGTACCGGTAGGATTGAGGGAGAGGGTTATAGAGGGTAGGTGGGTTTGACGCGAGAAGGGGTGGCGGAGGAGTGACGCAGGGACGGGGCGCAAGAGTGGTAAAAGGGAGTTTTGGAGGGCATGTGGAGCAAGCACTCCCCCTCCAACCAAAGGTCCGGTCCTTCCCTCCAGCCGCCAGCCCCTTGTCCCCCCCGTCCACCTCCTCCTCGCCCACCCACCGTATGAGCGGTAGCGCCGCCCGCAGCTGCTCCGCCTCCTCGCCCCGCAGCGCTGCGGCCGCCTGCCGCTCCACCTCCAGCACCGAGGCCAGGTCGCCGGACTGGAGGGGGAGGAGGGGGAGGTGGAGGTGGGGAAGGTGGAGGCAAAGGTGGGTGAAGGGAGGGCAGCCGGTAGGGAGACGTTCGACAAAGGGGCTTGGCTTGGGGCTTGAGACGCCGTGAAGGGGCGCGTGGTATTTCGTGCAGTGCCAGGACTAGCTGTGCTTGCTGCGGAGCCATAGCGTGTGTCCCCAGAGCACAAGAAACCTGCTCATGCCCCCCTCTCCCTTCCCTCACCTCCCATACATCGGGTGGGTCTTCCTCTTTACTTCCCCCCTTCTCCCTCCCCCCCTTGCACCCACCATTCCCTCGAACGCCAGGTACCGCTGCCACAGCGCCACGCAGCGCGCGTTCACCTCGTCCGCCAGCAGCCGCACCAGCAGCGCGCGCGCGTTGTCCACGTCACCCAGACCTGGGGGCGGTGCGGGGGGGTCACATCTCTCACATGGAGAATATGCCACACAACAAGCTGACAAAGCCGGACTCCACCCTCTCTAGCTCTTTTGTCCCTTCAGCCCCACCTGCATCCCTCATCATTACGAACTTCCTCCCTTCTACCACACCCCATCCTTCACACCGCTCCCCACTCCCCCACTCCCAGCCCCACCCCCCTCCTACCGCACAGCAGGTCCAGGTACGCCGCTGCGTACTGCGGCTCCCGGAACACGCGCACGTCCTCCAGACCCTTCTCGAACACGTTGCGAGCCGCCGCCGCGTCGCGCCCGCGCCGCCACTCCAGCGCCGCAGCGTCCGCGTAGAGGCGCCAGCAGCTGAAGGGCTCGGCGGGGGGCAGACCCAGCTGCCACTTGCGGGCGCGCAGGAAGAGCTGGGGGGGTGGGCGGGGGGCGGGGGGTAGAAAAAGTGAAACTGACGACAGCTGACGAGGCAACTAATGAGCTGTGTGACAAGGCTTCACCGTTGGGGGGCGGGGCCGGAAGAGAGGGTAAGGAGGAGGGGTGCGGTAGGGAGGAGTGGGAGAGGGAGGGGATAAGGGGGCGTACTAGGAGGAGCAGGGTCATGTCCGGTCCTCCTTTGGGCCTACGATATATGGGCACGCCAGACTTGTTTTCGCTGTAGGAGCCAACTGCTCAAGACCTGGCCGAGCTGCCCACCCTCATCCGCGCATCCACGCCACACACACCCTCCCTCAGCTCGTTAGCTGCCTCGTGAGTTTCCTTATTTTTATCCCTCACGATTCGTTAGTCGTTTCCTCTTTACCCCCTCCCCCCTCCCCCTCCCCACCTTGCGGCTGTGGAAGTCCCCCTCCACCCGCCGCAGCAGCTGCATGTACTGCACCCACACCAGCTCCCCCTGCTCCGCGCTCATGGGCAGCAGCGGACCCGCATCCGCAGCCGACAGCGACCCACGGGTCACCGCCTGCTGCTGCTCCAGGTTCAGCGCCAGCCCCTCGTAGATGGCCACCGCCTGCTCCGGCCGGCCGGTCCGCTCGTGCAGGTCGGCAGCCAGCATGCGGAGCTGCAGGCACTGCGGCAGGGCGGCCTGGCCCTTGGTGAGGACGGAGGCGGCGGCTTCGGAGCGGCCGCATGCGGCGTGCCAGTCCGCGTAGTCCAGCCAGAACTGGGGAGGAGGGGGGAGAGGGATGACCCATGGGTCGGGATGGGGTTGCGAGGGGGGTGAGGAGGAGGGCGAAGAAGAGAAAGAAGACCTTGGGAGGGCCAGAAATAGAGAGGTGTGCTGGTACTGACAGGATGGGGTGTGGTGGAGTGGGGTGGGCCGATGGACCGATGGCTATCCCCCCTCCCTCGCCTCCTGGCCCAATACCCCCTCCCACCCCTCCCTCCCCCCCACCTCGGGGAAGTGCAGGAAGCAGATGAGCGCCTGGTCGAACGCGAGCGCCACTCGCGCCTGCAGCACTGCCGGCTCCAGGCCCTGGGTGTGGGGTGGGGGACGGGGGCCCGGGATGGGGGGTGGGGGGTCAAAGACCATACCATACCAAAACAAGCCCCCGGTTAGGGCAAGCAAAGGGAATAGGGGCGGGGCGGGGTACAGGAGGCCATAGGCGTAAGCCTGTGACAAAGCCGCGCATTTCGGCCGGACACACGGGGACCCTGACAGCAATCCACACAACACCATGACCGCCCAGCCGCAGTGCAGCCCCTCTCCAGCCTGGCTGCTGCGGCGCTGCCCTCCTCCCCTCTCCCGGCTGCTGCTTCTTGTTCTCCTTCTTCTTCACCTCCCCGGCGGCGCCCTGCTACCCCCCTACCCGCCTCCCCCCACCTGCGGGTTGCTTCGCTCGTATGCCAGGTACTCCCGCCACAGCGCCGCCTGCTGCTCCTGCAGCAGGCCGCCCTTGCCGGGGGGCAGCGGCCACAGCGCGTAGCTCAGCACCTGGAGGGGGGAGGGGGGGAGGGAGAGGGGGAGGGATGAGAAGAGATGTGTGGAGAGGAAGGGAGGGATTCGAGGTAGCAGGCTGGAGCGGCATGAGGGCATGAGAAGGAGGAGGAGCACGACAGGCCTTTCTGCTGCTGCTTCCCTTCCCTTCCCTCACCCCCCCCTCCCTCCCTCCCTCCCCACATGAGCCAGGTGCTGGTGTGCTGCAGGTGCCATTGTCCCCCCTCCGCACCAGTCCTACACCCCCCGGGCCTCCGCACCCGCCCTCCCCACACCACCAACAACCACATGGCAGCAACCCCCGGCTCCCTGCCCCCCGCCCTCACCACCACTGCTGCTGCCCCTCGCCAGCTCCCCTGCCCTCACCGCTGCTGGCCGCCCCCAAGCCCCCACCCCCTCCCGCCAAGCCATACAGCTCGCCAGTTTCCCCTTGTTACCCCCCCTCCCCTCCCCCAACTTCCGCCCGCTCACCGATGCTCTCCGCCTGCGCTCCCGGTACACGGCTCGAGCCGCCTGGTACTTGGGAGCCCACTCGTCCAGCACCTGCAGGCGGGGGGGCGGGCGGGGTGTTAGGAGGTTTAGGGGGCGAGCAGAGGATTCAGAGAAGACATAGGGTCCAGGGAAACCAGACAAACGTATCGAAACGGGATGGACTGCATGCGAGGGGCGGGTGTGGGGTTAGGGGTGGTCGGCGGGTGCTCCCCTTCTCGGTCCTCGACCTCCTCAGTTCTCACACCTCCCCAAGCCCTTCACAAGCACCCACCCACCACACCCAAGACGCGGCCTCATACGCGCCCCACCCCCCACCCGTCTTCCTCCAGCCTAATGCAGGCCCAATGTATCCCCCTGCTGGCCCCCACCTTTTTCGCAAACATCTTGGAGGGCCCCTCGTTTTCGAAGCGCTGGTAGTCCCTCCACAGCCCCTCCAGGTGGTGGTGCGGCACACACACCGCCCGCTGGTACAGCCGCCGCACTGCAGCCATGCGCGCCTGGTCCTCCTGACCCGACATGGCCTGCCAGCAGAGGTGGAGGGGGGGGGCGGGAGAGAGTGAGGGAGGGAAGGAGAAGGGTTGGGTGGGGTTGGAGGGGGTCGGGATGATACGGTTAGGGTCAGTATTTCTCGCGGCTCAGTATACCTATCTAATCTCCCCTCCCTCCCCCTCTCCCTCCCCACCCCCCACCCCACCTGCGGGAACAGCGCTGCGAACTCGGGTGTTGCGGGCTTGACCTGCTGCAGGTGCTGGATGGCGTCCTGCCAGAAGGGGCCCGAGTTGATGTCCTGCCCCACCACCTCCAGCGTGAAGTCCAGTGCGTTGCGCACCTCCACCGCACCCTCCGCGCCCTTGGCTGCGAGGGGGAGAGGGGGGGAGGGGAGAGGGGTGTTTATCGGAGTGTGATGGCAGGTACGGATGGTAGCGCCGGGGATTGGAGGATACTTGTTCGGGCGTTTGCATGTCAGTCCACCACCCATGGCTCCTCCTCCTCCTCCTCCTCCGCTACAACGCTAACCCACTCCACTCCATTCCTCCTCACGCATGCATGTGCACCGCCCCCCCATCCCACCTCACACCCCACCTCACACCCCACCCCGCACACACCTAGCACACCTCTTCCCCTTCTCCACCCCACACGGCCACAACACCCCTTTGCCCCCCCCATCCCCACCCACTCCCTCAGTCAGTTAGTTGTTTCCTCTTTACCCACCCCCTCCCACCCCCCCCCACTTCTTTATTCCCCCCCCCCACTCCCACTCCCACCCACCCCCCCCACCCTTGTTGCTCCTCCGGATGAACTTCATGTACAGCGCCCACAGCTCCAGGGAGGGCACCTGCATGATGCAGCGCTGGAACACCGCCTTCAGACCCGACAGGTTGCCCGCGCCCAGCTCCTGCTCCGCGTACTTGCACCACAGGTCCGCCTGACAGGAGGAGGAGGAGGGGGAGGAGGAGGGTGGGTGCGCGGGGGTTAGGAGGGGGGAGGGGGGGGTGCAGGAGTGGAGAAAGGGATGGGCGGCCGAAGGCAGGCCATGGGCGTGATTGTTGTGACCAACGGCATGCGAGAAGGAAAGCAGGGGCGGAGGGTTCGCGGGTGGAAGCGAAGTGAGGAGGGACGCGTGCTGCGGCTCCGAAGCAGCAGCAGCAGCAGCTGGGATGGGCGTGAGGCACCCGGCGCGCTCTCCCGCACTGCTGCACGCGGAGGAGCTGCGCAGTGCCCCCCAGGGCAGGGGCACACCAGCTGCAGGAGGCGAGTCAGCTAGGGCCGGCGAGTGCGGCCGCAACACACCGCTCTCCCACATGCGTCGTCCTGACGTTGGGCCTCCATAGGACCCGAGTGAAGTGCATGCGTCCCGCCGTACGACACCTCCCTCCGCGACCCCAGGGGCGGCGGGTAGGGGAGGTAGGGGGGGCTGCCTCCCGAGGGGGCTCTGTCCGCCGCGCCCCCGTGATGCCGACAGGCGCACGTGCTGCGGCCCCTAACGCTGTGCCGTACCCCCTTGGCGCTACCCCACATGTGGCCCTGCTACTGCCGTGCTGGTGCGGACCTTGGTGGGGAATGCTGCGACCATTTCGTCATAGATGGGGCGTGTTTCATCGGTTAGGGGCAGCGACTTCAGCTCCTCAAACGCCTGGTCCCACGCCGCTACATCGTAGATGTCCTGGGCTGCTTTGGCGCGCAGCTGCCTGACCTGCGGTTGGAATGGTTGGGGAGGCGGCACAGCAGGAGGCAGCCCAAGGCACGGAATGAGGAGGGGGGACAGCTAACGCAGCCTATGGAGGCCCAACGTCAGGACGACGCATGTGGGAGAACAGGCTTGAAGTGCGGTGTGGCGATGCACGACGATCGAGGACCAGGGTAAGAGAAGTGCCGGAAACGAGCTGCTTGCAGTAAGGATATGTAGTAGGGTGTTTAAGTAGCGCAGCGCACCCTGTCTAGCAGCTGTCCCGGTGAGGGTCCAGGTCTCCCGCCGCCCCGACCTCTGTCTCTGTCGCGGTCCATTCCTATTATTGAAACTCCCTAATACCAGTTACAACTGCATGCTGATCACTCAATGGGGTAAATCGTTTAAGCCTAGAATGCCAAAAGCCGAAATTGAGCTTCAACATATGAGCACTGTGGCCGAATTAAGGGTAAAAGATCAGGTGTGAGAGATGTAAGCATAACAGCGACTGGTACTTGTCCGTGTGCGCATTTCTCGCAGGTCGGTGAAGCTTGTCTCGTACGGCAGGCGAGGAGGATAGTTGCTTGCCTCAAGCTCTTGGAGTTCGCAGTGGTACTTTGACTTCACGCTCACAAACGCTCTACCAGTAACAATTGATAAGATACTGTCTGTGGCACGCAAGACTATATAAGACTTTCGGCCTTTGAACACAGCGTTATAGTTGACTAGTCTGCTATGGATGGCCCTACTTAATACCTCAGTCTTAAGCATGTGTTTTGCGGTGCTTCTCTCGCGTCGCTAAAAGCAACCCTCTGGTATGTCGTGGAAAGCAGAAGCCCTCCTCTGCCATTCTTATGTCCAGCAAAATTAGTGCACCTGCTTGTTGTCAAACGTATCATGTCTGGACCGGATCGTTTTGGGGCGCGTGCCCGCCATGTGCTGCATGCTTATCACTGGCTGGCTGAATGTGGATACCATAGTCTACGTATTGTCGGCGTGACCGGCTAACGCCCATGCCATTGCCCATTTTGTGCGCAGGGTGTGCGTAGTGCACTTCGCTGGGTGCTGCAGTGCCCCTCTCGGCACATACCCTGCCCCACAGCTGGGGCGCTTTCCCTCTCAGCACAGCAGTTAGCAGGGGCGTCCCAGCACAGCAGCCATGGAGATCTACCACCAGTACATTAAACTGCGCAAGCAGTTCGGTAGATGGCCTAAATTCACGGATGAGGGTAGCGAGATGCTTGCTGACATCCGGCCTAATGAGGACCACGGCAGAGAGTACATTCCCCGGAACCCCGTCACAACAGTGACCCAGTGCGTGCCGGAGATGTCAGAGCATGAAGCCAACACCAACGCCGTTATCCTGGTTAACAAGGCGATGAGCCATGTTGAGGGCGGTTGGCCCAAGGATGTCGATTACACGGAGGCGGAGCACACCATTCGCTACCGCAAAAAGGTGGAGAAGGACGAGGACTACATCAAAACCGTGGTGCAGCTGGGAGTCTCGGTGGAGGACTTGATAAAGCAAAACAACGCGGTAGACATTTACCAGGAGTACTTCACCAATGTTACCATGGACCACACCTCCGAGGCGCCGCACGTCAAGACCGTCACGGTGTTCAAGGACCCCAACAACATCAAGCGCAGCGCCTCCTACGTCAACTGGCACCCCGACGGCTCCGTTCCCAAAGTCGTCATTGCCTACTCCATCCTCCAATTCCAGCAGCAACCCGCCGGCATGCCGCTCAGCAGCTACGTGTGGGATGTCAACAACCCCAACACGCCCGAGTACGAGATGATTCCCACCAGTCAAATCTGCTGCGCCAAGTTCAACCTCAAGGACAACAACCTGGTGGGTGTGGGGCAGTACAACGGCCAGATGGCGTACTTTGACGTGCGCAAGGGCAACTCCCCCGTGGAGGCCTCGCCCATCGACTACAGCCACCGCGACCCCATCTACGACTTTGCCTGGCTGCAATCCAAGACCGGCACGGAGTGCATGACGGTGTCCACGGATGGCATGGTCTACTGGTGGGACATCCGCAAGCTGAACGAGTCGGTCGAGAGCATGCCGCTGCGGGAGAAGAACAGCGAGACCAGCGTGGGCGGCGTCGTCCTGGAGTACGACACCAACGCAGGTCCCACCAACTTCATGGTGGGCACGGAGCAGGGCCAGATCTTCTCCTGCAACCGCAAGGCGAAGAACCCGGTGGACCGCGTCAAGTACGTCCTCTCCGGCCACCACGGCCCCATCTACGGCCTGCGCCGCAACCCCTTCAATTCCAAATACTTCCTCAGCATTGGCGACTGGACGGCGCGCGTGTGGGTGGAAGACACGGCCGTCAAGACGCCCATTCTCACCACCAAGTACCACCCCACCTACCTCACGGGCGGCACCTGGTCGCCCTCCCGCCCCGGCGTCTTCTTCACCATCAAGATGGATGGCGCCATGGACGTGTGGGACTTGTACTACAAGCACAACGAGCCCACGCTCACGGTGCAGGTGTCGGACCTCAGCCTCACGGCCTTTGCCGTACAGGAGTCCGGAGGAACAGTTGCGGTGGGCACCAGCGACGGCTGCACCTCCATTCTGCAACTTAGCCAAGGGCTGTCGGAGGCAGCGCCCAACGAGAAGTCCGCCATCGCCGCCATGTTTGAGCGCGAGACGACGCGCGAGAAGAACCTGGAGAAGGCGATCAAGGAGGCCAAGGTGAAGGCGCGCAAGGAGATGGCGCGGCGGGATGACGTGGCGGACCGGGTGACGGCGGAGCAGCTGAAGCAGCTGGAGGATGAGTTCTTCCAGGTGACGGACATTGCGGGCTCGGCGGCGGTGGGCGGGTCTGGGACTGCGGAGTGAGGATGAGAGCGGTTGGGGAGTAAGGGAAAGGGCGGAGGCTGGGTGAGGCGTATGGCATGGCTGAGGATGGGAGGAGGTGGTGATCCGGGGTGGGTTTTGGGGCGTGCCTTGTCGCCTGGGTCTGCGGTTGCCACGGTAGGCACGACAGAACGAAGCTTAGGTATACGTAAGATGGGATTTCAAGGCGGTGGGTGGGGCTGAGCGTAATGCATTCAACCATTCGTGGTATATAGCTGTGAGCTTGGATGACAAGCGAACTCTGCATTGCGGCAGTTAACATGGCTACGCTTTAACTTAGCTGGCGGCTGGAGGTGAAGCTCCCTACGGGTGCCGAAGGCGGTATTTACAATGGCCCGGGACCTTGGTGCGCGCTTATCGTGGAGGGTTAGTGGCTTGCTGGGGTGCGTGCGTTGCCCTGTGCAGTTCCGGCTGGGCGACGGTGGCGGTGCTGAAGGGCTGTGGCATGCAATGTGCGCTGCATACAGGCTCTTTTTGCGCTTGAAAGCTGGACAAGCTGTGCTGCAAGAGACGGCGGTATTTGGGCAAAGCAAACGCCGGGTGAAGAACCGTAACGATGCCTAACTCGTTTCGACGAGGTGGACTATGTTGGTTAATTCAGGACCTTACCCTGCTGTGGACGGAGCACTTGTTATGCTCCTTTTCGCGTTAGTCGATGGAGGCTTCGGCTGTGCGCCACTCTCGCATGTTTGCTGAATAGGGTGGCGTGAAAGCCGCCCTATCGCATGAGGAGCGGCTGCAGCAATCTGCAACCGGTTGAGTGTCCCACGGGTCACGAAGCAAACGGTGATACGCATCACGGTAACAGTGTAAGGTACTGCGAACTTCACAGATTTCGCATTCATCCAAACATAGAGACTTAGAGAGTGCACCTCGCGTCCGCATGCCATTCGGTTCTTGCCCCATAGCTTGTGCGTCTAGCAACCATTCGGCAGCCACCTCAGCGAAACCGCCTTCCAAGCCCCCGAGGCACAACCAGGAACCTTGGAAAGGTCTGTGTCCCGCTACAAATATGGTTGCAACACCGACACCTGCGTCCATGTATCTTAATCCCAGCGATCCAGTACATGTTACTTGCGCTTTGAACTATTTCCCTTGTCCAACAAGATTACAAAACATGATCAAATAGCTGCTGTCTTCTCCCAAGTAATCCGCCTCACGGCCCCAAGGCCGCGTAACCCTCCATCACACCACCATCCCTCTGTAACCACCACCGCCACCATCCCTCCGCAACCGCACCCAGCTCGCCACCGCATGGCAGTCACAGTCGTCACCCCTCCCTTTCCCTGCCGCCAACCCCCCACACGCCTCCCCAGCCGCAACGTGATCCAGCACGAAGAAAAAGCTCGAGAAGAGGCCCGGGCAGCCACCACGCCACCCTCCATCCTACCATTCCCACAAGCAACCCCACCCTGCCGCATCCGCCACACCACACCACCGCCTAGCAACCATCTAGCGAGCGAAGCCCAGGATTCCCCGCTTCTGCGTCGTCGTCGTCTTCTGGTGCGACGCTGCCTCCTGCAGCCGGGCCTTGAAGGCGGCGGGAATGTCCTCCACTCCGTCGTACGACTTCACCACTTCTCGCACGTCCTTAACTTTGCGCATGGCCAGGAACTGCAGGAAGGGTATGAGGTCGATGAGGCCGGTGTCCTGGGGCTCGCCCTTCCAGGGCTTCAGCTTGAGCGCGTTCTCCGGCTGGAACTCCCACGCCTGTGGAGGCGGGGTCAAATCGGACCAAGTGGAGGGGGGAAATGTTTATAAGTGAGACAACGAGTCCCAGACAACGAGTCCCAGACAACGAGTCCCAATAAGTGCAGGGGGGGGTAACGGGGCGGGGGGGGGATGTGGAGGTGAAGCACTGGAATTCCAATACGCGAGCATGGGGCCAGGTCGCGGGCGATATTTCGAGCAAGCAGGGTGCTGCGGAGTGAGGATGTCATGGATGAATGGACCGCATGGAAGGTTGGCGCGGGGGCATGAGAGGTTACGGATGTGGGTGCGCAGCGCGTGGGCCAGCAATGTGGGTTAACAGGTACGGTACGGGGTGATGCGGGTTTGCCGTATTGTTGATGTGCAGCTGCTGTTGATACCGGTACACGTTTCTCTCAACCACCGGCCCATGCAGCTGAGGAAACGCATCGTACGTAACGTAACGATGCGGCCTTTTCACGCGGCTCGCCAGGCCAACCCTTAAGGTTCACTCATATAACTTCCCGACAGTCGCCGCCAAACCAAAGGTGCTCTTGGTTTCTCCCTTACCCCACTTCCCCAACGGTGTTGGGGCGTGCCCCCAGTGCTAACCGGCCGTACCAACCCCATACCCCCGCACCTCCGGCTTAGATGAAACCATGAGCACGTGCGTGAGGTCCCGGTTCAGCTTGGACAGGTCGCGCACATGCTTGCCGTCCTTGTACTGCGTATCTGTGCGGTACAGCCGGAACGGCACCACACGATGGGGATCCAGCTTGTTGAGGATGGGATCCGCGTACGTGGCCGGCTCGTCCGTGTAGATCACAATTTCAAAGTACTGCCCCAAGTCAAGCAAGAATTCCTGCACGCCGGCGCGCTTGTAGATGGACCAGCCCTTCTGGCGGGTCCATTCCTTCCACACCAGCAGCTCATCGAGGTCCAACACCAGCGTGATCACGTTGCCGCGAAGCTGGGGGTGGAGGTCTGGCAGGAGCTTGTCGGTGGCGGGGTCGGTAAACTCCTTAATTTGCGCCTCCATATTCTTCCGGATGTTGAGGTAGCGCTCCATCATGTCGCACCATGCTTGGTAAAGCGGTTGCTCCTTGGTCTCCGCGCGGGTTTCCTTGACGATTTTTGAGAGCTCTGGGACGTCATACGCGTACGTGTAGTAGGTAGCAGCTGCGCCGGTGGTGGCCGTGCCCAGCAACAACGTTCTCCAAACAAAGCGTGCTATACGCCAGCCAACGCCGGGGAGGGGCTCAGATGGAAGCTCGCCGGTGGCCTCAAGCTGGCTCTTAATCCGCCTAATCCGCGCCTTGGCTACCTCGTCTAGGACGTTGTGGGCGTTCTTCGCCTCCGACTGCATGGCACGCCGACAGCCAGTTCCCGAAGCTGCCGCCGCGCCGCTGCCGAGTCGGAGCAGGCGTGGCAGCCTTTGCAGCATTTTAGCCTACTAACGACTACGATAGGCTACAAGTGCTTGCTAAGCAAGTAGGTACTATCTGATCTTCGCCGGCTCTAAGCTGTAAGACTATAGCGTATGTACAAAGCAATAGTAGTTACTCTTGTCACCTTTATAAGCGAACTGCAGGGTACTCAGGACTGCCCTATGAAAGCTCCGACTGCCGCTGTAACCCAGACTTCGCAGTTCTAAGCAGGAATTTAGGACAGAACGCTGTATGTTTTTGAAGTTACGAAGCAGGCACGAAGCAAGTGTCCCACACTCCCAACAGCGAGTACGGTGCACGATCCTGGGAATGCACGTCCGTAGTCAAGGCTTCTCAGACTCACGTTTATTATTATACTCTTGCGTTATTTACACACAGATGGTGATCTCATCTTGTAGCAGCTGAATATTACAAATTCGTCTACCCAAGAATTCCGCCCAGACGTTTTCGGACAAATGGCCGAGGGTCAGGCAGCCCCAAAGGGGTTTGCACTCCAACTGCTGCTAACCTATGGGTCAGTCATGACTTCTGCGACGTTGCCTTGCCTACTCGACTGCCTATGTCGATTTTCGCTACGCTTTAACGGGCGTCTGTGCTCTTGCTTCACCCTTACCTCGCAGCTACATGTTCCTATGGATTGGTCTGAGCGCAGCAGTCATCATGATCAATAAATACGTGCTGTCGATGTCGGGCTTCCCTTACCCAGTCGCCCTGACTTGCACACACATGCTCTTCTGCTCGGTGCTGGCGTTTCTGCTAGTCAAGCTGGGATTTGTAGAAGCGGTGAATATTAGCGCTGATACTTACCTAAGGTGCGCTCCGTACAACCCCGTTGTAGCATGGCCATGCAACTAACCTAACCCGAAACTCCACTACGCAGCTGTATCTTACCCATCGGCCTGCTTTTCGCGGGGACGCTGTGGCTAGGCAACGCAGCATACCTCTACCTCAGCGTATCGTTCATCCAGATGCTCAAGGCAAGTCCGCCGCCTAGGGCCGTGTCCGAGTTTCACCGTTGACCAGTTCCCTTTGACTCAGCCCCATGCCCTTTCACATGCAGGCATCCATGCCAATGGTTGTGTTCGTCGTGGGAGTCATGTTCGCAACGGAAAAGTTCACCCCAAAGGCAGCTGTCAACATGGTGGTGGTCGGCACCGGTATCGCCATCGCATCATACGGTGCGTCTTTCGCCTGGGTGGCGTACTGCACAGCTGCCGTTGTCCTATGAGGAGGTACCCTGGCCGACGACATAGGCCCCAGAGGGACGCATACCCCGCCGTCCCACCAGCTCATGTGGCGTGTATGCAACCCTCCCTCCCCTACCGCTCCTCACCTCCCCGCCCCCAGGCGAGATCCACTTCGTGGTTGTGGGCGTGCTGCTCCAAGTGGCCTCCATCGCCACCGAGTCGGTGCGCCTGACGCTGGTTCAGATCCTGCTGCAGAAGCGCGGCATCCGCATGAACCCCGTCTCCACACTCTACCACATCGCGCCCTGCTGCTTCGTGTTCCTCTTCCTGCCCTTCCTCTACATCGAACTGCCGCGCATGGTGAACGACCCGCACCTAAATGTCAATGTGCCGCTGCTGCTGGGCAGCGCCGCGTGCGCTTTTGGTGGGTGGCGGGGTGCATGTCGAGGGGGTGGAGATGGGTGGGCATAGGAGGAGGGGTGCCGCACTGCGGCTGGAGGACCAGGGAATGGTTGTCTTAGGTGCAGAAGTTGAAGCAGCTTATCACGCAATATAACAAGTTCTGGCACCTGTACAAGTCAACGCCGCAATGGTATAATAAAGCATATATGGGTTGCTGCTGATGACTTCTAGCGCGCTGGTGTCCCAAGTCCTAACGGAAGCTGCCACCCCCTTTGGCCCCTCTCCTCCATCGCCATCATTAACGGGTCTTCCTTTGGTCGCGGTCAGTGTTTCCCGGCTCCATGTACCTAATCCTGCATCCCCTCTGCCCTGCCGCACAGCCCTCAACATGTCGGTGTTCCTGCTGATCGGCAAGACCTCCGCACTGACCATGAACGTGGCGGGAGTGGTGAAGGACTGGCTGCTCATCCTGCTGTCCGTTGTGTTGTACGGGTACGTCGTACGTGTACGGCATATGGGTGACGTTAACAGGACGACGGGTGCGGGTTGTACTCTTGTTGACATGGGCGCGGGCGAAAGGGCGGTGTTGGGGTACCTTACAACGTTGAAAGTGACCACATTGGTGTCCGTGGGGGCCGGTTGCTAGATGCGTTAGAAGGCATCCATGCCTGCTCGGCTGTGATTGCACCCATCCGCAACCCATTTCCCTCCGCATCCGCCGGTCTGCCGTACCCGCACAGGTCCCCCGTTACGCGGACGCAGCTGGGCGGATACGGCATTGCGTTCGTTGGCGTCATGTACTACAACTACCAGAAGGTGGAGCAGATGAAGCAGTCAGCGGCGGCAGCGGCCAAGGCGCCGGAGAAGCAGCCGCTGGTGGCTCAGGGTGAGAGCAAGTCTAACGCATGAGCTGCTGCGAGGAGCAGGGCGTGAAGCAGATGGGGCTCATGGGGCAGGGGAGTTCGGAGTTCGGGTGCCGATTGGAAAAAGCCGCGCGGACAGAGGCGCATGGAGCGGACGGCTTGGATGGTGGAGCGAAGGAAGTCCCGTTGATTTTCGAGGGTTGGGGTTATGACTATAGCTGGGGCCTAGTTCTGCCTCTTCTTAATTTATGGGTCTTTTAGCGACAAACCTCTCAACGGACGAGAGCTGGCTTTTCATGGAGATGTCCTGTCATGACAGGTCATCTGGGGTATTGGACCTGGTATGGCTTTGAGGTTGTTGTCGGCATGGTCTACTGCGGTGGTTTATATAAGGTTCTGTCCTGCGTCTATGAGACTAGGGCTTGGTAAGGACTAAGGAGGCTGCGTGTATGGCAGTACTGCAGTATATACAGGTGGCGACCTGGACAGGTAATCGCTGTTTTTGCAGTGTTCTAATCTGGCTGCACTGTTGTTGTAATGGTAAAGCTGTTTTTGGTCTTTCGTTTGCAGTGAAGTGTGGTGAACGTCATCCATACTCATTTTGGTGTGTGGGCTTGCCTGTTTTGACCATTCCTGCCTTGCATGCTGCATTAATGCCGCCTAGGCACCTAACCGTGAGCTTGTGGGCTGGATTGTGGACTGTGTTTTGCTCCATGTTAGTCGTGTGGGTGCGGAAAACTGGCCTTTCTTATAGATATACAAAGATGGAAACCCTTCCGAGTGGGAAGGAAAGATGGGTTTAATGCGGTCTCACGCCGTTTTGGGAAACCGTAAAGGGCTGTTTCGGTTTCACTTACATTCAGCTGCGAAATGCCTGCGGGCATACATACGTCGCTGTGACCTATTAGCGGTGGCGAAATGTCAAATGCATTGGGTCGAACAGCTCGAACGCATGTGAAAGTGATTTCTGGCGCAGGAACCGGAATACAAGGAGACACACAATTTTTGCACCCAGCAATGATGGAAGCCCTACGTTTCAGGGAGCGCGCGGGGCATATGCCACACTTTCGAGGCCAGCATATGCTCTGCAGACACATGCACCCGCCTGCAGGCCGCCTTCCCCTCTGCATCCTTCTGGCAGTCCATCCAATCATCCGGGCCTCCATCAGAACCCAACTACACAGCCTTTCGGTCCTTCAAAGAGCTTCAACACCAAAGTGCCTTCTGCATAGTGCCAGAACACCGTTCATTTCCTTCCGCACCGAGCGGCGCAACAGGCTTCCCCGCAAGAACAGCTCTGCTTGCCGTGTGTGCAAAGAAAGCGGGCATCAAGAAAGCTTACCAGGGTTTCCCCACTTCCTGGACGCTCCTTTCAGCCGTCTCCAACCCACGTGCACTCTACACCCCCCCCAAGGCCACTGTGTAGCACCCACTAGCCCTCATCTCCACGGCTCTGAGCACAGAACCCTGGTACCAACCTGACCTCAACCCAGTAGCCCGCAGCCCGGGCACGCTGGTCTCTCGACGTTGCTGAGCAACCTCCTGTTGTACACCTTGAATCCCGTCGTACGCCTTACAGCGTGTTTACCTCCTGGCCAACCCTGCCTCATCAAGAGCGCAACCTGCAGCAACAGCGCACCCAGGTCCTGCCCGCCACGATGGCACCTCTGCTCCTCCATTACTCGTCCGACACCCGCCTGTACTCCCTAAGTTAATCACCACTACCTGTACTTCTACCACCACCAGCACACCGCCTTACAATCCCACCTCCCTAGCAAAGTGCCCCCTTCCCTTCCGCCCCACGCACCCTTCCGCCTCCCCTCCGCCTCACGCCTTGCACAGGATGTCGTCCTCCCGCAGCACCACGTACTTCTCCCCGCTGGGGGTCTCCATGTTGTCGCCCGCGTACTTGAAGTACAGCACCTTGTCGCCCGGCTGGACCTGCGGGGGGGGAGGGGGAGAATGCGGGGGAGAGGGATGCGAAGAGGTGGATAAGGCACACACCCGGGAGGTGAGGAGGTCAGGGGCGAGGGAGGGGGTATATGTTCGACGTGCGGGCGTGTTGGAGAAGTGGTGAGGCTGCTAGAGAGGGGATATATGTTGGGCGGTGGCGGGTTGAAGGTAACGGCCCCCCATGCAACCTCCAGCCGCCAGACCGGGCGGCACGCGACACAACAGAGTTCTCCCACCCGCTGAGGGCCCACACAGCGCTAGCCCGCCTCCTCCTCCTCCTCCTCCTCCTCCTCCACTCTCCACCGTCGCGTGCCCCGTGCTGCTCATAACGCCCCGCTGAGCAGTGCTGCTGATACGGTGCTGCAACCCATCATGCCTAGAGCTGCCCAAGGCACCAGGCATCCACAAGGAGCCCCCCAGCGCTGTGGCCCCTCTGTGTGTCCCCAACGGAACTCAGGCCCGCCCGCCACGTCCGTCCCAGCCGCATGTGACATGCCGGGATGCGGTGTACACAAGGCTGCTGAAGTACGGTACGACACACCCTCTTTCGTCTGCCGTACATCCCTCCCTCCCCACCTCCTAACGAGTTCTGCCCCTGATCTCTCCCTGCCTCCGCAAGCCCCTGCGGTGTGGCCGTGCTTGCACGTTGCACCCGTCCCAACACCGCCCCGGAACCCGGACACACCTTGTACACGCCGCTTAGGAGCCCCCTGCCCTGCCGCGTTTGCATTTCACCCTCACCCCCAACCTCAGCAGGGCGACCCGGTCAACCATAACCCCCCAAACCACCACCCTTCTAAACACCTGCCACCCTCCCGTAACCCCCACTCCCACCCCTTTGCAAGCCTTGCATCCCAATCCATTCAAATCACCCACCGTCATGGCCTTGCGCTTCCCCTCCGCCTCCTTGTCGTACTTCCCGGGGCCCACTCGTACGACAGTCCCGCTGAGCGGCCGCTCCTTGGCGCTGTCCGGCAGGATGACTCCGCCCAGGGTGACGTCAGCAACCTCCTCCACGCGCAGCAACACGCGGTCAGCAATGGGCAGCAGCTCAGGCACGTCGTCCGCCTGGGCGTCTGAGGGGAGGGAGATGAGGGTGGAGGAGGGGAGGTAGCGTGTGTGTATGGGGGTGGTAGGGAATGGTGTGTGGAGGTGGAGGGAAGGAGGAGTTGGGCATGGCGATGCGGAGGGAGGGAGGAGGGAGAGAGGAGGGAGGGAGGAGGGTAGGAGTGCGCGACGGTAGGGAGGGCAGGGAATGGCCACTACGATGGGAAAAGGTGGATGTAGGATGAGGACTATCCCCGCTCTTCCGCCAGCATTGGCCAGGACGGTAGGTATAAGCATGGTTTGTGGCTACGAAGGTACTTACTGGCACGGGGCATGATGCCGATGATATCGTCCTCACGGATAAGGATGTACTCCTCATCGTTTGAGAGCTTCAGGTCCGTGTACATGAACCCAAACTTGCTGTACACGACCGTCTGCCCAGGCTTAAGGTAAAATTGCCGGACCTCGCCATTGCCGACGCGACCATCGCCCAGGCTCACAACTTCGCCTGGTGGCCCATGAGTTGAATTAGCAGCATGCAATGGTGCAACAGGTCCGGCGCAGGTGCCCTGCAGAAACTTACCTGAGGTAGGCTTCTTAATGGCCGAGGGAGGAAGTAGAATGCCGCCTCGAGTCATCACCTCCTCCTCCGCAACGCGCACCAACACGCGATCTCCCTTCGGCTCGATCTATAAAGGGTAATTGCAACCTTCGTTGACAAATTTCCTATGGTTCGTCTACGCAAGCTTTGTTGGCTTTAAAGAGCATACGCGCGAAAGGAGCAGCTATCTACCTTCGTAAAAGGCGCTGGGACGGCAATGGCAGCTGCGCGAACAGCAACAGTAGCCCGGCGACCCGTCGTTTGGCCGCCGAACAAACCACGTCGCGAAAGGCAAGTCTGCATCTTTGATTATCCTTTCACAAAAACACTAGGGCAATCAATGTGAACACAGTGCAGGCATGCGAAGTATGGATGGAAGGAGCTGGTGAAAATTCTGGAGACAGAAGCCGTGGTCCTGGAGCGAGTTTCGCGATCATTGCGGTGAAGGCTTTGGGCCTTTTACCTTTGAGCCTTTGACGTCCCATACGTATCACTTCAACACTCATATTACATGGGTTGGATTGAGCTCTACCTCAGCGATGTTCAAACATCCCTTTCGTTGGATGAGAAGGCGAATTCTGCTTGGCATTGTTGCCTTTGCTTAAAGGCACCAGGGTGCAAACCCGCATGCTCCCAAAGGAATCGAGGCTTCCTAAAAAAACAGAAAGCTAACAGCAAAACGACGCATGAGTGCCTAAGTATTGGGGCCATGCTGGAATGCCTAGATTTATGGGCGCCAGCGGCCGGGCAAAACATGGAAGCCTTCATGCTGACTGCTTAGGCAGGGCGAGGGATACGTTGCAACATGCAAAATGAGCGCGGGTATTCGTGCAGAGCGAGAATGACAGCACGCATGGGCCCCGCAATTTGGACAGGGCGGGTTGTCAGCACGTTTGGGCGGTTGGGCGAAAAAGTGCTTGCGCTTAGCCGTGCAGACACCACACGACTTTTTCTGCCCGCTCCTGTCCAGCCCCATGGGTCGGCGCCATGGGTGTTTACAATCAGCCCCACCCACGTACGGCGCCTCGTCTCCAGCACGCAGCGCCCGCATTAATACATTACACACATGCCAATTCGCACTCGAGTTCACAGCACTGCTTCCCTCCGCGATGACACCACCCCACTCTAATCGTCTCTCTGCCCAACTGCTGCCTGATATGGCCGTGGTACGCGGGTAGCTCCGGCATCTAGGAGAAGTGGACACCCAAAATAACGCCCGCATGTCGCTCTCCTCGCATGACCTGCCCCCATTGCTTTGCCCTAACCCATGGTTTCCTATGGTTTGGTATGGTCTTTGGATTGACCCCCGCACCACATCACGCACTTCGCCTCTGTACATACACCATCCAGAACCCTCTTGGAAATGTTAGAATCACTCCCTCTCGCTCGGCCTATGCAGCATGGGCCATGCTCAGCATCTTCTTTTCGCACACGTATGCACGTGTAGCGCTTCCTCTCCACATCCCAACCTCAGACGACCACCCTGCATGGCCCCTACAAGCCACCCTCCATGCCTACCGCAGCCGCACCCAATCCCATTCCAACACCCATGCCTGCCCCCACTCCCAGCTCCCCTCCTCTTCCTCTTCCTCCTCCTACCATGCGCCCCGAAACCAAACCACCTCCGCCTTCCCCACCACCACCACCAGTAGCAACAGCAGCAGCTTCCGATGCCATAAGGCCTACCACTGTCGTGACCTTGTCTGTACCACCACCACCACCACCACCACCACCCAAGCTGAAGCCGCCGCCATTGCCTGCCGTGAACCCTCCGGTGAGACCCTGGATACGATGGGTAGAATTTCAGGTACGGGGGGGGGGAACCATTGCCTAGCGTGAGTGACATGTGAGGCTGGCGTGAGGAGGCGCGCATACACACCTTTCCAGCCCCAACCCCATCACCATACACGTCCCCTGCGCCCCAACCCGTCCCTCTTCCCTCACTCTTCCTACCCCCTCCCTCACCCTCCCTCGCTCCCAGCCCAGCTGACCCCAACCCTGCTCTTCCCACCAGCAGCACGCAGCATCCTGTGTCGGGTATGCTGCTGCTCTTACCCCATCCTTGGAACCCCCTGCCTTCCCTGCTTTCCCCCCAGCTGCCGTACCTGCATGGGAGGCAGTGTGTACGACACCCCGGCCTCCTCCAGCGCCCCCGCCAGCACCAGCAGCGCACGGCTGCGCCACCTGTGTATATGTGGGGGGTGAGGGTGGGGGGAGAAAAGTAAACGAGAAGTGCAGCAACTTGAGTCCCAATCCATTTGGGGAGGCGGGTAGGGGATGGCCGCAGGTAGGGTACCTCATATGGATCCTCGTATTGCACCGCAGCCGCCCCCGGCACCAACAGAACCAGAATGCTTGCGCACCGACGACCCGCCCTGCGCCCCTACTGCCCTGCCCTGCCCTGTAGATTCCGGCTCCCTGCTCCCTTATTTCCCCACCACCACCACCACCACACACACACACCTGCCGGTCCTGCCCGCGTCCTCCCCCGTGTGGCAGTATTCCCAGGAGGCCGTCAGCTGCAGCTTGGCGGGGCTGGCCAGCGCGCGCGCCAGCACACCGCCCGCCCCCGTGAACTGCTTGGGGCTCTCAGCCAGCCAGCGCTTGAGGCGCCCCTCCACCGCCTCCAGCACCGACCCGTGGGTCGCCAGGTCCACCAGCAGCACCGCACTGTCCCAGTAGCGCTCGGATCTGGGGGGGCGGGGGGGGCGCGCCAGGGGAGGGGTAAGGAACGCACATTATGGCAACTATGTACCGGCACCTTAACACGTAAGTGTATGTAACCCTGATCTGGGGGTGAGGTCAACGAATGAGCGTTAAAGCCCCGTGGACGCATGCGCGCAAGCACAAGCGCCACAGAGCCTCCAGGCCACGGAGTCTCCCGCACCCCGCACCCCGCACCCCGCACCCCGCACCCCGCACCCCTGCCTCCCGCCCCCCGCCTCCCGCCCGCACCTGCTGATGTTGACGATGGGCTCCTGGATGAGTTTGGTGTTTGGGTAGTAGAGCCGCCGCCCGTCGGAGCGCACGAAGGTGCAGAACAGCAGCGCGATCTCGTGAACCTGGGGGGAGGGGCAGGGAGGGGGGTGAGGTGGGGGTTGAGAAGGATGAAGCGGAGGATGATAAAGAAGGTTAAGGATAAGGTAGCGGGTGTAACGACGAATTACCGTTGACGGGTGCAGAGGGTTTGGTGGGTAGGACTGCGCACTGCGCCCCCCTGCAGCATACCATCCTCGTTGCGCTGCCCTTACTTGTACGGTAATTTCCTGTGGTTTGGTTCCTCCTCTCTCAGACCCTCTCGCCCCCACCCCTGCCCCCCCGCCCTCCCCGTTGCTCCATTGCTTCAATGTCCATTTATCTCCCTCCCCTCCCCCTTTTACCCCTCCCTGTCCCTCCCCCCCCTACCTTGACCGCCTCCCCGCCCGCCCCCCCTACCTTGACCGCCTCCCCGCCCGCGCCCCCCAGCAGCAGCCAGTCCCCCACGTCGAAGGGGTGCACCACGAACAGCAGCAGCGCCGCCTCGTACAGCCCGCGGATGGAGTTACCGAACACGAACACGAAGGCCAGGGTGACGCTGCTGAAGGTCAGCCACAGCTCGCGGACGTTCACCTGCAGGGGGGGAGCAGGGGGGGTGCCCAGGGGGCAGGGGCCAGGGAGGGTGAAGGAGAAAGCTAGTAGCACACGCCCACCCACCCATCCAGCTCTTCCCCACCACCCCCTCCTCACCCCCACGCCTCACCCCCACCCCACGCCCACCTGGAATATGATGAGGTACCCGAACCCCGCCAGCACGTGCAGCACCACCCCGCAGATCAGCTCCAGCTTGCCCACCACACTGCGCGTGTCCTGCAGCGTGAGAGCCAGCTTCTTGCGCTCCTGGGGGGGAGGGAGGGGAGGAAGGGGAGGGTAAAAATGAGGAAAACTGACGAGATGTACAACGAGGCTTCACCATGGATTGCTAATTGAACCCGGCCCGGGGGGGGGGGAAAGAGAGGGGGCGGTGGTGGTGGTAGAGGAGGAAAGGAGGGGTGCAAGCGGTGCAGGGACGGAAGGGGGCGTGCAGAGGTGTGTAGCGGGCGGAGGGGCTGCAGTGCAGGATAGGCTGCTGCGCTGTGTGTCCTAAGAACACTGGCCGCGTGTGTGTATGGGATATGTGACACTCCCCTCCACCCCCCTCCTGGTAGATGCGCACCACCCCCAACCCCCCCCCCCACCCATCCACCCCCCACCCCCCACCCCCACCCACCTGGTATATGCGCACTACGCTGTCCACCATGTTCTGCAGTGTGATGCGCCCCTCGCCGTCACTGTCGAACACCGCAAAGGCCTCTCGCACCTGGTGGGGTGTGGGGGTGTGGGTTTGAGGGGGTGGGCCCGTGTGGAGGAGGTGCGGCATACCCAGCCCTGTGGGTTGCATGTGCGTGCACCCGGACAATGGGGAAGGGAAGGGCGGCACCTCCCGCCATCCCCATTCGCCTGCCCCGCCCCTGCCTCCACATCTCCTCCGGGCATGCAGGCCTATCGCCTGCGTCCCCGCCCCTCCAAGCCACATCCACACAGCCCGTAGAGCCAGCTGCGCGTAACCCCGTAGCTGCCACCCCGAATCACCCTCCCACCCAACCCAGCCCGCTCACTTTATCTAATTCCCCCCCCGCCCCCACCTCCTCCGCCTCCCTCTTCCCCCTCTCACCCCTTTCTTCCTCTCGATCTTCCCACGCCTCCCCCCCCTCTTCCCTCCACGCCTCCCCCCCCCCGCACACCTGCCTCGTCATCCAGTTTGTCAGTTTTCCTCATGTTTACCCCCCCCCCGCCCCCACCGCATACCCACCTCCTCCGCCGACCCGAAGAACGGCTCGAAGTCCCGTGCAACCAGGTAGCTCCGCTGCCTCAGGTCCGCCCCCCCCAACACGTTCATGTGCAGGTAGAACGCCAGGCGCTTGGCCTCCGCCCGACTCGCCACCTCGCCGCCACCGCTGCTGCCCCCATCCAGGTCGCCCACATGGTGGATGCCGCTGCCGCTGCCACCCATGCGCAGCTTGTTGCGGCGGACGTGCTGCTCTAGCCTGGGGTGTGCGGGGTGGGAGGGGGAGGAAAAGGATCATAGGAAACCACAGGTTAGGTGTGTGGAGGGGGAGAGGGAGGGAGGGAGGGAGGGAGGGAGGGGAGGAGTGGGTGATGGTGTAAGGAGGGTAGGAGCGAGGCTGCGGTAAGGGAGGGTGCAGTAGGGTAGGTGCCATGGGCGGTAAGGGAGGGTGCGGCGGATGGGGCGATGCATGGGCAAGTGCAGGGCGGTCAGGGGGGGAGGCCAAGCGCCTGCAGGGGGGGAGGGAGGGAGGGATGCATGGGCAGGTGCAAGGCGGCGGACAGCTGACGGCTGACCCGCAGACACGGCAGTTCGCAACGGGACACGGACACGGCTTACATGCGGGGCAACATGCATGCGGGGGCCTTTAGGACCCCCCACCCACCCCACCCACCAGAACAGGGAGGTGCGCAGCTGGTCGAAGTTGAGACCTCCCTCCGCGTCCACACCGGCAGCACCTGCACCAGCACCTGCAGCACCAGCACCAGCACCTGCAGCACCAGCACCGCTGCCGCCAACAGCGCTGCCAACACCGCCGCCGCCATTCAGCCCGGCGGCGCCCTCCCCGCCCGCCACACTAGGTCTATGCGCTGCAGGCGCACTGGTACCGGTCGTTGGCGGTGGTGGCGCTGCTGCTGGTGCTGCCGTTGGTGCCGCGGGTAGGAGATGACGGGGGGTGGGCTGGGAGGCCGAGGAGGGCCGACTGAGGTCCCATTGGACCTGAGGGTCAGCGGTTGAAGGGAAGGTCCGGTCGTCAGCAGGTAAGACAAATGAATGAAGGAATGAAGGAGTGAATGAACCGACGAATGAATGACAACAACCGGATCTGCTGGATCTCCTTTTGAAGTTCAGTAACGTGGCTCCTGTCCTCCTTATTATCCATAACCTCCAGTTGTGTTCCAGGTCCACCTCCCGCCCGCACCCACACCTCCAAGCTGCTTCCCCCACCCCATTCCGCCTCCCGGCCCCCCCTCCCGTCTCCCCCACCCCCGTCCCCACCCCCCTCACCCGTGTCTTGGCGTACGACACCCGCAGATGCTCCCCCAGCCACCGCCACACCCCCGCCAGCCGCCTCCCACCGCCCGCCTCCAGCCTCCCTCCCGCCCTGCTGCCTCCGCCCCCTCCGCCACCACCACCACCACCACCACCACGAACGGACCTATCCACCGCCCCGCTACCCTGGTGGCGCAAAGACCCCGACTGCTGCCGTTGCTGCTGCTGCTGCCAGGGCTGCTGCGGCGGCGGCTCTGCTTGCTGTAGGTTTGTAGAACTGCGAAAGGGCCGCTCCGAGGTGCCGGCTGCTGCCCCTCCTCCTCCTCCCTTCCTACCACCTCCACCACTGCTGCCTCCACCTCCCCCACCTCCCCCACCTCCTCCTCCGTACCCCAGCACCGCCGCCAGGTGGAACCCCAGGCCCAGGTGGGTCAGTGCGGCGCTGCGGGTGCGGCCGGGGCAGGGGCGCGACAGCGCCAGCAGCACCAGCTCCTGGGGGGGAAGGGCGGGTGGGGAAGGCGGGAAGGGAGGGAGGGAGGGAGGGAGAGATGGGGATGGATAGGGATGCGAGAGCCGCAACCTAGGAATTGCATGGGAATCTCGTGAGGTGAGGTGGGAAGGGTGACGCCGCCTGTGCCGCTTGCTCGCTCGCTCGCTCGTTTGCAACATAGAGACCAACGCTGCAATGCAGCCAGTGCGTGCGAGGCGTGAGGGGCGAGGTGCGTGCTAGCAAGCCACGCAAGGCAGCACTCGCGGTGGGAAGACGTGCGAAGATGTGCGAGCAACTCCGCAGGCTATGTGCGCCGCAGCCCCGCCCCACCTGTTTGACCGCTCGCTGCATGCGCTGCAGGTAGCCGCGCGAGTGGAAGTGGCGCGAGAGCGCCTTCGCTAGCAGCGACTTGGCGGTCTGGGCGGCCAGGAAGAGGGAGACGCAGGTCCACACCTGGGAGGGGAAGGAGCGAAACGGGGAAGATACCTTTCCGGGCCCATGCATCTCTCCTGTTCTATAAAGACGCGCTGTCTTTGACATGGCATCCCTTGTGAATCTGAATACGTTCAATGGCCGCATGGGTACGTGCCAAGGATATAACCAAAAGAAACGATCAACCAGCCTGACCCGTGGGTCGCGCCACCACTCACTTTCATGACGAAGACCTCTCTCTGCCCGACCCGTGGGTCCGTCAGCTGATCGGCGACCACCCAGTGAACCAGCAGCTGGCCGCACACGGAGCGAAGCAGCCGCACCTGCACCACGTCATCCGGCCAGAAGCAAGGTGAGAAAGGCGGCGAGGCGGTAAGACGGTGAGAAGGTGATTGACGCACAAATCCCCGACCCATGGGTCTGCCGAGGGCGTGACCGCAGTAGACCACGCATACAAAAACAAACGCCCGAGTTCCAGCGATGAACCAGTCCAGATAACCCATTCCGGCCCCAGGAGGGGTGCGAGTGTGCAGTTATGTACCTCAGGCTCCTCCTGGTCCCGCAACACCCCAACTCCCCAAGCACAATAGAACTCATTGAACCACAACCACCAGCAACACCACTGCTACCCCCAGTGTCTCACCGCATGTCGTCGCACGCCCAGGATGTGGTATATCACCAGAGCCAGACCTCCGCCACCCTCACCGCCCTCGCCGCCTCCGTCCTCTCCTCCTCCGCCGCCACCGCCTTCGCCCCTTCCGCTCCCTGCTCCCAGCCCTGCCGCCGCCCTCCAGCCGCCCCCCCCGCCGCCCCCCGCTGCGGTCAGCGCGGAGGGCAGCAGCCCCTCCAGCAGCAGCACCAGCAGGAAGATGCCGTACCAGGGAAGGTACCTGTACGGCAAAGGAGATACACCTCGGTTGGCTCAACAGTCAACACGCACCGTTGTTGTGCTCCTATGGGAGGGGATCTGCCCGCACCCGCTTGGGTTGTCTCACCATCTTTGGTGGCCCACCAAGCAACGCAAGGTTTCACCTTGTTACCGTTTTATGAATCACTCCGCGCTTGGAATCACTCATTCATTCCAGCGCAGTGCGCAGGACTCCATCCCTTCCATGCTTTGTCCTAACCTTTGGTGGGTGCTAGATCGGCGGTTTCCTATGGTTTCCTATGGTTCGGTATGGTCTTTGACCCCCCTCCCCCCCTCCCCCTCACCACACGCCGGGTGCGCAGCCTGCCAGCAGGAACCAGCGCCAAGTGGGCAGGCCGGCCCGCACCACCTGACCCCAGGGGCGCCTGCGGGAGGGCAACAGGAGGGGGGTAAAAATTAACTAAGTGAAACAACGAGTCCCAATCCCATATCCCGACTCATGCAGTGAGCGCATTCGGAGACACTATCCTAAAGACACGCGGTGGGGAGCAGCCAGCAGGATAGGGGAGCGAGTTGAGTGGGGTAGTGGGTCGCACAGGAGACTAAAGCCCGGGCTTCGGATGGAGTTCTGTTCTCCCCCTCCCCCCCGCGCTCCCCCCGCATATCCACCCACCCACCGCTCACCCTGCCAGCACCCCCGCCGCTGCCAGCCCCGCCCCAGTGAGCCCCAGCATCAGCAGCCGCCAGAGCGACCCACGGGTCAGCAGCAGCAGCTGGGACCCCGCGCGGCGCTCCCGGGCCGCCCGCAGCTGCTCCTCGCGCAGAGCCGCGCGCAGCTGGGCCTGGGGGGTTGCATGGGCGGGGAGGGGGTTTGGAGGAGGGGTTGTATTCCTTATGGAGGTGGATGGATACATGGATTGGAGGGGAGGTGGCAGGGAGTGGGTCTTGACGCTGATGCATCAGTTGCAAGGAGGGTAAATGCATGAAATTGCAGTCATACTGTTACACGTGTGTCGTGAAGGAGCTCATCCTGGCTATCCTGCCCTTTGCTCCCAAGGCCTCCGCCACTCACACTCGCCTCCGCGTCGTCATCGGAGATACGATCTCGGCCTCTGCCGCCGCCGCCAGCAACACCGCCAGCACCCGCCTCCCCCTCCTTCCCACCGGCGGGTGGCGGCGGTACGGCGGTGTGCAGGTCGCCCGCGGCCGTGGCGGCATCCAGGATGGTGGAGCCCTGCCTCTCAGCCTGTCGGGTATGGCGGGGGAGGGGGGTAAACAGGGGGGAAACTGACGGGGGAACTGACAAGCTGTATAACAAGATAAGGTGGGGCTTTGGCTGCAGGTTGGAAGGCGGGACTACAGAGCCGAGGACCAGGGCTTGAGAGATGACGTGGCCAGCGGCCGAACGCTCTCACCTCCGACGTCAGTATACGCGTATACGGTATCCTAGCCCCATGCACCCTTCTCCCGTGACATGGGCCTCTGCTTCACTTCTCATCTACCGGTATGACTTCCTCCCTCCCTTCTTCCTTTTGTCACGGTCAGTGTTTCCTCGCGGCTCAGTTTGTCTAATCCCTCCATCACTCCACACGTTGGGTATTCTACTCGTCCCTCCCTCCCTCCCTCCCATCCACCCTCCTCTACCTGCATGCGGCCCGCGGCTCCTCGGCGACCGGGCCCTGCAGCATCGCCCCCCACCTGGCCCGCCTCCCCCCACCCGCCAGCTCCACCACCGGCCGCCAGCTCAACAAACGGCGACCAGGCGCCTCCCAGCCCTCCACCAACATGACCCCCACCAGCACCTCCAGTACCTCCGCTGGCACCCCTGCCTCCCGCAGGCCAGGGGGGCATGTGCCTCGCCGCCGCCTGCTTGCTTGTCCTGCTCCTGCCGCTGCCTACACCGCACCCCTCCGCAGCAGCAGCGTCTGACCGCGGCTGCTTCGCGGCACTGCGGGGTGCCGATCCCAGCAGTGCCAGTCTTTCCTCACCCGCACCGCCCCCATACACGACCACGTCTGGGCTTCTGCCTCCAGCCAGTGCCTCCCCTTCCTGATCCTCACCCAGCTGCTGATGCTGCTGTGCCACATGTCGCCGTTCATGGCTGCACGTCCAGCTGCGTTGGTCGGGCAGTAGTAGCACTGGCGGCGCAGCTGTGTTGGTGGTGGCGGTGCTGCAGCTGGGGTTGGTCAGCGTGCTGGTGCTGCGCGGGCGGGGTGACAGAGGCCCCACCAGGACTTCACGCAGGAGAGGAGGGGATTCGGAACCGGCAGCTGGGGGAGCGGCAGTGGTGTTGGTGTTGTTGCTGGCGGCGGTGGTAGTGTTTGCACGGGACGCAGGGCCCCATGCGTCCATGCTTTCAGCTGTGTGGTTGGGGCGCGAACGGAGGGGCGACGGCGCATGTGAGCAGCAGAGGGTGGGCGGTGATCCGACAGAGGGCAGCGTAGCATGCGATGGCGCCGTGGCAGCGAAGGCAAGGGAAAGGAGGAGTGGGTGGGCGGTAACATGAGGCCGAAGCTGAGTCAACTAGCCCCAAATCAGGGTTAATAGCGCTGCCTCTTTATAATTGTTTGGTCGCGTACCTTTGGGTAAGTGTGTGACTCGCTTTCCACTAGTCACAGTGATTGCTCGCGGCGTAGTTACTGGTAGATGCCAAAGCTGAACTCAATGGTGACTTCGCATTCAATTGTGGTTACTTGTACATCATCTTACAATGCTATTTTATTTGCTGAAAGAATCGATTAACAAACGGACGACTACAGGCCCAGGATTCGCGGCGTGCTTCGCTGCCCATCTAGAAGATGTTACAGTGCGTGTTGCACAGGACGGCACTCAACAGAAATTTCTTGGCGCTGCAAGGCATGTGTGTATTGTATTTTTCGCATTATCCTTTCCAAGCGGCTATGACACAGCATCTCTCACTGTCCGTACAACAGCCCGCAAGCGAGGCTGCTGCCCCTTGCAGCCCAGTTGCCTCATCCTGAGTCCCTTCAACTCACACACTACGTGCGTCCAACGGCGTTTGCCGTTTGTCCTCCCACAACTCCTCCAGCACATATGCTAGACGTGAGCTTCAACTGCTGGTGAGCGCCACAGGGTTCCTCCGATCTCCTGGCTCCCGGGACGTCAGGGCCCTGCCTCCCTACCCCTCCGCCCCCAAACAATGGGAAGCCGCAGTACTTCGGCAACCATATGTAGTAACTACTCCTCGGCACGTGCCTTTCCAACGCAAGGCTTGTCAACCACCACACAGCGGTGCTGATGTTGCTGTACACAGCTCAAACCCCGAGCCACGACATCAGCACGCCTGTCGTACAATCAGCCTTGCAAGGTTGCAACATCGGCAGCGCGATCAGCACCATCACCGTGATCCTAAGACCGCTCTCAGACGTAGTCCCGCCACTTTTCTCTGCAGGCTACGCAGTGGAAGTACAGCGTCATGCCCTGCTCTGTGGGCTCAGACACGAACACGGCCTCGTTGTGGTTGCACTTGGGGCAGCGCACATCTCTCGTGCGGGGCAGCGTGGGATCGGCCGTCACGTCGTAGAGCGTTGTGATCTTGTCCTTCTCATCCACCACGGTGGCATGTACGTACACACACCACTCCGATGGGTCCGCCTGGACGCAGTAGTTGCAGGTTTTGCAGTAGTACTCAAGCACCCTCCGCTCCTTGTCCTCTCGGGGGTACAGAAGATCGTTGGTCTCCGGGCAGAACTTCAAGCCACGCTTGCGCGAGGCCATGTGCTAAGAGGCCGCCCGGGCCAGCTAAGGGGAAAGGCCAATGAAGCTACGCTATTGCAGGCACGGACAACTGTCTGGCTTCTATGGAAATAGAAGCATCGGAAGTATTTAACCGCTGGGCAGGCTCTGTAATTGACTTATGCTAGCGATGGGGTAGGAGGCGCTAGTCTTTCTGACTGTACGTATAGCTCAGGCAGGTGTCTAATAGCAAAGCTAAGAGGTGTAAGTAAGATACTATTCACAGTTGGCGTAGAAATTACGAGAACTGGGGAAGCGTACAACACCAAGCTCGCCATGCCCATCATGCCCCAAAGCACCTCGTCCTTCCTAAAGAAGCGGTCTTCTCTATACGCACTACGTAGCTTATCAAGAGCTCCTAAATAGATAAGGCTTGCTTGTTACACCGTATACGCCTGCGCGTTGTGCCCCCTCTGCTTTTATTTGCTTGCCCGCTTCCCTCAAATGAACTGAAGGTAGCCTGCTGACTTTAATCATAAACAATAATATTGTTAACGAGATCGTAACTCCTCTGCTTCACGCAATCTGCTTTGAGGCCAACACCTCTGCAGCCAGCACCTCTGGGCCAGGCCAGCCAGCTATTGTGCTTCTGGTTAAGTTATCTGGTCTGGCCCGCTGCGTTTCCTTTTAGCTGCCGTCGTTTTGTTGAAAAGGTAGTCATTGGCGATGGCGTCCACCAGCACCGACCCCGCGCCGCCTGTAGCCACTCCAGCACCTGCACCAGCTAATGTAGAAGCCGAGATGGCAGCGCACGTCTCAGGAATAACTCCCCAGCTGCAAAACGTCGTTGCCACTGTCAACCTGGGCACCAAGCTAGACCTGAAGGAGATCGCGATGCACGCACGGAATGCCGAGTACAACCCCAAGGCAAGCAGGCATTTGGCGGGTGGCCGTGCCTGTTTGTTGCGGTTGGCTTCTTGCCGGCTTGCGGCTTTCCTTCCATGCCGACCATCTGGAAGCGCCCCTTGCCCTGCAGCGTTTCGCGGCGGTCATCATGCGTATTAGGGAACCAAAGACGACGGCACTTATCTTCGCCTCTGGCAAGATGGTGAGCGCTTGCCAGGCTGTGCCTTGGGTTGTTCTTCTGGGTGTTGTGCCTACGCGTCGGACCTGTCGACAGGGTTATCGGCTGCGAAGCTCTCCCCATTGTACCTCTGACCCACACGCAGGTTTGCACCGGAGCAAAGAGTGAGGACGACTCCAGGACAGCGGCCCGACGCGTGAGTACACGAGCGCGGTTGGTGTAGGACGGAAGCCCTGGTGTGTGAGCATGCGAGACAGGACCTCGTTGCCAATGCATCTCGCTTTAATGAAGAATTGCAAAACTCACGTTTTGAGTTGGAACGGCCAAGACAGCTGAGCATGGACATGGCCTCAGATATAACGTTGACGGCCTTGGCCGCGGCTTGCATACCGGTCTTGCATAACCCTAACAGCGGGCATCGGCCTCAACAGCGGTTTACGCAGCAGCGCATGCTGCCATGCCATGCACTCGTGGGGGGCCCATGACTTGGGTTACAGTTGCTGCGCTCCAATATATAAACCTATGTGCAGTGATCTCACCATTACGTTTTCTTGCCAGTATCCTGCACCTGCTTTTTACCTGTCACGCCTTCGTGCGCTACCTTGCCCTCTCGAGCAACGCAGTATGCCAAAATCGTCCAAAAGCTGGGTTTCCCCGCCACCTTCAAAGAGTTTAAAATTCAAAACATCGTGGGCTCCTGCGACGTCAAGTTCCCCATCCGCCTGGAGGGCCTGGCGTACGCGCACAGCCTGTTCGCCAGCGTAAGCGCTCTTGCAGGGGAGCGCTAACGCCACGGGCGGCCCTTGGGTCAGGAGCATGTGGAATGCCGTAGGCAGGGGTGGATCCCAGTAGGCATGCTGTGCATGCATCTCCCGCCTGAGCTATAGCTAACTTGAAACATTTATTAGTCTGCGGGGCTAGCTTGCCTGTTATACGGCAACCTAACGGCTTCCTTGCGATGGCCGTTCCCTTCCGTGTCACAGTACGAACCGGAGCTGTTCCCCGGCCTCATCTACCGCATGAAGCAGCCCAAAATTGTGCTGCTGATCTTCGTCTCAGGCAAGGTGGTGCTGACAGGTAAGAGGAGCAGGGTCTGCATTGAAGGGGTTTGAAGGTAGCAGCTGCTTTGAAAGGATTGCTAAGCTATGCGCCATCTTTTTGCTCTACACGGCCGCTGCTGCACCTGCACTGCGGGCCTGGCTGAGCACATGCTACTTTTTTAAATACCCAGAGGGAGTCACGCAGCACCGGTCACAACATTACCAACAGCCATGCGCCCCATGCTGCTCTTTACCGTGCACGCCTGTCAGGCGCCAAAACGCGTTACGAGATCTACCAGGCGTACATGAACATCTACCCCACGCTCATCCAGTACAAGAAGGGCGACGCAGTGGTGCCCACGCTGCCGAGCAACAACATGATGCCTCCACCACGTGCCCTGCCGGTCGTACGGCAACCTGGCCAGCCGGATGCCGCAGACCAGCACCACGACGCGCACCAGCAGCAGCACCCCCACCCGCACCACCAGCTGCAGCAGGCTGCGGCCGCTGCGGCTGCGGCCATGATGCCGCCGCCTCCAACCCCCGCCATGCCGCCAGCCATGGCGCCGACTCCGGTGGCCGACATGCACCACATGAACCTGCCGCCACCGACGCCACTGCACCACAACCTGCCCCCGCCGACGCCGCGGCACCCCGGCCTAGCGCCAACACCTAGCCTGGGCCACCATGCGCTGCCACCGCCGTCGCCACGGCGATGAGATAAACCCTGGGAATGGGGGTGTCTTGGAATTGCGGGTGTGACTTGCTTTGGGGCGTCTGACGCAGAAATGAAGTTGTGGATGGCTATGCAGGTGTCGAAATAGGCCACCGTCAATGGGCCATGTCAGAAGTGGGAAGGAGTCTAACAGGGTGACCGTGTGCTTTGGTTGTTAGTTACAAGAAAGTGTAGCGCAGTGGAGGCAAGAAATGGCTAGGGGCACGAGGGGGCTTCGTCAACATCGAGCTCCGACCCTCACGGCGCATTATAGACATCGTAGGCAGGTAGATTACCGGTATGTCGCGGTTCTCACGTTGTCTTGAGTTGCCGTCTTCCCATAGAGCAGTTGAGAGGACCTCGTTAGGTTAGCCTTGTTAACGGCGTGGCTGTGCACTGCTGCCGGACATAAAATCGGCAGGTATGCGGCCTGGCATGTACTATGTAGCTGCAGGGGTGGTGGCGTACGACAGATCTCCTTGTGCACTCATTGGGGGCGGTGCACGGAGGGGTGATTCTTGGGAGGTTGCAGGCGAGCATACTGTTCTTGGCTGAAGTCGCTAATTAGGCGACTGTAGTACTCGTGGGTACCGTGTGATAGTTGGCATGGGCTTTGACGCCTAAGGCATGTGGTGGCGGCTTGTGGAGCTGTCGTCTTGGTACAAAGTATGCGAGCATATGCTGCCACTGGCTGGTTGTAACCAGAATGCGCGCTGGTAGTCCTGAGCTCCTAACCGGATGTAAGACAGCCCTGGTGAAAGGCACCAGTTTGCAAAGCCTACATACACACTATCAGTCCCAACATGTTGATTGCCACGCATAGAATGCGAAAGTTACAAGTTGGACCGGAGTTCCTACGCATAGAACGTGCGCATGCAGTACGGCACCTCATACCCCAACGCGGCGGAAGTTGTGGACATACTTGTGCGCTGTGCACACGCTGGGTAAGCGGCAGACCCTGAAAGCAGGGCGATGAATGTGTCGGCAGAGCGGATGCTTTGGCTTGTTAAAATGGCTTGACGCTCTAGCTAGAAGCTGTACTGCAGTTACAAAACAATATAGCACTGCATCAGGCAACTCTGTTTTCATTCTTAAATTAGGCGCAAAAAAGTAAGTTTATTAGAATGCGAAGGTTACAAGGGGGACAGCCTATTAGATGTTGAAGTACTGCAACTCTGCAAGGCGTGGACGGCCCACTCCTGAGTCGTACCATACCGAAAATTCCACTCGCGTCGCGTATGCGTGCCATGCACCTGCAATAGTAGTATATGCTAGTTTTCATATGCAAGTTTGTGTCCACTTTAAGATATTTCTGCGCCTGGTTTGTCGCGACGGGTAGCCTCCCACGATAGCCTACAACAGTCGACGCCTCCTATTGTCCCAGAGGATACCCTAGCAGCCGGTGTCCGGAGTCAATACCGGGCTGGCTCATTTTGGCGTGGCGCAGTATAAGGTTGGACGGGGAGTCAGCACAGTGCTCCATGACGTCCTACTCGTGTTGTTAGCGGGAAGCAGTAGGAATTATAGGCCTTACCACTTTAAAACAGGCCTGGGTAGTCCCTGATAGAATTTACTTCACCGCTTACGTATAGCTGGCCCAGTCGGCCAGGCAGGAGTTGACCTCCTCCCACGCTTACATTAGCCTGAACTTGTTGTGTGAATATCGCCATAGTATTGCAGCTTCCTGTCGGAGGATATCGTGATACCGTGGCATGTTTGTTGCTGCGGCCCCGCACTTTAATTCTCAACACCCCTTCAAAAACCCTGAGCTTTGGGAACACCACCATAAGGATTCTAGGGCTTCTTGTTCGGCATTTTGACCTTACTTACGCTGTCGCCCCTTTCCCGACCTTCACGTTCCCGCCAGCGCGCTCCATGTCCCTAACACAAGGAGAGCTGAGCGGTGCGCAGCCCACCCAAGGTTTCTCGGCCTGTGAGCATAGCTTGACCCATATCACACACGGCGCCGGAGCCAGCGTTCACCAAATCCAGAACCAGCAGCTAGGTCACTACCCTACCCTTCAAGAGCGCTTGGACGAAAGCGCAGCACCAAGCACTGGAGCCGCCGTCGGTATTCACCAACAACTACCGGGCTCCGGCCTAGACAGCAGTTCAGCTCAGCCCCTCCGCGGCAGCAACTTCTTCAAACCGCCTCTGGGCGGACCTTCGGCCACCGTCGGGGAATCTCAGCAGCAAGGGGCGGCTTCCCCACAAGACTTCCTCTTTCCGCCCCGCGTGTACGACAACTCTCTCATGCTGAAGGAGCAGGGCGGCGGCGGTTTCGGAGGCGCGGGAGACCACGAGGAAAACGTGGTGGATGACCAGGATGACGGCCGGGATGGCGATTTTGACGACATGGGCGATGGCAACAGCCAGGGCAGCGGCAAGCGTTCTAGAGTGAGGTCAGAGAGGGAGCATGCAAAGGCGGGCCATTCCGGGGCCATCTGGGCCATTCTTCCGCCATCTGGGTCATGAGTACGACAAGAGCTTGAACCCTCGATCTGCCTAGCCAGCTTTCGACATAGCGCATTCTATGTTTTTTATCCGCCTATGATACTCTCCCGATTGCCGCAGAGAGCGAACCCCCCCGCCTCACTCTTTTTTCCCTTTGCTGACTTCCACCCCGCGTCTCCTCACCTGCAGGCGGCCGCACCTGCAGGGTCGCTTCAGCGGGCGGCTGACCACCAAGGAGGACGAGCGGCGGCTGGCGGAGGAGTGCAAGCTGCTGGGGCCGCTGCTGGGCGGAGTGGGCAAGCGCGGAGACAAGAGCCGGCTCACGCTGGCCAAGATTGTGCGCGGCATCGCCACGGGGGATGTACGGCGATTCTGCGAGGAGCGGGAGCGCGCCATTGCGGTGGGAGGGGAGGAGAGGGGCGATTAAGAGGACAGGGTTTGCTGACATACAGTACTCAGGCCGCAAGATACACATGCGGGGAGAACGCGCGCAAGGATGAGGGGGTAAGGGCATGTCGTGCATATAAACCTCTACCGCCTCCGCTTTGATTCCATGTTCTTTTCCTGCCTCCTCATTACAGATGCTGAAGGCAAAGCTCGCCGCCATAGACCCCGAGGCCGCCGCCAGCGTGCCAGTCAACGCCATCCCGCTGCCCTCCGCCGCCCTGGGGGGCCCCCTGGGCGCACTGGGGGGCTCCATGGGCGGTATGGGACTGGGGCTGGGCGGCCCGGGCGGCGGCAGCATGGGCGGGCACAGCCAGCCGTACGGCGGGTACGTCTCCCACTCCCACTCGCACCATGCTACGCAACAGCAGCAGCAGCAGCTGGAGGCTCTGCAGCGGGAGAATGTTGAGCTGCAGGGTGAGGCGGTGAACCTGCGGATGGAGCTGCAGGCGAGGGAGCGGCTGCTGCTGGAGCTGCAGGATACGGTAGGGAAGGGTGGGGCAGGAGAAGGAAAGGGAGCGTGGGATGCCTGTTTGTTCGGTGGTAGTATGCCTCTGTCTTGGCCTACCATTGTTTTCCTCGCTACCAGCCCCCTCTTCATGAGGCACATGCTGCATGTCCCTGTGCTGGTGGGCTTACCATGCCATGCCATGCAGGGTATCATCAGCGGTTTCGTGCCCACCTCAATCCCCCTGGACAACCCCTCCCGCGGCGCCATGGGAGGCGGTGGCGGTGGCGGTGGCGCCCGCTCCCACAGCACCGACCTGGCCCCGCCAGCGCCGTACGGCCTGCCGCCACGTCACCCCTCGTACGGCACCCAGCAGCAGCCGCCGCAGCAGCCCATGGCGTCGTACGGTGGCCCTTCCCAGATGAGCGTCCCTCAGAGCAGCGCCCACATGAGTGGCAGCATGGAGCCCGGCCCCATGGGGGGAGGCGCCGCCCTGGGCGGGCTGGGACACCAGCAGCAGCAGCAGCAACTGGGTCAGCAGCAGCACCACCACCAGCAGCAACAGCCGCATGGTGGCATGCCGCTGGGAGGCGGTAGTGGTTCCGGCATCCACCTGGGGAGTGAGGCGGGAGGCGGAGGGCTGGTGGTTGGAGCGGCGGCCATGCCGGCAATGTCGGAGCACTCGCGGGCAGGGCGGCCCATGAAGCGCCAGGCTCTACCAGCTGACCTGGATGGCGGCCTGGGCGGTGCTGTTGGTGGCGGCGGCGGTGGGTACTGCGAGGTGCAGCGGTCGCTGTCGCACCCGCAGCTGGGAGGAGGGCGCGGCGGGGGTGGTGGCGGCTACGGCCACATTGACCTGCAGCAGCAGCTGAACAGCCTGCAGGCGCAGGTGCGGGGGAAGGAGGAGGGGGAGAAGAGCGTGCGGGGAGGGACGAGGGACGTGCGGCTGGGAGGCATGGGGGGGAGAACGTGGGCCTCGGTTAGGCAGGGTTGCGTCTTGCTCAGCGCGGGCACGTTGGGAGTTACGGGTTGCAAGATCATGTCATGTCGGCGTTGTGGCGCCGTAGGAAGAACCGCCTTGATAGGCCATCCGCCGCATCATTCAGCAGCCCTGAGCGCGTCCCAGTCCGTGTAGCATTGCCTCCTACTCTTTAATTAATGCGGTTCTGGCGTCGCCTCCTTTTTTCAGGTTGAGCATTTGCAGCATCTTTCGCAAAACGGCGCAAGGGTAAGAAGGCACAAATATGTTTTACTTGTTCTTCGTTGCGACTGAGGGTAAACACCTCTTCAAGGGTTAACTGCTGCTCTGCACACGTTCTATCCCTCCCCCTGTGTGCAAGCAGTTTGTCAACGTTTGTGCTACGGGTATGTCCACTAGTTCCCTCCCGCCTCACTTCGTTCAAAACTCCATTCGCCCCAATCACTCTCCCCGTCCCGTCCCTATCTCGCCGCTTCTAACCCTCTTCACCATCCTCCATCCATCCATGCACCACCCAGGCCGCTGTGGGCTTTGCGATGCCCCCTCGCGAGCGCGGAGGGCCCCCTCTCCGCATGCCTGGGGGCCCTGCCGGGGCGGGAGCCGCTGGCGGCATGGGCTCCCTGGCACAATACGCCGCCATCCCCGCATCGCCCTTTGTGAGCTCCAATCCGGGACCGCAGGTGGGAAAAGAGGAAACGGGGTGTGCTGTCTCAGGGCGGGTGCGGGTGCTGGCGCGGAAACATCGTGTGCCCTCACGACAAAAATGCAACATGGCTTTTGGCGCCCCAGGATGTGCTCAGCCCATGCTGGCTGCTGCTCAGCTTGGGATGCGGTTCTAGCAAGCGCTCGCAATTCCCCAACGGGTGCGGTGCGCGGAGATTCGTACCCCTGCGTACCTTGCCGCCCCCGGCCCATCCATCCTGCGGTAGTGTCTCGATTGGATTGCCCCGCCCATCCTCATCAGCCTCCTGCGCCGCCCTCCTGCCTGCCTGCCTGCCTGCGCCCCTCCTTCTTCAGGGCGGGCTGGTGATGCTGCCGGGAGGCCACTCGGCGGCGGAGGGCGGCGCACCCGGATACGCATCCGCACACCACCCGCACCACCCTCACACGGTGCTGAGCGCACCGCTGCACATGCAGGTGGGTGGGAGGGCGGGAGGGTTTGGAGTGGAGGCCTTTGCATGGATGGTTAAAAAAGGTTCAAGCGTGGGTGCAGTTGTGGGTTACAGAGTCACAGCCAAGCATCGGCCTAACCACGGTCTTTGATGCAGGAGCTCCTGGCTTGCGGAGCTTCAGTTGTTCACAGCTTGGCTTACCCGTATCACCTCGATTCACCCCGTGGCGCATCTCCTCAAGTACCCCGACCCCTCCTGCCCTAGACACCGTCATTGTGCCCCTTCACCTTCCTCTAGCCCCGCACATGCCGCTCTCAAAAACAAAACGTGCCCCTTACTAATTCCCTCACCCGCCAACAAACCACATCCAAACCCCAGATGGTGAAGCCCAGCATGTACGACGATGTGCCGGGCGGCCAGTTGGGCCCTGTGGGCGGCCGAGACATGCGAGACACCCTCCCTGGCGTCGGCAACGGTGGCTCACTGCGCCACACGGCAGCTGCCGCCGGCGCCGGCCACGAACCTGATGTGGGTTACGGCGCTGGCGGCGGCGGCGGACTGGAATCCACGCTTGAACACATCTTCAACTCCCGCAATGCTGCCATGCGGGGGGAGTACGACCTGCCGTTGGAGCTGATCCTGCCGCAGGAGGGCGGCAAGGGCGGCGCAGGAGGGGGCGGATCTGGAGGTCTGCATTGAGCGTGACGTGTCTCTGGTTCACTGAGCCGCGTAACAATGGCGGTGAGGCGCGTGTGGGGGTGTGTTTCGGGGCATGGGAGGTGGTGTCGGTGGAGTGATGGTGGTACATGGGGGCGGTGGTGAATGGTTTTAGACGCAGTGAAATATGTAAGGGGGTTTCAGGAGCTGGGTAGTTCGGTTCAACGCATGAGGTGAACAAGGGTAAAGTCTTCCGATGGAGCGGAGCAGTGTGAGAAATAAACTGGCCACATAACGGGGCGGTGTTTGGGTGCGGAGTGATGCTGCTGGTAGTAGGAGTGACTGAGGGGTTGGAAAGGGGCCGACAGGGCCTTAGCGCCGGTGTGTTTTGGGGCGAACGATGGTGCCTATTGCGGAAGAGTGGATTTGAAAAATGATGGATGGACTGAAGCGCTTCGTGCGGTTGTTCAGCGGTCTGCTCCATTGCATTCCTGCAAGAGTTCTATAGTCCTGTAGTAGGCTTTTGGCGCTCTGAAACATGCACACCCTCCGGCGCTTAGCGGTTTCAAGAGTGGTCTGGCGTGCGTAACCTTGCTTCCTGAAGAGGCTGTACTGTCGCTTGGCAACCCGCCACGCTTGGGCACCGTCCACGGCTACGTTGGCGTTCATGAGACACATCCTGGTAAGCTCTCATCCTCTAAAGGATCCTCTTAAGGTGTTTTACGGTAAAAGGGAGACGGAATGACGCTGCCATCATGTCCTCGTGAGACATTGTGGGCTCGTGATGCTTCAAGATGTAGTATATTTTTTGCGTTTTCTGAAATTGTCTTTTAGACCGAACTTACTTCCTATCGAACTTGGCCTGCGTTGCTGTCAGCGCAGCCTCTCGTATCCCTCAAGGGCACTGTCCGACATGTTGTGGGGGCTCTCGCATGCGACACACGGGTGCCCAGGAGGTGGGGCCGTGTGCAGCAGGCGACACGCCACGTAAACTATCAATCCGAGTGTCAATCGAAGGCAAACAAGGCGTCCTGTGTAACACCTTCCTTCGTCTAATGCAGTTGGCATGCCAAATAAAAGGCGCAAGCATCTGGAAAGTCACCTAACTCCTACGGCCCTGCTAAGCCTATACCTGCACGTGTGGAGGGAGGGCCTGATGAGCACCTACGGCCACCCACACCCCCGCATGTTCGCACACCTGTTCTCTGCCTGCATGTGTGGGGCCTGTGGCTCTTACTGTTTGCAAGCATTAAGGCCGCATCCGCATGCGGTCCCTCGCCAACCCTCCAAACTGTGCACCCTCTAGCATCCTAGACCCTCCTCCTGCCTCTCACTCTGCCTCTGTCGTCCCTCGTTCCCCACCGCCTCCCCCACCGCTCCCCTCTTCCGCCCGCGTCCCCGCCACCGCTCACCAAAGCCTCCACACCCCTGCCAGCTCCCTCAACCGCCCCCGCGACCGCTCATTCAGCGTCTCAAACAGCCCGTCACCCCCGCCCTGCCCCTGCCCCTGCTGACTTCGCTGCGGCTCGCCACCTCCCTCAGTCCACGCCGCCCACCCGCCCACTCCAACCTCCTCCTGCAGCCCCCGCTGCAACCCCCGCAACCTAGCTTCCGCGGCCCCCAGCCAATCAGCCCCGGGCAGGCCCCCCTGCGGCCCCCCCTGCTGCTGCTGCTGCGGCCCCCCCTGCTGCCCCAGCACCCCCCACACCTCCAGCAGCAGCCCCAGCTGCTCCGCACTCATGCAGCTCAGCACCGGAGCCAGCGCCCGGGTGCAAGAAGTGACCCATGGGACGGCGGGCGCGTAACTCAGCCGTGTGAGCGCCCACAGGGTTTCCACCAGCAGCGGCAGACCCAGGAGGGAGACCGCGGTGCTTCGTGGCGGTGGTGGAGAAGGTGGAGGAAGAGGCCTGGAGGAGGTGGAGGTGGGTGCTGGCATGGGGCTAAACCAGGACGGGGTGCGCGGAACGGTTGCCGTTATTAAAGCTGCACCGGCGCTGTCCGCAGACGGCCCTCCTCCTCCTCCTCCTCCTCCTCCTCCCGCGGCACCGCCACATGCAGTGTCAACAGCGGCCTCCTCCCCGGCTCGTGCCGCAGCCCTCTCCCGCGCCCGAGCCGCCTGCAGTAGCAACTTGGCCTTCAGCCTCTCCCGCTGCTCCCGCACCTGCCTGCCGCCGCGCTTGCGGCCAGGGGGGCGAGGAGGCTGGCTGGCGAGCAGGGGTCTGGAGGAGGCTGCCAGGAAGGAGGTTACGGAGCGCCATGTGGGTGCAGGTGCTGCCCCCGGGGGGAGCAGCTGCAGCTGCTGTTGGGGGTAGTTGTGGTGGTGGCGGGTGTCGTCGGGGGGTGCAGGCGGCGGCGGGTCCAGGGGTTCGAGGTGCTGGAGCTCCGCTAACAGGGAGGTCAGCAGCCGGGGACTCACCTGCAGGAGGGAAGGGAGCAAGGAACAAGGTTACAGCACCAAGCTGCGGCTGCGGGTGGGTGGAGGTAGGCGCGGAGTGCATGCTCCATGTGCCCCCAGCTGCGCTACATCAGTGGGTGAGGTGCGGTGCGGGCGGACACGCGGGCGGTGGGGGGGTTGGGGTGGTGCACTGGTGGTGGTGGCGATGGAAGGGTGGGGTGGTTTGCAAGTGCAGGCATGTGTGCGCACGTGACCTCGGAGGGAGGAAGGAGGAGAACCAGAATACGGTAAATTATGCGGTACATGGTACCGAACGGGGGAAGGAATGCTTCCTGGGGATGCCTGGGGAGCCGCTTCCTGGGCGCTGTCGGATCCACCAGCAGCCCTAGCAACCCCCCCCCACAAGCCTAGCAAGCATGCAGCAACAACTGGCGCGCAAACCCCAGCAGCAAACGCATGGATGGCGACTTTGACATGCGGAACATGCGGCATTCACCCATCCTGACCACGCACCATGAGCCTCTCGACCGCGCCCGCCCGCCCTAACATGCTTTCCCCGCCCTAACGTGTGGTTTCATACCGGTACTCTCATAGCTTCGGTCTCCAGCTTGCGGCCCCCCACCCACCCCGTCATGATGATGCCTTATCACACGGTCAGTTCGATGTTTCCTTTTTACCCCCCACCTGTCTCCCCCTGGGTAGTCCCACCTGTCTCCCCATGCGTGCCAGCCCCACCACCAGTTTCGCCAGGTCCCGAGGAGAGGCCACTCGGCCGCCCGCCGCCCCCGCCACCAGGGTGTTGAGCAGCGGCAGCGGCGGGCAGCAGCGCAGTGCGCCCAGGTGGTGCACGATGTGGGATAACTGAGGAGGGGGAGGAGGGCGGGGGAGGAGGGCGGGGGAGGAGGCTTAGGAGGAAGGAAGAAGGAGAGAGGAGAGAGGAGGGTGGAGGCAGTGGATGGGTGGGAGAGGGGATGACGCAAACAGTGCGAGGGTGAGGAGGAGCGGAGGGGAAAGCGGCCAGGCTGCCCGACCCAAACACATCGTGCGTCACACACGTGGCCCCGCATTCCCCACCAAGCCATGCGGCTCCCTCTCTCCCCCTCCCAAACTGACGATGCAAACATGCAAAATACTATAAGGCCTACACAACCTTTGGCGATCTAGACAAACAGCTAGTCCAAGTTAGGATACCGATATCGGCAGCCACCCACGCCGCCCACTACGACCCACACCCGCCATCCACCTGCCACGCCGGCAGCTCCCCCCCTTCCAGCCTGCGCCCCAGCTGCTGCAGGAACGCGGCGCGCCACTCGGGTCCCGGGGAGTGGCGCCAGCGGGCCAGCGCCGCCAGCAGACGGTACAGGTCCACCGGCTTTGAATGGGGAGGGGGGGACGGGCGAGCGGGTGAAGAGGGAGGCGAGGGGCGAAAGATAAGCGTTTCTTAGGCGAAGGCTTGGCGATGGTTGCAGAGGAGGAGGAGGAGGATGGGGCATGGCTGGTGGAGGACGGCAGTGGGGCATGGGACTGTCGTGCATTGCCGTACAATCCCCCTCTTGAATGCGTCTCAAGTCCCCACCTTCCGCATCCCCCTCCCCTCACCTGGCACCCATCCATGCAGCACAGCGAGGCCGCCTCCGCCCGCACCAACCACTGCCGCTCTGGGAACGCACTCTCCTCCTGCATGCACGCCACCCCATTTCCGCAACCTAGCCACCCAGGCCCAGCCACCCCTGCTGCAGCACCATCAGCAGCAGCAGCAGCCACCCCTGCAGCTGCTGCCGGTCTTGTCCCTGCTGCCGCCCACGTTGTCTCTTCCGTACGGCGAGGTGTGGTCAGATGTGCCAAGCCGTACAGCAGCGTCGCCAGCTCCCCGGCGGTCATGTGCGCCATGGCCCCCGCGCTGCGCTCCAGCAGCGGGGCCAGCCAGCCGGGGGGCGGGCGGACGTCGAGGCGGTGAAGCGACCAGACGGTACTGCTGAGGGCCTGAACGGGGGGGGGGAGGAGGGGCAGGTAAGGGAGGAGCGGAAGGATGGGGCAGGGAGAGGAGGAGGGGCAGGGGTAAGGAGGTCAGGATGGCGGGAGAGGGTGCAAGCGCCCGTCACCGGCTGCCCCACCGGCCTCGATATGGTTTCAGCGGGTTGGTTCGACTGCCGGTAGCAGTCTGTGTAGCTTGCATGAATAACAACCGAGCATGTTACATGGGCGGTGTCCCCCCCCACCTGCCCCGGCATGTGTCCCCCCACCCACCTGCCCCGGCATGTGTCCCATGCACTCCCGGCAGCGGCTCAGCAGCAGCGACATGAGGGGGGCGGGCGGCGGCAGTCGCAGCTCCGCAGCCGCATGCAGCAGGTTGCACAGCGACTGGGGGGGGAGGGGGGAAGGGGCAGACAGGCGGGGCGGGGCGGGACGGGAGGGGAGGGGAGGGTGGGTGTCATGACTCGGGAGCTTGAAGAGGGGCTGCGAGAGTGAGGCTGAGGGTGAGGGTGAGGGTGAGGGGGAGGGGGCCGTACAGGGGGTTAAAGGGGCAGGCAGCAGGGGGGAGTATGTGCAGCACGATGCAAGCAAGCAAGGGGAGGTGGGCCGGTGCCCCCCTCAGGGGGCGGGGCAGGAGGCACCGCAGCCACAGGGGAATACCCTCACCCGCACACCCACCCACCCACCTGGGGATCCCATGCTCCTCCTCCTCCTCCTCCTGCTCCTGCCTCTGCCGCTCCTGCTCCTGCTCCTGCTCCTGCTGCTGCTGCTGCTGCTGCCCCGGCCCCTCCCTCCCTCCGCAGCACGTTCCCCACCGCCCACCAGAAGCCCCGCAACCACCCGCCCCTCACCACCCGGACCACGGAGCCCGGGGGAGAGGAGGAGGCGCGGGCTGCTGGTGCTGGTGCTGCTGCTGCTCCCCTCCCTCTCCCCCTCCCCCCACCTCTCCCTCCTCCCCTCCCTCTGCCACCCCAACCGCCCCTTCCTGACGACGCATGGTCGGGGGCATCCCGCATCCCCCAGCCTGCTGCTGTGGCTTCGGCCCCTGCCGCCCCTGCTGCCACCCCCGCCGCTGCAGCACCCGCACCATCAGCATCGCCAGCAGCAGCAACACCCGCAGCACCCGCACCCGCATCCCCATGAAGCTCTGCGGCCGCAGTCTCGGAGGCAGCAGCGGCAGCAGCAGCGGCAGCAGCAGCAGCGGCAGCGGCGGCAGCAGTGAGCGGTGCGGGTGTTGCGGTGGGCCGGTATCCCAGCTGTGCCAGTGCGTAGAGGCATGTGGAGAGGTCCCGGAGCTGCAGGGAGGGTAGGCGGCGGAAGAGCTCGGGCAGGAGGGCCTCCTCGAGCCAGGGGACGACGGAGGCCTGGGGGGGTTGTGGAGGGGTTAAAAGGAGGGGGAAAGAAGAATACCCAATGTGTTGGATGAGAATGAGGGGAGGGGAGGGAGTTGGAGTTTGTGGAGGGTTTGTGGAGGGTGCGAGTGGCCTGGAAGGTGCGAGAGAGCGGGGTGGATTGGGCATTGAGCAGCATTCAACCAACCAAGTCCCAAAACAAGTCCTAGCCCCCCCTGCTAGCCGCCCCCCCCCGGCCCACCTCCGATGTGCGGGCCAGTGTGAGCAGCTTGGCCATACCCCACAGATACATCACCAGCCCCTGTGCGGTGAAGGAGCGCAGGTGAGAGGCGCCGTACCTGTTTGGGGGGAGGAGGGGGTGGGGTGGTGTGGGGGTGGGGTCGGGTGGGGGTGGGGTGGTGTGGGGGTAGGATCTTAGGGACGTATGGGGTTGGGGACGGGTATGGGGTTAAGGGGGAAAAATTGGTGCTGATTACCGTAAAACACAGCCGCAGGCCTTCTACTGGTACGCGCAACCAAACCGGGGTAACCGTTCTGCAACAACAACAAACACCTACATCAACACCAACACTAGCAGCAGCGAGCCTGCCACACCCCACCTCACCTCACCTCCCATCCACCTCTCCCACCCACCTCTCCCACCCCCCACCCCCCCCACCCCGCCCCACACACCTCCCCCCCACCTCATGAACTCGTCCAGCAGGTACGTGGGCAGCCGCAGCTGCAGCCGCGCCGCCCCACCCAGCCAGCTGACCGCCCCCTGCCCGCTGAACAGGTGCAGGCGGGCGGCGGTGGCGGCGAACAGACTGCGCTGCCAGCCGGCTGGGGGGCGCTGACGCAGGCGACCTGGGGGGGGGGGGTGAGGTACGGGAGGGGGGGGTGAGAGTGGGGGAGGCAGGGTGAGGGTGAGGGCCCGGGCGGGCAGGTAGGTAGGTGGCAGCGCGAGCCTGTACCGCGCGTGTCGGCCTATGTGTCCTACCTAGCCGCCCATGCTGTGAAGGGAAGCAGGAGGGGGCTGCGGGGGGGGGGGGGTGGGGGGGCAGGAAATACACAGGTAATACACACCTCCCCGCGCGTGCCGTACGGCTCGTACCTAGTCCCCACATGATGTTCGCCAGGCTCTGTGTGGGGTAGCCGGCCAGTCGGTCCTGCGTGCACAGGAACAGCCCCTCCCACCAGCCGCGGTCCGCCCACTGGGTCGAGTGCGGCAGCAGCGAGGCGAGCGCCCACACCAGGTTGGAGATGGCCTGCGGGGGGGGCGGGGAGGGGATTGGGTAGGGGAAGAAGCAGAAGACCATGATGTATTGATGTTACCAATACCAATAGTGACAACCCAGGGAAGGGGAACCAAGTGCGCGACATCCCCCTCTTCCCCCTCCTCTCCCCCGCCCCACCACCTGCGAGTGGTAGATGTCCAGGTTACGTCCCGCCAGGAACACCAGGTCCGGCAGCACGTCATGCCGCCGACCCAGCTTGCCGTACACGTACAGCAGCGTGACGGCGCCCTCGGGATCCAGATCCAGGATCCGCCGCTGCACCAGGTCGCCCAGCTGGCGGGACAGGGAGGACACCAGCTGCTGCTGGTGGTGCTGGTGCTGGTGGTGCTGCTGTTGCTGCTCGTACTGCTGTTGCTGGTGGTGCTGTTGCTGCTCGTACCGCTGTTGCTGGTGTTGCTGCTGGTATTGCAAGGCCTCCTCCTCCACTCCGCCCATTTCTCCACCCATCCCACCGCCTTCCACTCCCTCCTCCCCCGCCCCCACCCCCGCCGCCCCCGCCAGCTGCACCAGCCGGGCTCCCAGCGCGGTCAGGTTGATGGCGTTGAGTGCGCCCGCATGCGCCGCCAGCAGCGCCGCCAGCTGCGGCAGGGTGGCGGCCTGCCGGATGTTCTCAGTCAGCTCGATGGCGCGAGACTCGGTGAGGCCCTGGGGGGGAGGGGGTGGGTGGGTGGGTGGGAGGGTATGAGGGAGGAGGCAGGGGTAAGGCAGAGGGCGGGTGCAAGTCATGCTGGACGGCAAGGAGTTTGGCAAGCGATGAAGCATGCACATGCGCCCACGCACGGAAGCCCCCCCAGCCCCCTTACCCACCCCGGGAGGGGGCCCATGCCGCTCGTCGTGCACCAGCCGCAGGTGCGCCTGACGGCTCATGCCGCGCAGCCCGGGCAGGGACCGCAACCGGCCCGCATGCGCCCAGCGCCACTTCCCCGGTTCCTGCTGCTGCTGCCCCTCTCCCTGCACTGGCGGCTGCTGCTGGAGATGTTCCGGGCCGTGTTGTGCGCGCGCACCCAGCAGCTGCCCTTCCTCCTGCCCTTCCTCCTGCCCTTCCTCTGCCGCCTGCCACAGCTGCGCCTGTGTTGCTAGCCCGGTCTGCTCCCTCTCCTGGTCCTCCTCCTCCCGTTCGAGCCCCCCTTCCTCCCAAGCCCCTCCTCCTCCTCCTCCTCCTCCTGCTGAGCCACCAGGCAGGCGGTACCGCTCCTTCTCCTCCTCCTCCTCCTTCACGACTCCCGCCAACCCACCCTCGCCACGCCCAGCTACACCCCCCGCCGCCGCCGCGTTGCATGCAACCCGTGCAGGCGACCCCGACAGCCCCGCCGCCGCCGCCCTCGTCCCGCCCGCCGCTGCCCCCACCGCTGCCGCCTGCTGCTGCTGCTGCTGCCAGCCTCCCGAGGGCTGCAGCCGCCCCCCGCCGCCCTCCCCCGTACTCCGCAACCGCTGCCCCCCTGCTGCTGCCCCTGCTGCCGCCGTCCCCACTTCCGCTCCTGCTTGTGCTTGTGCGCCCCCAGGGTTCCCCGCAGGCACACCGGCACCCAACCCTAGGACGGCCCCGCCCTGAAATGGCGCCACATGCCAATGGCCGTGACCGCGACCACTGCCCCTTCCACCTCCCCTGCCTCCACCCCTGCCACCGCCCCTGCTGCTGGGCCCCGCCTGGCGGGCGTCTCCGCTACCTCCGCCGGCCCTTCCAGCGTCCCCGTCAGCTGTGCTACTGTCACCGCTGCGGCTCCACCTGCCGTTGCTCCGATTGAAGCTCCTGCTGCTGGAGGTACTGCTACCGCTGCTGCCGCCCCCGCCCCTGCTGCTGCTGCTGCCACTGCTGGTGGACGCCAGGCTGTGGCTCAACAGCCGCTCTTGCAGGGCTGCCTGCTCCACCTCCTCCTGCTGCTGCTGCTGCTGCTGGGGACACGCCTCCGCCGCCGCCTGCTTACCCGCCTCCTGCACCGCAACGCCGGCAACAAGCACCGTCGACGTCGCCGCTGCTACCGGGGCCGCTGGCAGAGGCTGCGGTCCCAGCAGATCCCGGAGGGCTGCCCCTGCCGCGACCGCACTGCCCGCCGGGGGGGCGCTGGGGCTGCTACTGCCGCTACCGCTGCCGCAATCAGGGGCCAGTCCTCCCGTCTCCGTCTTCACAGCAGCTCCTGTTACCGCACGCGCCTCCTGCCCTTCGGCTTGGGTACCTCCACCACGACCACCAGGGGGACCCGGGGAGGATGGGTTGGAGTAGGTGCGGAAGTACCATGCCCAGCGGCGGTCATGGTTCTGTTGGGAATGGTTGCGAGGACGGTGGTGCGGTGGGGGCGCTGCGGGCGGCACAGCAGCAACAGCCCCGGCAGCAGGGGTGACGGCGGAAGCAGTTGCTATAGCAGCAGCAGCAGCAGCAGCTGAAGATGGAGATGGATGCGCTGCAGGAGTAGGCTGCTCTGCGGATGCGAGTGCTGGTGAGGGCGCACGCAATGTTGCCACCGCGCCGCTGCCACTGCTCTGGGCACTCCTGCTGCTGAAGCTGCTGCTGTCCCCGCTGCCACGCTCGCCGCTGCAACCACCGCCACCGCTGCTACTTGCTGTGGGCTGACCCGCGGGGGGCGCCGCCGCCAACGTGGCAGCCGTCAGTACGGCATGCCGCGGGGAAGGCGTTGTACGGCAGGCCGTTTGGCCTCGGAGGCATGCTGGTACCTCCGCAGGTGCAGTTGCGGGCAGCGGCTCCGGGTGCAGGGGTCTGTAGCCGACAGACCCGTAGGCTAACCGTGTTGGGAGCATGGGGGTCAGGCGCACCGTGGATGTGCTATGCTATGGTCCATGAAGGGGGTGTCATGATGGCCGCCGTCGCCAGCCGGCCCCTTGACCACTCCTGCGGGCTATGGGCTATGGGCCACAACCTTATGCGGAGAGATGCCGCCCGCTGCTGGGCTGTGGACCGCCAATTGTCGATGTAATGGAAGAATGTAGTGATGTGGTGTAGTGGCGAAGCACCAGCTGTCACGGCGCCTCGTCGCCAAGTGAAGGAGCGCCGTCGCGTTTTAGCTGAACCGGAGCCTTGACTCCAAATTAGGTAAAATTTTGCGGACCGTTTACAGATTTAAACCGCAGAATACGTATGGTTCCTGTGCTAGTGAATGGAGGCAAGGCTCACGCGACGACGAGCCGCAAACATGGATGATGTTGCACAGTTGAATAGAGGAGTCCAGCGTCTAAAAGTAAAATTGAGAAGAACTCGAAATACCTCATTTGCTGGACGGGCCGGATGGTTAACTGGTCCGCCAACGGCAGCTCGTCCACAACGTTTGTCGCTATCGCTTTAAAGTGTATTAGTACACTTATTACATGTAAAGAGATACTTCAGCTTAACCTGTACGATAGTGAAAACATCTGGAACAACTTTGCGACGACAGAGTTAACTTACACAACTGCTGCCAGAGTCCTTGACGTACGTAACTTACCTACGTGGTGATATGGGAGGACCGGATAAGCTTACAGATGCTGAGCGAGCGGCGGCGATAGCCGCCTTCGAGAAGCTGGGCATTTGCACTCAGCTTGCGGAGGCGGCGGCCAACCTGGGATGGAAGTCACCAAGCGTCATTCAGGAGCAAGCAGTCCCGCATCTGCTGCAAGGTGTGGCAGGAGACCAGTTTCAGGGTTTTCTATGTGGCGATGACGCCTCAGGTCCTACGTTGCCAGCGCTGTAACCGGTGTCGGTGACCCCTTCTCGCTCTATGTACATCGCACCTTACGTCCGCCGGTCCTAGCGGCGGCCACAATGACTCCACGGTCCTCAGCGGCAGCGTTACTAGCTCCACAAATGCCCCACATGACTGCGTCCGCTCAACGCAATCCCTCCAGATGCTCGCTATGCAACCTAAGCTCCAATCACATACAAACGACTCTTCTTATCCAGGTCTCCTCAGCCCTCCACGTCCCCTGCTCCCTCCCCACTCATCCCATCCCTGCCCATCCCGCAGGCCAGGATGTCATTGGTCTGGCCCAGACCGGCAGCGGCAAGACGGGCGCCTTCTCGCTGCCCATCCTGCAGGCGCTCATGGACCGCCCGCAGGAGCACTTTGCGCTCATCCTCAGTCCCACTCGTGAGCTGGCCATCCAGATCGCGGAGCAGGTGGGGGCAGGCAGGCTAGGGCTAAGTGAGCAGGCAGGCTAGGGCAGGGCAGGCAGGCTGGCTGGGCAGGTGGGTAGACTAGGACAGGTTAAGTAGGCAGGCTCATTCTGGGCGGGCTAGGGCTGGGCAAATGGCTTGGTGGGCAGGCGGCGGCGCGGCGCGGTGTGCTGAGCGTAGGGTGAGCGTAGGGAGAGAGAGAGGAGAAGCGAAAGGGAAATGGAAGGAGGCCAAGGGCGTGCGAATGAGGCGCACGACCGAGGGATGGTCTTTCCTGACAGTGCGACGGCTGTCACAGCGGCCGGAAAATAGGACACCCCTGCTCGGCCCTGTTCACACCCCCAACCTTTGCGGATTGGTAGCACCCACGTGCCTCCCTGTCACGGCACCCTACCCTCCACGCGGCGCTGTCCGCACCAACACAGCCCTGTTCTTCAGCGCCCCCTTCCTCTCCTGATCTCCTCTCCTGCTGCCCCCCCCCCACCCAGGTTGAGGCGCTTGGCAGCGGCATCGGCGTCAAGTGCGCGGTGCTGGTGGGTGGTATCGACATGATGGCGCAGGCCATCGCGCTCGCCCGGCGGCCGCACATCCTGGTGGGCACCCCGGGGCGCGTGGTGGACCACCTGAGCAACACAAAGGTGGGGGCAGGGGGGGGGGCGCTTTCACAGCGTGTTGTGGGGCGCGGAAGGCAGGGCTGGTGGCAGGGAAAGAGCAGGAAGGCGGGGTAAAGAGGAAGCGACTAACGAACCGTGCGATGAGGTGTCATCATGGTCTGTAACATGTGGGCGGGGCGGGGGCGCGGGTGGGGGTGCTTGGTCGCGTCGCGTATGTATTGGGACGCGGATGGGCAGAGGTGGTTGCGGGGATAGAGGAGGAGGGCGGGGTAAAGAGGAGGCGAGCGGCGTGAATGCGGGTGCGGAGGCTGCTGAGTAGGGGCATGGAGGTGTGAGGTGGTGATGGGGGAGGGAAGGGAAGGCGGCGTTGTGGGAGACGGGTGCTGCTTTCCACCTCCCCCATCCAGCCACCCTCCTCTTCCTGACGTTGTTCCCTCTTCCGTCCCTCACCTCCCACCTGCCTCCCTCCTGTTCACCAGGAGCTTGCTTCCTAGCCTGCCGTTACCACTCAACACATTGGGTCTTCTTCTTTCCCCCTCTCTCCCTCCTCCCACCTCCCCCCCCCAGGGTTTCAACCTGAAGCAGCTGAAGCACCTGGTGTTGGACGAGGCGGACAAGCTGCTGGACATGGACTTCGAGCAGGAGATCGACCAGATCCTCAAGGTGGGCGGCAGGGGGCGCGGGGGAGGGGCAGGAGAGGGGCATGAAGAAGAGGAGAGGGCCGGGGGGGGGGGGCAAAAACAGAGAATTGGAGCGGCAGGGGCATGCAGGGGGGCCAACAGGAGTGGGTTATCCGCGGCCCCAGCGGGTAAGTAGATCGGGGGTGACATGTCCGTTCATCCGTCCTGCCCCCCCCCAGGTGATTCCCCGCGAGCGGCGCACGCAGCTCTTCTCCGCCACCATGACCAACAAGGTCGCCAAGCTGCAGCGGGCCTGCCTGGTGAAGCCGGTCAAGGTGAGGGGAGCGCGGCGGCTGGGACAGGCGGGAATCCCGTAGGGTGGCAGGTTGGGTGGGCGGGGGCCTAGGCTGTGTTACGAGGCAAAGGCAAGTCACTGTAAGCACGTCCTTTTCCATGCCCTCTGGCAACGGGGACGCAAAGCTGCCCTGCCTGCCCTCTCATTGCTCCTCCTCTCCTCTGCGCCTCCTCTCCCTGCTGCTGCTGCTGTTGCTGTTGTTGAACCCACCCACCCCCCATCCGCACCCCCAGGTTGAGGTCGCTGCTAAGTACTCTACAGTGGAGACGCTGCGGCAGCAGTACGTCTTCATACCCGCCAAGTACAAGGACGCTTACCTGGCATTCGTGCTCAACGAACTCAGCGGCTCAACATTCATGGTAGGCTGGGGTGCAGGCAAGGGAGGCAGGCAGGCAAGGGAGGCAGGCAGGCAGGGGAGGCAGGCAGGCAGGGGGCGGGGGCAGGGGAGGGAGGCAGGCAGGCAGGGGAGGTGGGAGGCAGGGGAGGCAGGCAGGCAGGGGAGCGGACATCCTCTGCAGCGGCAACGTAGCCACAGCCATATGACCAGTGCCCAGTTGCCCACCCGCCCGCCCGTCTCCCTTCCCTCCTTCCTCCCTTGTCACGTTTTCCATGCTGAATCCCTCCTGTCCTTGTCCCTCCTCCTCTCACTCCCCCTTCCGTCTCTGAGATGCGTGTTTCTAGATTAGTGTCTCCGAATGCGCTCACTGCATGAGTCGGGATTAGGATTGGGATTGTGTTGTTGCACTTATTTAGAGTTTCCCCCCCGCTCCCGCAGATCTTCACGCGCACCTGCGACTCCACCCGCCGCATCGCGCTGCTGCTGCGCAACCTGGGGTTCGGAGCCGTGCCCATCCACGGCCACATGAGCCAGCCCAAGCGGCTGGGCGCGCTGAACAAGTTCAAGAGCGGCGAGCGCAACATCCTGGTGGCGACCGACGTGGCCAGCAGAGGGCTGGACATCCCCTCGGTGGACGTGGTGGTCAACTTTGATGTGCCGCAGGTGGGGTTAGTAGGGATGAAGATGCCGCAGGTGGGGTCGGGGCAATCCAACAGGTGAAGGGGGTGGATGTTCGAACAGGAAGGGGTGGTTGTACCGCTCAGGTGGGGTCGGGGCAAAGTCCATGTATCCAACAGAGCCGCGGTGATTGGGACTCCAGTAGTTGCTTCACTCCTCTTTTTTACTTTCCCCCACTCCCCGCCCCGCCCCCCTTCCGAACAGAATTCCAAGGACTACATCCACCGAGTGGGCCGCACCGCCCGTGCCGGCCGCTCAGGCCGCTCCGTGACGCTGGTGACGCAGTACGACGTGGAGCTGTTCCAGAAGATCGAGCACCTCACAAGTGGGGCGGGGGGGTATTAGGGATACATATTCCGCATTAGGCTGGATTGGGGCGGGGGAGGGGGGGGTTGGGGTCAGGGAGATGCCAAGAACAAGTTACAGTTATAGTCTGTAGGCGTGTACAGTGTGTCCGTACGAGCCAGGGGGGCATAGGACACTATGAGAAACAAAATTAGTCTGAGTCAGGGTGTCTAAAACCACAGGTTAGGGCAAAGGAGTAAGGATAGATGGAAGCAGTAAGGGGAGTGGGCAGTGGGGTAAAAGGAGGTGGATGTTCCGCCTCCCCTTCCCCCTCGTCCCCATTGCGGTTAATCCTATACGTACAAATTACACATTGGGTCTTCCTTCCCTCCCCCTGCAGGCATCAAGATGGAGTTGTTCCCTGCTGAGCGCGAGGAGGTGTTGCTGCTGCTGGAGCGGGTGAGCGACGCGCAGCGGCTGGCAACCATGCAGATGAAGGAGGCGGACGCGGGCAAGAAGGGAGGCAAGCGGAAAGGAGGGGACGACGGAGAGGATGAGGGGGCGTCCGGGAGAGGGGCGGGTGGCGGTAAGAAGCCGAGGATGGGGGGGAAGAAGTACTAGGTGGTAGGGGAGGAGCATGGGGGCTAGGTGGTTAGGGGCCGTGGGCGGTAGGGTGGTAGAGGATAGGGGGACTGGAACAGGGTAGCGAGTTTATTTGTTTGGGTAGTGGACGGAGGGTATGGGGTGGAGGGGGATGGAGTTAGGGCAGGGTTGTGGTGCTGGTGGGTGCATGGAGCGGGTTGTTGCGAGAGCAGGTGTGGAGGAGAGATTAACCGTATGCAAGACCTGAAACGTGTGGAGTGTTAGCGGCACTGCAATGAACGGTCTGCATTTGCATTGGATACTGTGGTGGGCTTAACAATTGGTGTAGATTGGTTGGGCAGGACGGGAAATGGGTCAGGACGGTCTGGAGGGCAGGTAGATGCACCGAAAGGGTTTAGGACATATAACCTTTATCTTTGTTTGGCGGGAGAAGAGCTAATGGTTACCGTATTGCTGACTGTATAGACAGTTATTCTAATGCAACCTGATGCAACATGCTAAATATGTGTAGGAGCCCCAGCCCTTCCATAGCTTGGCCAATCGCTACTATGTGGCTGCCCCTTTGGAAGGCTCTTCCGATAAGAACGCTGTAATTGCGCATCTGGTACATGAGGTGAGGGCGCAGGGTGTCTGTGCGTACGTGGTCAATGCAATATATGTGTAGCGGTTGGAAACGAGAGCCGGCAAATATCTGCAGTCGGGCACCTAAAGGCGTGCTTCTTCTGGTTTAGATAGCCTCACCAATTTCAGCATGACTGGGGTGACGCTTCACGAGCGTGCGGGCGAGTTAGGATGGAGCATTTGGCCCTGCTGGTGTTGCGTTGCAATATGCAGTTCCTCCCATTACGTCTCCGTCATCAAAGAAGCGGGATAAACTTATATATTGCGGGTAAAGCCGTTAGACGTGGCAGCGGCGTGCAAGCATGCGATTACCTGGGCGCCTACGGTTACTTCGCGGTTAGGCTCTTGTTCTTACCCTTTGTTCCACGATCGAACTTCGCGTCTAACTTTCTCATGCAGTGCCTTGCAACTGGAGGCAAACGTCAAGTCAGTCTACTGGATGCTAGTACGGCACAGCCTCTAAGCCATACCTGGCTAGAGCATCGTAGCCTCCCATGGGCACTATCTGCTTATTGAGGTAGACATTAACGAATGGTTTCTGCTCTTGCGTTATAGCTGTATATTCCAAGTGGAGGTGGAAGGGTTTTCCTACCTGGAAAGCAATCGACGTTCATTACAGTTACAGAAGGGTGCTGATGCCTACAACTTGTGGAAGTATTATTGAGCGTTAGCAGGGGATAACATCTAAGTTTGCGCCCGCGCTCTTACCTCTGGCATAGCCGCTGTCAAATAAACCATGGAACATTTCCGCTTAGGTTAGAAGTTAAGGCATTGTTTGCAAGAAACGGCCGGCCAGCTCAGCTGCTTTCCCGGTGACATTAATATGGCGAGTGGCGTCTCCAGCCTCTCCCGGAAACTCGACGGCGCTCCTCCAGTGCTGCCGCCGATATCGCCTCTTATAGGTAATGTCGGGGTTCCTGTGAAAGGCTATGCTGCTCCACCTGCTCGTCGCATTTACCCCACATCGACGGCGAAACCACCTCAGACCGGCGAAAGCTGTCTCCATCGGCGTTCGAGCCAGTTGCGGAAGTCCTAGAGAAGAATGGTTTTTCGGTCGGCTGGTAAGTCCCTCGCCCTTGTGTACTGCGGCCTCCGCCAAACGTGCACTATCCTGCTACGGACCACCCCGTTTCCGCATACAACTTCCCCTGCATCTTAGCTAGGGCGCAACCCTTCCCAAACCATTTACGACCGCGCGCTGTACCAAGTCGCTATTCCCCCGGCTCGAAACACTCCCCGCCTCGGGGTTTCTCTTTTAACACAGGAACGACGGCAGCCTCCAGGTGGGCGGCTCTCCCGCTGCCTCTGGGCTGTGCACCCCTACCTTCGAGTCACCCCGGTCCAGCTTCCGGCCACGGACGTCGGGGTTCCTGAGCTTCAGCAAGGCCAGGGTGAGTTGGATTGGTTGGCAAGCAGGGTGTGAACTGCAAGACAGTGTGGAACTACAAGTGCCACTGACATTATAGCTGCGTATATCTGGTGCGACGGTCAATCCCTGATACTCTTTCGTAAGGTGGCATGAGAACCGAACAGTAACCACCAGCGACGCACGACGGTTTCAACAGATGGAATAGGCACCCCTAAACCGCCCAACCTCCAACCCCTAACCACCACCTGGCACCGCCCAACGCTGCTCCACACCCCCACCCACGCCATTCGCCTCCGTCCAGGACATCCACGGCCGGCCACGTACCTCCTCCACGCCAGCCCGTTCCGCCCCCGGCTGCGTCTGCAGCCCCGCCCCGCCCCGCACGCCCCAGCCGCGCCAGCAACCGCGCCTCTCCACGGAGCGCTTCTCCCGCATCGGCAACTCCCCAGACACCGCAACCGCCGCCGCCGCCGCCATCCCCACAACCCTCACCTCCAACCCCCTGGCAGCCAACAACACCGCCGGCGCTAACAGCGGCAACGGCACCCAAAGCAACAGCAACGGGCCCTCCGCGGATGCCAGCAACTTGAACCACGGCAGCAGCGGTTCTCCAGCGAACAGCCACCACAGCAGCAGCAGCCACCACCACCCCGGCGGCCACCATGCCTCCGCTCCCAGTCAAAGGCGGCCGGGCTCCGCTGCCAGCGCGCCGCTGCCTAGCTCGGCCCAGGTGGCCAACACGATGGGCATCAACATCCCCATGGAGAACCTCAGGGACAGCGAGCGGCCGGGCGCTGGGTCCTTCCAGCCGCCTCGCACTCCAGCGGGGGCAGCCGGAAACACCGGCAGCAGCAGCGGCGGCGGAGGTGGGAGTGGCGGTGGTGGGACCACCATCATCCATGTGCCGCTGGGCACGCCCTCGCCTCATTCGCCTCAGGCGCAGGCGGCGGCCTTCCGAGCCAGCCGGGGCCAGGCGCTCATGGTGTTTAATGAGCTCGACAGCGACAAGAACGGCAAGGTAGGGTGGGGGTGGTGAATAGGAAAGCGCACGGGTATTGCCGAAAAGGAGAAGAGCAAAGGCGTTTCGGTTGAGCTGCGGTTGCGTGGAATGGCTGTGGTCACGGGCGGGTGACATGAAACCCATGATGCAAGTACAGTAAGGCGGTGGATGTAATAAGGCGATGAGGCGAGGCGGCAAGGGAAGGGTGCGATATGGGCGGTGAGCGCCCCCTGCGCACCTTCCGTCAGGCCTGGAACAACTGCTGTTTCCCGCCCACCCCCAGGTGACTCGCAGTGAGCTGGAGGCCGCCGCCCTCTCCCTGGGCTTTTCACTGGAGCAGGCGCAGCGGCTATGGGACAGGTGGGGAAGAGGGGTGACAACGGGCGGGTGGCAGCGGATAGACAGTCGAAGGGAAGGCGGTGATGCGTCCTCGGCTCCAGGCAGGGCAGGGTAGGGGGCTCCAGGCGGGCTGTGCGGGCTTATCGAATGAGGGTTCAAGCGCAGGGCCGTACCACGCTGCCTGCAGGCTGCAGCCACATGACCCAAATGGCTTGCAATGCACATGGGCCTTTCGCTCTTTCCTTCCTATGGTTCTTCCTTCCCATGCTCTTCACCTTTTTTCCGTCCCTCCACCGCTCCCTGCTGCTACCAGGCTGGACCGCACCCGCCGGGGCTACTTGGAGGCCACGGACTGGGGCATCCGAGACGCCTTCCAGCAAATCCAGCTCTTCTCCACGCGCTACCTCCAGAAGTACATGGGCGTGCCGGATGTGTCCTCCTCATCCGAGCAGGTGGGATGGGGCTGGCGTCCAGGAGTGGATACAGCCGGCCGGTTGGGTTGAAGCTCCCTGACCATCTCACTGAACCCTTAGCCGCTGTTCCATGTTCCGTACGTCCCTATCAGCCTGCTTGCCGAAGCGTCCGGTTGCCGATCCTTTCCGCCCACCACTGACGTCGGAAGGTTGACGGTACAAACCTACACAACAGGCTACTGCAGCTCAGCCAGCCATTCGTGCATCCTCGCGCCGCCTCCCTGCGCCTTATCCCTAGCCCCCTTCCTACCCGCTTCTCCGCTCTTCTGCCTCTGCTCTCCCAGATCCGCAAGTACAATCGGGCTCAGGAGGTGATGCAAGTCAAGTCGCTGCCCGCCGCAGTCAACATGGCGCGAGCGAACGCAGTGGCTCGCGGCGCGCGGTGTGCCGGCAGCACCGGTAACCCCATCCATGACACCTTCCTCTTCATGGATGTGGACCGCAGGTGGGTTCACCCGGAAGATAGGGGAGCTCGACGGCTTGGGGGAACATGGGGTGTAGGGACCGGAGGCGGAAGCCGAAACACGCCCTTGCACTTGCCGTCCACCTGCCTTTCACTTCCTCGTATGCTGGTGCTGCTACGCTGCTTTTGCTGCTCTTTGTGGCTTGATTTGTTACCCCCGTCAACAGCGTTTCCATGTGTACCCAAAGGGTAATGGTTTAGGTAATGGCCATTTTGGTAATGTTGTGGTAATTCTTATTGCCCCGGTTGCGGCGGTGTCGTCGAGTGCAGCGGCGTGCTGTCCAAGGAGGAGATTCGCGATGCCTTCTTCGCAATGGGTGTCTACCTGTCAGATCAGGTCATCGAGCAAATCATGGAGGTGGGGACAGGGGCCGGTCCGCTACGCGTGGCAGGCTAGGCTTGGGGTGGAGAGCTAGATATGACTGGACTTTGGGGACTTTGGATGGGGTTATAGCGGACCATAAGTTGAAGGTAGCTAAGTATAGCTGGCGCATCCTATGCGTCTGCTACTTTTTCCTTTCTAATTGCACAACATGCTATTGAGAAGTAACAGTATGCTCAATGGAAACGGCCCCTCCCTACAGATCTTTGACAAGGACAGGTCCGGAGCGGTCCAGTACCATGAGTTTGAGCGTACCATGTTTCCACCGGTGCGCTGAGCGAGCACCACCTGGGTCGGACTAAGATGGCCGATATTGGTGTATGCAGTTTTACATCCGGGTCAGGTTTGGTTTTGGGAAGCAATTGGTGTGATGAGCCGAGTCTCATGTGGCACTACCGGTATGCGCGGCCAGCATGCAGACACCACGTTGAAGGCTTGTTATTCTGTTACATCGCTGGTGATAGCCATGCATTCATGTTACGGGTGAGGCGCGACCAAGCTGACAACGCGTGCATGAGCACTTCAGCCACTTGCATATGAACGGTGTGTTCGCCTGCTTCAATTTAGATGTGCTTGGATTGGAGTTGCTGTACTTATCACTCTTGGTTTACATGTCCTCTACGTTATCTACAAACCCTGAAGCAATAGAAGTTTTGAAAACTGCGCAAATTACTTGCTGCCAATGTAAGGTGTCATAATACGGATAGGCTCCTGGCTCTATATAAGGCTCAGCACAATGCGGGGCCCGTCATGCCATGGGCAACATGCGATTTGGATCCACTTCCGGGGAAGATTTAAAGACTGTCGTACTTACAGAAATGCAGCCAGCATGAACTTTGCATTACTGCAGAGAGTTGCTGTCTAGCACACCAAGGTTACAGAGTTCTACTTTACGCATCGTCGTGCTGTAGGACTGTTGTGGGTTGGTACCACAACCCAGTCTTTCCAGGAGTCAGGAGCCGGAACCTACTAGTCTGTAAATGCATCCATCTTCACGCACGCCAAACTCGGTGTGTTGCAAAAATTGGGCAGCGATGACCCGCAGCGTCCGATGGCCTCGACATGCCATGAATAACCTTTTTTGCTTCGCCTGCAGATTTTGCGAAAGCGCCCGGACAAGGAGAATTATGATAACCCGATTAGACGCCTACGAGGCCTCAACCGCCGAGTCAGCTTTGCGCCAGCTGATGAGCTTGAGACCAAGCACATCTTTACTAAGGTCCGGATCCGAGCCATGATTCGTTGCTAGGAACGCCCAAGCTCACATATTGTTCTTATCATCTATTGCTATGCCACAGGATTCCCGGGATGGGAACACCGATTCTGGAGACATGCAACTAGCCAGCCCAACCGTCCATCTGGGTATCAGCGCAGGCATAGTCAACTCCATCCAACCATTCAGTATGCCTCCTAGTACCGAACAGCCGCCAGGCCTCATACCGACTGCCATGCCGAGCCCTGTAGGACCATCACCGCTATCCATGGAGCTCACCAACACAATGGATATCACGGCGCCGGTGCCTGCAAGCAAGCCCAAGGACACCAGCGCGGAGCCGTTGGGCGTTTGCCAGCGGCAGCTACAGCAGCAACCCAGCCAACGTCCCGAATACTGCAATAAGCACACACAGAACATCACCGTCAACGTCCCGAAGCTGTCAGCTCTCGTCGAGGAGGATGAGGAGGATTGCCGCGAAGGCGTTGGAGCTGTCGACAGCGGCGGTGCTGGGGGTCAGATGCGTGCTGCATCACCTATAAGCCCATTTGTGCTCCAGGAAATGCAGCGAAATGCTGCCGATGCGGACAGCGATAGGTTACGGGAAAACTGGGGATTCGCGCCGGGCAACGATGATACGCTACGCTGCAATTTCGGTAAGCTACATGGCAACCGTGACGCTAGCTGTTCCTTGCGGCCGTTATCTGGATGGTACTCGCCCACCGCTGCTGTGTGCGGTTCCGCGACCCAGAGCCCCGCGTTCGTAAGTAAAGGGAATTGTATCAGGTTAACGCAAAGCCCTTGCCCTCTCACAATACCGTGCATGCAGGCCATGTCGTTATGGGCGAGACGACGTACAACCACGTGTACGGCCCGGGTACAGGCCAGATCACACGAGCATTTGAGAGCCAGCCACCAGGGCATGCCCACTCGAACGTGCCTTTGGTGTTAGCAACGCGGCAGTTGCAGCCTCCTGGGCCGCTACCGCAGACATCATTTGCGGACACCACAGGGAAGCTGTTGGAGGACGACCAGACGGACGCTTGGCGGCTGCCCGGTCAAGGTCGCAACTGCAATCGGGGCCGGATGAGCGTCGCCAGCAACAAGGTGCTGGGGCCGGCCGGGTATCGCCTTGGGATGCCCGAGGGCGGCGCCGGTGCGGGAGCAGGCGACCCCACGGTCACGCTCAACCCCACCACAAAGCTCCTGGCTACCAGCACGATGCACACAGATCGGCTGCTGGAGGACACCACGAACCATAAGGCCGCCTATGAGCACTTCCTTCGGGGCACGGCGGGTCTCCAGGCGCCGCCGCCGCCGGTCGCCAGGCGCAACACGGTTTTGGCGCCGGGATCCCATCGTGGCATGGCTGCGGGCGACAGCGGGGCTGAGCACACCACGGTGCTTGGGGCCACGACACACCTAACAGCAGCACTGAGCGTCGCCGCAGGGCTGCGTAACAAGACTGCCGCACATGACGACACCGACATGTCCCTTGAGCTGCCTACAGACCGGATAGGCGACAAAACTGACCTGCTGGGCGATCATGGCCTGTCATTGGAGACGTTTGCGGTTCCGCCCGAGCCCACGCTGGACCTGTCGAAGCAGCTGGCAGCCGCACAGCAGCAGGCACAGGTGCAGCAGCCGGTGAACGCCGAGCACCGGCTGATGGGGCCAGACCGCTTTGCAACTCATGGCCAGCTGCTACGCACGCTTCAAGTGGCTGCAGAGTTGCCACTGCCGGCCCCTGCTGCGGCCAAGGTAACCACGCAGGTGAGACAATCCACAGCAACCATGCAACTAGTTGACCTTGGGTAGTGCCTTGGCGGTGGTGCATAGGCCGGCTCCAAACGTTTCGCCTGCATACCCGAGCACCATGACACCCGGTCCGTCATGCGCCACCTATACCTGTGTTTCTGGAGTGGTTCTCAGGAGTTGCCGGCTGCCAAGCTGAAGCCCTTTGCTGCTTGCCTTCCTAACAGGAATTCCTGGGCCTTGTGGATGTCAGTTTCAACGAGAAGGTCTGCCGGATGTCCTACGTACCCGAGGCTGACCCCCCGCCCAAGACGGTAGCGGAGGCTTATGCGGCAACTGCTTTGGTAGGGCCCTACGTGACAACATACCATGCCACGGTTGCCCAGGTAAAGGCTCAGCTCGAAGGCATGGTTGCCCGGGCGCACCGACTGGAGGAGGAGCTGTCCGACAAGAACCCGGAGCTGTTCACGGCGGCGCAGGTATGAAATGCCTGTGCTTTGGACTATCATAGTAGGCAGGGATGCATGGAAGCCGCAAGCTATCTTGCCGTTGTGCAATCCTCTACGCCCTGGCCGCAACGTCAATCTTTGTAGCGGTCCTTTTCGATGGTAAGTAACATGCATTCCTGATCCCATGCAGGTGCTGCCTGCCAACGAGCTTAATGCCATCAAAAGCCAGCTTGCCGCCCTGAAGAAGCTGTGCCGGCTACAAACCGTCAAGGACGTCAAGCAGTCACACCTCGACATGCTGGATGGCCTACTGGCCCGGCTATATGCCATGAATGAAAAGCTGCAGGGTGACATGGAGGCCGTAAAGGTACGCTTGCAGGGCTATACATGCAGGGCCTAGAAGCGGTTGCAGAATGGAGCTTCTGTCTACGACTCCAATCACGTTTGGCACGTGTTGCAGTTAATGTTGGTCTTTCCAGCTGTCAGGCAGTATGGTTGCTAAGCTATGGTGTGCCCATGCCGCAGTTAAACGCTGATTGCCTCCAGCGATGTGCACAAGGCAAGGATTCCCTAGCCGCCGCCGTCACACGTATGTGCCAAGAGGATGAGACCCGACAGCAGGTGCGGCCCTTTGACGCCGCATGGACAGGACATTCATAGGACACTGCCCTTGCTTTATTGAGTCACGTCAGACTGCAATGCCAGACATTAGGTTTTGCCTACCCGTTTAGGCTGTCAGTGACGTGCGCCATGCCTGACAGCACCATTGCGACTTTTCAGGAGGCTACCCAGCGGAAGAAGGCGGTGGAGGGCCACCTGCAGCGGTTGGAAGCCCTTCGCGCCCAGAACGCTGAGCGGCAGCGGCGGCTGGAGGTGGCGCGCGCGGAACGGCAGGCCATCCAGCAGAACAGGGTACGTTCAGGACCATGGGGGTGCGTTACAAGGTCTGCGTGGTGACGATACCGTACGTCCTTGGGAAGCCCCTGGATTTCCAGCATGAATGTCCGAATGCACATTAACCTACAGTGTAACGCGTTTTGTAGGTGCCCCTGGAGGTGTTGAAGAAGGAGCGCAAGGCCCTTGAGGAGCGGGCGGAGGCCCTCGCTTCCCGCTGCAGCAAGGCGTCCAGCCTGACGCCTGGCCACGAGTCCAAGATGGCCCAAAGGGTTGCTGCGAAGAGCGAGGAGGTGGAAGCACTGCTGGGCATACATGTAAGCAACAAGCCATGCATGCTACTGTGCCTGTCATGCCTGAACCAACCGTGGAGTATAACAGCCAGTTAGCACGGTAGTAGGTACCATTTGCAGTGCGTTCGAACCCTAAAGCAGTTCGTTTGCATCAATTTAAAGGAGTGACCCGTGGGTCGCGACACCCTGCTGGTTTGGACTGGATGCCCGCAGTCGCTGCGGCTGGACTTCTCCGACATGGACCGCACGGGCCGGTTCCACGTCGTATTCCGGGGCATGTACCACATCGAGTGCGACACGACGTCTAGTGGCAGCTGCCAGTTAAAGGTGTCCTTGCTTGATGGCCCTGGCAAGCCTTGCCGCTTGGAGCCGAGCATCAGGGCGGCACTCGGTGAGTGACGTGCCGGAGGGTATGCCGCATTCCTTTACCCCTGGACAGTCCCATGGACTGATGTCTTACTCTTGTTGCGGGCATTGTCACGGGCTCTACATTTTGCTAACCTTTTTTGGATTTACATTGGCCGCACCAATGTGCCTAACGCGACATTTCGTCTCTTTGTATCACGAGGTTGGGCCCTTTGCACTGGTTGCTTGGGATTCCATGTTGGTGAGGCTGGCACCAACACGCGGTTATGGTATGCAACTTCGCGGCAAGTGACCCATTCCCATCGTCTGCTCCACCACAACAGGCGCTTCCGCTGCCGCGCTCTGCTGCAGCGTCCCGACCTCCCAGGTGCCCATGCACTTGGAGACCATTCAGATTCAGCTCAACCGCATGTGGCGACTGGCGCGGCAGCTTGAGAGCTGCTGGATGAAGTACAACTGCATGCTGCAACCGACCGTCGAGGAGGAGGAAGGCCGTGGCCCGACGCTGCTGCTTCAGTTCCAAAATGTGGTTACGTCAACAAAAGTGGCAATCCGAATGCCCTGGCGCGCAACGCTTCAGTCAGAGGCAATGGCGCCTCCTCTTACAGTCCAGATGAAGAGCCTTGACCCGCCGGAGACGCAGCAAGCATACTGCAGCATGCTGCAGGCTTCTGTACTCAGCAAGTTGCCGCCCAGCACAGGGTACGTAGCGACGCTCTGCTACGCGATGAGCGAGACGCTGCAGGTGCATAACGGCGCAGGTTGGACTGGCAACTGAGAGTGGTGCATGCATTGTACCGATGACCCTCGCCCTAAGGGGCTTTGTGTTTCCCTTTGCCCGATCGTTCATGCGTTAGGTCTGGCCGCATGCACCGACGCGTTAGTAGGTGATGGTATGCATAAAGCAACGTTAACTATTTTCATCCGCTGCAACGCGGGACTTGATGAGCTACTGCCGTAGCCTGTCGGGCTTGTACAGTAGGTCCGTCAGCAATGGTTTGCATGGATAAGCCATGGCTTCCGCAGGAGGTAGCGCTGGCTCCATTTCGACCAATTGCATTCGCAGGGTTAGGCCCGTTTATGAAGGTCTGTGTCTTTGGCGGCAACAGAATCGCTGATTTAAGCGATGTGCATTACGCTTGCAGCCGCTCCGTTAGGTATGTGTATGTCGAACGGCTGGCTACGCAGGCAGTGGTTACACTTGAAGGCCGGACTCCAGGATGGTAGGCAGTGGCGTACTGCTTAAGAGTTCTTGCTTACCGGTAGTCCGTTGGACTAACCTCTTCCTGATCAACTCTTGCTTCATAGCTTCCATGTGAGGTTGGTCACAGTGTGATGGCCTACTATCTTGATTACTGCTGCGTGGTAACTTCCACGGTGGGTTAAGGGGCCCGAAGGTTTGGGACATAAGTCTTTGTCATGGGCTGTTCCTTTGGGTCTGCCTTTCCTCCGCGGTCAGCTTGCTACTGTGAGGAGAGAGCGTTTGCCCTGCAAGCGCCGTGGCTGCATGCGGTGTTCCGGGGCCCCGTCAAATGTTATGTATATTTCGGGTGTGTCCCGATCTTAGCTGTGCTTTGCAGGTGTGACTTTCCGATTGAGCGGCTGGCTCTGTCAATTTAGGACCTTGCACATGACACACGGAGGGCATCATGTGGGCCTGGCGTACACCTTGCATGAATACGGAAGGCAGGTATTGACGGCGACCACAACAAAAATACCATGAAACGAACTCGCAGACCAGCCGAACTTTCCACCTATCCCAATCTACCGTTTCATGGCGGTGCTCTTAAGGCTCAACTCAGGATAGAGACAGAGCTGTAGGGTGCAGGGGTAGGTAGTGAGGGTTGGACTTAACATGGTATAGTCGCTATCCTGCCGTTGCCGTACTCTATTAGGCATGAGAAAGTGCGTAAGAGTAACGGCTCAAGGCCAGGCCATGCCCGCGGTCGCCAGCCGCACCGACCCGCGGGCGTTCACTTGCACATACTTTCCACTTCAGCGAGAGAAGTAGAATCGATCGGTAATTGCGTTGGCGCAAAGTGAAAGCCGTAACAGTAAGGGTCCCTGCTTTACAAGAATGTCGTCGTTCCTCAGCGTTCCTACAGCAGGATCCATCGCAGGATCCAAGTTCACCAGGGCTGAGAAGGGTAAGCTGGCCTATTCATTATTCCTTATAGGAAAAAGAAACTTGACATGACAAACATCTTCAATTTAATCGTGCAGATTTGCTGAGCTTGGGAAGGGTGCCTTGCATCTTGCGCATGGCTATGACACGACCGTTTGTGGTTCTGATTCTCTCTTGTTCTACCGCTTAATTACTACCTATAAAATGCAACCGGCATCGCGTACGCCCAACTCGGTGCGTAGCCTGTTGGTTAGTCGCAACGTTTGACAGCTTCAACATTGGCGAGGTCTGCTCTACATTGCGCAGATATTGCGGAAGCGCCTTGATAAGGAAAATGAAGATGCACATGGGAAGGCTGTGAAGCGCGTAAGAGGAAACAGGCGCGTCAGCTTTGCGCCAGCTGATGAGCTTGAGACCAAGCACATCTTCAAGCAGGTCAGGCATACACCCTATGCTTTGAGACCACGGTAGAAACGTTTAAGCCATCTGCCATTGCTGAACAGGACTTCCGTGATGATCACCCGTCGACCGCGGAGATAGACGCGAGCCCCGTAGGCGGACTTATTGCGGCCGCCGGTGCGGTTAACCCGCTACCTACTCTCAATGCCCAACCAGAAGCTGCTCAGCATGCAGGCCTTAATTTGGCTGTGTTGCCAAGCCCCGAGCAACCCTCACCATTATCCATGGACCTCACTAACAACAGCTTCGAGCAGCAAGGTCCTGTGGCAGCGTCCATGGTGTCAGGCACAGCAGCGGGAGGAGACGCCGCAGGCCTGACCCTGCAGCCCAGCCATTACCAGCACTCCCACGGCCACCACGAGTACACTCGTAACATCACCATGAACGTTCCCAACCTGTCCACGCTAGTGGAAGAGGATGAGGAGGAGTACGACGCCACTAGTGGAGCTGTGGATAGTAGCAACGCAGAGGCGTCAGTACAGGCGCAGTCGCCGATCAGCCCCTTTGTGCTCAGGGAAATGCAGCGGCGGAGTCACGATACCGAGGGAAACCTGGAGCTGAAGAACCGCTGGGGCTTCGCGCCGGGTGCAGAGGACACGATGGACGTGAACGTTGGTGAGCGGGGTGGGCCTTTCCCAACATGGATTCCCGCTTAAACGTTAGGTAGCAGAGACCGTTCCAGTAGGCTCCATCCGGCTGTGAGGCGACGTGCCGAGTGCGTCGTTGTCTGCCTAAGCAGCGCTTTCCAAACCACAGGCCACGCTGTTATGGGCGAGACAACGTACAACAACGTCTATGGGACGTGCACTACTGGCGACATTACCAGGGCCATCAAGGAGAGCAGTGCCGGCGGTAGGTTGGGGTGGTCCGCGGCCAACCCATGCCAGTAACAGCAGAAGCCTTGACCTTCTTGGGGCTCATGCCAAAGTTCCCGATGAAGCTACGTGCTGCCTTGACGTAACCATGTTTGCGCATGATCCCTGCAACCAAACAGGAAACCACCCGACGGGGCTCTTGGAGGGTGCCGCGGGTCGGGGCGCTGCGCAGCCGACCATGCCTGCAAGAGCTGCTGCGGCAGGGGCATTCGGCAGGCTGGGTTCTGGCACTGACGATCAACTCCTGAACCCAACCTGCCGAGTGGCGGCTCTGCCACGCGCTGATCTAGAAGCGGCACAACGAGCGGACGCGCTTGGTGCAGCGGCCCAGCCATTTCACCAAACAGCCTTCCTGCAGCAGCAGCAGCCGGGCGCACATGCATCTCAGACACTGCCAAGGCAGGAGCCCCTTCAGCTGCCGCTAGGAGCCGCACCTCCCCATGCACCCCTTCCACAGAACACGCCCTTCCTGGACAATACCACGAAGCTGCTGGAGGACGACCAGACTTGGCGGCTGCCCGGTCAGGGTCGGAACTACGATCGGGGCCGGCTGAGTGTCGCCAGCAATAAGGTGCTGGGGCCGGCCGGGTATCGCCGTGGGATGCCCGAGGGCGGCGCGGGTGCGGGAGCAGGCGACCCCACGGTCACGCTCAACCCCACCACAAAGCTCCTGGCTACCAGCACGATGCACACAGAGCGGCTGCTGGAGGACACCACGAACCATAAGGCCGCTTATGAGCACTTCCTCCGGGGAACGGCGGCTCGCCAGGTGCAGCCATCACCTGCTCCTGCACCCAGGTATGCGGCGCTCAACCAGGCAATGTGGGAACACCCTCGCTAGCAGCCTAGCCGGCGCAACGCGTAATGCTCTGGCTGTAATAATGCGGCTTGCGCCCCACAAAACCACAATGCGTATTGCTCTTGCGACCTTGGCTTCTTACTTGCACCAACCTGCACCTGCAAACATGCTTCGCCAATGACGACCCTCTCGCCACGAGCCTCCCCACACCTGAACAGGTTAACACGCTCCTACCGGTATGCACCCTTACCCGCTTGCAGGCCCGCCATGCGCGCAGGGCATGGCGAGGCCACCGCCATCTCTAGCAGCGCCGCGGAGCTGCGGCGCCAAGCAGCCGCAGCCGCACAGGACAACACCGAGATGTCCTTGGAGCTCCATGTGGGCCACACCGCTGCCAACAATGACCTGCTGGGCGATGGAGGCCTGTCACTGGACGCATTCGCGTTGCCGCCTGAGCCCTCGGTGACCCTGTCGCAGCAGCTGGCAAGCGGCGCCAGGGTGCAGTTGCGGGCGCCCCGGCCGTTGCTGCCTGGCGAGCGAGGGGGTGGTGGAGAGCTGTTGCACGTGTCATCTAGCGGGCGTGCTGCGACTGCACAAAAGATCACATGCCAGGTGTGCTCTTTTGTTGTTCCCGCACGCCTAATGTTGTCTTGCTGCCGGCCTCAATGCATGAAAGACGTATACCAGCTGCAGGCTGTAACCCGTCCCATGCCAACTCTCGTCAGTGCCTTTCCGCCAGCGACTTTCTTGCTTAACAAGTCCTGGCACCGCCCTGCCCTATGAGCTATGACACGTGGGCCCCGTCTCTTAGACCTGTGCTTGCAGCTGGTACCGTAACTCCCTCCTGGCACCTCCCAACGCGCCGCCACCCCGCACAGGAGTTTCTCACCATCATTGACGTGAACTTCAACGAGAAGGTCTGCAGGACGTCCTACCTGCCGCAAGCCGACCCGCCGCCAACCTCTGTGGCGGAGGTGTACGAGGCTGCCGCCGTGGTGGCGCCCTACGTGGAGGCATACCAGGCCATGGTGCTGTCGGTGGCGGCCCGGCTCACAGACATGCAGTCGCGGGTGCAGCAGCTGGAGGTTGAGCTGTCCGCCAACAACCCGGAGATCTTCGTGGCAGTGCAGGTGCGGTTTCTTGGGACGCATTAGGACGCATGCTCCTGGGGTGCGGGCGCAAGCACGCAGCAGGGTGGGGGCTGTCCGAAAATGTGACAGTCTGCACCAAGTTTTGCGCCACATGCACAGCCCATGCCTGGTGCTAAGAGGGGATTGTCCGGTCTCATGCGTTGTGTATTAACGCCGTGCACGTTTGACACACGGGCTAGGGCACCGTGTCATGCAGCACTGACGTCTCTGCAACCCTGGCATGACCCGCGCTTGCATGCATGCAGCAAATGCCGCCGTTGCAGCTGGAGTCGGTGAAGGACCACGTGATCAGCCTCAAGAAGCTCTGCCGCATCCGCACTGTCAAGTCCATCAAGCAGGCACACCTCGCCGCGCTGGACAACCTGCTGGTGCTGATGTGCGCGGCCAGGGACAAGCTGCAGGCGGAGCTGGCGGCTGTCGCGGTACGACCTGCCGTACACGGCTTGCCTTGTTTCTTGCAAGAAAAACGTAACTTAGGGGAGAAGAAGCACCGTGGGATGCGCCGCCCTGCACCGGGATCTTCCTTATGAAAACACATACAGTGCTGTGCGAAGGAAAGAAAGCAAATGTGGTATGCCCTCATAAACTTGTGTCCCTGGGTTTGCACGTGTGTGTTTCAGGCAGACGTGGACAGCCTCAAGCGCTGCAATCAGGGCAAGGTGGACCTCACGGCGGCGATTTCACGCTGGTGCCAGGAGGACGAGAGGCGGCTGCAGGTGCGGTCAGGTTTCGAATGGTTGCTGGAGTATACTGTCGCTGGTTGGTAAGCGTTGCCGCTTACGTTTAACCTTCACTTGCCTCCTGTAAGGCTTTGGCTGTGACGCATCTTCAATCCGTATTCTTTTATCCCCAGAAAGCTACCCGTCTAGGCTGTCTGTGACGTGAGCCATGCATTGCCGCGTTGTTTTGGCTTTTCAGGAGGCTGCCCAGCGGAAGAAAGCGGCGGAGGGCCACCTGCAGCGGCTCGAAGCGCTTCGCGCCCAGAACGCTGAGCGGCAACGGCGGCTGGAGGAGGCGCGCGCGGAACGGCAGGCCATCCAGCAGAACAGGGTACGTTCAGGACCATGGGGGTGGGTTACAAGGTCTGCGTGGTAACAATGTGTCATTAGGATGCCCCTGGATTTTAGCCATGACTGTCCAAATGCACCTTAACCCGTGTTATAACGTGGCTTCGTAGGTGCCCCTGGAGGTGTTGAAGAAGGAGCGCAAGGACATAGAGGAGCGGGCGGAGGCCCTCGCGGCCCGCTGCAGCAAGGCATCCAGCCTGACGCCTGGCCGCGAGTCGCAGATGGCCCAAAAGATTGCTGCGAAGAGCGAGGAGGTGGACGCACTGCTGGGCTTACATGTAAGCAGCAAGCCATGCATGCTAATGTACTTTCGTTGCGTCGGTGTGCCAGCCCGTTAGCACCATGGATAGGAATAGTTCTCATTTGCTGTTCGTCCACATCCTACCTAGAGGTGTGACCCGTGGGTCACGACACCCTGCCGGTTTGTACTGAATGCCCGCAGTCGCTGCGACTGGACTTCTCCGACATGGACCGCACGGGCCGGTTCAATGTCGTATTCCGGGGCGTGTACCGCATCGAGTGCGACACGACGTCTGGTGGCAGCTGCCAGTTCAATGTGTCCTTGCTTGATGGCCCTGGCAAGCCTTGCCGCTGGGAGCCAAGCATCACGGCGGCATTCGGTGAGTGCAGTGGCGGAGGGTACCGGAATGCCGCACTCCTTTGCATGGGGCATGTGGACTAAAGACATGTATTCTTTCTCTCGATGCAAACACGCAAACAAGAACATTTTGTATGACGTTTATGACGCTCCTCTGTCCCTTTGCAGGCGCGTCCGCTGCCGCGCTCTCCTGCAGCGTCCCGACCTGCCAGGTGCCCATGCACTTGGAGGCCATTCAGAAGCAGCTCAACCGCATGTGGCGACTGGCGCGGCAGCTTGAGAGCTGCTGGATGAAGTACAACTGCATGCTGCAACCAATCGTCGAGGCGGAGGAGGAAGGCCGTGGCCCAACGCTGCTGCTTCAGTTCCAGAATGTCGTCACCTCAGCCAGGGTAGCCATTCGAATGCCCTGGCGCGCAGCGCTCCAGTCAGATGCATTTGCGCCTCCTCTTCGCGTGCAGATGAAGAGCCTCGACCCGCCGGAGACACAGCATGAGTACTGCGATGCCCTTCTCGCCTCGGTTCTCAGCAAGTTGCCGCCAAGCACAGGGTACGTAGCGACGCTCTGCTACGCGATGAGCGAGACGCTGCAGGTACGCAACGGCGCAGGCCAAACGGCCCTAAGGGAGGATCCCGAAGCGGAGCCACTAAGCCGTACTCCACAGGTGGAGCCGCTCGAGGGGAAGCTCGCGGGCAGAACCTTTGAGAATCCGTTGTTCACATTTGCAGCGGCGTAGGTGTTATGGGGCGTTACTCGATGACTTGCCTGCAGTATGGCGTATCGCCTTGTATGCCTCGGCCCCTTTTGGCAAGAGTGACGAGGTACCTTATGCGGTCGCATTTGCAGCGGTAAACATTATTTAGCGGACCCATGTATTGGACGTTGGGCGTTGCGGATACAAGCGACCCTAATTTGTGAGCTGTGGCTGAGCGGTTGGCCTACTTCCTATCCGAGAGCCAATGGTTATCGCGGTGATCTTCAATGCATTGGTATATTTTTGTGTTTTCGTTTTTCATTTGCATTGATGGTATATGAGGATGAGAAGGCCAGAAGGCATTGGCCCTTTGAGGTTGCCACAAAACTGAGGGTCTAGTTAATATGTTATATTCTTGTGACGATAAGTTCACCTGCACGGCTTTTTATAGCACAGCGTTTAGCGCGTAACGAGCGCGCTACGAGAAAATCTTAGAAACACCCTTAGAATGTCGCTTCCTGGATGCCATGTGAAGGCGTACCTGAGGTTTATGCTTAAGGACAGTTTCGTGATGCATTGCTAAATGTAGTTGCAGTCTGGTATAGGTGTAGGACAGGGCCGTACACCTCCCGTAATATTCCCTTAGAGCTCTGGGAACGCGATCCTTGTTTGCGAGTAATGTACTTTCACGTAGTTTTGGTTAGAGCAGTGACAATTACCCTCCCAAAATAGTGCGCCGCAGTAGGCTGAAGACTGCATCCTCATTGGCCTTCGCGCCGTGTTAAACATGGCGGCCGTGGGAAGGGGGGACGTAGAAGCGCCCCCTTCCGCGCCCTGCCCATATGACATAGACCCGGAGCAGCTACTTGCTATGAATGAGGTGACAAGACCTGTGGCACCTTAGGCCATACACTCAAATAGCTCCTATTCAGCGCTAAAAGGATTCATGTCTCCATGATTTGTACAGGCGAAGGACACAGCAGCCCTCAAGAGCGCAGGCGGGCCGCAGGGCTTGGCAAAAAAGCTTTACTCGGACCTGCATAAAGGACTGGACCCTAACGGGCAAGGGCTGGCCTCTATTCAATCGCATAGTGAAGTTTATGGGGAGAACAGATTCGTGGAGGTGCCTCCAAAGTCGGTGAGTGCTTGTTCCCACTTAAAGTCGCCATGTCTCACTTCCTGCACTGAACTAATCTTCTGCCTCTCTTGCAGTTTTTTGCCCTCGTTTGGGGCAACCTCCAGGACCCGGTCATCATCATTTTAATTTTCGCTGCGTTGGTAAGACTTTGCCGCGGTGACCGGTGTCCGTCCTGCTGCGTTTTCCTCCTATCAAAACCATGTTTGCTGTGACTTAACCGTACAGGTCTCAACAGTGCTTGGCGCAGCCATTCCCGACCAGCGGAAGGACGGAGAATGGATTGAGGGCGTAGCAATTTGGGTGGCCGTCATCCTAGTGGTGTCCGTCAGTAAGTAACAATACATGTTGAGGCATATGGTTTATGTCAGGCTTGGGGCACGTTGTCTACGATGTCGGGTTCAACAGTAGGCGACCCCGCGACCCCTCGTGTTGCAGGCGATACCCTTTGCTGTGTCTCCTCTTCTACTTGCATTGCTTACCGAGAAGCACTGCCAAACTCCCTTCGCCAGGTGCCGGGAATGACTACCAGAAGGACCGTCAGTTTCGCAAACTGAACGCACAAAAGGATAAAATCATGGTGAAGGTGATCCGTGGGGGCCACACAACCCTCGTAGAGAACACGGAACTCGTAGTGGGCGATGTGTACATCCTGGACACGGGTGACAAGGTCACAGCAGATGGCGTTTGCTTTGACAGCCAGGGCCTCGTAATAGACGAGGCGTCGCTGACGGGCGAGTCAGATCCCATCAAGAAGAACCCGGACGAGGAGTGCTGGGTGCGGTCAGGCACGCAGGTGGGTGTGTACGGCAGCACCACATTCGATGACATGCCGCCATGTGCCCTTCCTTGTTGCATGCAACGGCGTCCTCGTTTTCTATGGACGTGCTGTCAAAGACCGTCAGACGTGTAGCAGGGATGCAGGCTTGTTGACCAGTCCCGCCCCGTGGCCAACAGGTGACCGAGGGCAGTGGAAAGCTGCTGGTGGTTGCTGTGGGCCCTAACTCGGAGTGGGGTAAGACCATGGCGCTCGTGGGCGAGGCGGGAGACGACGAGACGCCGCTGCAGGTGAAGCTCACCTGGGTGGCGAGCACAGTCGGCAAAATCGGTTTTGGCGTCGCCATTTGCTGCTTTGCGGCGCTGCTAATCAAGTAAGTGCGCACAACTAGGAGAGGAAAGGGCATTGGGGTCGGATCCGTGACTGGTACAAGGTTTGAGGCTCTGGCCAGCTGGCATGCATCCAATGGACCATATGCCGAGCGTGATTTGCCTTCTCTGCACGGAGAAGCTACCCAGGACTCTGGCGCATGCGTTGCGGAGCTCGCGTGTCTCTCTTCAGGGATCGGGAAAGGGGATGCGCCGAGTCCCAAACTGCAACGCACTGGGATTGGGCCGAAGCTGTGGTTGCACGACGGACTGCTGCAATGAGATTCCTGGGGCTTTCTTACCACCACATGCCATCGTCCTGCAATTAGCAATGCCCTGACGGTTACTCCACAGGTGGTGTGTGGTCAACAATGGGTTCCCGTTGAAAAAGATCAACCAAAACGGCCCCATCCAGTTCTTCCTCTACTCCGTGACCATTATCGTGGTGGCGGTGCCGGAGGGGCTGCCGCTGGCTGTCACCATTTCCCTGGCTTACTCCATGAAGAAGATGATGAAGGGTGGGTGCAGGGTTTGGTGGGCACGCCAGGGCTGGGCGAGGGAAGGGAGCCGGTCGTAGGTACGGGTTGCACTGCCGTAAGTGCCTGATTACACTTGGCAATCGGGGTAGCACCTAACCTGGTTGGGCCGCGGCGAGCAGTCCCAGCCAAGCTACTTGATTTCGCGCCAAGCATTACCGAAATGAGGAAGCACGCTGTGGCATGCCCCGCTTCGCTGCCGTTCACGGCGGTATTCCGACATCTGTCAGCGCTCGTAAGCTCGTGCAACTTGGCTTGCCGTTATGGGGACGTTAAGACTTGCCACGTTGCCAGTAGTTGGTCCGCAGCAACTCCACATGCGCTGCTGCGTGGGCTGAACCGCTCACTCCTGGCGGTGGGTTCCACCTCCTCCGACCGCAGATAACAACTTTGTTCGCGTGCTGGCGGCTTGCGAGACCATGGGCGGTGCGACGGCCATTTGCTCCGATAAGACCGGCACGCTCACGGAGAACCGCATGACGGTGGTGGAGGGCTGGTTTGCGGGAAAGAGCTTTGACCACTGCCCCGCGCCGGAGGAGCTACCGCAAGAGGTTTGCGACGAGCTCAAGCTCAACAGCGCGCTCAACTCGAAAGCGGATGTGCTTGAGGATGGGCCGCGCCTGACCTTTGTGGGCAACAGGACGGAATGCGCGCTGCTGATGATGCTGAAGACGTGGGGCTGTGACTATGCCAGCGTGCGCGAGGAGTACGATGCCAGCACCTTCAGGGTAAGGAGGAAGCAAAGGGATACATGGGTTCGGTGTTGGGGCTGAGGGAACGTGGCGAGCAAAAAAGACGTGATTGCCGTGCGGCCAGGATCCAGGCGTCCGGTTGGCATGCTTTGCAACCTGGTTGGGACTCCGATAACCTAACGAGCATCGCATGTAATGATTGCGCCATGTACCACTACCCTGTCTCGTGTAGCCACACCCTCCTGCACCTCCCAACTTTACCCTGTCCAGGTCTTTGGCTTCTCCTCCGCTAAGAAGATGGCCTCCGCCACCATCAAGTTTGCCGACAAGTTCCGCCATTACAACAAGGGCGCAGCGGAGTGGGTGCTCAAGCGCTGCACGGCCATGTACGACGGCTCCCGCATCGTGCAAATGAGCGACGCGGACCGCGCGCGCCTGGTGGAGGTCGTTACCTCCATGGCTAAGCGCGGCCTGCGCTGCATCTGCCTCACCTACACCGACTACCCCCTGGTGGACGACAGCCGCCCGGTGGAGTTCTTTGAGGACAGCGATAACCTCGATCGCAACCTGGTTTGCATGGCCATCGTGGGCATCAAGGACCCCGTGCGCAAGGAGGTCCCTGAGGCGGTGCGCGTCTGCCAGCGTGCCGGCATCGTGGTGCGCATGGTCACCGGCGATAACATCCACACCGCACAGCACATTGCGCGCGAGTGCGGCATCCTCACGGACGACTGCATTGCACTGGAGGGCCCCGATTTCCGCAAGATGTCGGCTCAGGAGCTGCTGCCGCTGCTGCCCAAGCTGCGTGTGCTGGCGCGCTCCTCGCCTGAGGACAAGCTGACCCTGGTTTCGGTGCTGAAGCAGCAGGGAGACGTGGTGGCGGTGACGGGCGACGGCACCAATGACGCGCCTGCGCTCAAGGAGAGCGATGTGGGCTTAGCCATGGGCATTGCGGGAACGGAGGTGGCGAAGGAGGCGGCGGACATTGTCATCATGGATGACAACTTCTCCTCCATCGTCAAGTCGGTGCTATGGGGCCGCTCTGTGTTCACCAACATCCGCAAGTTCCTGATGTTCCAGCTGACTGTTAACTTTGTGGCGCTGGTGATTGCGTTCTTTGGCGCCGTCATTGACGGGCACGAGCCGCTCAACGTGCTGCAGCTTCTGTGGGTCAACCTCATTATGGTGAGTGCCAGGGCTTGGGGTGCGGAGTGGGAAGGAGGCAAAGGGAACATGGCCAGTACAGCAAGCAAGACACGGGTGGTTTGGCTTTGGAGAACGACAAGAGAAGGAAAGACGGAATGCGCAAAAGCCAGCCTATGTGCGAGATGCGGATTCATGTAAAGCATGCTTTACCGGTCACACGAACGCGTTTGTACCAAGCGCAGAGCGCAGGCCTGCTGCTTGGGCGGCCGCGATGGGGCGCCGGTCCTGACTTTGCATGGTCCCCCACATGGGACGTTTCGGACCAGCACGGTGCAAGGCTACGCAGGCACTGCCAAACGGCCCACCGCCAATTGCGACCCACATGCCACATCGCATGCCGCTTACTTGTTGCTTCCTCGCCGCTTCACCATTTGACCCTGCCCCCCCGCGCCGCTCCGCAGGACACCATGGGCGCGCTGGCTCTGGCCACGGAGGACCCCAACCCCGAGCTGCTGCTCATGAAGCCGTACGGCAGGGAGGAGAACCTCATCACGCGCATCATGTGGAAGCACATCCTGGTGCAGGGCTGCTACCAGCTGTTTTGGATGTTCTTCATTCTGTACGGCGTTCCCAGCTTCCTGAACGCGCCCAAGTTCGATGGCCGCTACGATATTGAAAGCCGCCAGACTTGGTGGGCGCGGGAGTGCACCACCGTGCTGACGGACTCGCGGAGGGTTGAGCTCTGCAACTACATGAACGTCTGTGGCTTCCCGTATTTTCACCCCGACTCAGCGTCGCGCAATAGCCCGTCCTGTGACCTTTACCCGATGTGGCAGAACGGCACCAACCCCACCACCAAGTATGTACCCTCCGACGCGCGGACAGCGATGTGCGATGCCAACGTGATCCCGCCGACGACGGGCGGTGACTGCGAGATTTACAACCTGTGGAAGACAGCGGAGACGAAGATGAAGGAGGACTACGTCACCTTCCAGGAGGTTGAGTACCGCCCGGCGCTGTCGGTGCTCTTCAACGCCTTCATCTTTTGCCAAATCTTCAACGAAATCAACGCCCGCCGTATCAACGATGAGTACAGCATCTTTGCCGGGCTGTTCACCAACCCCATCTTTGTCGCGGTGATCGTTGTTACCGTGGTCTTCCAAGTCATCATTATCAACGTCCCGTTCATTAACAACAAGTTCTTCAAGGTGCAGCGGCTCAACTGGCAGGAGTGGCTGATCACGGTTGCAATTGGTGCCGGGGCCATCCCGCTGAGCTACATCACCCGCTTTGTCACGAAGAACCTGCCGGACAATTGCCTGCGTGGCACGCGTGTGCATGCTAGCACAGGGCGAGCGCTGTCAGGCAAGCCAAGTAACGTGCGGAATACCTCGGGAGGCCGGACTGTGTCGGGAGGCGGCCGAACCATGTCCGGTGGGTCCCAGTACCACGGTCGAACAGGGTCGGGTAATCCGGCTCCGTCGCATGCATACAGCAAGAGCCCGTGATCCAAGCGGTGACGTGTTTCTAGCTGCAGGGATGTAGGGGCAATTGGGCTTGGTGATAAGAACAGGGATGCCGGTGGGGGCTACATCTAACGCTGACACCACCCGCAGACGTGTGCCTGTAGCCGGGTGCTGCAAGCGCAATGCTACATGCCATGCGGCAAAGGCAGTGGGAGATTTCTCCCAGCATCGTTTTAGGCTGACGGATATATTGGTTTCAATAAAGGACTGGACTAATGGTTTGCCTGCATGGTTTGCCTGCGCTGGACGGAACACGTAGAGTCAGGGAGGGAACGCAAGCTGGCTGCACCGGCACCTTGGGGGCGCATTCCCTTCGCACCAGTGCATTCTGGCCCTGTTTATGTTTTGGTGATTAAGGTTGTGTGGTGTCATTGTTGTGCCGTCGTGATCTAAAGGTCGGAGCCGTTGGGATGATAGCTGCACTGGTGCGCGCTGTGTGCGCCCTATCAGAAGCGCCTGACGAACCTATTTGGAAGAGCCCCTTCCAGGAACTCAACCCGTAGCATGAGTGGACGGACAGTTTGACTCCTCTTGGAGTCCCCGTTTGACTCTTTGACCGTTTGTGTTGCACTACGGGGGGTGCGGCCCTCGGCGGCGGCAGCCTGCGTCCGAACCGCACGGCGGGCGGTGCGTCCTCGGTCGCCGGGGGCGGGCAGAGCAAGTCAGGACCCACATGACACAAGCATGGCTAGCTCTCGCCACGGGGGTGGGCCTGAAGATCGCAGCCGAGTTGTGTGCCGTCTGCGTGCCGCCACTCCTGCGTGCCCCGTGTATGGGCGGGTGTTGGGCGGTCTGGTGTCATGGTGTGCATTTCTTTCCAGTGCGTCGCTTGTATGCACACGGATTTATGAGCATAAGGGCGTTTAGTTGGATGGAAGTACCGTAATGGGTGCTTGTGAGTCACGTGTTTGTATCTGATGGCAGGAGGATGTAACGGTGATGTATACGGTTGTGGTGACTGGATATATGGATATAGGATGGCTCGGGCGAGCGTGCGCATCTGTGTCTTTGGGTCCTATGTGGGGATGCATGAGGGTAGGGGGGAGTGGGGCGGGGTTGCTTGTGCTAGGTATGGGTGGCAGCTGGATAGGGAAGTGAGGGGTTCAGTTCAATAAGTGGGCTCATAAGTTTTTATTCGGGCAAAGTGGGGGTTGAATGGTATTATACGCAAGACGTTCAGGGGTATACGCCTAATGTTTTGGGAGTATAGTCCGTTACATGCAACGAGTCACGATACCGCTGGTTAATGTGCTGTATAGCGGTCGTATGTTGACGTCGTCCGGCTACTCGGCGCTATGCCACCTGCCGTGTCTCGGCTTGGACGTTTCACAGCTGGCATGCATGGGCAGGCGGCATACCGACAGGTATTGTTTGTGATTTTACAGTCTATAAGGGTAAACCGTCGACGGTAGTACGAATTTGAACTGATAAATGTGACAATAGGATTTTGTCACGGGCCTTACCGCCGCTCTTATGTGTGCGCCTTTTGCATGCAGGAGCGCCCCTGTGCCCTGGCTTTGAGCACGTTTCCTGGACCTGTGGTTACCGAATCAGGCCTGTGGAAACTGCTGAACGTTTTTCGAGGGAGTTTTTGTGCTTTTACAGGCATTGGATTAAATATTTGCGTCGGTTGCATGCGCTGTTTCTGTCGAATATATGAGGGACAGTCGTGCAAGATGTGCGGGTTACCCCGTAGTTTGGATCGCTCACGAGCCATATCCTCCCAGTTACTTCTAGTAATTTCCACGTTTTGGGCGATGTGTTCAAGATTCATGTACTGCTGAGGTTTTCTTTCGTACAGGCCCATACATGTTGGTGACGCTGTATGTGCACCGCAGATACCCGACCTTATACACACGAACACAGCCCAACAGCTGCAATGCTGCATTTTGGGCAAGCTCTCTCGCATGCATCCTCATTGTAAAACAAGTTAGGCAACTCCCTGCAAGTCTCGCCAGTTGTACCTCACCAAAATGGCAGCCTTTAGAGTGCGTTGCGACGTTGGAATCAACTGTGTCACTTGTCGTACACTACGCAAGCACAGCCTAGCCGGTCTAGCGCTTTAGCTACAGCTCTTGCACTGTAACGGTCAATCAATCATTCACGAGTAGCATGAATCCTACAGGGCCTCATCCTGTCGGGGTCGCCGACGTGGCAGCAACGTGCGTCACACCAGGCGTTGACCGCTTAGCTGCGCGGCTTTTCTACCCGTGCGCACGATGTTGGACCCCACCTTGCACCTGGATACCTCACTTCAACTACGCCAGGTAGGGCAATGACGTTGCGAGCTGCTGTGCTCGCTTACCTCGGCTGCTGTGACTAACCGCAACCCTACATCGATTGGCGTCTATTGCGCAGAGGCTATGTAGGTATGTAAGGTTAACAGAAATATATTTACAACGGTAGTGAAATTGAGGTCTAGCTGCAAGGTGTGCGGGGTTGCTTGCCTAAAGTCCGCACCCAACAACCAGGATACTTATTCAAGCTGGTGAAGAAGAAAACCGTAAAAACCGAGCTTACTAAAGCAGCGTTAATCAGCGCAGCTTGGGCAATCGGTAAGTCCAACTGCTTGCAACTCCCCTAGCCCGCTAGCTTCGGCCCCCCAGCGCCGCAAGAGGTTCCTGCTCGCCCTTCCCCACACCTCCTCCCTCCCGCCCCCACTCCTCGCCACCTCCAGGCTCCAGCCGCATCCTCCCCGTCTACTACAACGCCCAGCTGGCGCCCTGCGACTCGGCGCCCGCGCTGCTGCCTGTCGTGGTGTTCTCTCATGGGTGTGTGCTGCATTGCCGCTAGCCGCTACCGGCCCACCTGGGGAATGACGATCGTTACAGTTCCGTTACAGTAACATGAGTTACAGTTAACCCATGCCGAAGGCAGCAGCCTATGCGCCTCCTGAGTGCCCTCTCAATCAATGGATGTCCGAATGGATGTCCGTTACAGTGATTGATCCCAAACCGGAAGGCAAGGGAAAGCGGACGATACCCAGCCCGACACTGCAAGGAAAAAAGGCAGAGCGTGATGCCAGCTTGTAACCCTCCCCGGCGTTCTCCCACGCCCGCCCACCAGGCTGGCCGGCAACCGCAACACCTACAGCAGCATCTGCATTGAGCTAGCCTCTCAGGTGGGCTGATAGGGGCTGGTAGGGAGGGAGGGAGGGAGGTTACCGCTGACCGCACAGGCGCCGGATGCAGGCCGCCGCATTGCAGGCTGGGGCTGACAGGGCCGTGGCTGACTGACTTCTGGGGCCGCCGGTATGGGGCCTGGCCGCCGTGAGAACCGTCAAGGCAGGTTCAGGGGGTAAGCGGAGGCCAAGCTGTAGCTTGAGCCGCCTTCCTCCCCCCTTCTCTGCAGGGTTACGTGGTCATGGCGGTAGAGCACGGGGACGGCAGCGCTAGTGCCGCTCGCCTGCCGCAACCGGCTACTGCTGCCACCGCCACCGCAACCACCACCGCTGCTGCTGCTGCTTCTACCGCTGCTGGCAATATGGATCGTTTAAGGCATGGGGACGGCGGCAGCAATCGCAGTCCCAGCAACGGAAACGCCAGCGGCAGGAATGAGGACGGCGGCGGCGGCGACAACCCCGGCGTCAGGAATGGCGTTAAGGGCGGCAGCGGCAGTGAGTGGATGTTTTACGGCGGGTTGGGCGACGGGGCGGAGCAGGTGCGGAAGACGCGGCAGCGCGTGGCGGAGGTGGAGGCGGCGGTTCGGCTGCTGGGCTGGCTGAGTGCAGGTGGGAGGTGGGAGGGCGGGAGGTGGGAGGGGAAATGAATGAATGAATGATCGTTACAATGGTGCCCTAAAAGGGAACACGGGTGATGAACCCAACCCTACATTGCAAAAGAAACGGAACAAACCGTAGAGACAGCACCACAACAGGCCAACAAGATGGTAAATGGTAAGCATGCCAGGCAGGGGGGATGTTAGGTTGTGAGACGGTCCTAGGACGAGAGGGAGCGGGACATGCCTCCGGTTGCTCCACCAGTGAGCGTTGTTAATTAATCAGTTTATCCCCCCTAGCGATTAGCAGAGCACGGCAGCAGTCCTGTCGCATCCGCGACTGCTCCTTGGCCCCCTCCTCCTCCGGCCACCTAAACACTCCTGCCCTCAACCCCACCCTCTCCTCCTCCTCCATACCCCTCCACGCTCCCACCCTCCCCCCACCAGGTCAACCGCCGCCCTCCTCCTCCTCCTCCTCCTCCTCCGCCTGCTCCCCGCACCTCTCCCTCCGCGAGCTGCCTGCCGCACTGGCCGCCAGCCTGCGCGGCCGTCTGGACCTCAGTCGGGTGGCGGTGGCGGGGCACAGCTACGGAGGCGCCACAGCGGCGGCAGCAGCAGCCCTGCTGGACTGCTTCCGAGCCGCCGTGTGCCTCGACCCCTGGTGGTGGGTGGAGCGGATGGAGGTGCAGGTGGAGGTGCAGGTGGAGGTGTAGGAAGGAAGGGGAGGTGCAGGCGACCCGTATCGCACTGCATGTACACGTAATGCCCCTATGTGCTTTCTCCTCGTGCTCTTGCTCCTCATGCTGTACCGCACTGCATGCGCCCAGCAGGGACTGCTTCGCCCCGCACTGGCCGGTGCTGACCCGCTGGGTTAACCCGCACCGCCCGCCGCTGCTGGTGGTGGGCAGCGAGGACTGGAACACACCCAACGCGCAGGGTGGGGGTGAGGTGCACACAGGGCTGGGGGGGTTCAAAGACCATACCAAACCGTAGGAGACCACAAGTTAGGGCAAAGCAATGGGGGGGGGGGCGGGAGGGGGGCCGGCATAAATGAGGGGCTGCAAGGGAGGATGTCAGTACCCCATCAGGGGTTCTATACCGGTAGGTTGTAGTTGCATGCGTAGGGTAGGCAGGCCCACCTCTTGTGTGTGTGTTAAGTAAACTGGCCGCGAGTCGGAACGTCGTGTGATTTCGGAAGCTTGACAGTAGTGAAATCTGACTGCCCCCCGCAGGCCGGCTCAAGTGCGGCGGGGTCAACCAGGAGAGGGTGCTGGCCGCCGCGTCCGGCGCCCCGCCTGTCGACATTCCCCCTGCTGCTGCTGCTGCTGACACCTACGCCAATCCTGGCAGCAACAACAACAGCACCGCCAGTGTTGCCGGCTCTAAGGGCAGCGACGGCGGCGGCAGCGGCGGCGGCGGTGGTAGAGGCAGCAGCAGTGGTGGCGGTGGTGGTGGCGGCGCGGTGTTTGTTGTCCCCTCCGGCAGCACGCACGGGAACTTCGACGACGTGATGTTGCTGTTCGGCAAGTCGCTGTCGGTGCTGCTGCGGCTGTTCAACATCCGTTCTAGCCTGGAGCCGCGGAGGGTGAGAAGGGGAAGGGGGAGGAGGGGGCAGGGGCGAGGGAGAGCGCAAGACGAGCGGTCGCTAGGGGGGGCCCTGTTTGGTGGGCTGTGTGGTGGCGATAGGGGCGGGTGTGTATGGTTTTGTGTGTGTTTCGCGAGGCTGCGGTCGAAGTGGAGCCCGAGCGTGAAGGTGAGACGACGGGGCCGCTCCCGGCTGCTGTTGTGCTGCACTCAGCGACGTTGTGCCACACCTCCCCTCCGCACTCCCTTGCTTTCCGCCCCCTCCCCCCTTCCCTACAGGCCCACCGAATCAACACCTGGTGTATCACGCACTTCCTGGGACTGCACCTGCCACCACCGCCCTCGCCACCACCGCCCTCGCCACCACTGCCCTCGTCACCACCCGCCGCCGCCTCATCGGCCCCGCCTTCACCCACACTTGCAGCCACCAACGCAGACGGCGGTGTCAACCCTGCTGCCAGCAAACACAGTGGCCGGGCGCGGCAAGCGTCTTGCACTGCTGCTGCTGCTGCAGCGAGGGCACTTGCTGCCGCTGCTGTTGCTGGAGGGGAGGCTCCTGCATTGGAGGGAGGTGCGGGGTGCGAGGGAGGTCACGGATGCAATTGGGGAGCCGTCCAAGCAGCAAGAACTGCATCAACAGCAGCAGCAGCAGCGCCTGGGTGTGTTGCAGCTTGCAGCGGCCGCAGTGGCGGCGGCGGCGGTAGCAACAGCAGTGGCGAGGACTGCGGTAACGGCAAGGGCGGCAGCAGTCCGGTCCGAGCCAGGTGTCCCAAGCCGGTCCAAGCCGAGGACGAGGAGCCCTATCGGCGGGGGCTGGGGCAGTGGGCGAGCATGCTGAGGGTGTACCCGGCAGCAGGGGTGGAGAAGATTGAGGTGGAGTGACGCGGGGGTGATGTGTTGTTGGGTTTTGAGGGTGGGGCGAGGGAGAGACGCGCAGCGAGAGGGTCCGGGGCGGGGCAGCTGAGACGAGTGGAGGAGGAGCTGGGCTGGGTGAATGCAGTGCTGCATCAGCAGGCTAACGTAGGGCTGGTTTTTCACTGTTTGTTGTGTACATGAAACTCATGTTCCCGTTTTTTCAGTTGGTGGGGATGCTTTAGCGGGTGGTGTAAGCTACGAAAAGCCGTAAGTGCAGATATGTCAGGATCACGAGTGTGCTGGCGTACACTGGTGTGTTGTGGTTAGGGGGGCTCCACCCCAAGCAGGTTTTCGTTGAGCATCCACCGTTCTTGAAGGGGCCTACTGCAGGATGCATGACTTGCATGACGTGCATTGCGTGCGTGTTCTGGTCTGACTATCTGACCTGAGTGAAGGGTAGTCTCATGACGTGGAACGGTCTCATCCGCTTGCCAGCCGCTATCACACAGCGTATACTCCTGCACACATCTGCGGTCATTCGATGTTATTGTGTGTTAAAAAAACTGGTCGCGAGTAGGAACGTAGTTTATGTGAGTATGTGCCGTCTGCCATGTGACGCAGTGTGGGGCCGAACCTGGTAGCCTACACATGGTAGACCTGGCGTGACGTGTACAATTGCAATCGGCCATTGCTATGAAGGAGTAATGGAGTATGTGCCTCCACACCACCAGCTGCTCATACGCACGATGTCGGTAGGGGCATTGCCATAGTACCAGCCTCTCCCTCCCCTCGCCAATCTTTTAATCCGGGCGTTCGGACACATGCGTCACAGCGCAAGGGTCCATCGCGCGCCGCACCACGACATTTTCTACCTACAAGTTGATTGAGTTTCAAAAAGGCCACCTGACCGTGTTTTCCAATGCCCCAAAGCCGTCCCAGCCCACATTTGATACACAAGGATGTACGGTACCCTACCCCAACCTACCCACAGCGAGTATGTATATAACCGATGTTTGATGCGCGTGCTTGCGTTGTGTTCAACCCTCCAGCGTCGTTTACTGCACGCACCTCCCCCCGTAGCACACAGCACGCAGCGTCACCCTACTCCCCTCGCCTGCTTCATTCGTACGCTCCTTGCATGCGACCATGTCCCCATCTCCACACTCCAGCACCCTTACCTCCCTCCCGGCCCCTCCCACACCGCCGCTTGGCCTTCCCAATTCCCCCAACCCCCTCTCACCGGCCAACCACCAGCCCCACCCCTTTCCTCCACCTCTCCTCCTCTCCCCGTTCACCCCCCCCCCGCCACCTACTCCTCTCCCTCCTCCCCCTCCCCCTCCTCCTTCCCCTCCCCTCCCGCCCCCGCCGCCGGCCTCTCCGCCCTCCTGCCCGCCAGCGCCGCCTCTCGGTAATGCAGCAGCGCCAGCTCCTTGGCCTTGCTCTCAATCATCACATCAACCTGAAGGAGGAGGAGGAGGGGCGGGCGGAGGAGGAGGCGGAGGGGCGGGCGGGACGGCAGCAGCAGCGGAGGGGGATGGCAGCAGTAGGGGGGCAGTGTCGTGAGAGGTAGGTGGTGAGACTGGCGTGTAGAGCACCCCGCACCTACACCCAACCCCTCACTTCCACGCACAACCCTACCTATCTACTCCCCTACCCTCTCCATTTTGACCCTCGCTCGTAAACCTTCCACAGCAGGTCTAATCACAGCGCCTACCTCCGCCCCAACCCATAACCTGCGTAACACCCCCCCATTCCCCCCTCCACTTCTCCCCTCCACTTCCCCATGGTTTGGTATGGTCTTTTTTGATCCCCCCTCCCCCCTCCCACCTCCCCCCTCCCACCTGCTCCTCCAGCCCGTATAGGTGTATGGGTCCGGACACGTAGTCGCTGTGTGCGTGCGGCCGCCGCCCCGCCTGGCTCTCGCTCCAGTGCACAATGGGCTTCACCCCGGGGGGCCAGGTGCGCAGCGCGAGGCGGAAGGCGGCCTCCTCGGTCAACCCGCCTGGGGGGGTGGGAGCGGTGGAGGGGGGTGTAGGAGGGGGGTAAGGAGGCGTTTTGCAATTGCCGTACCCTAAGTACCGTAAGACATGTCCCTCAAGCTCCGAAAGGCAGCCACAGACGCAACTGCATCCCGCCCCCCTACACCCACATCCTCGCTGCTGCGCTGGCCTCACCCGTGCAAAAGCGATGGTGGTGGAAGTCGAACACGATGGGGATGGCGGCCTTGCGGGACAGGTACAGCAGGTCTGCCACGGAGTACATGGAGGGGCGGTCGTCGTTCTCAACCGTCAGCCGGGCGCGGCAGTTGGGGCTCAACTGCTCCAGAACCACCTGCGGCGGCCGTTGGTGGGTGGGTTGGTGGGTTGGTTGGAGGGTCTGAGAAGCGCTGGAGGCAGCGTTTACGGTGCAGGGCAAGAAGAGAAGAGAAGAGGTTAATGGTAGGGGAGATGCCGCTACCGGTAAGATTAGCGAGTAGTAAACGCCTCACTCAACACTCGAGGCAGCAACGTAACGTAAGCACTCCCCAACTCCTGCGTTCCAAGGAGCCCTTAAGTAGTCCCGTGGGGCTCCAACAGCAGCAGGACCAAGAGGACCAACTACCGCCCATCCAGCCTCCAACCACCCATCCAGCCTCCAAAGGTGCCCCCACGCAACCTTCCATGCAACCCCCCCCCCTCCCCCTACCTGCGCGAATCGGTCCATGGATGCGATCTTGTTGCCGTACACCCCACCCACGTGGATGTTGATCTTGTTGTACACGCTGGCGGGAAGGAAGCCCCTGGGGGTGCCGGTGTGTATGGGGGGAGGAGGTGCAGGGGGGGGGGGGGTTCAGACGAGGAGGGGTTTAGAAATTGCTTGCTGGGTTATAGAATACAAAAAGAAGGACATCATTGGGAAGTGTTGAGGTGCGGCGAGAGGAAGAGAAAATAGCTGAAATGAAACGGGTCGCTAGGTTCAAGGCGATGAGAAAACCGTATACAGCGCTGACATGCAGCTGACCCACGGGTCAGTCATGCCGGTATCGCCACAGCCCAACACCCACCCAGCACCCGCAAACCCCCTCCCACGTTCCCTCGCTTCCTATCCCCCGGCACCTCCACCGCTTCCCAGGAAGCCACATGCCCCCCCATGCTGCAGCCGTCACCCGCTCCCTCCAACTCCCCACTCAGCCCATCCCAGCGGCCCTGTCCCTCCGCAGGGCTCTCCGGTACAAGGCCCGCCCCCCCATCCGTACACGCCCGTACGCCCCCTTGCTGCACAGCTGCACCACTCACATGAGGTCGAATATGCGGCTGTGCACCTCCAGCTCGCGAATGCTGGTGGCCACCACCTCGGGCCTGAGGGGGAGGTACGGAGGATGGGGGGGAAGGAGGAGGGGGAGGTGGTGCCAAGCGAGGGTTGGGAGTTACGGTTGTGAATGGCTAGCGGCAGCACCGGCCAAGGGCAGTAACTGCTCCATGCAGGTGGACCAGAGGAAGCCCCCCCCCCCTGCCTCTCACTCTTCGCGCCCACCCCCCGCCTCATCCCCGCCCCCAGCCCCCCCCCTCTCACTTGTCGCTGGCAATCTTTGTGAACTCGGATGGGTGGAAGGTGAGCCGGTGGCCCAGCTGCCTGGCGGCGGCACCCGCCTCAGCTAGCGCCTGGGAGGGGGAGGGGAGGGGGGAGGGGGGGTAAAAGTGCGGGGGGAGGGAGGGTAAAAAATATAATGAGACACTGACGAAGCAGGAGGGAGGGAGGGAGGGAGGGGGGTCGGTGCGGGGGGAGGGAGAGGCAGTTGCGCACATGAAACCAGCTACCGGCTGTGGCAGGCTGTGGATGTTGACAGTTTTGTCAACTCAGCCGCCGCCCACCTGCTTGATGTCCTCCGCGTCCGGCAGCTCCTCCAGCTGGTAGTAGCTCATCCAGGGGAAGATGCCTTTGGGAGGGCGGGGGTGGGGTTGGGGGTGGAGGGAGGTAATGTGCAATGGGTACATACAGGGGGGGAAGGAGGTGAAAAGGAGGAAGCCGCTCCCTCCCTCACCCCAATCTGCCGCCCTCACCCCCTCCCACTACCCCCCCCCCCCGCCGTGTCTTTTCACCTCCACGCGCACGCACCTGAGGACAGCCTGAACAGCCGGATGCCGTGCGCCTCGTTCCAGCGGATGAGTGGCAGCAGGTCGCGCGCATTGGCCAGGGCCAGGCGGCTCACGTGGGGCAGACCCTTGGACTGGAAGCCGGCCTTGTTGGTATCCCTGGGGGCCGGGGTTGAGGGGGGTGAGGTAGGGGGCAGGGGGGGGGTGAGGTAGGGGGCAGGGGAGGGGGGGGTGAAAAGATGGGGGGTTAGGTTCATCACCCGTCTTCCATTTTAAGGAACCATCGCAGCGGTCATTCATCCAATTATGCAGTTAGTTGTTAGTTATTTCCTCCCGTTGCCCTCCTCCAACACCGCCCCTCCCTCCCTCCCCCCCCACCTGCTCGCGAAGATGTCGTGCTCCCGCAGGGTGGCGCACAGACAGGCGTACCCCAGGTTGGGCACCACCGGGGGCACAGCTTGCTCCCGGAAGGGTATCGGAGCGACCGGGGCGGCCTTCTTATTGGGCTTGGCGGCCTTGCTGCTGCTGCTGCCGCTACTGCCCGGCTGACGGCCCTTGACGCCGCCGACACGACCCTTAGACCTGCTGCCACGGCGGCCGTCCGCTTCCTCCTCCTCTTCATCCGCTTGGTCGGCATCGGCATCCTCGGCGTTGATAGCCGGCGGGGGTGCGTCAGCGGCGACGTCGGAAGCCTCACGTAACCCCTGCTCAGAGCCGCCGCCGCCGTCGCTGCTACCATCGCCGTCGCCACCGTTGTTGCTGCAGAGTTGGAGCTCGCCGCCAGCAGCAGATGCAGGCAGCATCGCAATCTGTCCCGCTGCCGACGTCAGCGCACTGTGATGTACGGCAGCCGCCGCCGCCGTCACCGCGTCAACGGCGCCGGCGGCCGCAGCCGTCGCCGCTGCCAAGCGCGTGTTGCCCTCCGCCGCCGCCGCCAGCGCCGCCATCGTCAGGGGTACGGCACCCGGTCCGTACGACCGTGAGTGCGGATACTTGTCGTACAGTGTCAGGTGTTCCGCGAAGACCCCCCTGGCGGCGTCCTGTCGATACTCATCTTGCACCTGAGCCTTGGTACGACGCGGCGCCTTGGCCTTCTTTGCCGTACCTGCGTCCGCCGCCGCCACTCCATCCTGATCTGCGGAGCCCGATGCCGAGTCGCCGCTGCCTCCGTCACTTGGAGTCGCATCCGTACGGCGCCGCCGCGGCTGACGGCGTCGGGGAGCCGGGGTTTCCTCCTCCTCCTCCGCCGCCGCCGCCGCCACCGCTGGTGCCTCCGCCGGCTCTTGTTCTTCACCGGCAGCTGCCTCCGCCACTCCGCCTCCGGAACCATCGTCGGAAGCTGGTTTTGTCGTACGAGTGCGCTTGGCGGCGGCAGTGGCTCGTTTCTTGGCTGCACCCTCGCCATCGTCCGTAACCTTACGACGGGTCGCTGCGCGGGCGCGCTTGGTGACGGCGGTGCCGCCACCGTCGCCATCGTCAGCCGCCGCCACAGCCGGGTCGTCAGATGCAACCCCAATAGGTGGTACGGGATTCCCCATCACCGCCGCCGCCGCAACCACAGTGCGTGGGGCCAGTGCCCCGCCGCCGCCGCCACCGACGGCGCCTGCTGACGACGACGCCAGAAGCGCCGCGGTGGCGGCGGCGGTTGACGCCGCTTCGGCGGCGGCGACGGCGCCACGCAAACGGGCAGATGTACGGCGGCGACCCCCACCGGCTGCCGTCGTCACCGTCGCCGTCTGCGGTAAGAGTTCCTCGGCGACGGCGCCGCCAGCGCTCCCATC